CTAATCTACTTTAGGTTCTAGATATTCCGTTTAGTAGTATAGTTCTAATTAATATTACTAAAGATATAGTTAATCCTATACTTAAAACCTTTAAAAGTTATAAAGATCTTCTAGGATTCCTTAGTTATTACTATAAAGACTCTTCTATCCTTAGTTCAGTTCTAAATATAGTCTAAGAGAAAAGTCTTAATCTAATTAAAAGCAGATCCCCGGAGAAAAGATAAAGCCTAAAGGACTTTATTAATCTCTATAATAAACTAGTAACTATTAAAGCTTATATAGAGCTTAACCTACGTAAGATATACTCTAAGCTTAGATCAGTCTCTACTATAGAGATTCAGAGTAGCGATCTTAGGTATATTTTTAGTATTAAGAGTCCTAGTAGTAGCTAAGTTATTACTTAATAATAATCCTTTAATAGAGGATATATTATCTTTATAAGTTAGTACTTCTAATAAGAAAGTACTTAAAGTATAATAGTCCAGTATTTACTTACTATAAATATAGAAAGCTATAGTTAATCTCTAATAATCAAGAGGTAGGTATATTATATAGATAGAAGATAGTTACTAAGTATTAGAATACTATTTAAAGTTAAGCACGAAGCTCTTATCTAATAGCAAATATACTAGTCTTATATAGAACCTTTATTCGCCTTAGATCCCTTAGGATACTAGATCCTTAGATCCTTAGATCCGTTTTCCTATAAAAGGATCTAAGGATCTAAGGATCTATTATATAACTTATCATCTACTATAATCTAAGTAACTATTACTACTAAAGCGTAAGTGTATAGTAGTACTACTCGCTTACCCTGTATTATTCCCTAGCTAGTATTACCTTATTAATAGCACCGCTCCCTTATTAGTACTAATACCCCTATAGTACTACTAATAGTTTTATTATTATATAAGTGCTAACTGAACTATAGCGCTAAGGGGTCCGTAACATTATAATAGAACTAATATCTTTAAGTTATAAATTATAACTATAAATTATTTTAATAAAGTTATTATATAAATATAAGCCTATATAACTTTCTAATAGCTCCTTAAATCCTATAAGTTTATAGTTTAAAATAATCTTTTTATTAATCCAAACTAAAATAATACCTAAATAAGACTTTTAATTATTAGAAGTCCAAGCGTCTAAAGTAATAGAAAAAGAATTATTTTCTTTAATACTCTCTTTAATAGAGTATTTAAACTCATCTATAGAAGTTTTATAAGTAGTATCTAAAATATTCTTTATTTTCCACTTATTAATAGTAAGCGAAGATTTATTATAGTAATTTAATAAGTCTTTAAAAGACTCTAAGTTTAATATATTAAAAGAGAGATTATTATTAATAATAAAGTTTAATATCTTATATAAAGCTTCATCTTCTATAAACTCATTTAAAGTATTTAATCGAATCCGCTTATTAGAGTCTTTATTAGATAAATTAAAGAAATTACTAGGTTTATTCTTATTTAAGTCTAATAACTCTAGTTTATCTTCTGTTTTAATATTATAAGCTATAGTAGGATGATTTATTTTATAGTGTTAAATATAATTAGAAGATTAAAATCCATCTAATTTAGTTATATTATTATATTTACATAAAGAACAAACTATTTTAATTTATCTTTCTTTATTATAATCAATATCTAATAAAGTACGAGTAAATAGCTTATTTTTAAATATATAAATCTTTTCATTATCTAAAGAAGGTAAAGTATAAGTAGACTTATTATATTTAGAATTAATATACTTATTATTTACTATAATAGTATTATTAGACGTATTATTATTATCTTCTATAATAGAAGTATTATTATCTTCTTCTATATTAATAATATTACTATTTTCGTTAATATTAGAAGTATTATTATCTTCTTCTATATTAAAAGAAGAGTTATTATTAATAATAAAAGAAGAATCTTAAGAAAAACCTTCCATTTTTTTAATTAATATAATATTTCTCTTATAAAAACTGAAAATTATAATAACTATAAAGTAATATATTATAGAGTAGTATATTATAAAGTAGTATATTATAAAGTAGTATATTATAAAGTAGTATATTATAAAGTAGTATATTATAAAGTAGTATATTATAAAGTAGTATATTATAAGGTATAGTATTTTTAAGTAGCGTGTTTTTAAGTAGTGTGTTTTAAAGTAGTATGTTTTTAAGTGATTAGAGTAGTTAACTAAAAATAAAAGATTTTACAATTTTCAAGGGAAATTACTCTGCTTATATAGATAAATCTTAGTTCTAGAAGCTTCTATATAATTATTATAATTAAATACCTTTAATAACTTTAAGTAACTTTTAATAAATTTAAGTGAATTTAAGTGAATTTAAGTGAATTTAAGTGAATTTCAATTAGGTTATAAGTCTCTAATAACTATTTTATCGTATTAGTATATACTTTAATTAATTTTTTTTAATTAATTTTAATTAATTTTTAGTATTTATTAATTAATTTTAATTAATTATAAGAATTAATTAATTAATTTAATTTTTTAAAAGGTCCAATTAAAATTAATTAATTAAAAATTAATTAATTAATTAAAAATATAATTAATTAAAATCACAACCCTGACAGTACTAAATCTTTGACTTTCCACAGAAGCTAGGGTTCGGAAATCTGTGGCCACCCTCTTTACCTTATGGATGCTATCCCGAAATGCCTAGCGTGTCTTTTGGTCAGGAACCCTGTAGATCTGGACCTGACAAGGATTTAAGCATCTCTTATCGCTCTCAGCGATCAAATCAGCGGAGTGTGTGCCCCTCTTGCGTGGCTGGTGGACTTGGTGGCTGGTGTGTGGGTGGGGCCACCAGCTCTTCCAAAGGGGTATCCGAGACAGGCAGTCGATGCTTTTGAATCGGCTCATTTCTGTTCAGTATGAGGCTGCCTGGTCTGGGAAAGACCAATGTGAATAGTAATTGGCCTGTTTTCCAATATTTCGTACCTCTAGGAACCTTGTCTCTTAATGGGTGATGGAAGCCCAGAATTCGTTGCAGACTGCAGACATTGAAGACGCCTCAATGTCCAGAAGCGAATCCGGATATCAAGCACAACTCAAAGCACTATTGATATACAGGTACTCGGAACAGCCTCAAGTACCTGAATATTATCACAAAACTATCAATGGCTGTAGCATAGGAAAAATTCGGGAAAGCCATCTTGGAAGACGGGATATTCTTCTCAGATATTTCTCGCCTTTCGGTCCTACTGTACAGAACATTAGTTGAAACTCCCATCCATAGGGCCATCGGTCAACAAAGTGGCCGTGAAGCGGTGTAACTAGAATAGGAGAAACCCCTTTTCAGAGGCAACCTCTGTGCCAACTATTGGTTAAGTTGCAGCTGGAATATCCTTGGACACCACAAGATTCAGTCCAATCGATAATACGAGAGAACGAGCCAAAACCACACTCATAAGCTCTGATAGTCATTATTGATAGCAACACAATGCAAACCTAGACTTCGTACTTGATGTCCAATTCTCGGTACCGAGTAATTGCACAATGAAATAAGCTACTAAGCCAACAAGATTTTTGACACTGCATACAACCAGCTTGGCGGGACGCCAACCAGCCAAACCGCTGGTACGTTTCGGAAGCAAAGTTGGGTACGATACTGTAGGGTCCTCCTAGTTCAATTGGAAAGTATCCCATTGTGCATGAGGGCTCGGGTACCAACGCTGAGTCTAAAGGTTGTTAGGTAGTTATGAAGTTAGCCAGTCGAGCTAGAGAAGCAAGGAACGCTTCCTCTGGCGTCTTATGCTGTAGAAGTGACTTGGCCAACCATGGCTAAGCCTAACAAATATCTGTACCTAATTCTCCCGCATGCATGACATGACAAGACATGACATGACTTGAAAATTCAGGCTGATTTTGCAGGTTGAAAGTGGAGGGGAGAGCCAGGCACGCTGCTTGGTCGTTGCTCCCAATCTCAAAACAGGATTGGGTCGAAGTTGGGCAAAGCTTGTTCCAACATGTCATCCTGGAAGGCGCTGACTAGGTAGGGAGTGGGGAGTAGGGAGTAGGGAGGTAGAGGTACTGCACTGGAATTTGGCTGCCTCTTGCTTCCTGCCTCCTGCCAATAATAATAGCTGCCTCTGTTCCAGAGAAGTATTGTATTGTAACATGGGCAGCGCGCTGGCGTGAAAGAAGGTTTACTCGTGAAACGACAAACAAAGACACACCCCAAGACAACATAACAATTCCATCAAGAACTGATCGGGATCTCCAACATTGCCAGTAGGACACCACAACGTTTACTTGCTTGACAAGATTCAGGTTGGCGAGAGCTCCAGCTCCAGCTCACTCTATCTATGCACATCGCCCCTCGTTTTGGATAGCTCGGCCGCGTATCCGATTCCCGATCAGCGCTGAAGAGCAGAGCGTCATATTTTGACTTTCCATCTCATATACTCGGACTCTGAGGAAAACGAAAACTTCACCTTTTGAAACTCTTCACCGTTCCCTCGTCCTCATCTCTACCGGCCTTCACATGCCTGCGCAACCGAAGTAAGGCATCTAAGCGCAGCACTATTATTTTACTAAATCCGGGCTGCTGGTCGACTCGAGTCAACACACCACACCGAACTCCAGTTCAACAACACGGCTGCAGCACGTCTCTCCCGGATGACCGCTTGCAACGAAAACCGACCTCGCAGCTGACTGATCGATCATTCTTCACATTTCAAGCCAGCAAATCCACACAAGCAAAGCAACACCTTCTTTGCCGCAGCTTCATCTTGAACTTCAGGCTCGTGTGATCCACACTCCATCCAGCAAGCAAGCACAAGCACCCCACGTTGAGTAAGGTCTTGGCGAGTTGGCCTGCATTGCACTCATCGTGGGTCCGATCCACGTCAATCGAACAAACCCCAACCCAGCCTCTGGCTTTCTCCCTTTCGACCCTTCGAACATCCCCTTTATTGCCTTCACCCTCGGCCTCAATGTTCAGTTGATCCAGGCCTTGCGGATCGTGAGCTTGCACCATGGGAAATAACAACACCAGAGAGGCGCGGGGTCCCGAATCCTCTTCTGCCAACGCTCGACAGACTGACTCGGCCGGAGTAAGTGGGCCAGCATCGCCCGCGGATAGACCTGCGCCAGTGTATTCTTCGCGCACCGGCAGAGGCAGCAGGCCGGACCTTTCTTTTTTGGGAATTGGAACCAGCTCTCAGAATGAAGTACCGGAACGGCGGGAGACAAAGCAGGAACGGGAAGCCCGTAAGCTGGAAAAGGAGAGAGTTGCCAGGGTGAAGGAGAGAGAGAGGAGCTTGAAAGAGGAACATGTTGATGGCGGATATCTGGTAACGATGGGCGTGTACACTGGCCCAGAAGACTTCAATAAGGCGATTGTGAGGCAGCTGATGGTATGTTGGTTTAATGGGTAGTATCTCACATATACTAACTTCTCGCAGATTGAAAGAAGGATGGCTCCCTTTTGGAGAGGACTGGATGATTTCAAGGAAGAATGGACTGAACATCAATTGGTTGCTGCTGGCAGAGGTCTTCCCATTCCTGCTGCGGATGAGATACCTTCAGATGACCTTACACGGCCCCTATCTCCGGAATCAGCGAACCCCTCCAACCATAATCTCAATAATCTCATGCCTCCTATATCATCACGGTCGCACTCTACGGCTTCTGATGCTTCCGCAACTCTTTCACCGTCACATCCAGCATTCTCCAATGCGTCTTCCCCTAGCTCTCCGTCCCCTGCACCAGCGCATTCGTCGTCGCCTTTTCGTCCTCGATCAAAGACCTTAGCTTCTCTCACGAGTGCTTCAAAAAACACACCCTCGTCTGAAATCGTTCCCCGCGAGATTCAGCTTCCTAAGGATCCATACGTAAACGGGCAGGCCATCGAGGTTTACTTGTACAAAGATTCCGCAGAATGCCCGATCTGCTTCATGTACTATCCTCCGTATCTCAACAAGACCAGATGCTGTGACCAGCCAATATGCTCGGAATGCTTTGTCCAGATCAAGAGGCCTGATCCGCACCCCCCGGAGCACCACGACCCTTCGAATCCGGCACCTCCACCAACAGAAGCAAACGTTGATTCAGAGGCACTAGTTTCGGAACCTGCCTGCTGCCCATATTGCCAGCAACCTGAGTTCGGTGTCACGTATGAACATCCACCATTTAGAAGAGGTCTCGCATATGCGAACGCGAACCAGATTGTGGGCAATGTTTCTTCAGCCATGTCATCATCCACTTCGATCAATTCTACTGGGGCAAGCCCAACACTGTCACCGTCTGCTCAAAGGCGACGAACCATTTCGCTATCTGCAAATGCTTCGACGGTCATCACGACTGACAAGGTTAGACCGGATTGGTCCACCAAGTTACAAAGTGCCAGAAACCACTTGGCCAGACGGTCTGCAGCAGCGACTGCCTTACATACTGCGGCCTACCTGATAGGAAATGGAGCCACAGTGGATCAAAGAAGCTTTGGCTTCAGCGGACGGAATCGTTTTGGGAGAAGTCACCGCGGTGAAAACAGCCCTGGAACGAGCGGTGCGGCGACTCCTTCCCCAACGACGAATGAACCTACCCCACGCAGTGTATCAGATCAACTTCATCTAATGCGTAGAGAGGCACAAGAGTCAGGGGGGGCTAGAAATCGGAGTAGGATGGAGGATCTCGAGGAGATGATGATGATGGAAGCCATCAGGCAGAGTCTTGCTGCTGAAGAAGAGAGGAAGAAGAAAATGGAGAAAGAGGCTGCTAAGGAAGCTAAGAAGAAGGCCAAAGAGGACAAGAAAAAGGAAAAGAAGGAGAGGAGAGTGTATGGAAGTGGAGCAAGTTCTGCTAGTGGGAGTGCCTTATCCTTGTCCTTGCCAAGTTTAAGCATTGGTAGGCGAAGGGGCAATAGCGGTGCAAGCAATCTTCAGAGAGAGGTTACACTCGAAGATCACGAGGTGCCAGAGTCGAAAGGAAAGGGTGTGGACCGTAGTCCTCCAAGTGCTCCATCAGCATCCAGCAGTTCTGCACCTATAGACTTCCCAGGATCAGCAAGTGGCTACGGCATACCTGGCGCAAGGCATCTCGATACAAGCACCCTTGCAGCTATTAACGACTCACATCAATCTTCAGCTTCTCCTACAGCTCCAGACAGACCTTCTCATCTCCGCCAGATGAGCAATGCCTCAAGTCCTGCTTCATCTTTTGTCGAGTCGGTACCTGGCAGTCTCCGGAACGAATTCAATACTCATGGCTCTTCATCCACAATCGACTCGCCCAATGCCTCTGGAGTCAATCTAACAGCAGGCAATACCAGCACAGATGGTGGGGATGCAGGTCCAGACTCACTTTTCAATTTCCAAAGTCTTGCAACTATGATTTCCCAGGATAGCAAGGAAGACAAGGAGGATGCTGCCAGACACATTGAACATCTTGATGGAGAAACTTCAAGGCAGAACATTAATGCTCAAAATTCAGCTGGCACATTGGAGGAGAGTGTTGCCACATTGAAAGTTAACGGTTCGGCCGACACAAATGGTGATACTATCAGTCCCGCTCAGCTTGAGCAAGAACGCACTACTCCGGAAGTTATGATCACTCCCGAAACCCCAGCGGCAAGAGATCACGGCGATGATGACGGAAAGCAACTCGGCTGGTCTGCAGACTCAACTGCGCGAGAGATAACCCAATGAGACAATCACCACAAATTGAACAAGTTTCTTTTCACGAACGAGATACGATTGCATGAATGGATTTGAGAAGGAGTCGCACTCGCGCCGCTTGTTATGCATCTTGTACTGGCTTTGGCGTTAGGTTGGTGGAGAACCTCTTTCTTTTGTCAGGGCATGGGGATGTGTTCATACGGGCAAATAGGCTGGCGCATTGGTGGTTTTCTACGTTGCATCTTCATGCTGCGGATGGCTTGCCTGGGCTTGCGATGTGTGTATAGGCTAGGTATAGAGAATGCGAAGATCATCACTCGAACACTGACCTGTAAATCATTATCGTGGTCAACTTATTCGGCTGTAACCCATCACTACTATCACATGTAGAACTCAGAGGACCAAGACAGTTTGCTCCGCTTTGTCATCGTACACATCAAGTCAAATCATACAAACCCCCTAGTGGCCACGACCTTCTGCCATGTCCGACCAACCTCAACTGGAGACAGTGCGCACAAGAGAGCCAGCTGTTCTCAAGCTCTGGGGTCGGTAAAGTTGAACTTCCAGCCGCCTGGTATGAAGGTATACCCCAATTCTCTATCTTGGCTCGGCACTCGTAGCAATCGTAGAAATGCTCTGGGTAGACAAAGGCTCTGGAACCAGCTTAAAACCTTCAGCCTCACCACGTCTCTGCCCACGCCAAATTTGTCGAACGAAAGCCCATGGCAAGCCACGACCCCTCTAGTAAAGGTCTCTTCAATCATGAAAACCAATAGATTTATATCCCCTCCCATCTTAGCTTCCTACCGTCCAACAGGCGCATAAGTCCCCGCCGACGCCGTGTTTCCATCACCGATCCTCACACCCTCACTCTTCCTCCCCTCCAACACCTTCCTCACCGCCGCCCATCCCAGTAGGCCCAGCGTGCCCGCAATGAACGTAAGGACCACAATCTGATCCTTCCTGCTATCGCGCTGGAAGCACGTAGTGAGCACGTCTTTCTCCTCAGCGTCTTTGCAGATAGGCAGACGCTGCGAGAGGCAGAAGGCTTTGTTACAGGTCAGGCAGCTGGCGGATGTGGCGCGGGTATTGAGAACAGGTGGGTTGCCCTGTGGGTGCTTTCTGAGGAGGGATGGGTTGGTGGATGTGTGGGACGAGAGCGGGATTATGGTGCTATTGGTGAAGCAAGTGCATTTGCAGAAGCTAGGTGGCGCTGGAGAATGTTAGCTCCCATTTTGAATTGATATAAGCATAGTAGAGCCGCGGGAGAGCTTACAAGCTGCGATACTGGATGTGATGAGCAGCAATAGTGCCAGGAGAGTGGTGAGGTGATTCATGTTGTCGAGCTCCGATGAGGTTCAATTCCAATGGAGTCTGGTTCAAAATGGTAGTGTAGAAATCTCGATATTCTTTTGACCTTAACACATCATCTGTATGATCAAGTAACTTCTTGCGGCAACATTGTTTAGACCTTGCAATAATGTCGTCGCATGGCTTCATCCTCAGCTGGTCCGCCTACACGGCGCTAGCGGGACCTCGCCTGACTTCCTTGTCAAAAAGTTAAGCCCGCCCATACATCGCCATCGGCATTCCTCACTCAACAATACAGCACAACACCATGCGTCGAATAGCCAGATTAGACAGGTCAATTGACCTTCTCCGCACGAGAGCGACAGTCCAAGGACCATCCACATACCTCTGCTCAGCGTGCAAGCACCATGCCTCCCCTTTCTCGACATCAACTCTCCGAGCCGCGAAGAACGGCAAAGTGACATTGACGGAGAAGCTCCGCAGGAAGATATGGGGAACAGACAATCCTCCCGGATTGGAAGATCCATACAGCGATAAAAGCGTGTTCGATCAGACAAAGAACAAGGAACAGCATCTGGAGAAGGACGAGAGAGCTGCTGCTAGGCTCAGACATCGGAGCGCCACCAAAATTGGGAAGTATTCTGGATACAAACCTGCGTCTACCTGGGATGGTTTAGAGCGAGTTGGTTGGAGCGAGGATCGTTGGGATCCGGAGAATTTGTATGCGCCGTTCGTGCCGATGGATGTCAAGACCGATAACGACGAGATCACGGCGGCGTTGCACAGGGCTATGGTCGAGGTTTTCGCTCTGCGGGAGGCTGGTTTGCCACTAGGACAGCTCTCAAATCATGCACCTGGCCAGGATTTGACCCTCGATGTTACTTTCGAGCAGTCATCTTCTGGGCCGGTGCTCAAATTCATGGATGCTGCGCCGCCGCTGGAGGACATCGTGGAGTCTCTTACCCAGGCTGGGGATGAAACTGCTGAACATGAGAATCCCACTGAGTCCGAGGAGGATGTTGCGGCTGATCGCTCGACTATTGATCCTCTGCGCCCTGATGCGGAACCAGCTGCAGAGGATACTTTAGAGAAAAGGAACCCTACTGAGAGTGAGGAAGACGTTGATGCTGATCGTTCATCTGAGGATCCTTTGCACCAAGCAAATGCTATGGAAGTTACCTATGAGGAACTGATTGCTTCCTGGGGATCGTCCTGGCTGGAAGTTTCACTTGAGAACCCTGAGATCAAGTTTGCTGTAAGTCATATATCTATATTTCGATATTCGTAATTGTGCTCTCGATACTAACAATCCGTCAGGTACTGAAGCGCATGATGCAACTAACCGGTATCCGCATTCCAGACGCCCACCTCAACTCGTCCAAGACCGCTTCCGCCCTCCTGAAGTTCCTCATCATCCCACCCAAACCTCGTAAGCTGGTCGAGGTTCTCAGCCAGAAGGAAGACCTCGTTACCCTTCCGAATGTCAGTATCTACGCAAGGCGTATCACCCCGATTGACAGGGAGAGAAGCTTGGGCAGATGGAAGGTCATTGAGAAAGAACTTGAGGAGAAGGGATTGCCTATTACCGGACATGAATCGAGGCGTGCACAGCTTTGAAATAGCAAGTTGAGAGTATATGGGTGGGGCGGATTGGATGTATTGCCGACAACATGGGGAAATTAGAGGAGAGATCCTGTGTATTATTTGTGTTATAAACAACAACAGGCTGTCTGGGATCAGTACCAAGTCATTTGTAAAGTCTAAAATATGGTTTATTACTAACATGATCTGGCTCGACCTTCAGCTATATCAGTCAGATACAGTACCTGATGAAATCACACGATCTTAGGTCCACAGCTCTTGAGAAAGCTTCCGCTGAGATATCACAAGCTTGTCTACTTGGGCTGCATATCGATATATTGTCTCGAGCACAGTTCACTGCGATAATTCCACTCGTTTGGAAGTCATGGAAGAGAGATTACTGCGCGATTTTGTCTCTGGAACTTTTGCTTCACTCGTGTGGCTTGGGCGCACTCACACAAATTTACCCCATTCTCCAGGGGCTAAGCGAACGGGTTTATTGCGATATAAACAACTGAAGCCAGTGGAAATTACAAAGAAGGCATCAGAAGCCATCAACCAACAACCCACAACCTGTTATATTCTTATGTGACCAGCGTTGGAAAGTATCTGGTTCAGCAGGAATGTATAATGGTAGCGAGCCAGAGATATTTTATTTCTCATGGAAGTTTTAGGACAGTAAGAGATCCATCTAGAGCCAGCAAAGCCTCTTGGCTTCTCAACCCCGAGTAATCAAAGTCACAATCGCGGGGTGCAGAACAGCCAAGGTTGCCCTCCCCGCGTTTTGTGAAGAAAAAGGGGGCAATTCCCCGCTTCCCCCAACAACACAAGTCAAGCGAGCCGGACTTATCCGCGCTCCCCCGCATATCAACTGCTCCCTGTCCGCCTCTGTCAGGGTAGACAGTCGAAGGCCCCATCGTGTCTGCATCTCCGCCACTTTCCCTCGCAACAATTAGTCGGCCAGGTACAAGAACCAAGATGTCGGAACGCTCGCCATCTCAGGAAGCAGTGCCAGCGGGATCATCGTCGAAACGCAAGCGCCGCGTCTATCAAGCATGTGAACCATGTCGGATCCGCAAAGCGAAGTGTGATCGGGGGAGTGATGGTAAGTTATTTTCCTTTCATATTCTAATACTTGATCATACTGATAGGAAGCTGTTGAGATGATCCGAGACCTCCGCCTTGTGCTCGATGCAAGAGAGAGAGCATCCAGTCTCAGTGCGTTCTCGCCTCGAAGCGAAATAAGCGAGATATAGGACTTCCGGATAAGTTCCAGTCTCGTGAACATACACAATACGCCTCTACGACGAATGCTCAGCAACTAGCAGGGATGAATGGTGAGGAAGTCTTAAGAGATATTTCAGCAGGACCAGCAGCCTCTGAGTCTGGAGATTTTGTGGACTCGCCTTTTGCAAATGGAACTTCGCCGGGAGAAGGTCAGATTAACCAAGCGAACAGTCCTTACTCTCATCGCTCCCATCGCTCTCAGAGAAGTACTGAGAACGCGGGCGGCAGACGCTATCCTTCTGGTTCAAGGCGGAATCTGACTGACAACGTTATCCATACTCTTGTATCCAAGCCGAATGACGCCCTTGCATTGCTTTTTGAAGCTGCGGAGCGACAGGACCCCTCTGCTCTCAATAGTAGAGGACAGTCTCTTGAACCTTCGCAAAACTTGCAACGCAACACCGATAATTCCTTGGCACATGGTGAAACTGGAAGCAATCCCACTGGCCACGCAAATGCAATTCCGACTCCGCACTCGACTGTCACATCGCCGGCTCAGGCTCTTACAGATCCTTCCAACGAAATGATTGAGCTCTGGAAGAAGTACCGTTTCGTTCGTGAAGGATGGTTAACAGCACGAGAAGCTGTGCTATATGTTGACCTGTAAGTAATCATGCAGTCGCACCACCGTGGAAGTGCTGAGTCTTAGACAAAAAGGTTCTTCCGCAATCTCTCGCCACTATCACCAATCTTGTTGGACTACTTCTCGAACCACGAAAATCATCCTGCTCTCATATCCTCGGAGCCAATGCTTTGTACAACCATCTTGACCATTTCCTCACGCTATCATGTTCTCCATGGGGAAGGAGGAATGCTTCGTAGTGATGATATTCACCGAAAATTCTGGCTATACTGGAAAACTTTGTTCATGAGAGTTATGTACGGGGAGGATTCTGGTCCGAATGCTAGTACGAGGTCCATTGGAACTATTGAGAGCTTGCTGTTGATGACGGAATGGCATCCAAGAGCACTGCACTTTGCTCCTGATGTTGACGGGTGGGACTGTGACATGAGCAGAGGTGGTAGTATGAGCCATCAAGTAGAAAAAGGTCGGTGAACCTAGCCTTACTGTTTAAAACAGACTGACATTTCTATCGCCCAGGCCAGAACGGATCCTTAGAAGAGGTAGAAAATGCGGCACGTAGATCCGATAGAATGTCCTGGTACGTCCAAATATTGATCCACCCAGGCACAAATGAGTAACAAATTTGCCACTAACACAACTAGGATGATGCTTGGATCTGCTCTAAGTCTTGCACACGAGCTTGGTGTCTCCGATCAGCGCCTACAGAACCGAGATTTGTCGTCACAAACCTTCGAGTCTGCAAAACAAAGAGAGGACGCGGAGTTCGTGGAATTAAGGCAGACTCGGCCTCGAAGACTGCTCTACATATACGTCAACCAACTAGCATCACGACTGGGATGGACGTCTATGATACCAAGAATCATATCGGATTCTGCAGAGCAAACTTTTGGGACGGAAGCCGAAAGGCAGTGGCACAATGTGATGTCACGATGGATTGCGCTCACCCGCCTCATGAAAACTGCAAGCGATATGCTATATTCTCCTGTAACGACAAAGCAATTGCTTCGTAGCGGAAACTACGTGACATCGCTGGAGCACTTCGGACATTTGCTTCAAGACTGGCGCAAGGAATATGAAGATCTTGTCGGTAGGTCGAGTATATATCTGCATGTCATATTGCTTGTGCTGACCTCTTCTTAGCCGATAAGCGACTTCTTGACATGCTGTTTATCGAGTATCAGTTCACACGAACCTATATCAATGCACTTTCAGTACAAGCTGTGGTAGACCGGGCATTCAAGAGTCCGAATCAGGAAGGTTATCTGATGACTTCGGTCTTCGAGCGGCATTCCGTGGATTGGGGATTCATACAAGAAGTTGTCGATGGAAGCCGTAAGATCCTCGAGAAAGTCATCTCGCTGAACGATGAAGGCCTTTTGAGATTCTGCCCCGTGCGAATACTCTCAAGAATCATATCGGCATCAATTCTCTTGTTGAAAGCGACTGGCTTAGGTACCCGGAGTCAGCAAGCGCAGATGTCACTTGATCTTCTTGAGAAACTCATTATTGCACTTCGATCTGACCCGGTCGACGAATTGCATCTTGCCAATCGATATGCTTCTCTCCTAGAGACGCATGTCAAAGCTTTTCGGAAAAGATTTCTCCGTGTTGGGAGATCAAGGACGGCTGAGAATAGTGGGAGTGAGAATGAAAACGACACGCAGCATCAGCAGGGAGGCGCTCACTTTGAAGTCCATGACAACATGAATGCCGTTCCAAATTTCGGACAGATGGTGCCGCAGCAGATGCTGGATGATTTTGGCGGTGGTGATATGTCAATGTGGTCGGATGGCATGGGCTTGGAGACTTTTGGCGATGACTGGATGTGTCTCCCTCTTGACGCCTTTGATGCTGGGATCATGGATTTCGGTGGGGGTCTGGGTGCGGGAGGATTAGATTTCTTTTCGTTGAGGTAGAGAAATGACATTATTCAAGGCTATACATTAGCAGAGCATTGGACGAAGACCATAAGTGAGGGAGAATATAGAATTGGAAGCCAAAACTTCGTATGAGCGTTGACGATGAGTGAACAGTGCCTGATTAAAGTGGGATTTTAGAACTTTGATGAGAGAAATCCATCTCAAATCACAGCTGCTAATTGCGGAACGGAAGGCGCAGAGAGTACTATTGATCTCCCCTCGAAAGAAGAGGGCCTTGAAATGGGTGTTCACCAACAGGAATAGAGAAAGCCAGGATGATACGAAGACCGTTTTCTGACCAATTTTTTTTTGTATATACAAGAAGCAGCTTCCAATGGAGGTGTCAAAGCCCAAAAAAACTCTAACAGCACCAGTTATCCGGACCGAGCTCAGCACTTGATCTTCATGTCCGTCAATAACTGTAAACTTTCAACCAAAACACCCACCAAATAGTTCTAGAAAGAAATACCACAAGCAAGCCCTAGTATGTACCAACTCATGTCAGCTTCTAGACGGCGGATTGAGCGCGACATAAGTGCAGCTTATTTCACTCAACGAATCAATCCCGTAGGTGTATGGATCATGTTAAGTATCTGAATTTCGGGTGTTGATCACCAAGAGCACTGACGTCGATGTGCTCGTCCGGGTCAACGGGACCGTGGATCCTATCTCTTTTTCTGTTTTCGGCGCTGAGCTTGAGGTGGAGCCCCAAAGCGAGAAGGACAATCAGACCAGTAAATCCAGCACCAAGGGAGCAGCCAAGGGCATAGCGAGGGCTAAGAAACATGTTAGTTTAATGGATGTGGAAATCGATTATTGCATTCGCCAACTCACCCGGCAGTCTTAGGAAACACAGCAGAGCTAACAAATGAACTGCATTGACCAACGATGGCAAGGATCGCAAGTCCAGCGCCACGCTTTGAATCTCCTCCCTGGTTGTTCAAAAGCCAAGTGATGTTGATTGCGAGAGCGGGAAAGACGCCACAGCATGCAAGCCAAACACCAAGATATCTAGGACCAGTGCTAAACTCATCTTTTACGAGAACGAGCAACAAGTAGCCGACCATGCCCACAGTTGCAAAACCAGCAACGATGTAACCACGCATTCCATATCTGTCGGACGTGAAAGCAGCCGCCACACAGCAAAGGAAGGCAACAAAGTATGGTGGTGCAGTGAGTCCCTGTGCTTGGATGCTTGTATAGCCCATATCATTTACGATAGTGGGCAGGAAATTGGACAGTCCAGCGAATGAATAGTTGCAGCAAAAGTGTATGGCGGTATGAACATAGTTTTGGTAGTCGGCAAGGCCAGCAAAGAATTGCTTCCAATGGACCTTACTTTTGGCGGTTGTGTCTCGTGTCTGAAGTCGCTCAATAGCAGTCGTCTGGTCTTCTGAAGAGAGGAACTTGGCTGTTCCTGGGGAGTCGGCGAGGAAGAAGTAGACCACAGGAGCGAATACAATGGTTGGGATGCCCTCTGCTCCACATATTAGGCGAATCATATATGGTGAATTTAGAAAGAAACGTACCGATGATGAACAAATATCTCCAAGACCCCCAGGATGTTTCGATATGGGTAATGCCGTATGCGAGGGCTGAAGCAAAGCTGTTTGCCAAGGGCGACATTCCAAGGAGCACAGAGACTCTGAGACCGAGTTCGCGTCTCTGATAGAAGAGGGAGAGGTAGTATGGAGCTCCGGCGCCAAAGCCAGCCTCGAAAACACCGAGGAGACTTCTGCAAGCTACAAGCCCAGCCATGTTGTTGACGAATCCAGAGCACATTGCAGCGGACCCCCAAAAAACGCATAGAGCCGCGACGTAAATATGAGCCGGGAATATTTTCCACAAGAGGGTGGTCCATTCAAACAAGACATAGCAGATGTAGAATGCATTGAGAACCCAAGTCCACTATTTTCGTCAGTGATCAACAATCATCGGGGGAAGGTTAATTACCTGAACACTATCGAGGCCTAAAGCAACTTGTGCCCCAGCTGTCTTTGCATTTCCGATGTTGCCTCTGTCGAGATATGACAGGACGTACAGAGAGCACACGAGAGGCAAAACATGCCTATCAAACTAACAGAGGATAATGGTTAGTCTTGATGAGTGGACAGGAAATGTGAACTTTGTGTACCTGATGTCTGATCCTCTTCTGGACGTCAGCGGGGACATGGGATTGGGAAATGGGTTCTTGGGGGCCTTTCTCCATTGAATCGACATCCTCGATTTGATGTGAGTTGATCTTATGATTAGACCAGTCTTGTTGAACGGACATTTTTGAAGCGACGTTTGAGGGTATTTATTGTTGAGGCGTTGAAAAAGCTATAGTGCTCGCCAGACTATTATCGCGGTGTCGTGCGAACACAAACCTGATGATGTTGCAATGATCTTCATCTAGAGCTGGATCTGGCTCAACTTATAGACACCAGAGTGATGGGATAGCTTAGCTTCAAACTTCCTTGTTGGGGCCAACCCCAGATTTCCCCAGATTCCAGACTGAGGCGGCGGCAGAGTGTCGAGAATGGGGGTTTGCAGACGCAGTGGATGTTCCGTAGCCTGCCGTGGCTTCCCCGCCCTATCCGCCGGCTACTTCAGGAGAAGTTCGGAACCTGGCGGAGCTTGATACGCATGGCAGCTTGGCTCTCAAGAATTTTTGTGCCAGGCATTGACGATCGCAAGTCTAGAATGAAGAAAAACAGCTTATCCCGCACCGAAAAGGACTGATGCAAAGGGCAATTGTCGCCGGGGAGGCTTGCGGGGTTGCGGGGTTGCGCGGAGGCGTTGGCTTTATGGACCCAGCTTGGTTGAATACATGCTCGTTGAAAGCAGTATATAAGCGCCTCTAATTCCTCGAAATCCTATCTCATCTCTTGTCAGTCATCGACTATCCTCCTGCCTCTAAGTGTCTTCCTGCCTTGAAAGGAATCTTTTGCACTCCCAGTCCTCCTAAAAAAACATAATCAATATGTCCAAATCAATTGTCAACACCGTGGAATACCCCTTCAAGTTCGACTCGCCGGTCCCAACCAAAGGCGGAAAGACTGGTCAACTCACTCAAACTACCCTCTCACTACCCAATGTCCGCGGCCGCATTCCCTCCATCCAGGCTTCTCGACTACGAACCATGATGATTGAAGCACATAACGATCCCACCAAAATCCTTGCCCATGCCTGCACTTACGACGGTCTCAGCTCACGCTTAGTAGAAGAAGCGGGCTTTCCAATGTGCTTCCTCGCGGGCTACCCTGTGTCAAGCGCATACGGCCTTCCTGATACCGGGTACATCGCTTGTCAGGAGATGTGTGACACAATCCAGAATGTCGTTCGCCAAGTCAGCGTTCCAGTCATGGCTGATGGAGATACTGGATATGGAAGTCCTATGAATGTCAAGAGGACCGTAGAGTGTTACGCTACGGCTGGTGCAGCTGGTGTTATGATTGAGGATCAGACTTGGCCGAAGCGTAAGCGAGCCCCTTTTTATTTTCGCCTATGCCTGCGACACCTGTTAACACTTCGAATTAGGATGCGGCCACACCAAAGGGAAAGCCGTTGTAGGCAGAGGCGAAGCCTTTGCTCGCATTCAGGCAGCTTGTGATGCTCGTGATGAAGGTCTCGACATCTTTGTTCTTGCTCGTACAGACTCCCTGATTCTTGGTTGGGATGAGGCTATCGCCAGAGCGAAAGAGTTCGTTCGTATCGGTGTCGACGCAGTCTTTATCGAGGCAATTCCAGACCAAGAAGCTATGCGCAAGGCTGTGAAGGAGGTTGGAGCTCCGATTTTCGCAAATATCATCGAGGGAGGAAAGACTGAAAACCTGTCTGCCAAAGACCTTGCTGAGCTGGGTTTCTGTGCTGTCGCGTATCCTTGGACATTGGTAGCTGCTAAGCTGCGAAGCATTCGCGAAACTTTGGAGAACCTGAAGAAGAGCATGACCATTGGTGCTCCTCCCGTTATCCTGAGCTATTCTGAGGTCTGTGAAGGTGTGGGTTTCAATAAATATTGGGAGCGAGAGGAAAAGTACAAGTTTGAGAAGTTTTACAAGGGAGAAACAAACGGGACAAACGGGACAAATGGTACGAAGTCATGATGTATCTTGTTAGCGTAAAAATCTAGTCTATCAATAGAAATTTCAGAAGCATTACCAGAACTCCATCATCAATCCAATCTAAAACGCCTATACACATGTTCGTTATTCGTGGGTCGAAATTACCAAGAAGTACCTCATGAGTCCCAGATCGGTCCAAAAGCCGGAACGCCTCGACTTTCCATTTCATAGACCAGGTGCTTCGACAACGCCTTGTTGCTGACACAGAAAATTGCCTCTGCTCTCTCTTCGACATATAACTTGTACGCCAAGGCGACCAGGTCTTTGCGTCCAACGGCGTGTGTATCGATTACCACAGCCTCTGGATCAACCTCAAGCACTCGATCACAAATCTCATCGCCAAAGGTGTGTCTGGGCTCGGGTGCGCTCCACAATACCCTGCATGTCGTGGCAGGAATGTTCATCATTGTTCCCAAGCATGGCCCAATTCCTGATCCAGTAGTCACGATAATCACTTTACGAAAAAGCTGGGCCATGCAGAGGACTCCAACAGTAGGTATGCCACGAGTGTAATACCACTTCTTCGGATTGTTGATGGCTCTTCTTGTCCAGTCGCCAGCATTGGAGACAATCAAAGAGCCTCCATTGCCGTCTCTTTCCGGGATACACGCGAACGAATGCCATTCCTTCAGTGGCGTATCAGCAATACGATATACGACACAGTTGGGAACTTTCTCAAATAGATGAATTCGAATGGCATGAACTCCTACACCTAAACGTTCCGGCTGTATTTTCAGGCGGCGAAGACGCATCCATGGTAAAGCAACGTGGAAGCAAGACGCCATCAGAAGCCAGAATGCAGGAAGCTTTGTAAGCACTGCTCCAGGTGAAGCAGGTCCAGCTTGGTGGCCAAGTGCTCGAGTAAATAGCCATAGCTCAGGCCAAAAAATAGCAAGCACCGCCCAGCCTCCGAATCGATGTATATTTTCGAAGGTGTTATGCCTCGAGGCTCGAAACGTTGGATATGCTGTGATCAGCATCGTCCAGAGAACACCGACGACAACAAAGGACCACAGAATGATAAGGGGATCTGCAATTCGGATCGTGACAAACTCCCATGTCAAGATGCCAGCCAGTAGTGTAAACCACAATACTGAACAGACTGCTGCACCGCTATGAAGTCCACCATACTCGTAGATCTTGGCCAATGATCTTCTCAGCCTGAGAGGTGCCCAAAATGGGACGAACCAACAAACTTTGAAAATGAGGTTTATGATATAGTCCTGACGCATAAGAATAGCGAGCAGCATATTGGCAGATGCAGCAGTCGATATGTCGACAAGTAGAGGAGAATATTTCGACCTCCGTTTCATCGTAATTATTCGGTGGCCTTGCCATATATTGATTATGACGATTGAGAGGAATATCCGCCGGTAAACACCAAACACTGTCCACCTGGCGAAGCGAAGAAATCGGCCTTTTGGAGGTAGGCAAGTGGGATGTATCGATGCTGTAGAGTTGCTGGCATGGTAGAATTTGCTGTCCGTCAAGACCTCTTCCTCGGTAAGGAATGGTTCTGCCTCGAAATCGTCCTCCGAACGCACTATCGGATCCATCTCTAGCGCTTTTGAAGCCATCGTGTTGAAATAAAACTTGTGGTGACCCAGATACTGAAGTACTGCCTTGCTCTCCTTCACAACCGCGATGTTCCGATCAATGTCGTCACCCGATTGCGGTGATGGGGATCCAGGACTGGTGCAATGGTGTAAACAGCACGAAGGCACGTTGAAGTTGGAGTTACTGTTCGAGGCGTTACGAATTTTGAATGGTGCCAGAGGTCGCAAGACAAATTCCACCACAACTCCACTCCGTCGATCAACGTCACATACCGATGAGTAGAACGAATGGGACTGCTCGATGAGCAAAGAGATATCGTGCGCTGAGGGAGGAATTGAAAAGATACGTGATTCAAGGAGAACGACCGGACCTACCGTGGTTCAGGGAAGTGGGAGGGCCAAGTCTTGAACCCCTGAGTAGCTATTGCCTGCACTAATTCAGCCACCATCCCTTTTTGGTCGGTATCTCGTATTTGGCAAGCGTCTGGTGTTTGTGCTGCCTCGACACATCATTCTGGGCAGACGTTGGGAGCAGCATACGATAGAGGTTGGCAGCCATGTTGAGTTGTGAATGCGTGACTGTGAGGAGGAATGTGTGAAGAGAATGTCATGGTTGATCATCGGGGTAATCGCTAATTACCAACTAGCGCAGCGCAGGGCATGGAAATGTACTCATTATGCACTACCATTATTATTCACATGAAAGCTGCACAAAGTAAACTTCTTGTGAGCCTAGGTATCATCAACACCACTATTGACTTTCACAACCGGTAGCAACCTCAAGGGCTGGTGTTTTCTCGATGTTTGTAACAAGCTCGAATAGCTTTGTCACAGGCATCCTTGAGTGGCAAACTATTCCTGATTGAACCAACGGAGGGTACAACTCGCATCCGGTAAACTCAGTGTGTCCTTTTCCAGCTTGACTGCTCGAAGCTGACTAACTCAGATCTCGATTCATTGGGGGCGACAACTGTCCGGATTCCAACAGGACAGTCCATGCGCTTTATATTGATTTTCCTGGGGAAATGTAAAATTGGAAGAAGGACTTCTCGGTCAGATCGTTCAAAGTCTCAAAGGGACACATTACACACAGAAATACCTCTTCCGCGTTCTAAGGGGCCTCAGATATGGCTTCTCAAGCTTTCAAAACACTTCATCTATACACCACACCTCTCTCCGGCTGTAGCGCGCGAATTCGGATTGCCTCGTATCTCAAAGGGATTACCTTGACTCATCATAGCATATCTATCGCCGAAGCTCAAAACCGTAGACCAGACTATCTTGCCATAAATCCTAATGGAAGTCTTCCGTCTCTAGTTGTTGAGGCCTCTGATAACTTCTCATCACCTGAAAAACTTGCGATCACTCAGTCCCCAGCCATTCTCGATTTCCTGGAAACCAATTTTCCTTCTCCGCCTCTCCTACCACCAACGTCGCAAGTGGCACAACGAGCAAGGGTACTAGAACTCACAAGTCTGGTAGCATGTGATATTCAACCGCCGCAGAACTCTCGTATCCGGCAGAAGATCATTGATGACTTCAGAGGCGATGGCGAGAAGTGGGCTAAATATGTATATGAGCGTGGCTTTGGTGTATATGAGGAGTTTCTCAGCAGAGGTGAAAAAGGAAGATATAGCGTTGGTAATGAGCCTACGTTTGCGGATGTGTTTCTGATTCCGGCCGTTCAGGGCGGTTTGCGAGTTGGTGTTGAGTTGGGGAAATGGCCATTGATGAAAAATGTTGTTGATGCGTGTTGGGAGCTGGAGGCATTCCGAAAAGGTGGCTTAGGCGAGCATGGAAGGTTGACTCCTTGAAACTGGCCATGCATGGCCTGACGTTCAATGAACGCCGGTCCTGAATTTCGACGAAATCGTCCAGATTACAATCCAGGCCAGTGAGCGCCTTGAACTTTCTCCATAGCTAGTGTTTAATCCTGGCTTGTTTTGTCGACCTGATCTCTAAACGAGTTTGCATTTCTTGGACTTCCAATATCCGCATACCTCGACAATGGCAAACGAAATAGGCTCCTGCTTAGTACTGCTGCTGACTGAGAGAGTTTCTGGGCAATTTTGCCCGTTGCAACAGGCATATCAAGATGCAATCATAATCATGTGAGATAGATATTCATCATTTGGTACTTGCAGATTCTTCGGAGCTGTGTCATCTATGCGATTGTTCAATACACAGGATATTTGATGTCAGAGGCTTGATAAAAGAACCAAACAACAGATATCACTGCGGTGGAGAAATTGGATAAGATCTTACCAGTCGGCTAATACCTCTCGGCAAAACCCCTCAATCCAACGACAATATTGAACCATCATCAACATCACTATTGAAATTCAAGAATGGTTCTGCAACTTCTCCCAGCCTCGCCATTAGATGCCGACCGTATAGCAACAATCCATCTTCAAGCATTCGATGGTAACCCTCTCTTACATGCACAATTCCCCACTTCCGCGAGCCTCAAAGCCCTACGGTCCATCCTCAGCCAGGAAACACTCCATGCCATCCAGAACTCTCAAGACTCAAAAGCTATCTTAGTGGTAAAGGATGCAGAGCTTGAGGTAAACGAGCAGGTTATCGCTTTCGCGAAGTGGGATCTGCCAACTGAGGGAAAGGCAGCGTTGCATGAAGGCATCACGTGGCCAGATGATTGCCAACATGAATGGCTTGACCGGTATCATGACCTTGCGGAGGCTATGAAACACAGGATTATTTGGGAAGCGAAGTGCTACCGTGAGTCTTGTCTTTTGTAAGTCTTAAGGCTGGCGACATTCTTCCATCATCATCACGTGCACTTGGAGAGCTTTGGATGGCCACGCTGACACTGCTCAGGGCTGACGTTTGTTGGCACGGTACCGAATCATCAAGGTCGCGGCGCTGGGACTATTTTGAGTAATTGGGGTGTCGAGAAAGCCAAACAAGACCGTCTACCAGTATATCTTGAGAGCACGATCGCAGCATCGTCGCTTTACCGACGGCTAGGCTTCGTGGCCTTAGACGGATTATCAATGGTTCTGCCCGGGATTGATCCAGATGGAAGACCAAATATCTACGAAGAAGTGGGAATGTTGAAGACTTGGGAAGACTCCGATATGGATCGTTGGGACTCGAGTCTCAATATCGAGAGTTTACTACTGGATTACGAGGCAGGCATCAAGCCTCAACATGTCGTGCAAGCGGTCTACGATCGAATCGATGCATACAAATCTGTTCAACCATCTGTTTGGATCTACCTTCAACCTCTTAGCGAGGTAATGAAAGCTGCGAATGAGCTTTATAGGAGATGGCCAGACGAAAAGGACAGACCGCCCCTATGGGGAGTTCCATTCAGCGTCAAAGACAGTATCAACATCGCAGGTATTCCTACCACAACTGGATGTCCTGCTCTTGCCTTTACCCCAACCACCTCTGCTCCTGTCTATCAGCATTGCATTGATGCTGGAGGCCTTTACATTGGCAAGACGAACATGGAGCAACTAGCCACTGGCATGACGGGCTGTCGAAGCGTATACGGAACTCTACATTCTACATTCAGCAAAGCACATATCGTTGGTGGATCTAGCAGTGGAAGTGCAGTGACCGTAAGCCAAGGTCTTGTCTCTTTCTCTCTAGGGAGCGACACGGCAGGCTCAATACGCGTGCCAGCTCTATTCAATGGTTTAGTCGGATTTAAGCCAACCAAAGGAACTGTTTCAGCACGAGGCGTATCTCCTGCTTGTTTACATCAAGATTGCGTCTCTTTCCTCACTACCAACATCCCAGATGCCCAAAGAGTATGGATTGTGTGTAAGGGTTTCGATAAGGGCGACTTTTTTGCTAAACTACCCGCTCAAATACGCTCAGCTCCGCAGACAACGCGCGAATTGCGATTTAGCTTCGGCATTCCACCTACCAGTGCCCTTGATATATGCAGTCCGGTCTATCGCAAGCAGTTCTCTCAGGTAGTGACAGCGATCCAGAAACACGGCGGAAAACTAGTCAATTTAGATTGGACACCTTTCGAAGCCGCCAACGAACTTCTGTACAACAGTTCGTTTGTCCTAGAACGTATGACTATCTTCCCTAATGGTTGGTTCGAGAAGAATAAACAGCTGCTGCATCCAGTCACACGCCAAGTCTTTGAAGGTGTCCTAGCAAGAAAGAGTACGGCTGTAGATGTGTTCCAAGACTTTCACAAACAGGCAGAATATATACGCAAAGTCCAGAGCATCTTAACATTGGGAGAGAATGTCGAGGAAGGCGTCGAAGAAATCACACTAATGATTGTTCCTACGACACCATTCCATCCTACTATTGAAGAGGTTGGCGAGGATCCGATTGCGATCAATGGACGACTGGGTACGTTTGCGCATTTTGGGAATGTGCTGGACTTGGTTGGTGTTTCGATTCCATGTGGGACGTATGAGATTGAGGATGTGGCGGAGGGTAGGATGATTACTTTGCCGTTTGGAGTAACGGTCTTGGCTGGGACAGGCTTTGATGCTGAGTTGTTGAAGTTGGTTGCTGGATGGGAGGAGTGGTTTGATGATTTGGATGGAGAGAGTGAGGTGGATTATCTCTGGAGACCATAGTAGTGACACTCGAATATGCTAGGGATTTTTTCATGTAGCAGGCGCGTTCTTTTTCAGGTATTGCCTTTATCCTCGGAGACGTCAACAAAGATTTTGGCGAATGTTGTCACTGCCCCCAATTACCCCTGGATTAGCGAGAGCTAAGCTTCCGTCCATGGCAAGCCACATGCAATGCAGGGTTCGAATATCAATTTTTTCCCTCTGATCTGAGCTTCTGCCCAGAAGGTTGTCAGCACGCAATCGTGTAACTGTCAACTAAGTGGCCTCTTTAACTCTATTGGAAGCTTTCCGTCATTTCTCAGTTTCAAGATACTCCAGTATTCAGGGGGACAAGCGAATCGGAGGCGAAGTCCGTGGGCCCGCCTGTCTATCAGCCACCAACTGCTGGATTGGCATTGACTTTTTGTTCTGTTTTCTAGGCTCTTTCTAGAATGCTCAAGACATACCCAAAGATCACGACATAAGCCAATAAAGAGTCAAAGACATGCCTAGATACGATTCCACATCTCACTCCGGGGCAGTATCACCAGTGTCACGTTTCCCTCTCTCGAGCCTCTCAGATTTAAGGTACCTATCCATCTCCAAAGACCTCTGGCGGGGCCTTCACCGCCATCCTGCCCTTCCCAGAAATCCGGAGATGCTTTTACACAAACAATTTCCAAACAGAATGGTTTTCCTAATCTGATATTACCTAACTCCCACTTTTAGCCCTGTCTCTGATCATGCACGAAGCACATGCCATTGCCCCAGCCTCATCCACGCCTGGCCAACCAGGTCGCTTGCAAATGAAGCTGTTACCAATTCCAAGGCACTACAGGGGCACTACAGGGAGCGCAGGGCCTCCCACATACGTAGTTATCGTGGGAAATCGATCTGCAACCCCACATGCACCCTGACTTTAGGCGCAGCCCAGCAAGCCCAGACATGCACGATGTTGAACACAATCGGATGTTTGATGGACCGCCCTTCCAGATACTGACGGATGCAGACCATGGTCGCGATAAGGAACGCGATGATGAGTGGTGCGAATCCGCTCGCAAGGGCAAACTGGGTCGGCCTGGTCTGGAGAGAGCCTTACCCAAGTCGCACAGAGGGGGCCAGTAGGACGGGGAGCCTGGCATTTATTACGTACCGAAATGCCACGGTGAGGGTTTGCTGGTGTCATGGAAAGGCTGACGGAAACGAGGGAAGGTCAAAATCACGAGCCAACGGGTGAAGCGAGGGAGCAGGAGCAGGAGCACGGAGGCAATAATGCAGTACTGAGGAACTCCGGAGACTGGTAAAGCGAGATAAGTAAGAAAGCAAGGCGGGGCGAAGACAGGCGAGCACAGCCTGGGATAGGCTGAAGGAGCCTTGTGGTCGCCTGTCGTCCCAGGATAGCACTGTGTTTTACTGGACTGGATAGGGCCCTAGGCCCCCAGACAGCCGGCCCCGGCCCCGCTGACGCTGTATCACCGGCAGACGACTCTCCTGGAGTCCTGGATGCTGGAGATGCGAGGTACAGACGGTAAGGGTAAGGTAAATTTAAGTAGGTATGGGGACGCATCCCTTCCATTTTGATTGGAGTAAAATTACAGCATTCGGAATGGCGCGCCCTGTGGATCTAGTGTATCAAATTAGTGTATCGATTATTCTTTATTTGATATCATACCTAGCTCGTCCTATCCTATCGTATCAACCTCATCTGCCTGCTATCTCCCATCTGCAAGCTTATCGCTCTCTCTCTCTCTCTCTCTCTCTCGCTCTCGTCACTCTTCTAAAACGAACACACGGAAGGAAGCTCGCAGCTGCCAGCATTCCCTTCCCCACGCATGCTCCCTACCCTCCGAACGCCTCATCAGGAAACTCGTCAACGGCTTTCTAGGGCCTTAGACCACCAGAAGATCTGGTCCGATCAGATGCCCCGGTGCATTCTGCAGATCTGAGTGATATACCATCGGACTTCTTCCCTGTCTTGCCATCTGGTTTCCCTGGCGTGCTGCTGCTGTATCTAATACCAGCTCAATGACGGCAAAAACCAACCATCATCTCATTCTCCTTCAATCTTTAGCTGGGTCCTGGGAAAGTGATAGTAGTCACTGAATGAGCGAACGAGGCAAAACAGACAACCATCTCCACAAACTGCTATCAAAACTGCCAGATATAAAAAGGTACAGTGGCTTGACTGGTCTGGGCGCTCAGACTCCAGTCCTGTTGCGGGCTGCCCTGGGTTCCTGGCTTGCCTTATCTTTTATCTCTACGCTTGCTAAGATATCTGTAGACTCAACCCATCACAGCCCTTTGATCCCACACATCCCTCCTGTAGACCTCGTCTGTCTACAGATAAGCTTCTGCCGCCTGCCCGACCTGGATATTTGCTGAGAAAGTGGGGAGGAACGACGATAGGGAACATCTCCCGCCGTACAAGGACCAGTCAGAGCTCTATCTCCCGTTGGACTTACTCCTTGTAGTCCATCGCTTTGGAACACTAGACCTGCTGAGGTATCTCGCCGTCCGTGTTTGCCCTAAGGACAGCAATTACAGGCCTTCGCCCTTCTCCGAGGACAGGGGAACACTGCCGAGCCTTCGAAGCACATATCCAGTTCTTCCTAGCTGCAGCTGGGCTACAGACCCCCATCCTACAGGCCCAACCCCCAATAGCAGAGTTGGTCACCGGCTCAGCACAGAATTCCGGTACCTGGTTCGGATCAGCACTCCAATCGAGCCTCATTACGCCATGTCGGCACCAATAGCTATCTCCCGGACGGCGCCCATCGCTATAGCTGCGAGGAGGCCCCGCCCAGAACAGTCTATCGAAACTCCCAACAGCCAAAAAAACAGTCACACCAACGGTAGGACTCATCTGTCAGCCAGCATGAGCAGTACAGCATCCGAGGCAGGAACAAACATTCGAAGTCGGAAGGATAGGCCATGTGATGCGTGTCGGAGGAGGAAGAGTAGATGTGTGATCAACGAGGGGCAGACAAGCTGTGTACTGTGCCAATTCCACACCCAGGACTGCACTTTCGTGCAAAGTCCGCAGCCGAGGAAAAGAAAACTCAACACGGAAGGAAAAGAAGAGTCTTCGGCCAAGAGAAGGTAAGCAATCAAGTTTTATGCAGCTGTTGATTTTGGAGTAGCAGCACAGCCCACTTTAAACCCAGTATCCCTCGCTACATATAATCTATGGCAGCCGCTGATTCCCGTCCCTTATAGATCGCCGGATAGAGCCGACGAGAGACGCAGACGACCAACCGAGTCAAGTATCTCGAGTAACGGTGCAACAAACTCGCTCGTTGAGGAGATGGCCAATATTGGAGGCCCCACACTCTTAAAACGAACTCTGGGGCTACAGAACGACCGTTACAGCCAATATATCGGTCCTACCACCGACTTCGAGCCATCACTGATTGACCTATCGCCGTTCGATCCTCAAGATGAGAGTCTTTTATCGAGGGGTACTTTGCGGAAAGTCAGCGATGTGGACACTTTTCTCATGCTTCCGGATTACAATACACCAGGGTACGAGCATGTAATTGAAGATGCAGACGCAATTGAGAATATTGTTGCACCTCACGGACCGGCACTTCTCGAATTATATTTCCGGATCATTCACCCGAATTTTCCTATTCTCCAAAAAGTTGTGTTCTTTGAGAAATACAATCGCTCATACCGCGAGTTCTCTCCTCCCATTTTGGCCGCGGTGTACATCTTGGCAATCAACTGGTGGGATCACAGCGAAGAGCTCGTAAATGTCCCCAAGCCAGATATTGAGGAGCTTGAAAGGCTCGCGAGAGTAACCTTGGCAGACGCAATGTACAGGCCGAAGCTCTCCACAGTACAAGCCGGCTTACTTCTTTCCCAGCGACCTGAAGGAGATCAGTGGGCACCCACGGCTCAACTAGTAGCCATTGGTCAGGAGTTGGGATTGCATTTAGATTGCTCTAATTGGAAGATACCCCCATGGGAGCGTGGATTGAGGAAGCGTCTTGCGTGGGCGTTGTATATGCAAGACAAATGGGGGTCACTGGTTCACGGCCGTCCATCTCATATATTTGCATCTAATTGGGCTGTTCAACCTCTTTCTCCAAACGACTTCCCGGATGTCGAATTCGACGAATCAGACGTCGAGGAGAGCGCTGAATACGAGCATGGTCGTCTGCTTTTCACCCAGATGATTCTTTTGTCTCAAATTCTAGCCGAAGTTCTCGACACGTTCTACACACTGCAGGCCATGGCAGCGGTCACTCATGCTGGACCCCAAGGAACACATCTCGTGCTCCAACTAGCCAAGCCAGTTCAATTGAAACTGAAAGAGTGGTTTGCGGCCCTCCCACAAGTCTTACGCATGGATTCTTCATCCTCAACCGCGAACAGTAGTAAGCTTTGCTCGACTGGATTCCTCCACCTCGCCTACTTTGCCACAGAAATAACCCTCCATCGTCGTATCATCAGATCTCTATCCTCAACAGGCACTAACCCATCTTCCCCGTCTTCACCAAATACCAAGCCAGCTCTTGACCCCTACATTGTTCACATCTGCCGTAGCGCAGCCAAGACCCGTCTCATATCCGCCATGGACTTCGTCAACCGCCTCAATTCCACTCACCTCCGCTCATTCTGGTACTTCGCTTCCAAGACCAATTTCGCATTGATAGGAACCTTTGGCTCCTTACTCTGGGCCACAGCACCAGGAAGAGAGGAAGCAGAGTGGTATAGAAGGAGGCTAGGCGAGTACCGCTGGACACTCGGCGTATCTTCAAAGGGTGGCGGAGCCGAAGGTGGTGGGAATGCAAAGTTAACGGAGTTCGCTATGGGAATGCTGGATACCTCCACAGGCCTTCTGAAGTCTCTACCTGAGAAACCAGCATTGAGTCGTGTGGGTAGTGAGAGCGAGAATCTTGGTGGTACGCAAAGGCAGAGGAGTATCGCTGAGGGCTACGGCTACGGTTATAGCACTAATGGAGGCGGCTTTGGAATTGGCGCCGCAAGAGATAGAGGCGATGGTAGTGTGGGCAGTTATGCCGACAGGGATGTTGATACGGATACTGGACTGAATATGAAGAGTGGGCTTGCCAGTCCAAGCACGAGTGTTAGCTCGAGCAGCGGAAGTGCCGGGGGCTATGAAGCCTTCTCTGCGCCATCAGGAAGCTATGGCGCGCGGCCTAGAGAGGAGGGCTTTTGATAATGTTTGTTGGATGGTTTGGATGATGTTTATGAGTCCTTTGAACATTTGAAGCGAGATAGAAAGCGAATGCATGGCATGCGGGATACCGATTGGGAATGTGCTTTTGGGATTATATGATAGACGTACCGATTTATAGCGATATACAAACACATCATCAATGATATCCCCTCGGTCATATTCCTCTGCACCAAAAGGTGCTACTGGTATGTGAGATCAAGGTCAGGGGGGGTCACGTTTTATCCAGGATCACGTTTGCCGATTCTCAACCTCATTCAACATCTGCCTCTATCTCGCGGTGGCAGAAATAAAGTGAGGCTTAAAAACTCTCCCAAACAAGTCGCACCTCCCGCTCAAGCCGAGACCAAAACCCAGCTGCCCTTGATTCGTTCATTTACATCGCCCACGGATCACCCAGGTTCCTGGATATGCTTAATTTCCGAAGCGAGCCCCTGAATATGTCAACTCCCGGGGAACAACCGTCAAGGGTACGGGGATTCGCAATCTAAGTAGTAGTCGGAAGCCGAGGGTTTGGATGAAAGCACTCTATCTGAAGAAAGAATGAGATGCTGTGGTTGAGGATGCGAGTCTGGACTCTGAGATGATATCCATTGGGGAAATGTTGGTGTAAGATCGTGAGAGATGGAGAAAGTACTTGAGCCAGCTTGATCCCAGTTTATTGATATCTTTTCTCGCTCTCCACCCTACAGTCGTTCTCTCACAGTCGTTTCTTCGTTCTTCACTAGTTCAAGATGCATTTCTTATCTTCACTTATCGTGGCAGCTACTGCTCTCCCCTATGCTTACGGCTCTGTCCTAGCTGAGCGAGCTACGTCTGGAATTGCAACTTGGTATGATGGTACTGTTGGAGCTTGCTCGTTCGATGGGTATACGTACCCGACGGGTGTGTATAGGACGGCCTTGGGTCTGAATCTCTGGAATACGGCTGCTCAATGTGGTGCTTGCGTGTCTATCACTAATGCTAGTGGGAAGAAGATTACTGCCATGGTATGTTTCCAACGTCTCCTCGCTTCAAGTGGTTCTTGATCAGGACGTTATGGCAAACAGAATACAAATAGCTGACAATGATAACGAACAGATCGTCGACGAATGTCCCGGCGGCTGTGCAGGTAAAACGTTCGATCTCTTCCCCACGGCATTCTCGTCCCTCGCTGTCCCATCCGTCGGTGAAATCCCCATCAAATGGGACTACATCACCTGCCCGATCACCACACCCTTCAAACTCCGGACGAAAACCGGCAGCTCACAATGGTGGTTCGCCATCCAAGTGTACAATGCCAACCAGGCTATCACGAAGCTCGAGGTTAGTGCTGATCAGGGCAAGACGTGGAAGAGCTGCGTGAGGCAGACGTATAATTATTGGTTGTTGGCGAGTGGAACGGGGAGTGCGACGGTGCAGGTCAGGGTTACGGCGAAGAATGGGAAGGTGGTATTTACCAAGAATGTGCCAACTGCAGAGGGCAAGACTGTTACTGCTGCAAGCAACTTTGTCTGAGGTTGTTGATCCTTGGAACATGGGCTGAAGAAGGAAGCTCATCAAACCTCGGATGATGGGCTGATACCGTCAATTTGAACAGTTTCGAGACGATAGTGTCTGGTGGAGCCACCTCTGCCATATCAGAAGGAACATTTGAATCGACTTCTTGTCGAGGCATCGAAAGTTCTTCAAATGCTTCTGATCAGTTCTCTGAAGCCCGCAACAATGATTAGTGGACTTTGCTTTCAAGTCACTTTCACAGCAAGAGAAACGCTTAATATCCAGAATATCCAAATACCACATTTAACTTTCAAGGTCTATAGGCGAGTCTTTACATTCATGATTTAAATCTTATTTAAATAACTTTAAAATTAGTATAACTTAACTTCGTCTGACTTGTATCTGGTGTATGACGTGCATTGATTAGTAATCGGCATAACGTGACGTTGGTGATGCCTTCTACATTCCTATCTGCACCGTTTCAGTGTCTGGATGTATTTCAAATTCAGCATTTATCAAGAGACAAAGTCCTCAACTCAATCTGGACAATCAGTGACCAGTCAAATAAATCAGCATGGCGAGCAGCAAATATTATGCTATCATTGCCGGCGTAGGAGCAGGCACAGGTCAGTCTCCTTTCATCCTCGTCATTTTACGGCATACTCATGAATAAATCTAGGTCGCTCTGTAGCTCTCAAATTCGCTAAGACATATCCTGTCGTTCTTCTCTCTCGATCCCCATCTAGCTACGAGTCCATCGTGGAGGAGATCAATAAGTCAGGTGGTTCTGCTCACGGCTTCTCAGCCGACACCAGCTCCTCCACAGCTATGACCGACACATTCGCCAAGATCAAGAATGCCATTGGTGATGCGAAACTCGCTGCTGCTGTGTACAATGTTGGCGGTAAACTAGTTCGAAAACCGTTTCTGGAGTTGTCGGCTGAGGAGTTTGCTGCGGGGTATAATGCCAATGGCTTGGGGTAATTACTATTCTGGAGTTGAGGATCTTGATTTATGAACTATTTAGCTCACGGACTACATACAGACTCTTTAATTTCGCCCAACAAGCGATGCCACTCTTACTCCAAACAGTAGCAAGCAAGCCCGAGCACTCACCTACGCTGATCCTCACAGGCGCAACCGCATCACTGAAAGCAAGCGCCAACTTCGCAGCTTTTGCAACAGGAAAGTTCGCCATGAGAGCTATTGGGCAGACTTTGGCAAGGGAATTCGGGCCACAAGGTGTGCATGTGGCGCATGTGATCTTTGATGGGGTGGTGGATATTCCGTCGAGTAAGAATTTTCAGGTCAATGATGGGAAGCCGGATGGGAAAATCAATAGTGATGCTATTGCAGAGAATTATTGTAGGTTTTGGAGGTCTCCTAGATTTCTTTCCCAAATGATTTGGACTTCTTAGCAATGAAACCTATGGCTTTTACTGACAACTTCGCGAAACAGGGAATTTGCATACGCAGCATCGAAGCGCGTGGACACAGGAGCTAGATCTGAGGCCGTATGTGGAGAAATTTTAAGAAGAGACTGCGTAGTATGATACTTTCAGAGGCTTTCGCTTCCAAGAGGAAATATCCATTTTCTTGATATGTCAGATCTGACCTCAAAGTTGTTGAAAATTCGGGGGACATAGGGATTGTTGAAGTGTGATCTGGAACTGGCTCGCTTCCTGCCAGCTGGCTAGAAAATGCAAGGCTAGATTTGCTTTCCCTTCCTCTACTCCCGGGTAAGCCTCACTATTTTGGACGATCTTGAATCCCTGAACTATATTCTGAATGTGTGCTACCAGGACTGCTGGAATACCTCTTCGAGGTCGGCCCGCTGTGAGGCGCCATTGGTACATATGCTCAAGAGATTATTAATGCTAGTTGCAGGAAGTTGCAATGATTGCGCTATATTGTTAGCGAGCAAGCCTCTGGAATGGTCTGTATTCTTTTCCTTCCTTCCTTCCTTCCTCTCATTTTCTTAACGCAAAATCCTCGAGATTCATCATTGTAATGCACTTCTGATGCTCTTTTCAGCATTGGAAGCTAACATTTCTCTAGAAGGGATTCAATGTTATTGTTCACTCAGACAGTTGCTGAACTGAGCAGGTTTTGAGAGTACATGATGGTGTTTGGCATATTGCGGCTCCATGGAGGGTTCTGGCCCTTTGAATTTTGTCGTTACTGAAGCAGTGCGTCAATTCGTGGGTTAGCGTGCAAGATCGTTCTTACCAATTGGTATTATTGTTCATCGCTGATTCTGCAAACATCAAATGGAACTGAAATCTAGTGCTGATCGCTCCTCCCTACATGGTTGATTTGCTTGCTTGGACACATTTATTTTGCGGACTTTTGTCTTCTACCAACAACAGACAACATAATCCACCGGCGTATTTCCCTGGACTTGCAGTGTTTCTGGTTTGCTAAACAAGTAGTTTTAGTTATATTCATGGGTCATCCAGTGTCGCAGATCCATATTGCGGAAGGATTCTCACTTTGAAGCATAACCGGCTCAAAGCACTATTCCATAACGAAATTCGAGACCAAGAGTCCCAGAACACTCACCTCTTTGAGTGCTTAGCGATTACCGAGCTATCAAGTCTTTTCTCGCTTTCCAGTAATACAGCAGCTCCGCACGAGGAACTTGTCCGGACTCCGCATATATCCAAAAGCCATACGCCGTAAACATGTCAGGTGCAATAAGTGAGTTATTATGCCCGTAACAAGTACTGAATACCAGATTGGGGCACTGATGTTATAGAAGGATACCCCCATATCGATCCCTCTGGAAGTTTGAATTATCCCGAAAATATCGGGAACCGCATTTGGAAATATCGTCAGAATGATCCAGGGGATTCAGAGAAAAGTTCTGGCACTCAGGAAGAACTTCCAGCTGTATGCCCAAAGAACAGTATCGGTGTAGAAGCCATCAATTCCAAAGCTGAGAGACAGATGACCAACGACAAGCTTTTAAGTATAGTCCAGAGTAGTCACTTCATTCTTCGACTTTTTGCAGTCCTCAATGCATTTTTGTCGCTGTATTTGATCTTGAGCTCCGTCGAGGCTTTTCGATTTGCACAAAATAAGCCAGGTCGCCCACTGTCGTCCGTTCAGAGATCAGTGCATATGTCAGCTCTGCCGTGGACTGTCTTCGCCAGTGTAGCAGGGGCAAACATTCTAATCAATTTTTACTTCTTAGTCCTCTTTTGCTGCTTGTCCAAAAAGGTAAGTTTTCCAATTGAATATCGCTCTGTCTTCACTAATCTGATGCTCGATACAGCCACCCAATATTCATGGCTTACTCTACAATGTTGTCAGTGGAGTTGTATTTGGAATCGTGCTTGGTGCCTTCATCCTACTCAGCATGCACATAGATTCATCGAGCGATCTTCGGTAAGTGATAATGAACCCTTTTTAGGTCAACGCTTCTCATTCGCTGCAGGGCATGGTCCTGTGACAACCAGGATCTTGGAATCGCAAATGATGCTCTTGATTTCGGCCAGCTGTGTCACGCGCTTGGTCTGGGGTGGAAGCTCAGTATCCTACATGTCTGCTTTGAGGGGTTCTCTTTAGTACTATCCCTCACGGCTTTCAGCATATTGAAACAGCTGCGTTGCATCCGGCACGGTACTTTTGAGAACCTGCCCTGAACTTCTTGTTGCGCTTTGATTTGGACTCGACTCCGGTCGTTGGTAGAACGACTGAGAGGTTTGGAAGCTACACCTAGGGCTATGTATGAGGTCTTTCCTGGAGATCAAGGAGAAGAGCAAGCAGTCTGTGGAATGACTGACGATTGTTAGGATCGGCCCGACCTGGTATGGCAAAGAACAAAATAAAAAAACAGGTGGAACATACGGATGTCGATAGAGATGATTGCAATTCTAGGCTATACAGACAGCATTGCCTACCCTCGTCTCATCTTCGGACGAAAACGCACGGCATGAAGTAGAATAACCCATATCGTTGGTCAGCTTGAGAAATCATTCTTGTGTAACAGAACCCCGCATGGCTTACAGTAAATCAGTTCCTATCAAAGTGCCTGATAACACTCCGGTGTCATCTCCATGATGCAAATATCTGGCTACCATTAACCACGTTTGCAACCGTCCCACACACTGTTTACCCACACCGCTCCAAAAGGCCGCGGGAAATCCAGCTTCCCACCAAAGCCGTTTGTTATCAGTCGTACCAATCCGGATCATGGGTATTGGAAAGTCCTTCGTATATGCACGTAACCGGTCTGGTGCTAAACTTCCGATTGTTGCCTCTTCGATAGAGTAATCAAGGATTGCTCTGCATGAGATCCATGTGATCGACTATACTTGCGGTGTATTGGTTCTGACACGTGCTACTGATAAGAACGACACGGACACGTTGTGCTATGCGGCCCGGTTGCCCTGGAGGCTGTGGTACAGCAAACGATGGAACGCAACCAACGCGGGATTGGGAAACATTGGAAGCATTCGTTGCTGCCCGTTCGAGCGCTGGAAGGTACGATTGTGGTTAATGATCTGGGAAAGATCTGTCTGAAAATTATGGATGTAGGTGGAGATATGACGTAGGGGAGAGAAGAAACAAATATGGATTGTAAGGAGGATAAGCTGTTGTCAAGTCGGCGGCACCGCATCGTTACATGAGGGTACAAAAAACCTCGTGGCTCTTGCATGATCCTTCAATCCTTTGCCTGCCACTTTGCATCCAGGATGTCAGACGCCATGTTTTATAAGGCGGCGTCGCCTCGGTTGCAAGGCTGAATGTTGTGAAGTTTCCCTCAACGACAGTCAAAATAAAGGAAGCGAGACCCACACTAGAGCAAAAAATTATCTTCCTTATGTTTGATGACATCCTGACACACCAAAACGACAACTCCAGCTCCACAGTCGTTCGGAATCAAGGTATAGACGACGCCCAACACCCCTTGAAAGCTCAGCTGCTCCGACACCTTCAAGATGTTTCGTCATTTCGTTGTCATCCTGACCTTGGTTGCGTCATGTTTCGCAGTGGCAATTCCCACCACATATGCCGTTGATGGTACGCATACTGGTACCAAGAGACAAACAGGCTCCCCACGACCATTTCGACGCAATATCCTTGACCTTCAGAAGGACGTCCCATCATGGTGAGATATTGCCCGCTCCAGCACCTCGTGGATGCTCCTCTGTGTTTACGTGCACAAGATCTCTTCACCATTGCTTTGATTTCAACTGGGGTCGCGAGATAGTATATTTCGAGGAACCTTAAAACGCAATCACCGTGCCAGCAGCTGTTAATGCTTTCATTTACAGGTCTCTATATATACAAGGTCTCAATGCTCTCCAGGATAAGTCAGAAGACTTCTTCCTCTCTTATTTCCAGATTGCTGGTATCCACGGACGTAAGTACAGCACTATCCTCTCTTACACTGCCGGATGTCTTTGGAGAAATGGTGTCCTTTGAATAACAAGACTAACATTGGACAGGACCATATTACCCTTGGGGTGACGCTGCCCAGGCTCCAGGAGCACCAACAACCGGTTACTGTACCCATAGTGAGTTCCAAATTCACTAATTCAGTGGAGGTTCGTCAATTCGACGGAAATGGGACTGACTAAAATCAGATTCTGTTCTCTTTTTGCCATGGCATCGACCTTACCTAGCTTTGTACGAGGTACGCGATTCATTCTCACCATTAATGGACAAAGACTGACAGTTCTGCAGCAATTAATAGGTGCCACTGTCCAAGATCTTGTCAAAACATACCCACCAGCTCTGCAAGCCACCTACCAAGTACTTCTCTCTTCCAAATCTTGTAGTCAGCTTGTTAACCAAGAACATTGTCAACAGACCGCTGCGAACAATTTCCGTATTCCGTACTGGGACTGGGCGGCCATCCCGACTATGCCAGCTGTCGTCAACCAGCCTACAATCACCATTACGACAGGCTCAGGAGTTCAGAGTGTCAGAAATCCATTATATCGGTATAATTTCCAAAATTTCCCCCTCGACCCGACCTACTTCCCCTCCGATAGTGGCGTAGTTGGAGATGCGTGGTTGGCGAAATACCCATACACAGTGCGAGGTGCTCCAGACTACCTTAATTCACCGTCTGATCCTAATCGTGCAAACAACGCATTGCTGAATAGTAATCTCAAGGGCAGCACTGTAAGTACGATTTAGTTCCTCCAGTCCTGAAGCAGAGACCATGTCCATGGATTGTCGCAGTTGTCCGAGCTGACTCTTCTGTTGAAGTACTATGCTTTGGTCAAGCCTACTACATTCAATGAGTTTGGAACTACTGCAACACAGGGTACTTCCATTGAGGCGGTTCATAATCAAGTACATGGCTGTATTGGACTGACAGGTGGTCATATGTCGATCTTGAGCTATTCTGCTTTCGATCCTATCTTGTAAGTCGTTAATGATTGATATCAACAAGCATTCGAATCTCAATGCTATCATGCTAAACGTAGTCTCTAGCTGGCTCCATCATGCCAATGTGGACAGACTATTCGCTCTCTACCAAGCAATCAATCCTAACACCTACGTGACTCCACAGATCGACCAATTCGGCACGTATGCACTGACGCCAAATACACTGGATACACTCACCACCCCCCTGGCGCCATTTGCTCCAACAGGTGCTGGACCTTATTTTACGTCCACATCAGCCCGTCTGACGAGCACTTTTGGCTACACATACCCTGAGATCCAGGACTGGAGTCAATCACCAGCACAATTGAAGGCCAACGTTACCGCTGCCATCAATAGGCTTTACGGTCCGACTGGAGCTCGTATCAAATCTAGAACAGAGATGGAATCGACAAAACAAGTCCCAAAGAAGCAAGTGACCGAATGGTCAGTTGGAGTTAGGGTATCAAAGTTCGATCTCCGCGGCGAGCGCTTCATCATCCGGGTATTTCTAGACACAGTCCCAGAGGACCCTAACGACTGGCCTGTGTCCTCGAGTTGTGTTGGATCATTCACAGTGTTTCCACCTCCACATTTTGGCGGCGAACCGTATCCTGAAGTCATCGCATACTCTGAAGTCAGTTTGGTGGAAGGATTGGCTCAGCTGGGCAGAAACGCGAATGATGCTCACGGTGTGAGAAAGTTCTTGAGAAGGGCTCTGCAATGGAGAGTCCAAAAGGTGATCAACTTCTCGATGAGAAGCTCCGGAGATTGGTATGCTAACTGTCGTGTAGTTTGATGGAACTGTCGTCCCAGTAGAACATGTACCTAGCTTGAGCGTCAGAGTACAGGAGGAGCTGGTCACCACGGGTGGAGACATCACCGAGCTGCCCAGCTATGGAAAAGTGACTGTACATGCAGACGTTACTAGTGGTCGTGCTGGAGGATACGCCGAAGCCTAGACTACAGTATTAGGAGGATTTGGTGCTGCTAGCTGCATCTATGTGCGACTAGAGATCGATGTATTGGAAGACATGCCAGCTCATTCACTATATGGGAATAATGCGGATACGCTGGAACTTTAGTAATGACAAAAAGTAATGATTGATGCTTGAGAATGATAACGTGTGCAGTCACTGGGCTATTTGCTTATTCAACACTATTGGAAACCCTCCTGAACCCCTGAAAGCCACCCCCTGAAAACAACAAACTAGGGTCAGATTAAGCGAAGGTTAGCGTGTCAATTTCCCCTCTTTGACACGACACCTCGTGTTGTTCTCGCGTCCTCCTAAATAATCGCAGGTTTTCATAATTCGGATACTTCAACTTCACAGTCTTCAATCAACAACATCGCAATCATGGCGCCACCGAACTTCCCCAATGGCTTGGACCTCTATTCTATCGGTTTTGTCACCCTTAATTACCCAGAATTGGCTCCAGGAATCCCAGTCCCACTTGGCAATATCGTCGGTGCCCTTCAGCACCAACCTATGTCAGCACAGAACCACCAGGTTTCTCAGATTGCTTCTCAATATATCGATGCTTTAATTGCCTATCAAGTCAGCGACGAGCCATGTCTCAAAGACAAGTCTTCTCCTCAATAGTGAGTTTATCGAGCAATTGCAGTTCGGAAAAATGGTAATGTCTAGCCTTTAGCTACCTCTCGAATGCTCTCCTACTCCTCAACTATCTCACCAGCAATCCCGACGTCTGCAAGCGTATCGCCCAACACCCCACCCTCACTAACGACCTGATCGAGAAGATCATCTCTCCTGACTTCCACGATGGCATGCGAGATGTCGTCAGACCTGCTCTTGGCTCATTCCCCCCCGCCGGATTCGCAGAAGATTTCGGCAGCGTCCTTCAATTCCTATCGACTATGCTTCTTTACCAGGCTGAGATGCCATCTTTGCACCCACGGATCAAGGAAATAATCCCTAAGTTGAAGGAATGGAAGAAGGAATATAAGAATAGTCATGTCAAGACTATCAGGAACGTGTGTGACCGCATGGTGGGGCAGATCAATGGCATGGATCCGGAGATGATCACGATGATGCGGAAGTTTCAGGAGGAGGCTTTGGTATGTGGCGTGGCCTCTTGTGGTGTGAAGGGCGCGACTGGCTTGACGGTTTGCGCCTCTTGCAAGATCCAGCGGTATTGCGGACGGGATCACCAGAAGGCTGATTGGAAATATCACAAGCATATTTGCTCCAAGGGCCTGGTGGAACCTGGACAGTAGGTGCTAATAGCGTTCTTGGACCGAGGTTCTAGTTTGTACTGGCGCGGATGTGAGTATATGGAGTTGACGCCACTACAGTTCTGGCTGATTTATGTTTGAAGTTTTAGAGAAACTGTATAGTGATGTGACGGAAATTCGTTCTATCTCAATATGTGGAAAAGCGGGAGCTGGCTCGTTACATTTTGGGTAGCATCTTCTTCGTACAAACATTTTTCGGTTCCACATTTTGTCCCCGGCAGCATCCCTCAGCAAGGGCCAGTACTTTTGAACGTTTGATGGCACTACAAGGATTACATATTCATCTTTTTGCACATGCAGCCTAACAGTTCCGGTTAAGCCCTTGCAATTAGATACTGCTGCCTCCTTCTCCGGGTACCAGGCCACACTGTGGCATTGGAAATCTGAAGACAGCGACCCTTAGCTTTCTACTTTAAAACATAGTTGCCAATGGCACTTCAGAGGAGAATAAAGGTGGTCGCAATCAATGCTGTCTATTTATTGAAAGAATGTGAAAATGCAACGCAGCCCAATGCAGTACCAGTCCGCCCTCCCGTCCCAATGCTGTCCACCAACAAAATGCTATGCTAGCCCGCAATGCCAACAAATTCTAAAGACAAAATCAAAAACACAAAGCAACGTCCGCAATTTCACCCCCTTTCAAGCTCTGCCCAGTTGCAATTCCAGCTACTTGGAGCACTTAACAGCCGCAACAGTAACAGCCTTGCCTCCATTGAACTTGACACCACCCTTTCCAAATCTGCCACCAACTTTCTTGGTAGCAGCTTTGTCAGAATAAGCCTGACAAGTGACTCCATTCTGACCGTTCAAGTTGGCAATGAAGCCATCAGTGAATTGGCCCGAGATGAGCGTGATGGCGTTGTTGGTTGCTACTTCGCGCTGGACGGCGAGCTCAGAGAGGCCGTTGAGTTGGACTCGGACGGTGTTGGCGCGGGCTTCGATTGCAGCCTCTGGTTCGGCGATGGCAATGGGTTCTGGGGAGGCGGCTGGTGCGCCGAGGGTGAGAGCTGGGAGGAGGGCGAAGAAGGCGATGGTGAGAGTGGAGAATTGCATTTTTGGTGATTTGGTGAGTTGATTACTTGTTTTTGTTGTGAGTTGAGAGGAATTGAGGAAAGTGTTTTGATGGAGAAGTGATTGAGTGAGGTGTTGTAGTGTCTGTTTTATCGTTTGAAGTGCTGATGATGAACTGAATGGCTCTTCAACGGGACGAACCCATCATTTATATACTATCACCTCCAAAGCCGAGTCAAGAAACTATCGCACGATCCTCTATCGGCAGCTTCATCATCCGTCATGTGTCTCCAGAAATAACAGAGGCAAGCGAACAAGTAAACAATACAACAAAGAGGCCCGGCCCAGCCACGCATCCTCCACTGCCTCCCTCAAAATACAATCTCCATGTCATCCTTCCATCGTTGCAAGAATCACTACGACAGCCTTCATCAAGAACATACTTAAATTAACTCTCACTATACTTTCCCAAAATTATCAATATTAGGGCCCGCCAAACACAATTTCTCCCACCGTAAGCTGACGAAGATATAGTGTTCTTCCCTTCCTCCCGCTGCACAGAGCTCAGCAAAGACTTATGGCCAAAGTGATTCATAAGCAGCCAAGAAAATCATCTCCTGGGTCTCATTACTGGGTGTTTCGAGCGACGCGGATATTACCCAGATTCTATGATTCATAATAATAGCTAGGTGGGTAGATTAGCCGCTAGCCGCGGGGCGTGTTCGTTCTTGTGGACATGGACAGATATCTGGCTGGAGGTTATTTACGGTCAGCTTATTATTAGGTTGGGAGGTAGGTAGATTTCTTGGTAATTGGATGTTGGTGTATAAGCTTACCTGACCTGCATTGCATGCTTGCCGAGAAGGAGACGTGGATTATGAGGCTCGGCTTGCGACTGGGGTGTTGGATGCAGTGAATGAATGGATGGATAGATTGAGGATTATCTCATGTTCTGGAGGGATTCTGTTACTTTTCTGATGTGATTAGGAAACTGCAGGTCTGTTTGTAGTCAGAAAGCATATTTCAACGGCAGTTTGGTCGTTTCGTGGTATGGGCATGGCAACACCGTAAGCGATGTTCTTTCTTTCTTGGCGAGGGAAGAAGGATTCTATTACGAGTCGATGCAATGAATGTGTGTTCCTTCGTACAATCCGACCCGGCCGATCCATGGATAAAATTCCTTTGACCGCAGATAAGGACCACGATACATTGCATTGAGATTTGGTACAATCAATCGCTAGTATATGCAAGTTTTGTTGACATGTAATTGTTGGACGATGATACCAACAGCGAAGACCATAGCACGATTTGGTGTCCATCTAGGCAGATTGGAAGTATGGCAATGAGACTCGGTTGATTCGTGGCTTTGATTTCTGAAAATAAAGTCAAGGATGGGAAACGTTTGTGTGTCCTGATTTTGAAACCACAGGATCAGGCCTGGGTACCTGCAACCACCAACAAGACCTAGTCAATTCATTTACTCGTCATCACTGATCCTGTAGACCAGCTTCTGGCCACTGATTTTACCTTCCTTCATCTATTTGAAAGATATGTCAGCACAGCTTTATCCCGATATATTTCCAATTCACGCCCAGGGATGATGCCAACCCCAGTATCACCCCATGAGACTTAACCTCCAGCTTCAAGTGCGACAACGAAAGGGCATATTGGTAATACTGACCTCCATCATACCTCCAAGAATACCATCCAGTCCGCCGTCCCTTTTGCTAACCGGATGCGTCTTAATCCTTCCCTCCCTCAACAGCTTATCACAAAGCCCGACGAACTTCCTCGCCAGCAAATTGTCCTCTTTTGAAGCAGGCCACACCTCACCTTCCATGTCAAACTCCTCACCAGAGGCTGTGTAACCAAGAAAGAAGATGTTTTCAACTTCAGGACGAGACATAGGGACGGAGAGCAGGGTCACATAGAGGAGTTTGCCGGTCGGGGAGGTGGAGAGGGCTTGTGCGGAGATGGTGGATGAGGAGGGGATGGCGATGGTGTCAAAGACGAGGTGGAGAGTATTAGCTGTTAGGGAGTTGATTTTGGCGCCGACTTCTGGGTTGTGCTGTAGCTGGGTTAGCAAGTCGAGAACTGATTTGGAGGCTGTGAGGGGACCGACGTAGTCAAAGACGTGATCAGCACCGAGGCTTTTCACAAAATCAAAGTTTCGTGGAGATGCAGTGGTGATGACTGTAAGACCAGATCTACATCTCACCATTAGCCAAAAGCTCATATCAAGTAATAGTTCAAAGCAAACATTCTTCAACATACAATTTCGCGAACTGAATCGCAAGCGAGCCTGTGGCTGAGGATCCGCCATAAATCAAAATAAACGGGCCAGCAGTCTTTGATTCCACGGGATAAGTCAAGAACGGGAGCTCTAAGTGTCGATAGAAGCCCAATCCAACGGTTACGAGACCACAAGGTGTAGTGGCTGCATCTTCGAACGACATGTTAGGAGGAATGCGAAGCGTGAGATCGCCTTTCATGAGGATGTAATTGGCGAATGTGCCTGTGACTGGGTTGCGGTCGTTGGCTGTATCTCGATTAGTATTTATCACTGAGCATGGATGTACAGAGTTCAATCTCGTGGGAGGGAGTAACACCTCCATGAGAGAATCCAGCAACTCTGTCTCCTTTCTTGATATTCTTGATGACACTCTTCCCTACTTCGACGACGATACCAGCTGCATCGACACCGAGAAGCGAATGTGTAAAGGCCGGGGTTGGAGCTTCGTCAAGAGTTTGCCAATCAGTAGGATTTATAGCCACAGCTACTGTCTTGACCAAGATAGAATCATCCGGTACATCTGGGATGGGAATATCCGCTAATCGACTTTTGCCTTGAGCGATCTTGAGGAGCCCTTTGTTTGATGGAGCCATCTTAGGTAGGAATATAGGGAAGCTGAGTTAATGTTTATGATGGAAAGTCCTTGGGGACTGGAACTGGATTCAATTTTATATTCCGGAATTTTGACATTTGATTTCTAAAGCACGAGCGTCTTGGAAAGTGAGATGATACTTTATTGCGAAAGATGGTGGTCGTCTGCAGGGCGCCGAAATCGATTTCTAAGCCAGCAGCTTTTAGTTCTCGGCGTGCGATGTAAATGTACGAAATGACGCCCCTCTTGCATATCTCAGAGCGCGACTCGGGTTTAAGAAACCATTAGGGGTTATGAACCCTATTTGGGGTCGCCTCGGAGGGACGATTAGCCAATAGTATAATCATCGAATAAGAGGATGATGAAGCTGAAGCTTGAAGTCGAAATGCACCCTTTCTGGTGCTTTGACGCGCTGGCCTTGGCAGTACCCGCCACAATATGACGACCCAGTTTTCTTGTCGTCTTACTCCCAAATGTAGCCTCGGGGAAATGAGGGCAGAAGTAATGAGCATTTATCAAGCAAGCATATGTGGTCAGCTATCAGGAATATGCTGAGTGCTACTCTGCAAAAATGAGCGGAGGATGTCTTCGTATCATGTGACCATCATCATATGATGATGACTTCAGGAGATGCCATCACCATTTTCATTGCAAGCAGTTCTCTCCATTATACAGGAGTGTTTCAGGAAGCTGGCTTAAGGCCTCACTCTCGCCAGAAAAGTATGTGTTCTTCCGTTTGGGTGAGAATTCAATGATGGCGGACTTGACTTCTGTACGTACATTGACTGCTACGACATCAATATGATCCATCTGATAAGGCGAGAATGGGACACTGCAAGGACTTGTCTGACTGGTTAATATTGTCATTTCCTGTAAACAACCCAGAGATGATCGATCAAGATTCCAGCACCGCTGCTCAGTACTCACCAACAACGATATAAAGGTTGGCTTAGATCCACTGCCAGTACCCTTTTCCCTGCTGTCACATACGTAAATCAACCAAGTAGAACTACGAAATAACACCAAAAATAATTCAAAAGACAAATACCACGACGATGCAGCGATATGAGCATTCGCGATGCCATAACTTGATGTCAAATCAAGCATACACTACTCTCCCTAGCACTTGATGTGGGTCAAGGAGGACACTATCCGCATTCCTCCAATGGGGAATTGTACGTACTCCTGATTATTTTCCACGATTCGCGAATTCTACTTTTCTTTTCGTTTGGACAACATCCCTTGACAATTCAAGCTTGTCTGAAGCAACTGTGTGGTGCCTCGCCAGGTTTGAATGAGCCAGCGACTGGTATGGCCTGTCTTCCATTGTAGGTGGACTTCGCTAATTGAGAATAGGGAATGTTCTTCCGATGTTTTACGAAGATGGAACATTCATCCCATATTCAACTCATGGAGCCAACAGAATATTCGGATGCTGTTTTCAACACGCTTGTGTATACTGCCATCCTTCTGGTCAAAAGAAATCTTGGGCACTGGTCAGCCAGCAAGCACGGTCTTGGACTTGAGTACAACTTCAGAAGAGACATCTCCCATATGCGTTCAGCCACGACGGAACGAAATCTACTTCTGCGCGAGACGCTGAGCAAGCTTTGCTCCGATCAAAGGTCTCTCGCCATCCAAGCTGTACGAACGACAACACATCGAGGAGCTGGCTTTGGCTTTGACGAAAAAGAACGCTCAATTGGAATCACCGCAGGTCCCTCCAGACTCGTGCAAGCACAGCAGTCTCAACAAAAAGTTGAGGACGCGGTGTGTTCCGAACGTTACATGGAACGAATAGGCTGGTTTTCGCGCTGATCCCAACAGTCACGCTCGAACTCTCGGGACTGACCACACTGGCGGGCGGAATTGGAAAACTTTTCCCTGAAGCTGTGGACTACTACTGTGGTGAGAGGTGCGGGATGCGCAAGTCGAATAGCAGGCGGCGCGGCTTGCAGTTTTGCAACAGCGCGACACAAATGATGTTGCTGGTTGAACTCAAACGAGGCTTTGGCCACATTCAAGCGAAACTCACCCGTGATGAAACGACCGACCCCAGACAATGGAATGTTCAGGGGGGGGGGGAGGAGGGGAGGAGGGGGATGATGAGGGTCTGACAACCGAACAGAGCAGAGCAGAGCAGAGCAGAGCAGAGCAGAGCAGAACATAAAATCTCTCCGCTGCAAGAGAGGGTCGCGTTCTCGTGAACGAGCAGATAACCTTACTCACGATGCTTCAAATTATTCTCCAGCCATGCCTGCAGGTGTGGTGTACACAGCTGTCGATCTGGCACGAGTCAATCGCTCATCTCATGTCGCATGGAGGCTAATGCAGGCACTCGGCCATTTCATTTTCAAGCAGTCGGATTGGATTGGATTGGATTGGATTGTCGCTGTCCAGTGTCCACACTCCACACTCCACAGCGTCCAGCATGTCCAGCAATTTCGTGGCGCCCATGTCGGCCCGCGACGCGATTCGACGGTGCCTGGCCCCCAACGGCCCCCAACGGCCCCCAACGGCCCAGAGTAGCACTCCCGCCGCTCAACCCCGGCACCCGCAATCTCGAAAGTTGAAACACACCTGCAGTGCCGCACCCACCCCCGTCTCGCCCGTCTGTCACTCTTCTGATCTCTGCTCTCTGCTCTCTGCTCGCTCCCGCTGGATCATAACAGAGTTTTCCCCTTCCCTTCTTGCTCCTCCCGCCCCTTCAAATCTCCTCACGCCTCACCTTCGCTCAAAGCAGTCACTCTTTTTGGACAGAAAGCCAGCTTTTGCGCAGGGTTTCTTCCTCGTTCGCTTTGCTTGCTTGAGATTCGATTATCTGGATATTTTCTATCTCGAGGGACCGGTCAGCCCCTGCGACATTGCGACATTGCGACAGACCTGCTGTGCACTTCAAGCTCGTGTTTACCGCTTGCATCACATCGCATTCCACGCGCAATCGTCAACACTCCTTCAGGACTGATCAGATCAGACCGACGTCAATTATCTTCATACTCCCGATATCTTGCGCAACAGACTATGCATATGTTGTCCGACTTTTTTGGAAGAACACAGAATACCAGAGACTCGACATAAGGCGCGTAGCAGGACGATATATCGTGCTCTGACCACCAACACTTGTTCCACAAACAAAACAGATCTCAATCAAACACACTCGTTATCGAAACTGAAAGACACACATCGTTCAAGATGCTTCCAACCACACTACTAGCTCTGACAGCGAGCTTCATCGCGCCCATTCTCGCGGCCCCATCATGCACGCCAACATCAAACGGGTACGCTGCCCAGAAGATGGTGTACCTCTTCAACGATTTCTGCGAGAAGCTCACCCGGAGCAATTTCGGCACCAGGCAGAAGTACTATGACATGCCTGTCGTGGCATTGGGCTTTACTGCTGGATCCGTAGGGGATTGCTCGTTGAAGGACTGCTTGACGAGTTTCGGCTTGTTGGTGGATACTTGTAAGTAACATCCATAACCAACAAGCATATCAAGCGCGCATTGTGAAGACAAGAGTCTGGATCAGCAGTGGCGAGAAGAGAAGAGAAGGCTAATTTTCCTCAGGCCAGAAACCCGACAAGTCCATCTTCGGAACAGGCAACGTCGCAAGCAGCTGCGGAACCTACAGCTTCGAAGTCCAAGATACATCCGTGACGACCAGCCTTGGTGCGCCAGATGCAACCATCATTGCCGCCACAATCAAGACTTACAACGTCGCTACTCTAACTTCCAGCAGCGCATCCTCCACCTCTTCGTCCTCTCCAAGCTCCTACCAAGCGTCTACCACTAGCGAAGCCCAACTGGAATCTACTTATGCGCCATCCACACATGTGTACTTTAATGCTACGACTAGCTCCGAGGTCGCGAGCAACTCGAGTACCGAGTATTCGAGCGCTACGCTGACGGCTCCTTCGAGCTCAAATTTGGCCGCTGCTAGCTCGACAGCTACGAAGCCCGAGGTCGGGACTGCAACTCTGGGGACGAGTGGTGCCAATGTCATGAGGGTTAGTGGGTTGAGTTTGGTGGTTGTTGCTGGTGTGTTTGGTGTTTTCTTGTAGATGGTTTGAGGGTTGGGAGAGGCACAAGTAGACGGAGTATTGTGTAATGAGGGCTGCTTGAAGGAAGAGATGGGGAGGGATCGATCAGATGACCAATTGGACAATGGATCCGTTGCGCGCCTGGACTTTTGAACTTTGGGGACTTGGACCGAGGGAAATACTGGATACGTATCTCGGTGTCGATTCGTTCACAACACTTTCAACCAAGCTACGCCTTACGAGAGATGTCCTGTCTTACTTTCGCGCCCGGATTTTCTGCTTCTTTGCTCGCCTACATCAAGCCTCTCTTGCCCTTTCGCGCTATATTGGCGAAAGAGGCGCCGGCTCTGTTGTCGTCGGTGACGATGTTCTAGCAGCCAGTGTTTTGGGAGTGTTGCTCTTATTGTTGTGTTGGCGATTGATGGATGGTTTTATGCGTATAAGGAGGTTTGAAGGCCGACCTGGGGATGTTACTTTTTGATACCCCGATTTGATGAGATGAGATGACGATGATTTATTTAGTTTTTAAAGTAGTATAGCTATTTTAGTTTGTAATTAATTACCTTTTTGAAGAAGAGACGAGTGTATCATTCGTTACTTTTCAAGAGTTTAGACCCTGGTGCTAGGGACCTTTCTGTTATTGCTTTACATTCTGGCCTTTGTCTTTCTATTATCTCACATTGTCGCTCAGCTCTCATTTCTCGAGCACGCTTAGTCCCTGTTTTGGGCAAGGACAGCAATTCGATTGCTTTACCTCCTCACCTCTTCGCACCCATAGACCTATTGTCGCGACATCGTCATATCTCTATACACCTATCATCTTCTCAATTTAGCTCATCTCTTCACCTTCTACCTTTGTCACGCCGCTTATGAATTCGGCACTCACCTCGTCCCGGTTTCTTTATATGTATCCCGTCACATCCATCAGCTGTGCCCAACTTCAAGTTCACAGTATTGTCAGCCTCAAAGTGCAACTTCTCACTTCTCCCATCATCATTACCAATCCTTGCACAGTAATCGACTCACCTTGCCTGCTATAATACTTGCACGTCCGCTTGAGCTAATTTCTTTTTGTAAATCTGGCATTTGCTGATATGGATTGCAATCTCTGAAACACTGTTGATCACTTTCAGCGGCATTTGCAAAAATCAATTGTGGTTCACGGGACGCGATGAGAGAGGGAAGATCGTCACCAATTGCCAATTTCCCATCCACGAGACATCACTCACTATCAGACAGCCAAAACCTAACTTTTCCAATCGCCCAATACACGCCAGAAGCCTCCGTTACGGAGACATCTCCGCTTTGCTTCGAGTTCCTGTCCCTTTACTGAGATAGAGCAGATAGACTTCAAGAAGTTGCATGACATGGCTGATATTGCTCGCTGGTTTTCACCTTCTCCATACCACCAAGTAAGCATGAATCAGCGTTGCTGCAGCCCTTAGTAGCACACATGATTTCTCTCGTGTGATTTTCTCGTGCCTTTTGCCGATTGCTTTTTTTGAAGTAGAGTTTCATGAAGCTAATTTACTTGACGGGCAGTAGTGATTTTTCTTGCTACAGAACAGTATTTTCTTCTTCCTCTTCTTCAACAATAATCCGACTTGCTTTTGTTCAGCTTGCTGATTAATAAAGTTTGATGAAGGATTTCGCTTATTTGAGTTTTGAGTTTTTGGGGGGTTGAGTTTGGCTTGGGGAAGGTAATCGGGGATCATTTTTTGAGTTTGAGGCTATTGTACCGTGGCCCAATCAGATACAGATGATTTGATACATATTTCTGGCGCGCGGCAGCTGGGCAGAACCACAGCTCGGTTTTTGCTGATGAACCTCGCTTCCTGTTTTCTTGTTGTTTTTGCCAGTGCTTGCTTCGAGATTGGGGTCGAGAATGATCTGCAGAGGTCAATTGGGACTTCATGAAAGGTCACTGGTGGCCTGAGCAACTTCTACTTCATGATCTGAGATTGATTTTCGGATGTACACGGCAGGACGAGTACGAATCCATGGGTATCCAGGAGGGAAAGGTGATATGTGCGCGCCACATAAGAAACAGGATCGTGTTTGGGGACGGGAGGGTAGCATTGGCCGCCAGGAGAGTAGTAGTGAGTCGTAATCAGAGCGGGGGAAGACTTCACTATCTCTATCTCAGCCAGATTTGCATGTTTGCTTTTTCCCTCGTCTCACCTCGTTTTGAAATCTCGGGACAACACCAAGCGAGCAAGCATAAAAACCAAAATGGACGAAAGCGTAAGAAATATCGCAGGGGAGGGACGGATAGAGGTATGTTATCATGCAATATGCGCTGTGAAGCTTTCATTCTCTATCTAGGTAAGGTAGATGGTATATAAGCTTTTGGACCCTGAATCCAAGATAATTTTCCCCAAGAAGCTGATGACAAATGCTTTTATGCAGCAGATAGGCAGGCAAGTAAGCATGGACGCCATCTCGATAGAAAGTGATCATCGATGCAAAGGACGGAAAAGCAATAAAGACAAGAAAGGGTTCAGACATGCCACCGCCCGGATAACGCGAGAAACTACAATCCTAAATGAGACAATTGCATTTCCGAGGGCTGGGCTTGCCCCATTATCCCAACATCCGTTTTTCTCCAAAAATCTGCCGGAAAAACAAAATGCAGAGGATCCTATTGCAAAAGGGGACTTTTGATGGAGTCGGGAAACCACCCATCTCCCCCCACCCCACTTCCACTCCAACCATTAACCGCGTCCGTACTCCATCAATGCCAACCGACGCGGGGGATTCTCGATTTACTCAGGCACAGCTCATAACGCTAGCCAGCCAGCCCTACGCTGCATGCGGCGTGCACAATCCCAATCACATCACATCACAAGCTCTTCTCCAATGCAACCAGCTCCCTGAAGCCTTCTTTCCACTTTGCGCTTTCGCTGCTGCTGGGATGCGGTAACGGGCTGCGTGCATATCCGCCATAGCCCAGCCAGGACTCCATGCCAGCTTTCGTGCTCACAATACCACCCTGGATGGCGGTCCAATCCCCGCGGGCGACGACTTCCTGCAACTTCTGCGCTTCGGCTAGGCTGCCTTCTCGGTACAGACGCACGATTTCAATGCACGCCTTGGGCGCGATATTCGCCAGCCCAGCCAAGATTCCGTGACCACCGCCAATCAAGCTCTGCAGCGTGAAATCTGCACTTCCTCCCAGAACCAGGAATGGAGGCGTTGAAATGAGCGAGTGCGGCTTGGCTCCTTTGGTCGCCGCCACAATTCTGTTCAACTTGCCGGTATTGCCGCATGTCAGCTTGACACCGACGATGTTGGGATGCGCCGAAAGCTGGATGATGACGTCGGATGAGAGATCCATTCCAGACACTGCGCCGGGATAGTTGTAGATGACTAGCGGGATGGGCGACTTGTCTGCAACGGCATTGAAGAATTCGATGACGCTGGCCGATGCGGGGGAGAAGAGGGGTGCGTAGTACGACGGAGGCAGGATGAGTGCATAGTCGCCGCCAGCGGCGTATGCTTCACGACAGTATTGGATCGTTTCGCGCACCGACTGAGCACCGCAGCCTACAAGGACAGGAAGATGGGAGAACCCGGCTGCATTCAGGGCAGAACGTGTGGTTTGTGTCACGGTCTGGCGTTCAGAATGGGTGAGGTGGACGGCCTCGCCATTGGAGCCCTGTGTCGTGAGGCCGGTCACACCCGCTTGGGCAAGACGTACTGCATGCGTGCCAATGGTTGCGGTATCGAGGTCTTCGGTAACGGGATCGAAGAAGCAAACAGTCGGGACATAGACCCCGGGTACCAATGGACGGGACATATGGTCCTCGGTGTCGAGAGAAGTACTGCTGTACGACGAGCTGTACTGAGAGTCGTTTAATGGTGACTCGGAGTAAACACTATTGGTATTACTACTTGAGTTTCTTAGACCTGAGCCAGCACCAGGACAGAAGGACATGTTGAATGCTTGAGTGAAACTTCCTGCCGGTGAAGGAGCGTCGTTGTGAGGAGACATAATGTCTAAATATGGCGGGGGATATGGCGTATAAAGTAAGTGAATTCGTGTTGGTGTCTTGCTAAGGAAGAGTGGGCGGACTAGGAAGATAGTGCCAGCCGGTCCGAGTTGGGTGATGAGGCTTGAGCTAGCTCTTGATGAATCGGTGTTTGATGGAGAACGATGAAGATCCGCGTAGTAATAGAACGAAGAGGAGTAGTGAGGGGTCGGAGCTGATGAGGGGAGGAGGGGCCTTGGGGCGTATGTTTTAAGCGGGGATGAGACTGATGCCCTTTTTTCTGGGTCGACGACAGACGTCCATCGCTGGGATTAAGTATCATTTTGTTGTTCCTGGAGTGGCGCAAAGATTCAGGTCAACGGGTTGCCGATGTGGTGAAGCCGGCTATGGATACCAGAGCACTTGGAGCTGTTTTAGAACATGGTCTTTCTGTTAGTGTGGGGGTGGAGCTGCTACCCTGTTCCGGCGGTCATGGATGACCTTTACGCAGCGTAGGCCTCGTGGCAATTATCAACTCCCAGATCCAGGTCAGCCAGGATTCAACGGCCGGGCGGCCAACTCACTTTGCTGGTAATTTTGCAATGCAGCCAAGCTATGTCAATTGCTAGTGCTGGACGAAGCTGCTGCAGTGAGTGGACATGGAGACCAAATTGGTGAGTAACAAGTGTGGCCAGATTCGCTGGCTCACGTCAAAAAGTAGCAGCTGATCATCAGCAGCGTCGCGATTGACAGGTAATAAAGTGGTCTGAAGGAACAAGCTTGCTGGATACTTTACGGGCCAACAAGGAGGAGTAGAGAACTGTTTTGCATCATGGCTGCGGCATCTTATGAGGCGATCATCTGGTTAAGGCTTGACAGTTGGTGACAGTTGATGACCTCACTCCCCTTTTCTCAATGCATGCCCTTCAAGGCCAATGGGCACAATAATAGCAAAGTGCCCCTTTTCTTCCCGTGTGCATCGGGATGTCGGGGCTGTGATCTGTCTCTTTGCTTTTTCCCAGGCCTCTGGACGCGAGGCAGCAGTTGCATTGAGGGGTCCATGGCGTCTGCTGGTGGCCGCAAAAGCAAAAGAAAAGAGGCTCAAGGGCATATCAACTCATCTCATCTCATCTCACCGCGACAGCAAATCCAAATCCGCGCTCCACCACCAGCTGACATGACCGCCCGCTGCAGCTATGTCCGTACTTGGCCGAGCATAGCGGCATAGCGAATGGCAGGGCGGCAAAGGGAGCGGTCGTTCCTCGTGTTCAGCAAAGGTGTGGAGAGGAGTTGTGGGTTGTACTTGAATAGGCCGGAATCATTGGATAGAACGAGGAAGTGGAGCTGCTGAGAGTAGAGACAGGAGGAGAGATGTGCAGATGAGATGCAGTGCAGTGGGTGTAGTTGCAGAGTCAGTCGTAGTTGAGTTTCTGGCGAGGGTGGATTGTTCAAAGAGGTGAAAGGAAAGTATTCAGGTAAGAATGTGCTGTGCTGTGCTGTGCTGTGCTGTGCTGTGCTGTGGTGTCGTCTGACCCTGGATGACCAAATCAAATCGATTCGCGGGGTTGTGTATCCACGCCAGGGACGGCATACCCAGCCCAGCAGCCTACAGTAGCAGGCCCTGCCCAACTGGCCGCCCTGGCATTTCCAGCATCGCTCACAACCTCATCAAGCCGTCAACCAATCTTCACTTCACTATACTATACTACTGCATCATAACATTTTCCTGGCTTCCCTGCCTTGCCTCTCAGATCTCACTTGTGCACTACAACCTTCCCCTCAGTGGTAAGCGAGGTCTACAGTATCAACCTGCCCTTGTTGGGGCTTGACGGAGCCTCGAAGCCTGCTGATCATGCTGAACTGGCTTAGATAAGCCCAGCTTCTCCAGGGATACGACCCTTGGAACTTCACAGTCAAAAGATGCGTGGGGGTGGAGCCAATAACGGACATGAGCATCCTGGTGGCAGGCTCGCAAAGTATATTTTCACTAGGATGGGGCGAGGAACATATCAGGCGGGGAAGGCTGAGCAAGCCAAAGAAAAACGAATGCCAATAATATGAGGATCCATGAAACGAAATGTTCTTCTGTCGCGGGAGCTGAGCGTGCAACAATGGGCACCATCACAGCTAGCTCTGCAGTGCGGGGAGAGCGAACCACACTGGACGACTTTTACATAACTAACTTAACATGCAATTACTACTTACTACTGCAGCTGTAAGTTAGCGCACCATAACTTATGGAGTGGTTTGGTGTCCATCATGCCTCTCGTCATTGACCGGACGATACAATGCCATATTTATCACATCCAAAGTACGGAAGCACTTGTCGAAAAGGACCCGCCGACCAGGCAGAGAGGAGATTTCCCCACCTGGCCAATCTGGATCTGGAAATACAGCGAGCCAGTCAAGCACACCCCCATGACTTTTCCATCCCGCTTTGCGTCCAACCCTGCCCTCAAAGGGATGCTTCGAGGCAAGGAGATGCGCAAATTCTGCCACCCATGACTCTGGCCATTTCCCCAGGCTGTCGTGCGCCTTCAAACTCCACCGTGCAATGTCGTGGTAGGTACCGGACGAAGTACAGATCCGTCAATACTGGAGACGGGCATGCGGTATGCTGAGCTTAGAGGTCATTCGGCCCTTCAAAATTTATTCGGTGTGACGATAACATCCCCGGAAATGTTGTTCTTTTTCGGAATATTCAGCATGAGGGCAATCAAAATAACAGTGAATCAAAAGCCCGACGGACGTGGGGGTGTTGAGCGGTCAATAAATTTTGCCAACATATTCCTCACAACGGTCGTATCCTCTCTTGATCTGGACCTTCGAAGTTGAGTGTACAAAGCTTATAATGCGGTCCAAGAACCCTTCCAGATCGGCGGATGGCTGTCCTCACGCCAGAGAATCTTGAATCTTGTTACCAGAGGATGCAAGATCTATTGTTCCTGAAAGTCCCTCCCATGTGCTGCTGTACCCCCACGCAGCGATCCATCCCACGTTCATGGCCACCACTTGCTGGTCCGTCAACGTTGCCGACTTTTCTGGACTTTCAGACGCCTGGATTCCGAGGGACCGAGGGACCGAGCAGATTGGTGACATCTTGTCTTCTTTGCCTTATGAAGTCCAATACAATGGCGCATCTGGACGTCTTCATCGCAGGCCTGCCTTCATCACAGGCAGCAGCAGTGATAGATCGCTTGTGTGAAGTCAAATTAGCCTTTGCATGCCAAATGTTGAGCTTGGACTTATCCCGAGGCCAGACGTCATTAGGGAAGGCACTGGACTGGGTGTTCAAGGATTCTCGATAAGTAAAGTACCAGTATGGCTATTAAGAGCATGCTTTTGAGATGAGTTCGGAGGTTTGCTCCTCTTTCCTTCAATTTGACCGCTTACTGCGCGACGAAATCTAGGGCTCTGTGGTCACACTGGTGTCATGACACCCTCTTTGAGATGCTCTCTTTGGCATGTGCTCGTCTCTATATGCCAGTGGGGCTGTTGCAAGGCAGGGTCGAATCAGCTGCAGTCAATCATACTGTAGGTCTTTGCAAGGGCCTTGCCATGTAAAGACCCGCATGAGGGGCTTCTACCCCGCTGTCAGCCATTGCTCGCACCACCTCCCTCTTTCACACATCACCACTATGCTTGCAATCCCAGATTGGCTCTCGATCTGCAGGACATCTCCGACACTACATCTATTTCGAAGTTCTATGCGTTCATTGTTACCGTGTTTTCACTCGATGACTGCTGCTGAGCGAGGTCTAGAACTTTTGTTCGAAGATGACCATCTTTCGCAACTTTTGGCTTCAGCATATTCAGATGTTTGCCAACTCCATATACCCCGCACCAAGTTCGGAGAGTTATCCACTTTACATAACTCGAAGGATTTCTTTTGGTTGTAATTGACCATCCGGATTCCTTCCCTTGGTGCAGGAACACATCACCCTCATCTGCCTCAGATGTCTGGGCCGTGGCGTAAGGCGACCTCTTCTGTCCCCCATTTCTGCATCTCATATTCGTGGCCCTTTATAGGACTGATTTATCCGAAGGTGGCACGACATGCATGCTCGGGATGAAGCCCATGACTAGATTGTCAAGCCATCTGCACCTAGTACCACTTTTGGAATTTGTGGGGAAGCGTTAGCCACGAACTTCTCATGTGGACCTGCGTGGGGGTTAGTTTCTCTACTTTCTTGTATCGAGCATTCGCCGATTTCTTCCTCGCTGGGATCACACCTCGAGATACGAGCTTCTTGATTCAGCTTCAATCTCAGATACAGCTATGGGTTACTTCCCTGCCGAGTGAAAGGGAACTCCGACTGGCAGGGAAGAGCGGCTGGCACGGCATCGCTGGTGGACGAGCAGTCGCGACAATGAACGTGGACGTGTTTTGTGAGGAACGGATCCCGAGCCGTCGACAACGAAGCCAAGATATCCGAATTCCTAAAACAGCCCGTCGAGCTGACTTCGCCTCCACAAAGATTCACAGGACGGAAGAAATAGGTCTCGATTTTCCGTAACTTTATCACGACATTAGTGAGGGCTGTAATGACATTCTGGTGATGGCGATGCCGACAAGTTTGTTGAGATATCATCCATCACACGAGGTCAGTCGCTTTCAGCATTGGCTGTGCTTTTGTACTTGCCAGAGTCTTTGCTTACTGATCACTCCGAATCCTCGGCCTTTGCTCGTTATCCGCGCCACACGAACTTCTCTTTGCGAATGGTCGCATGTTTGTTGAGTGCAACCAGGGAATGCAGGGAGTTCAAAATGGTTACCGAGAAATCTCGCCACCCATCTCCCAACAACAACATCCATCCTTACAGCCGAGACTCCCTCCAGTTCACACCATCCGAATAAATCCCTGGTCACAAATCTCCCGATTTCTCCACGCCGCCAATTCTTATTACGTCTCGGTTTCGACTCCCTAAGATCTCATAATGAGATATCTTAAGTCAATAATTGAGTTTAGGGCTGCATACGAAGTACAACCATACAATTACGGTTATCAATGACGGTCTCTTCTGGGGCGTGCATGCATGGTGCAGAAAGTCAAATGCTGGCTATCATCGTCGATACGGACTGATCAGCATGTTTTGATAGCAGTTCAAACGAAGATGTGGGAAAGGAAAACTATGCTCCCTAGCGCATCTTCTGTTGTAATACAGATGTGCTATGTGTCAGGCGTGGGATATTTGCTAATAGGTACCGGTACTTTTCACATCGATTTGTATTGTTGCAGGGCGAAAAGAAATCGATTGGGGAAAAGTGATAAGTCAGGACGTGGGATGTGGACTGTGTATGCCCGGATTTGTGGCGTACTTATTTCCATGTTTGAATCATTTTCGGTACGTCTCTGCTGGTGCTGCTTCGCGGCCATTTCTTGTGTGATGTGGTGTAAGTGTTTCCGTGGGCTTAGGGAGATGCTACTTTTACCCGAGGCATTATTCCATTTATCTTCCTTTCTACACTTCGCATATACGTTACATAGTCTAGATTCTAACTTATCCTTGAATCGTCGAAGTCGACGATTGAATTCTTGGGGGTTCCTGCTCTTCCAGACATGCTGAATTTCATCGGCCTATTTTAGAGCATGTGTCCTTCAATTGCCTTGAGATAAGTCCGATGATAATGCATCATAAGATCTATACATTTCTCTTGGTTCTATCAATGAAACTTCAACAACTTGAAGAAGTCACAGCGTTGCTGTCAAAGAGCTATGGCGCTGGAGCCTGAGTCGATGCTCGTGGGCTCGAACGCCGCTACACTGAGAGTCTGCTGTTGAGTAAACATGGTCCAAGATCCTAATACTCTGACGGGTAAAGCTTGAGTTACTGTGATTCAAAGTTGTGGTTATTGCCGCTGATGCACTGCTCCAGCTTGATGGGCCATTCCGGTCTCTCGAGCCACTCATCCCGGGTCAAGCTCAGCGTTGATGATACTGCAAAGTAGATAGATGCCAGACTCTACAATCTTTTGAAATTTGTTTGTACTATCGCTCACTGATTAGGATTGTTCAATCGCATACTTGCTCTTTCTGGTGTGCATTGAATCGTTTTGGAAGAGATAAATGAAAAAGCTTTTTAATAGTATTGGCCTTTGCACAGTTTCACTCGAAGTCCGAGACGCAATTAATACAGCCATGAGCACTCAAACATCTCCTAGCGCTATATTCATCTCGACCACGTGAAGTCCACATGTTCCCTCAGAAGAAATGGGTTTGTAGCCGGAGGTCAACCTTAACTTCAACACTTGAGGAAATATCGAAGTCCTGCCAGGTTTGCAAGATCACAGAATACCATAAGGATATCATGATAACCAAAAAGGCCCCTCAAGCTGGGCGATGACACCCCGCATAGAACTGGACACCACAGCGAAGTAATGTAAACAAAGCTTGTGGCCGCGCTTTTTACTGCCACGCTATTCACCTAACTCGGTGGTCAAGTCGAGAATTTGAACGCTTTGTTCGTGCATGTCAAAAGCTCTAGTATATCATGTTCCACATACCTGTGTATTGATGCACATTTACGGTGTTGGAACCGAGTTGCCGAGATATCGTCCTGGGACACTCTTGAAACATTGGAAGTTAAAGGACGGATCTGAAAGAAAGCCTGGGGCTAGGTATAAAACATGACGGGGAGAGATGTGTCTCTGTGGTTGTCTTATTGTTGTATTCCTCAGAGCGACACTTTGGCAGTGAAGCCAAAGGAGGAACAAGGTTGGAAGAAAGGTAGGCAAACCCGATTTCTTGTCGTCCCAGGGCGATCAGCTAGCTAATAATATGATTGCTGATATGCCAGCTTCCGCTTGCTGAATATGCTTGTCCACTTCCACTTGCTTCTTCCTGCCTAGGCATTTTGTGTCATTGCGAGGAGACACCTGCAATTGAACACCAATATTGGTAGTGGGAAGGGACTGGATATGTTTTGAAGAGGTACGGACAAAGGATATGCACAGAGGAAGGCACTCTAGGGCAGACTAGGAGGATTAGGATGAAAGACCAAGACAGTAGAAGTGTTCAGAGACAACAGAAAATGCCAAGTACGAAGAATCGAGATACAGATATGGAAGAAGTCAAGGAGGTATGAAGGTGCGCGTAGGACGCAATGAGTAGAGGTAAGATAGAGATAATACCAAATAGATATACGAAGCTAGAGTCTCCTGTGTAGAACGCTATGAGATTCACATCGACACAGATTAGAGTGAATAGCAGACAGTGGCAAAATCGAAAGAGAGCAGGAAAAGTATTGTCGTGAAACTTATAATTAGGTCTTGTAAGTAACGTATCTCATTAAAAGTCATGCCATGCCTTGCCATGCATGCGTACCAATCAATCTCCCTTTGACAACCCAATAAATCGGCAGAAGGCAAGTAAAATGCCACTGCAATTCGAACTCCATTCCCAATGCACCGATTCCTTTATCCATGCCCATAATGCTTACACCGTGTGTCTTAGCACCCGCTAGCTTGATCGATCTAGCTCCCTTCTATTTACACTTGTCGATTCACGCCTTATCACAATAGAAGGCTTAGTTCGTCCAGCCCTGCCACCCGGCATTTTGTCTCCGCGTGCGGAAATAATCATATGACATGGGATCATTATCCTCTTCATGCTGTGGTAGATTACCATAGCCTTGTGGTCCACCACCCAGGAATCCAGGTGCTCTCCGTTCTTGGCTTGTATCTCTTACGTTCGAGTGACCCATTGCACCAGGAGTAGACACAGGCATTTCGCCAGCTCCGTGGACGAGATTGATCTCGCTGTCATGTCTCTGCCCATATACTGGGTTATAGCCGCTAGCCCCAATATCACCCTGAGCGTCGTATGACACGCCCGAGAATTTACGCCCGTTGTCTCCAACGACTGGAACATTGGGGAATGTTGGAGTTCCAGGCGTTCCAGGTCTGGAGTCACCGAACATGGTTGAGCTACCGGGTGTGTCGGAGCGGATAATGTCTTCTGCTCTTCCATAGATACCTCCCGATCCTCCATGGTCTTCCGCAAACTCGTGGCGGCCTTTGAAATAGGCGAAATCGAGCTTGTTCTCGGGTACCATTTCGAAACCGGGAACACCGCCGCCTGGTGCTTTCTTTCCCGTGTGGCCGGCTTGCATGGGATTCAGGGCGTAGGTGTCTGAGTATCCTGACACGGACGCTGATTCGCTGGAATTGAATGCGTTATTACCATCGGAAAGACGGCCACCATAGATTGATGCCAATTTGTTCTGAGCCTTTGCATGGACCATTGGCGTGATTAATGGTCTGTAAAGTGCGGGATGGCCAAATCGAGCTGCAAGTCGGTCTCTCTTGCCATCGAAAATCTTGGAGCGATCAGCTTCGGGATCCTTCAGTGCTGTACGAGATACGTAGTAGTGGATCTTGTCGTCGAAGGTCTTCTTGCAGAACCACTTGAAGGCAAGCATCAGGAATGGTAAGGGAATGACTGCGTATGCTTCCATACGAGCGCCATCTCCATGAACCCAAACCGAGAGGAACACAACCAAAGTTGACAGCATGGAAGCGAAGATCATTCTGTTGAAAAACATGCGCCAGAACATACCCCCGGATTCGGTCTTGGTGATAAAGATGTAAAGAAGCAGGTACTTCTTAAGATATACATCGAGCACGAAATAGAGAGCACATGCTGGGATGGCAAGAGGCTGGATTGTTGCGAAGCATAAGGTGACTGTGCTGTAGAACAGGAAGTAGTTGTAATATGACGCATAATCGAATGCAGGTGGAGCCGTCAATTCGATCATCTCTCGAGGAGTTGGGCTGGAGAACTTTCGGATACAGAAACTCCAAACCAAGGTCCATAACTGAGCCAGATCAACCGCGGCACCCAAGTTACGCTGGAGCAACCATGTGATCCAGAAGGGAGAAATGTTGCAGAGTGAAATAAACAGCGCCTGTGCAAAGTTGGCATCCTGGATTGCTTTCCAAGCATCAGTTCCATTATTGGTATTTTCGATCACAGTTGAAACGAAGGTCCAGACCGTACTGAACATGGAGAACACAATCAGGAAGTTGAATGTGAAAAAAGTATAGAGCTTGCCAGCGACATGGCGCTCTCGTGCAGTCTTCGTTCGGTCACCAGCTCGTATTGCAAAACGACGGAAGATGATTGGCAAAACCAGGTAGACCAAGGACGTGATAGCAGGTGACGCCACACCCTGTACGATAGCCCACCAACTCGTATGACGCTCAAGAGAGGTTTGGAAGGCAGGCCAGACATGGCCCAAATTAGCCAAACTAATGACGAAGATCGAGATCATTGCGTTGGGTGCGATCCAGGCGAGTGTCAGGAGAGTAACCCAGACATTGTTCATGATTCTTCGTGTTCGCCTTTGCGACTTAGACAAGGGCATGTTCTTCCAGATGATATCGTTTGGCCGTGGGGCCAAGACCAAAGTTGTGCCCTGAGGGTGCTTCTTCTTAGCTGCATAGGCAATGCTGTGAGCCTCATCAATGTCCTCGTAACTTGCGAAGCCATAGGACAGAGGATTCCGATTATCGACATGGAGACGGACTTCCTTGATCTCCAACTCCAACTGCTTTATCCGCTCTGTAAGATACTCAATTGCATCCACCTTTTGCCCTTTTGGGAATGTACCCCAGTTCGGATCGTCTTTTGAAGGCTTGCATTCTGGTCGGCGAGCTGGAATGTTATCTGGATTCTTAAGGTATTTCGCCAGGTAGCTTTCGAGGGATCGAACTGTTTTGCTGTGCTGCTCGATAAGATCGGGCAAGTCCTTCACATTTCGTGCAATTGCAGTTCTCGAGAATGAGGAGGTCGGTACCACTTGATCAATCAACCTTCCAATGCCTTCATCCGAGCGGAAATCCTTGGGAATATCGTTGATCTGATTCTATATTAGCAAAACATTCTTCCGAGCCTAACAGGTTATCTTACCATTAAAGTTCGGGCATGCAAACTGGCGCGGTACTCTGGACTATCATAATATTGTCGCCGTAATCTGAGAACTGCCCGGTAGTTCCACCATAAGAAACCAGCCATGATAATGTTGAAAATCCATGCACATATTGTCATGCCCCAGTTTGCATTTCCGAACGTATTCACGGGGGTCACTCTCGCAAGTGTCGTCGAATCCTTAAAAGCCTGTCCTTTGGCAAGGTTGACCGGGATCAGAATTCCACATCCAATAACGGTCATAACCAAAAATATGTTTCGACACATCAACAGGATCCGCAGGAAAACCACTGCATCCAGACCAATCAGGCCAATCAAGTCCTGCTCCTTTGTCTTCAAAATCGGCGCAACCCACGAGAACATGCCCTTTCCCAATGGTGGGGGAGCATGTCTATCATCTGCTACTTTGAGTTTCGGTGCGTATACGAGGGAATTGTAGGGTCGAAGGAGAGAGAATCCGACAGCGAGGAGAAGCGTGAAGCCAATGGAGGTACCCAAACTTGCGTAGACGGAATTTTGGGCAAGCTGAGGAAAAGTTAGCATGCAACTCGAAAGTCCAGGACTCGCAGACTGTACCTGGGCGGAAAAGGGATTTTTGAGGAGATCTAGGAGTTTCTGGGCTCCTGACTCCTCCTGCCTCCGAACGAGGGAATCGATGAATCTGAGAGCATCCATATTAAAAAGCGAGTGGCTATGACAGGCCAGAGGCCAGACAAATGTGTAGACTTGTGACCTTCTGCAGAAATTTCGTTCTGCCTTCTCGAGAAATGGATAGGGTTGGCGGCGAGCCGGGATTGATGACTGTAGGATTTCTTTGTTCGTGATTCACGGACCCGATATGGATCGAATCGAGATTTATGCTCCCTTGATTAGATATGGTCGGGACTCGGGAGGCGACAAGGATGCGGTGCAAGGTCACACGCGTGCCCCTCAACAAAGACAGCCTCGGATAGGGGAGGCGACTGAATACGGAAAAGAGAAAGGAAGAGAAGCAGGAAACGACAGGATACGGCGATGGTGATGGTGATGAAGAAGAGGAGAAAAAGTCTCTAGGAGAGGGAGAGAATTCAAGTTCACGGATCGGATCGGATCACAATCATAAAGAAAGCTCTGCACAGCATCGACGCCGTGGGCTGTTTATCTCGATTGGCTCGCAAAGCACGCAGAAGCACCAGCAAAGCTCAATGACGCTGGCCGCGCAGGCGATCGTTGTTGGAGTTGGAGTTGGAGTCTTGGACGGGCCCTGGCTTGGCGAGCTTGGTTAAGGTTTTCACTGCCAATGAGACCCAGCGAGAGCCGGAGAGACCAGGGCGACCAGGGCGACCAGGGCGACCGGGGCGACCCCCTTCCAGAAGTTCAGAACGCGAGCGGCTGTCCTGTCACTGGCTGAAGCCGCCCGTTCGGCGAAGACCGGTCCCTGTACAGTACGAAAGTAGTACCTACAGTAGGTACTAGGTAGGCTCAAGGCTCGGAGTAGGGTAGCTCGATTAGTGTGTCTCTATTTCGGGGACGGGGACCCTGCCTGCCTGCACGGGCTACACTGCACTGCACTGCACTGCACTGCACTGCACTGGGACCTGTGTGCTTGGCTGAGCTGGGCCGGCTTGGGTGGGTTGGACTTTTGGCGGGATGCATCTGCACCCACCGTTACAGCACAGTACTACAGTAAAGTTCAGTACAGTTTTTCTCTCTCGCTGCATTTCTTCACACCATCACGCTGACTGTTGGGAACGAATGGTACTTGGGTTTCGATACAGGTCTGATAGTGGTTGGTTGGTTGGTTGGTTCGCTGGCTGGCGAGCACTTTCTATGCAATGCAAGGCATTTATCCTTTTCCAAAGACGGGCATATTCTCGCTGCACTGAGACTCATCAGTGATGTTGTACTGTTTTCTGTTGATCCCACTGACTTGGCTTGGTTGCGACTTTCTATTTTCTGCCTCGTATTTCGGTGACTGACTGGGAGATTCTCCGGCTCCAGTCAACCCTGTTCGTCAAAAGCCACATCTAGGGCTGTGCAACAGAAAAGTGGAGGGGGACTCAGGGGAAACGACAATAAATGCATCATCAGCGGGGCAGGATCGCGCAGGAGCAGGATGGTTGAATCTGTTATCCGGGAGCGCCAAGGCCAGGTACAAGATACCCGGGTTTCTGACTTTGTCGCCCTTACCAGGTTTGGAGGTCATCCGAAAAGGTTCCATTGGTTTGTTGTTTTATTTAGCAAGAGCAAGCATTCAAGGACAAGCATGTCTAGGAATAGGTGAGCAAGTATATCCTCTAGGTTATGCTTCTCGCTTTTTTTTTTCTTTTGAGATCACTCTACTCCAGACTCAAGCGTTGTTTCGTCTGATGAGAAGTATTATTGTCTTATTTCCGTGCCTATAATCTTCGACGGAATATACAGCTCATTTCTTTGTGCCGTGACTTCAGCAATCTTTGTGTGATGCGTTCGCACATCGAGGAGGCACCTGCATGCTTGAATGTACCTTCCGGTGGTGTTGATCTAGGTGGAAGCGAAGCGGGTCAAAAGGCTTTCGTCAGTCGCCTGTCCTCGCTCTTGGAGCTCATCATCGGCGATGTCTCCGGAGTGTCATCTTGGGCGATGTGCTTTTGATATTATGTTTATCCCATATACCTTTCGCAGAATCGTCTTACTTAACTTACCTTACTGACGTCTTATCTTGAACAATATGTGTATGTTTTTCCAGCGGCTGGGTAGAGTTGCAGCCAGTCTTCTGCAACCAGCTTGTTATCAAAGCCTGTGCACCGTTAAATGATAGAATTCTTGTATTTTCACTACAATTTCGATATCATTGTATTCTATGTATCAGCAACGCTGGATTCTAGCCCTACAGAAGAGTCTATCAGAGTCTTACTGTGTGAAGTCTTCACGAGAGGGTTTCTCTTGTTGAACTGCGTAGCCGAAACAGTTCCAGGATGATATACAGGCAAAATGCCAGATTTCAAGATGACTTGGTCATCTTAGTGGACTTGCAGAGTCACTTCTGATATCTATACCCAGTATGGAGCTCGTTCTTTCAATGCTGAAATTCAAACCACATAAAAGAAGAGAGCAATCTCAAGTCCAATAATGCACTGATTTTAGATTTAGACATAGGAGTGTAAAGGAGAAAAGGTCGACATGTACTTGGTCGACAGGACCGTTGGGCATCCGGTCTTCATAGGGACAGTTTATGGCTAAAGCAGTTTGAAAATGTTGCGAGTTGAGGTGGGACTAATGGATATTAACGAAAGATGCTTCTCTCAAATAAGTCCTGGTTATGAGGTAATTTCTAATTGCGTGAAACAAAGATGTATCTAGATGAAGAACTTGACGGTGGTGGGATGGTGGAATACTCTTGTGACATGAATCATGGCTAATGTGCCATTGTAGGTCGGAAAGACGAGGTGTGTGGAATGACAGGTGTTGACTTATCGATTTCCTGGTCGTAGACGCCAAAAGCCAAATGTTCTACCTAGACGAAAGTGAGGAGGGCATTTTCCAATTGGCTCGTGACAAGATGCGCTGTGATTTCTGAAGTTATGCGTTCGTGGTGGGTTACCAGGCTTCGCATCCCAAGTCTTGTTGATCTATTGACACCCCTTTTCACCTCGCTTACGGACAAGCGAGTTGTATCAATCAAAAATTAATGACCAGATTAGGCTGATCTTCGAGCTTCGCCTTCTGTCTTCTAGAACAGCTTCGGCGACTCTCGACAGAAGTTACCCAGGCCATCAACGCGATTTGTCCCAGGTCCTGCGTCTGCAAGAACGGCTCCTCGACCGCGCAGCCTGCGGTGTACTCCTAGCATCTCGGAGGCTGTCGGTTGGCCGTCGCAAGTTTTTAACTCCGCCAGGAGAGTCTCACAAAAGTGCAATGTAAAGCAAAAGACATGCGAGACAAAAAGGCACTTTTGAATCCTTCATATCCTAGATGTCCTAGAAGCTATTGAATTCCTTGCCATTTTACGCGTCATTGAAAAGTCCGGTATATGCTTCTTTTTATTCCCAAGCCATCTATGCAACCCAACCTTCAACAATCATACTAAGCCAACGGACCATCAGCCGAATGACTTGGACGAGTCATATGTATCCAATGCAACGTACAACCATCCGCGTCCAATGTGAAAATGCAAGACAAGTTTCCTACACCGTCAAAACATGCATCCTCCATCTATGTACTCAAATATTTGCACTAGCCATCCTCTTCTCACCAATCATCTCTCTCCAACTCATAGAATAGCAAGTATACCTCTCTCTGCATGCCTAGAACATCACTCGTCTTACTCTCCTTGACCTTATCGTCGCTGATCCTCCACCAACGATTGCTATGCTTGCTTTTCCTCCTCTTCTGCGCCGCTGCAGCATCTGAATTCTCCTCTGTGCGGGATCCATTCTCTTGTGGCGTGGGTGACGGGGTGGATGAAGAAGAGTCTTTTGAGCGGGTGAGCTTGCTGGAGATTGCCGAGCGCGTGGAGCGTGCTATGGAGCGGATACTGGCTGTGTCCGAACCACGGGGAGCGGACGTTGGACCGAAGCTTTTGACAGTTGTAGATGTAGATATTGAGCCTGACGCTGAGCTCGATGCGCGGTCGTTGGGGCGGAGTATTTCTTCACCATTGACTTCACCATTGAGGTATGGTAACGAGGGAGAAGAAGAAGCAGCAGATGATGGTGAGAGTAATTCGGGAGTTGAAGACAGGGTGCTGATGTCTGTACCCGGCTCCTCTGGTTGTTGTGCAGCTCTTATCTGTGGTGTTGGCATCTGAGATATGTTGGGGGTGGGAGGCTTGCTATAAACACCTGCTGGCTGGAAGGTATTCGGCGTTGAGAAAGGAGCTGAAAGGGTCTGCCGCCGAAAAGATTCGTAGTGCCCGGAATGATGGCTGCCTTTGTGGCAGACAACACTTGAGAGTCTGTAGAAGTGCTGGTTCACAAGACCACCTAGCGGTAGCCTTTCCGGAAAGGAGACTTTTGCGGAGTTCTTCAAAGTAGATCGTCCAGCGTCGAAAATAGATCTGGAGAGATGGATAGCCATTACTTTCGGGAAATCGGTGATTCTTGTGTGCTTAGCGATCTTGCGCTTGGGTGCAAATTTTCTATCTGGCAAGTCCACGCCATTGAGTTCCTCTTCCGGATTGGTATCGATGGCGCGTTGGATCTTGTCGATTAGTATCTGTGTTTTGGCCTTGAATTTATCAGATGTAGACCTTGTGAGCTCTTGTTCATAGGTATCTATTGCGTGGATAAGTCGACATTTCTCACACTTGAAATCCTCGATATATTCGGTCTTGAACATCTGATCGAAGCAAGTACTAAGTGTTGTCGAGCTGACTTGCGGAACGCTCAGTGTGAGTGAGCAGAATGTGCTTTTACTTGGTGTTGGCTTGAAGCCACAAGTTAGACACTCGATCTGCGATTCGGAGCCGCCTTCCAATGGAAACCCTTCTTCCTTTTCCGGAGCCGCCTCACGTCTCTCTCCATTTTCGGATTGTGATACTGAGGCGCTTCCATTCTGTGAAGATGCTGAAGGTACCAAAATTTGAGGGGTACTCCGGGCTTCCGGATCATGCAACGAAATGCCCTCTAAATCCTGCTTTACAGAACCGTCCTCTAATTGATGGACATTCGCCTCACTTTGTGCCTGATATGCATGTTTCCTTGCTCTGTGTCCCGCGTGGTACTCATCACACAAACGTTCGGCTACAACTTGAAGAAATTCTTGCGCATCCTGCTGCTGCCGACTTATTCTTTGCTTGAACGACTGTTCCAGAACCACGACAAAGGGTCCTGCAGATATGGTCTTCTTGTATATGGGCCTCTCGTTCAAAGAATTGAGAATATCTTTCAAGCCCTTGGTAACTGCGCCAGCTTGCAACCCCTCTATTTTCCAGGCTGGCATATTTTTCCTCGCAGGATCCTCCACCAGGTGCGCATAGACTTCCGGTCCATCGAGTCTCCTCCTATGCGTCTCTCGAATAAGGTAAATCCGCAGATCTCCCAGTCCTGCCAGCGCTTGGAGGACTGAATTTATGAAGCAATCGTTTGCCGGGTTGGAAAGACCGACTATGGTCTTCTTGCGCGAGCTGGCATTACTGGTCGCGGACTCCCCGTCGATAAAAAAGGTCGGGGCAAAGACGTAGACAAGAGTGATGGCAGCCAGTGACGCTCCAGCAGCATAGCTTGCGATCTTGAGCGGCTGCTCCGGCATGACGAGAGGAATGATGGAAGAAGGAGGATGATGGTCCTGAAGGCCTGTTTAACACATCATCTCTATAATCTGGCTAGCACGCCGTAATCTCCGCTGGTCGTGTGTACGTTCTGAACAGAAGTTGAGGGGAGAATCAAAATCCAGGGTCCTTCCTAGGCTGGACTTGAATTGACCTCCACAGAGCAATTCCGAGCTACCGTACTCTCAGTGAACGGCCCGAAAGCAGGCTGCCAAAGAAACTTGGGGACGATGTTTATGCGAGTAAGACGGGACGGAATCAACTGAAGTCGGCTGGAATCTCAAAGGTCCAAGATCGTAGACAAAGGAAAGACTGAAGCAAAATGGATGCGAAGTGAATTGGGCTGGGTCTTGCTCTTTAGGTTGTAGCTGTGAATACCATGAATGGGTTGGGTGGATGTTTCTTCTCAAGAACCTCCAATGATGGATCGTCCTTCTTGCTCCATCTTCAGGCCATGCACCAATGCACCAATGCAGTCCGCAGCAGCAGTCTTCTGGGCCGTGGCCGTAGCCGTACCGTATCTACCTCGTCTACCTAATCGTCAATCGTAAACTCGGTGCTTGGCGTCTGGACACCGACATTTACAGTACGTATGCACCCCTAGCACTCATGCGCCAATCAGAAGCTTGAGAACGGACAGGTAAGTTATGGAGACATTTTTTCTGGAACACCTCGAAGCTGAAGGCATTCAAGGACAACGACGAGCTGCTGCACGCGTTTGTTCAACACCACATCCTTTTCAATGGCGTCGCCTTTGGTATCCAAAGCTCCGCAATGCATGTCTTGCATTCGACGCATGACGTCTAGCTTTGGGGATGCCTTTCACTTTCCAGCTAGACAGCAAGCTCGAGGCAAGAAGAAGCTTGCAAGCGCGAAGATCCAGACTGTCAAGGTCCATCTGCTTCAAAATATCCCTGGCTATGGCAGAAGAGGTAATTGAGATACTGTGTTGCCTTCTGCTCCTGAAACATTCACTGATTTGTACACAGGCGCTGTCATCCCTGTGACTTCAGGAGTAATGCGCAATATCTGGTATCCCAAGAAGATGGCGGAGTATTTGACCATGGAGAAGCTTCAGAACCTGGGGCTGAAGAAGGATTCTGTTGTGGAGCGAGACTCTACATTTCAGACCAGGGCAGTAAGGAAGCTGGAGAAGAAGCAGGAGAAGCAGACACAAGAACGACCGGAGGAGCCGATTGTCAGAATGACAGAAGAACAACCTAGCGAGCCAATTCCCCAGTTCGAGCTGGACCTACTCAGCGTAAGATATCATCTGGCTTGTCAGAGCTCAAGCACGACTTACTGACTCTGATATAGCCTGAACAAGCAACTACTATCCTCGAGAACCTCCTACCATCGAGTTTGGATTTCTACCGTACCCCTATCTCATTACCAACACCCAAGAGAGTATCTCCCTCTATACCTGCATCCTCAGCAATCTCTGCAGCAGCTGAAGGAAACAAGCCAGGGCCGGGCAGAACAGAGAAGCGGGGCATATATGGCTCTGTATCAACGAGTGACATTGCTGCCAATCTCAAAGCTATCCTAGCAGAGGACGAGGAAGGAATACGAGTCGTTCTATCCCACGAGAATATCTCCTTTGTGGAAGAGACGGAGGACAGAGACCGGGTCAAGCACCTCGGTGTTTTCGATATAGATATTAGACTCGAGGGAGCGCCAGAATCCGTACGGAGGACGATTCAAGTCAGTGCCCAGGATTGAAGATATGAGCACGGATGAACATTGTACAAATACCTAGCGAGGATGTAATGTTACGAAGATTGCACGTTTGGAGTTCCTGGAAACGACGGGAGAAATTGCAAAGGTAGGGTCCTAGGTTCTGAAGCGCTGATGACTTCCTAGAACCACATGGTTGGCGCAACAGGCGTGTCGTGCATCACTGATTCTCATACTCCTGTTCTCTCGAGTTGCCAAGTTACTACCTATGTTCCCTCTTGGCCAGACATGAAATCCAGAAATATACTTCAATGCTCAATCCGACCAGTTCAACATGGGGAAGACAACAGCGAGTGTGACTTCGACACAAGGCATGAACAATCCCTGGTCGGTACATGAATTTGGGGTTTGACAGCCTTAAGATAGGTTCGAGCAATACCATTCGACATCTTGCTCTGGCAAAAGCAAGCCATCAAGGGGAATTGCCCTATGAGAAACGAGTCCAGACAATTATCTGCAAGAACTCTCTTGAGTCCAGACTTTGCCCAGGTATCTGACTGGAGCAAACCTACTCCCTCATATCGGGCACACCGCTAGCTTCTGGCGTTGAGCCACATCTCGATAAGATGTGGAAGTGCAAGAAAGGAGAAACGGCTGAGATTTTAACACCTCAGCCGGCATCGGGCAGCTGGCAATAAAATGAAAGCCAGTAACACATGCATTCTGCCGGTCCACCCCGCCAATTCTCAGGCAATTATCACGGAATTCTCCAGCGACCTGGGAGTTAAGAAGATCTCACGAGAATGCTGCAAAACAATCTGTTATTCCGATTATTGAAGTTATCCACGGCAATGACAGCTGTAGTTGCTCGTCCTTCCGAATCTCGCCGGCAGCTCATCGGGCAGGGCATGGTAGGCGAGCCCATGACGCTACTACCCCTCCACTCGACTTCTCTACTCTAGTTTTCTCCTCAACCCCTCCCCTCTCTCCATCCGACCCTTTCTGCGTCTACGAATCAACAAAATTGCATTGCCAGAACACTTCACCCGGTATGTCAACCCCCAATTTTTTTTTTCATGAGGTGCACAGCAGATCTGCAACAAGAGGTCTGCAGACCTTTAGGATGCACAGCAAACCCAAAACACCCCCACCAAACCAGCTAGCTAGGTACCTGTCTATCTATCGGTCCTACAAAAAGCAACTTCTCCACCCCGATCCTCAACCTTTCTTCCCTCACATTTCAACTTCTGACTAACTCCTCGAACAGCAAACACACACCCACTGAACGAAACCCCCAATAACTACAGACAACCGCCATCATGGGTGCTCTCGATGTCCTCAGCCGCAAGTCCGGTGTAATTGTTGGTGACGATGTCCTCAAGCTCTTCAACTACGCGCAGGAGCACAACTTTGCTATCCCGGCCATTGTCAGTAGTCAGATCTTACTGGAACAAAACGGGCGCTAAATTATTCTGCAGAACTGCACCTCCTCCTCCACCGTGGTTGCTTCGCTCGAGGCTGCTCGCGATGCCAAATCGCCTATCATCCTCCAGATGTCCCAGGGTGGTGCCGCCTATTTCGCAGGAAAGGTACATATACAGTCGTTTTATTAGTTGTGTGGAAGAGGTTCTGACATGACTTATTAGGGTGTTGCCAATGGCAAGCAGGAGGCCTCCATCGCCGGTGGAATTGCTGCTGCTCACTACATCCGCTCCGTTGCTCCAGCCTACGGCATTCCAGTTATCTTGCACACCGACCACTGCGCCAAGAAGCTTCTCCCATGGTTGGATGGTCTTATGGATGCCGACGAGAAGTACTTTAAGGAGCACGGCGAGCCTCTGTTCTCCAGCCACATGATTGACTTGAGCGAGGAGGAGGTTGACTGGAACATTAAGACCACTGCAGAGTACCTTAAGCGTGCTGCCCCAATGAAGCAATGGCTCGAGATGGTGAGTTTGGGATATTTCCGGGCTGTGGTAGGAGTTGTCTAATGCGATACCAGGAAATCGGCATCACCGGTGGTGAGGAGGATGGTGTCAACAATGAGGATGTCGACAACAACTCTCTTTACACCCAGCCAGAGGATATCCTTGCCATCTACAAGGCCCTCTCCCCTATCTCTCCATACTTCTCCATTGCCGCTGGTTTCGGGAACGTTCACGGGTAGGTGCATCATATGACTGTTCCTGTTTTGCCTGGGGTACCAGGGAGGGTGAAGCATAAGTGCTAACCGAATTTTCAGTGTCTACAAGCCCGGAAACGTCAAGTTGCACCCAGAGCTCCTCGGCAAGCACCAGAAGTATGTAAAGGACGCTATTGGAGCCAAGGAGGACAAGCCAGTCTTCTTGGTCTTCCACGGTGGATCTGGATCTACCAAGCAGGAGTTCTTGGATGCCATTAGCTATGGTGTCGTCAAGGTCAACCTTGACACGGATCTCCAATATGCCTACCTTACCGGTATCAGAGACTGTGAGTTGATCCAATCTGTGTTTCCTCCTAGCAATGTATCTTTTTTACAACATGGATGTGCGATTGCTTGTAATGAACACTTACTGACTGCGAAATCAATCTAGACGTTTTGAACAAGAAGGACTACTTGATGACCCAAGTCGGCAACCCTGATGGAGAGGATAAGCCAAACAAGAAGTACTTCGATCCCCGTAAGTTCTACTGGTCTTTCTCACGTTGCAATTGCTGATAGCATTCAGGTGTCTGGGTTCGTGAGGGAGAGAAGACCATGTCTACCCGTGTTGCTGAGGGACTCAAGGACTTCAACACCGCTGGTCAACTATAGCTTCTTTACACGGTTGATGGTTGAACTTTTTGCGTTGTGAATGGATTAAGGATAAGTCTGGTGTTGACTAGGGTTTGGGAATGAGATTGCATTGCCTGAAAATGGCGTAGTATAGTTGAATGAATCAGAATGCCGAAATGTACCAACCTGGAGACTTCAGAATGCTGTCAATTTTCAATCTTTTGTGACTTGGCATGCTGAATGGGAAAACACAGTTAAGCGTTGCAAGTGCAATAGGCGAGTGCAGCGGATTGAGTGAGGATTTTCGACTTTACCAGTAGTAAAAGTGCACCAATCAGTAGGAGCAAGCCCTGGAGCATGTGGTGGTGGCTGTGTTGATTCGCCATGACGACAGCAATCGTGGGGCAACAAGAACCCCTGCTAACCTGTTCTGAGCAGATTAAGCTGGAGACCAGCAAGCACCAGCACCAGCTTCAATTCGGTCTGCCCATTCCCCATTCCCCCACGTCACCGCTACAGTACAAAACCTTTCACCGGATACTCTGTTTGAAAATAGAAGTTTTTACCAACAGCATCGAGCGATCAATACCACATTTCTGCTCGAAAGAGTCTACTCATCTGCCACCCATCGACCTTACAAACCCCTCATCAAGGAACAAATCCAGCTATGTCTTCCAGCGAGAAAGAAGGAGGCGGCGTTTCTGCCCAGAACAAGGGGTCTTGGAGTGCTTTCCTCAAGTCGATTGCCTCGTTCTCAGGAGATCTGTCGTCTCTGACAGCTCCACCATTTATCCTCTCCTCAACTTCGTTGGTCGAGTTCTCCTCATACTGGGCAGAGCACCCAGCGCTTTTTATTGCACCTGCGAAAGAGCAGGATCCCCAGAAGCGCGCGCTTCTGGTACTGAAATGGTTCTTATCTACGCTTAAGCAGCAGTATGCCAGTCGTAGTGAAAAGTTTGGAAATGAGAAGAAGCCCTTGAATCCTTTCCTGGGAGAGCTGTTCTTGGGCAAGTGGGAAGATGCATCAGGTACAACAGAGTTGGTATCAGAGCAAGTCAGGTATGATATATGACATCTACCAATCACTTAGGAGGCGAAGTTGCTAATCATGTACTGTAGCCACCACCCTCCCGTCACCGCATACCGTATCGCAAATAAGCAGCACGGCGTATACCTGGAAGGCTACAATGCGCAAAAGGCGTCATTCGCCCGCACAATCTACGTCAAGCAAATCGGACATGCAGTCTTCACGATACCAGCTTTCAACGAGACCTACCTGATCACCCTACCAAACCTGCACATCGAAGGTCTCATTTTTGGCGCACCATTCGTGGAGTTGAATGACAAGACATACATTACCAGCAGTTCAGGCTATACTGCCAAGATTGATTACAGTGGCAAGGGCTGGTTGTCAGGCAAGAAGAATAGCTTCACAGCGACTTTATACCCTACTGGTAAGGAGAAGGATGTTATTTACACTGCGACTGGACAGTGGACAAAGTCGTTCGAGATCACGGAAGGAAAGAAGCAGGTTGTCGATACGTACAATGCCGAGGCTTCTCCCACCACCCCCCTCACTATTGCCCCAATCGAGGCGCAAGACCCCATGGAGTCTCGAAGAGCATGGCAAAAGGTCGCAGCTGGTATCGCTGTAGGAGACATGGACGCCACTGGAGTTGAGAAGACAACAATTGAAGAGAGCCAGAGAGAATTGAGACGCCAAGAAGCCGCCGAGGGACGGCAGTGGGAGAGACGCTATTTCAAGAAGCTCGACACAGATCCCATCTTGGAGAAATTAGGCCCACAGATCGGTGTCTTGCCAGAAGCTGACAAGACGGGAGGGATTTGGAGGTTTGATGAGGAGAAGGCGAATGCATTGGCCACGAAGACTTCGAGTGCTGCGCCGGCGAAGGAGCTGTAGACATCGTGGGGGTGAAAGACGGGATGAGTTGAGAAAGCCATTGGCTCGTTGGCGCAGTGGAGCAAACTTTTGGAAATGGGACTGTTTTGTTCTACGCGAAATACATTGTACTAATAGATAATCGGCAAGCATAGGTAATAGAATGTGCAATTGCGATTCTTTTCACGCTACCATCTCGCCTCATTCTAGTGAAATTGCAGGGCCTCAAAATAGGATACCCAGTCAAAGTATCACACGCCATATCAGCGACATCCATACCTTCGACAACCTACTGAGAGCACGAAAACCCACGATATCTGCGTTGGTCCCTTGTTTGAGAAGCCACTTGCAAATGTGAATATCTCGTTCCGCTGACTTTGGTATTGCGAGACTTTACAGTTGAGACGCTACTCGCTGCAGTTCTTTGTTTACTAGTACAATAGCAACACTTCCATACCGTAGAAGAGGCGGTGAATAGATAACGCTTTCATGTGGAAGTTGAGTCTTGTATTATCGCCGGCTCACATATATTCATCTTCTGGTCTCTTCATCCGCCTATTCTGCAAGAAAATATATCTTCTGGCCCTGTTTGGCATCGTGAATCCACATCAAATGCTCTGCCCATCTCGTTGTCGCATGTCAGCTCTTGTCCTTAATATGTCCTATTGAAGATCTCTTGGCCTGTGTACTTGGTAATTCTGAAGGCAGAAACTGGTTTCAACTTCTGAGGGACAAGTTATGATATTGACTTCTCCATTTCCCTGGATACAGACGCAATGCTGCATGCGCTCTATGCGTTCTATGCACTGTATTGTCGTCCTCTATCTTTCATATGAGACTCCAATATTGTCAGCTCTGCCTCCCGCTGAATGCCGCTCAAGACAAGCACAAACTACAGGTCTGATAAATAAGTAGCACGTTTTTCCAGATACAGCATAGCTATCTTACAGCACTAGCTCGCAAAGAGTATTTAGCTTGAAACCGGACCATATCCAACCTGTTGGGGCTGGAAAATCGGAAGTGTACACTGTAAATACGATTAACGAGGCGTGGACCAAACATGCCCACAGCTGGTGTTATCGTACATTCGAGCTCAGCTTTTTTCGACAAGGAGAGTAACCCAATTTTGATTACATCTATAATCAACCATAGAAATTTGGAATGTCAAATATAACCAAACAACAATGAACTTATATGGATCACAGTTCAGAGGAGAGAGTTGCAGTTCAAGTGTTTCATTTGTTGAGCACGAGTTATTCACTTCAAAGTGACTCAACGGGTATCTATGCTTGAGAACGCCGTATCCGTGCTATGCCAAATCGCTATACCCACAACCATATCCTTGCCCAAGTCCATGCCCAGTTCCATCGAGTCCGAGTTTTTCACTTCAAAATGATTCAACGGGTAGCTGTGCTAGACAGCACTGTATACAAACGCCATATAAATCCCCAATCCAATGCCGTGCTCTGTATCCAAGTTCTTCTCTTGTACTCCATTGCGGTATAGTCCTGCTCTTTACTCATAATTCGATCCAAAACAATCATGCTCTGCTGAAAACTCCAAATGTAATCGTGACGACCGCAATATCATCCCATAAACGCCAGGCTGTGCTGATAACTCCCATGTAATCGTCCGATTTTAAACTTCCAAAGCCGCATTTCTGTGCTTAAAAGTCTCAGTTTTGAACAATCCGACCATGACAACATCCGCCAAGCACAACGCTTTGTTGCAAACTCCCCATAAAATCGTTCGTAATCCTGAATCAGCATGACTCCTTAATACTGTATCCTGTCACTCATAATACCTGGATCCATACGTGCAACGAGGCCGACAGGCCCACTCCTTCCTTGCCACCAGTCATTAGCCCCCATACGTGCTGTTCTTGGATGCACTGGTCTGAATCGAGTTCCGTATGGATCAAGGTAGCCATCGACCAAGTCCCTGAAGGCATACCATGAGTAAGAGAAAATATTGAAGGTCCATTCGTTCAACTTCGTAGTGAGACAGTGGCCGAAGAATGGATCGTGCGGATGCCAGTTGTCCTTCTTAGAAGCCGTGCGGCGGCCATAGATTCCCCACAGCAGCCACTCGAGCAGGAACAGGGTGAAGAGAATGGCACAGACGACTCCAATCCATCTGTTCAATGCGAAGGCCGCGAAGCGTCCTTGAGTGCGGTTTTCCTCGAATGCTATGTCATGAATGGTTTTTGGGACATTGGGAGTCTCAATCAGTCGTCCCAGGCCCTCTTTCACGTCTCGAATCCCATGTTTGACATGATCCAGCTTAGTCATCTGGGCGTAGTATTTCTCGCAACAGGTCGGGTTATGTTCCTGGGTGGATAGAGCACTCTCAAAAGCATCCAGGGTACTGTCCCGCTCCGCCTTTAATTCCAGCCTCTCTGGCGCGGTATCCGCCAAATTCAACGTTCTCTCCACTTTGGGTGGGACGGAAATCTTAGGAACTTTCTCTGGCCCAGTATTCGCCAAGTCCAATGTACTCTCCTTTTTTGGTGGCCTGGAAAATTGAGGAAACTTTTTGGTCGCTGTTTCCGCTAGATCCAATCTCCTCTCCACTTTCGGTGATAGCGAAATCTTTGGAATCTTAGGAGCCCTCTCAGGTGTAATAGCCGCTATGTCCAGTATACTCTCCACTTTTGGAGACATCGAAATCCTCGATAGCTTCCGTAGGGTATTCCTATCCTCGTCATCTTCCTCCTCTGCCTCCTCTGCCTCATCTTCGTCCTCCTCTTCACCCTCCTCAGGCCAGCATCTATTCGCCGCCATCAATCTTGAATTATCCGTCTTTCCAAAGTACTCAGCCAGTTCTACAAAATTCATCTTCCGCTTCGGTACTGCGCGTGTGAAGATCCGGATCCTGGGACTGGTCGACATGGATATCTCAGAGGGGTGGGTGAAGTCTTCGTCAACGTCCCATCCGCTTTCCTCATTTGGCGCACTATCCTCTTTCGGTACGCGTTTCTCCTGTACTGGGATATCCTCTGGCAGTATGGTCTCCTCTTGATGTATGCTTTCCTCGTGTCGTAGAACTTCCCCGTATCTTATGCTCTCTCTGTGTCGCAGGTTGTCGTTGTATCCGGCACTTTGCTCATAACGTACAGTTTCCTGCTTTGGTTGTTCGAACTTGGGTGGAAGCATCCATGCAGGTGGAATATATGGGTCTCTTGCTTGTGCTTCCCTGAAGAAATCGGCGGTAGTCTTCAATCCCTTGGGCCTGTTGTTCAACCAACCGCGGTTAGGACGCGTTGGCCATGCCTCCATGGTTGCCATTGCGGATTGTGATTGCAAAAGACGGGCGGGTTCCAGTGCAAGTGCAAGTGCGAAGGTGAGGAGGGTTGTGGCTGCTGTTGTTGTTTGAGATTGCCAGTCTGAGCGTCAAACTGAAATTGAAATTGAGTTGCTGAGTTGTTTTTGTATTGCGATGGTTGTGATTGCTGTCTGAAGAGGATGGGAAGTCGCGTTGCGCGAGACGCGTATGAATATGAGCTCGGCTTCTTAGTCAGCAAGATCAAGCGGCTCAACAGATCGTCTGCACTAAGCCTGAACCTTACCGAGCTTACCTACCTATACCTTAGGTCCACTATCTGCACCGGCCCAGCGAGGCTCGGTGTTCCCATTGGCTACTCGGAACTATCCGATCAACTCACCAGTCGAGGACCACGGGGACCAACCACGACTCTTCGAACTGTCCAATGTCATTGCTCAATAGTCGTTCGCATTGGTCGGTTTCTGTTGATCACACGACCACAAAGCCCAGATCAAGCTCAACGCTCCACTCTGGACTTACTTGCGATAGTGCACTATTCTTGAAATGAATCATCTAGTAAGTTGGAAATCCACAGAATCTGTTGTAGGCGTGCTTGGACCGCAGAACTTCTTTTACAGGGCTTCTCATCATGAGACTGTAAGTCATGGCTACAATCTACACTCTGTTCAATGTGACATATCCAACCTCAATCGAACCAACTCAAGTTCATTCTCGGCAACTCGGTATCGCATTCACCATCTCGCTGGGGACCACAGTGCTTGCTTGGGTGGACGTTTCAATTTATAAAAGTCAACAAAGCAACACTTGATGACGTTCTCAACACCAGAGCTTGTTGACGGGGATGATCTTTTCCACGGGGAGACTCTGGAGCAAGCCAATTCTTCTCAGTGATTTACTGCTGAGTCTGATGCCTGCTAACAAGAGATACGGTGACAGAAACTAAGCTTCGTCAAGTGCATGTACGATTGCGAGGGCGAACTTGGACGATATATGATGTTTTTCAGCCTTGATCATGATGATGCCAATCTCAGTTAAATTCTCTCTCTTCGCTACCTACCAAGCTTGGGAAGCTGTTGGCAGATAGAGAATGCTGTCGTCTTCCAAGGAGAGCTCTTATTTCTGGAGACCATATCAGAAACACGAGAATTTAGCATTTTGCTTAATTGCTTGCTCCAAGCCGCATCGCGACTGTCACCGAGGTTGTGTCACTCACGTACCTTAAGAAGAGCCGCAGGCAGTACATCAGAAATGTCACACTCAGCAGAAGACACGATGAGACTGTCTCAGATCAACTTCATTCCAATCGATTTTAATTGACCTATCCATCCAGATCATGTTACGCAGATAGATAAGAAGTATGCATTGCTTTTGGTACCATTGTTATGGACTCGAATTCGCAATTTGCCCTCCCCATCCATTCAATCCGTCCATTCCCCCAAAGCAGTAACAGAGCAGCCCATAAGAGGCGAGTTGGTTTGTTTGGACAGACGAAAAGTGATGACATAGAAAGGAGAATGTGGTTTTGATAGAAAACTATTTGAAAACAGTGTGGTGGTTGCATCATACAGTGTGCCTGCCTTGCTAGTGGTCTTGAAGAGACCCTAAGCATCCAGCCGCCTGCAACCGCAGTAAAAAGAGAAAGACTTCGCATAGTTCCAGAGAAACAATTACAGATCGCCCAGTGATGACCAAGTTTCATTTGACTTTCTTTCCCCGTTCCCAGTTTCCCAGTTCGCACAAAACGAGCAGAAATGCAGCAGAAAAACGAATAAGGAGAAAAACGAAGTTGATTGTAGTAGTAACACAGGTTTGGTAAATATTACAACCCCAGCAATTGAACGAGGCGGCAACATCGTACCAAAGGACGTGCAGCTACAAATGTGGCCAATTAGTGTCCGTAGTTGCCGCCCCATCCACCGCGCTGTTGGCTATTGCCATAGTTTCCATAGTTGCCGCTGAAAGCTTGGTAGCCTCCGTACTGGCTGTTTTGATGACCCTGTCCACCTGCCTGGTGACCGGTTCCTCCAAGACCTCCATATCCACTGCCAGTCTGGTTGGCGTGAAGACCTTGCCCGGGTTGTTGGAGATGAGCTGGGTATCCGCCATAACCTGCCTGAGTTTGACTTGGAGGAAGGCTTGATCCGGAGCTGGCGTTTGTTGCAGATCCTGGTCGTCCAGCCTGGAGTGAAGGGCTTGGGCCGTTGGAAGTCTTCGAATCCCCAAACGGCTTCAGATCATCACTGGCACTTGGTTGGGCGCCCTGTTGGCTGTTGTAGTGCTGTTGTCCCTGACCTTGGTAGGAAGAACCCCTGCCGAATGCATCATGTCCACCGAAAGCTCCACTGCCACCAAGTGCTTGCGGAGTTTGGGACGCTTGAGCTGATCCAGCACGGCCATATTCAGAAAGACCTCCAAGGGCACTGTCACGGCCATGAAGCGAAGAAGCTCCGAAGCCACCTGCAGCTGGAGATGCAGTGTGCTCGTATGGAGCAGCAGGAGACATTCCATAGCCTTGATATGGTTGGTGGCCGCCTTTTGCGCCATATGGTCCGCCAGGGTAGTTACCGCCGTAGCCCTGTTGGTATTGGTTCCAAGCAGCGGCAGCGTAGTATGGACTCTGGTAGTAAGGATGACCGTATGGGTAGTTACCCACCTGTGGCTGTTGCTGATGGCCTGGTTGAGGTTGAGCGCCTTGGGAAGCAGCTGGTTGTTGGTTCTGGGCAACTGGGTTTGGAGTGGTGTGGCCGCTGTTTTGACCCTCACCGGCAGTTGCATAGCGAGACTGGGTCGTTTGTGCAGCGCTCTGGGGGAACTGCGTGGAATTTTCAGCTTGTGGACCATTGTATCCTGGATAGCCACGTTGCTGAGAGGCAGGACCATCTTGGCCTTGAGATCCTTGCTGCTGGCCGTACTGTTGCTGGTAGTAGCTATTGTAGGCATTGCGTTGCTGCTGAGGATCAGCAGTATAGTACGAGGAGAACTCATTGGGAGCCGAGGAGAAAGCCCCAGATGGTGGCTGAGACTGAGATTGAGATGGTTGAGATGGGTAGCCTTCGAAAGGACTTTGGGCCGATGGAGCTTGCTGGTTGAATGCGTCATAAGGCTTTGGAGGCAAGGAAGACTCTTGTGTGCCAGCCTGGCCATATCGACCATACTGACTGTACTGGGCATTTCCTTGAGGTCCTTGTTGAGCCGTAGCTTGAGCGCTTTGATGAGGAGCAGGGGATGGAAGACCTGGTGCAGCGGTTGGGTGGGTAGCTGCTGGTAAGCCGGCTGGCTGCTTTGGGGTCGGGACGCTCTCGGGAACCGTAGCTGGCTGAGGAGGGGCAGGGGGGAGAGTAGCTCTTGGGGCTACTGGAGAGTGTTGTGGTGGTTGAGCTCTGGTCTCGGCCTCCTCGCGATCTCCATCAACATCGTCCTCGCCGGAACCATTCAAGTTGAATGCCCCAAATTGGACAGCAGTTCGCTCAACCTCACGATTTCCTGGCATGCGGACAGCTTCCTCTTGATCAAGGACTCGTCGCTGATAGCTGGGAGTTCGTCCAGATGATCCTGTTGCCTTCAATGCAGAAGCTTGGAAACCACTAGTTGGAGGACGGATGGCTTGTGGGGTTGATTGTAGGTTTGAGTATGGAGTGGCTGCCGCACTTCGTGGATCCCAGCTACCTTTAGTGCTGGCTACAGTTGCAGTAGGGGCAGGGGCCGAAGAGTCTGGGAGCTGTTCAAGATTATCCTCTGTCAACTTATCTCCTGATGGTGGAATTTGTACCTCTGGCTCCGGCGCAAGAGGTTCTTCGACAGGGGTAGATTCCACAGGCTCAACTGAGGCAGGTTCTTCGATCGACGGTTCAGGTTCTGGTACAGGGGCTTCGACAGGTTCTTCGACTTTGGCAGGTTCGGCAGTCCTTGGAGCATGGTTAGCAGAAGACTAAAGGAATGGAGGGACAACACACTTCTCAACGACTGGCTCTGGTGCCTTCTTTGGGGTTGGAGCAGGTGCAAAAATGCTCGCCCAGCTCTTCTTGACACCGTCTGGAATGACGCTCGATGTCACCTTCGCAGCTGCTGTGGCAGTTGCAGCCGCAGCTCCAGTCGCGGTTGAGCTCCAACTATCCTGTGCCGGCTTTGTGGTATCCGAGCTATCCTCAGTGGCCTTTGGAATATCCCAGGATGATTCACCCGATGGAGCTGTTTCCCATGCAGTTGATTCGACAGTTGGAGTAGAAGTTTCGATGGTGTTCTCCTTGCGAACGCCATTTGTGGGTGCGCGACCTCGTCCACCTCTACCTCCTCGCTCTGTAGCACGACCACGGCCTCCTCTAGCACCATCAAAGCCAGCTCGACCGCCGCGTGAGACTCTGGCTTGGTTGGTAGAATCGCCGAACGATGTGACTGTCGAAGTCTCTTTGACCTTGGACTTGGATCGATCCTTCTTGCCTTTCGAAACCTCTCCCCATTGAGTGATCGTGCCTGCAGAACGAAGTCAGCATCAAACGGTTCGAAAGAAGACCAAACGGCAATACTCGTAGCAAGTACTCCTTTTCGTGGGGGCCATACCATCAGTAATGCGATCAACCGTAGTCTCAAGATCTCCATCTGTCTCCTGGAGAGCAAATACGACGTCCTCATCTGTCCAATCGGGAAACATCTCCTTGATGGTTGTGACCTTGCTACCATACTTCTTCTTCAGCTGGCCAACTTCGCCATCATCTTCAATTGATGTTGTTGTGGAATCTGCCTTGTCTCCGTTGGTTGCGTGACCTCTAACACCGCGGCCCCCTCTGGATGAGAAACCTCCTCGTCCACCTCGAGCTGAGCCTCTACCCCGAGGCGCAGCTGGTCGAGATTGTACCTCCGACATTTCAATGTGTGAGGTTGTGTGTTTGTAAAAGCAGACAGAAAAAGGAAGATGGGAAGAGGTTGTGGTGAGAGTCTAGGAGGGTCTTGGGGGTCGGGTTGGTTTGAGTTGATGCGAAGAATGATCTCAGCCCTTTCGCGAAGCAAAGGCCGTCAGGCACCAAAATTACTAGCGGCGACCTAGTGGAATCGCGGTCATACGGTGCTGTCCACGAGGCTGCACGTCAACACAACGTATTGATATGTGAGATGATTGTAGTGATGAAAGTGATTAAGGAACTTGAGCTTGTGGGGAAGAGAAATCTGAAATCTACAAGAAGTCTTGTGTCACGTTGAAAACAACTCCTTTTGTCCCAATCTCAAGAACAGCATGCCGAGCTTTTGATTAGTCATGCTCTCTACTACCCGATCAAATCGTGAATGCTGCCCCACACACTCACAGCTTCCCCATACGCCAAAGAGGGGTCTCAGAGCAATCCTACGACAAAGCCAGCCCTTTTACATTTCCCGCTGCACACTGGCGGCCAGCTTACGAAGTCCATGAGCACACTGGCAGCTCTGAAGCCAATTCAGCACGGCGACGCGTATGATAAGCAGCACATGACTTGGCTGGACCGTGAACACGGTGTGAATCATTGAGGGTTCGAAGAAACGACTGCAGCGTTCAGACTACGAGCCACTGGAGTCGAGAAAGCAGATTGGCTGTACGGACTAAAGAACTTGGATACGTTCTCGGAGAGGAATATTGGAGAGGAAACCATTGAGCAACTCCCCGCGAGGTACAGTATCGAGCTTCGCAGAGTGGCGCTCGTGGATATCAACAGGGTGCGCATTGCATCTGCAAGAACTACCTATTTCAATCAAAACAGCTCTTCAACCTGCCGCCATGTTCCGCCCCTCCCAGTCCCTCCTCTTCCGGCCAATGCCTATTTTAAAGAAGCTGAAGATTCATCATCCTCTGCCGTTGAGTCCTCGCGAATCCAAACAGTTACTCAACCTTCTCACGGCATCCTTCCGACAACAACTCGATACTGAACACCCCCAGTTTCGCACCGACGGTAACGCAAATGTACTCCACGAACACCTATCAACACGTCGATCACGAAGATCGTCGTTTTCAGAAGACAAGACACCTACGGCCCGACACATGCACTCACTCTTGACAAATCCTTTATTCAATATTTCACCGGGGAAGAAAAACAGCAATGTTGTTTTCTCACGGGATCCGATGGATATATTCAGTCAAGCAGTAGCGAAGGGTATGATGACGACTAGTCATGCGAAGGCTTGCTTGACTGCAAAGAAAGCCCAAATAGTACGGTCATCTGTTCTAAATGTTCGAGATGGAATGAAAGACTCCGGAGCTGGACTGAAGGTATTGAAGTGGCTTGTTTCAAGTGGCACAACAAACAATACCGAATTCTTGAAGGACGATGCTTTCGTCAAGATTATGATGGAATACATGGTTGCTGAAGGACTTCAAGAAGCTGCTTGGAAATGGGTGAAGACGTCATTAGAGAACCTCCCGAAGCTATGCCTTCTCTCTGGCGAAGACTTCGCACGAGCTCAAAAGGAGGTCGTTGGACCCCTTATGTTGCTTGTCAGGGCCGAGGCTGCAGACTCTGGCAGTCCTACGAGTCTGGATGCCGCGTATATGGCTATGTCCAGAGCTGCTGGCTACCTCGGGGGCTTGTCTACCCCCGAAGTTACTACGGTTCTTGGTCCTCCTGGATGGTTCTTAATACGCGCATCTGTTATGCCAAAATCTAGCAGGCCACCACCAAGCGAGAATGCTTTCGAATCATTTCTCAGCTTGATACCAGTCATAACAAAGAGCCCGGCACGATATTTTGCCCATTTAAGCTTGTTACACCCAACGAATCCAAATCCAGATCTGGCCCTAGATCACATCCGCTCTGTTGCGAGCAAGAGTCGACAGAAAAAGTCTTCCCTATCAAAGCCCGCAAGAGAGAGTGATCACCATAATATCCAGCTTGGTCTGGATGCAGCCAATTTTCTGCTCCAGTACCATAGATATACCGAGGCCGATGAAGTAATGGAATTTTTGCGGTCTCGTTATCCTAAGCAATTAGGTATCAAGGAGATGAGGCAGCTTGAGCAGGCCAAAGCCGAGGCATCAAGTCTCGAGTTGTTGGAGAGGCTCGGCCTGACATGAGTTCAAAGTTACCTAACTGCATTACAACGGCGTTTAAGGGGGTTGATCAGCATATTCGGGGAAATGTGGGGCGTTTTTGTACATATCCTGCAGAATCAGTACCAGTACTTCAAAGGTAACGCGTTAAACTGATCATCTGAATACCTGAGTCAAGATTCCACTCTCCGTTCGTTGGGAGCCGATCAACCATATGTCATGTTTACGCATTGAAATTGGTGTACCGGCCATCTATAGAGCGCGCAAGCTCGGATCGCCGCTAACAACTTTTTAGGGGCATTTTGAGCAAGGCTCAGGTACTAGACATACTACCTAGACTTCAGGTTGCACATGCTCGTACCACTCTAACCAGAGCTAAGCGAGATGTCAAAAGGGGCAGTAAACATCATGTCTCATTAGTCATCGACCCCAATGTTCCAGCCACCCAGCACTACTCTCTTCATCACAAAGTAATCCATCTGCCCATCCATGTAGCCACCACAGTCTTTGCTTCATCTACAAGGCCCATATCAAGCAATACCTGAACTGTCCCGCGTACAGCTGAATCCAGTGCCGAAAAGATCCAAGCATGGGTGTAGCTTGTATGTTCTCCTATGAAGACCGTCTTGAACTCCGTATTGTAGTAAGCTGGCAGATACAAGTCCTGCTGGCCTACAAGAGGTGAAGCCCAGGCACCGGCTTGGTGTTCATCCACTTGCCAGCATTGCCTGTCATAATTTCCAGTCCATTGCTCATCTGCGATGGATCCATGAACTTCAACCATGGCGCGCTGGATCATTGCAACGTGATCTTCTTCCGAAAGAGACTGAACCGAAATCGCGGGCGTGCCTGAGACGTAAGATGCGAGAATGACACCTGGGCCAGTTGAGTTGATCTTGTAGGCGGGGTAACAAACTGATCCTACACCAGGGATGTCGGTTGATCCGCATCCTCCAATGATCGGCGGTTCCATATGTTCCCAGAAACGAGTTTTGTAGTGAAGGCTCAGTTTACAGCTGGGAGAATATGGCATCGATGAAATGGCGCGGGAGAGAAGCGACGAGTAAGCTTCAAATCTGTCAGGGAAGAGCTCACCTATATCGCGGCAGGAGAGTGCCACTTACGAGGAGTTCTCCAGAGTCTAACTTTCGAGAATGGAGCCGCGACTACGGCATAGTCAAACTCGGCACTTTTTGTCATCATAGAAAATTTGTCATCCGCATCTCGCCAATTGACACTGATCTTGTCGGTCTCGGGGATGTATGTAAGTCCAGAGACAAAGCGCCCGAATGTTGTTTTATTTTGTACGTGAGGCAAGAATGCCTTCGGAAGAGACTCGAGACCTTTATCGATTGTTCTCCAGGTCGTCCTAGAGACATTGAGCGTTAGTATTGCCCTGCTGAGCGAGTGAAACAGGACAAGTGAACCTACGCGGCAAAGTAAACATTATCATAATCCCACATAGGTGCCCCGCCAGCACCTCCGATAAAATCAGTGACGTTCAAAGAGACACCAAGCTCGTATCGAAGATAATTAGCGACTGAGAAATCGAACAGCCCATTTTGGATGGCATGCTTGTGAGCAAGGAAAACATTGGAAGCAATTTCTCTAGTCCTGTTGCGGTCCAAGCCTTCGAATTCTTCCAGGGCCTTTTCAGCAATTGCTTCTTCCGTAGCATTGGCGGAAGTTTGGGATACGCCAGCCAGAATCGAATTTTTTGAAACTTGAGACTTGCTTGGGATTCGGTTGTTGGCGAGGCGGACACCGTTTGAGCTTATGGGTGTGCTATATTGCGGTTAGCTGTTGTTCTAATCATCGCTGGAATATTGAAGAAATGTGAAAGGCATACTTCGCGCTGCTCTGAATCCATGGGATGAAGTTGACCGCAAGCTCAGGCTTGTCCTTGTTCATCGCATTTAGGACTTCGCCAAGTTGGAAAACCATCTCGTGGTCTTTAATTTCAAGTGTTTCGCCGCTATCTGCATATGTTAAGCTGACCGGGACTAGAATATGTTAATTACATTTTTCGAGGGAGGGAGGATCTGTAAGCCAATATTACATCTCATTGGACCCATCTCCTGGTATTGGTAGTCTCCAGGCTTGGAGCCATTGAGGTACTTGGTGCGGATGCGGCTATTGTTGTCAGAATTTAGGAAAAGCTCTTAGGGAGTTATGAGAAAAATTTACCCTCCAACACGTTGACTGGATTCCATGATCTCCCAATTTACAATACCGACAGACTGCAAGAGATGGCTAGTCAGGAGACCAGACATGCCCCCTCCAATAATAGCGATTGCTGATTTTGCGTTAACAATCTCACACTCTGGGCTTCAAGTGATTCTAACTTTTGTTCTTTGCTTCTGCAACAAACACGCTTGTCTCATTCTTCGACTTCATATAAGCAACTCCATCGAACCATGGTCCAGACGTATCAGCAACGTCAGAAATGAGTTGTCTTCTCTTCAATGGCGCACCAAGCGTGATTGGAGCAGATCTTCCAATCAGTTCCTCGCCAGAGAACGCATGAATACAACCTCCACTGAAAGCATCTCCTGGGACCGACCAGACAAATCTTTTTGGACGAGAATCGGCACTGATCTCGGTCCTGCCAATGAAGTGATGGTGATTCTCTGTCGTGGAAGATTCGCAGTCGCCATAAAGAACGGACAAGTCGCCAACGAAGTCAGCCTTGATGTACTCGATGTGAATATTATGGAGAGATTCCCGGTTGACCGCTTTTGTTGACCGGAAGCGAATGTGACCGAAGCCAGCATCATTGCTGAGAGGAGATGCAAGTGCCACGATTGCCAAGCTAGCAATGCTAGCGATTGAAAGGAACCCCATGTTGCCGAAAAGTGTTGGTACTCTTCCTAGGAATTTAAAAGTATAGCGGGAAGCTGGCAATGACGAAAAATAAGAAGTTGTGGTCCATGCTCTACAGATCTTATATATCCAGCCATTCTCAAATGTGCGGAATACTACCCATTTCTCTTGACGGCTCATCCGGAGGCTCACTCCATGCGGCCAACATTTACACGATTGCCCGCTACTGAGATAGGCATAGGGTGAAGTCCTCTTGCATTCACACCAACACAACATGCCCGAATACACTTGAAACCCGGCCTCTTATCAACAATTGATTCAACACTTTGTCAACACCGTACCGTAAATGGCTCCCAGGACAAGTTATAGTGCCGTATGTGGGGGAAAAGGCGGAGCCGACACCTCGATCGAACTAAGAACGGCAGATATTTGTACATCTTTGCACTTTGACCAGAACCGTTCAGAAAACACTGAGGATGGTATGTAAGGAACAGTGATGACGAGAGAGGACGTGCCAAGCTGATAACAAACTGCCTTTCATTCGCGAAGAATGGGAGGCTCTGCATAGGTGGGGTGTTCTGATAGATGGGATGGGCTGTCTTGGCATTTTGTTATTAAACAAAAAGGGAAGGTGGAAAATGATATTCCTGACAGGTGCCTGAATGCCTGCCCGGACAATCTTTCAATATCCAAAGCCTTGACTGGAGCGATAACGATTGAAACATGAAGCTTGTTTGTCGAAGCATCTTGTCAGCCTCGGTTTGAATATTCTGCTTCATCCAACCCTCGATTCACACCTACTCCGAGAACCGAAATCCGATGTTAATGCACGTAATCCAAAAACCGATTGGTGGTGTCGGAAAGTCGAGCTTGATACTCGGTAAGCAAGCGAGTTGACCTGGATCTCGTCTGCTCGTGTGGTCAGCTGTTTCCCAGATATTTTGGGAGATTTGGATCAAAGACTTCGAAGTCACTGCCGAAGAGGTTATCATGCTTTGAGTTGTCGAGAGATAAGAATGATGCAAGTGCAGAAGTCTTTGCGAAGAGTAAGTAGGAAAGATAGAGTGTCTGGCATCAAGATTGAAAAGCAATAGCGAAAGCAATTATTAAATGATAAAGGTACGGAAGAACAGGGTTGCTTTCACGAGTTCACTTGCGCTCAAGGAGTTTCTATATTTGAACAATATGTTGATGTTAATGAAGAAGATGAACGGTCACACTCTTAAGAAATACCTCGAGAGTTGGAGGTCTAAGTAAGCTTTTCTGCATCTGTCTCGTCATACGACCCATTGAAGTCGTGGTGTGTTTTGTCGCCCGTAATCGAAGAACAACCGTTCTTGGCAGCAGGGTTTGCTTCAATATTTTTACCATCTGATCTCCACTCCTTTACAAGTCCTTGGAGGCAAAATAGCTCGGTGAAAACACAATATGATATGCCAACGCCGTTGACATACGCAGATTTAAGCACGCGAACCGTGTAGGCCAAAGGCCAAATGAATGTTTGAACTGAGAACGACGTAGTGAAAAGAGCTGGCCATTGCCAGAAAGTAAGGAGGCCAGGCAGAATAGCTAGAAGATAGGAAGGGTTTGAATGCGAGTACTTCTTTCACCTTGCTTGCATGTATCTCATTCAGGCACTAACGGTGATGATCAGGGCTCCTGAAGTCGCCACTTCTCGTAGCCTTGAGCCTGAAAGCCCCAACAGGGTTTAGAATGTATGCGACCTCCCCGTTAGAGTCCATTGATAACCCATCGAATATAGCCCCAGCTATTAATGATGCGCCGCTATCATTCCCGTTCTCTACCGGTGACAATGTATACCATTTGGTGTGAAAACTATTTCCACATGGCACGATGACCAACGCACGTGGATATAGTAGTAGATGGATATACAGTGGCTTTCAAAAGCTAGAGCAGTCATTCTTTACAGTAGTCTGAGCTGTAAAAATTCGTTGTGTTTCGCTGACAGCTCTTATGCCATTCATGGGTTGCACGCTGTTGCAGCGACGCGAGCAACAGGACTGTGACAGGTGAGAAGAAGAAGAAGAATCGGGAAGAGTTTCATATTTAGCTAAGGGACTGAATAATCTAGTGCAACTGGGTTGTCTGGAACTGGGGTTACTTTACAAAATATTTAAGCACTGGAAAACCATTAAGAAGTGCACAGAAGGACAGAGCAACCCTATGTTACGGTCACACCAACTTGGTATGTCTACCTTATTCCAACAATAGACTGGACAACGGCCATGAGATTGAGGAAGATACCATAATTGTACAGCGTTGGGTACTCAAAGATCCGAATTTTGTGTGCACTTAATAGCTCCGGTGTTGTTATAATTTTTCACAGGCTTGAGAGTAGGCGGCTTTATGTTCTGCTAGGAGATTGTATGAGCATTTAATGCTTGTCGCATACGATAGCCAGGGCTCTGAGGTTCAGTATTAACATTTCAATTGCGATGTTGTCCAGTCAGTGAATGTACGACCAGTCGTGTCCATCAACTGCGAAACCTCTCAAATCCTCTCGAAAGTTTCAGGGCATGGCCGTTTGAGCTGTATCAAAAACGCGCTCTTTTGCCCGCCCCATTTTAGAAGGGGCAAATCGAGGAACTTGCATTAATGGCCCTCGCGACAGCATAGTGAAACAAAAGTAGGTGGCCTGGGTGGCGTTTGTAACTTGAGCGATCGTTTCCAAAATCTTCAAAACAACACGCCTGAGAATAATAAAAGGGGCTCGGCTAACTGTCAACACCAGCGTCCACCCCCACGTTGCGAGACAGCAACAAAGCAGACATCTGGATTCTTGGGAACTATTCTTGCTTTAGAGGATTTGAAAAGTGTGAATCACAAGCTCTTTAACCATTTCCCTCACTATTTCCTTTTGTGGTTTTTCTGACTTTTCAAAAGGCCCTGCAGCGAACTGATCAGGGTGCTAGATGCGCGAGACTAGTCCAACTTGGAACGAACAAACTCCGGCCCAGCATTCCATGATTCTCGATAAGCCAAAACAATACCAGTTCATTCTCAAATATCGACACCGCCTTTCGTTTGAGATTTCTGAACAGCTTCAGCTCACCGTACATATACGCCTCATTGGTCTTTGCAGTCCTCCGTAACCTTACGGCCATGATGACGAGTCTCTCGCTTGAGCAAGATCTTGACTTCACTACCCAACCGCCCCCTTTTCATTCACGACACGCCGCCCTCCACTTTGTGATGACCTGCATTAGCCGCTTTAACCCCATCCACCAATTGGAATGTCAAATCAGGTACCGAAATCGCTCAGGGAACCTGTGCTCCATGCGGAACATCAGCAGCGCGCCAACTCCGGTGCGCAGCCAGGCAGAGGGAACAAGAACAGTTGTGAGGATATACTTTCTTGTCCAAAGGCAACGAAACGAAGGCTTCGCGCGGCACGCCGCAGAGAGATGTGCTGACAGCTCGGAGGCTTCATGTGCGTGCTTCGCAGATCATAAATACCTACCTACTGCACAGTACTGTACAGTCTCTAATCCTGGAATGCGTCTTCCCCGCAATCTGCTTGCACGGATACATGGGATTCGCTGACCGCGCCCTTGCCCCGTTGCCCCCTTACCTCCCCACACCTCACATTTCAGCTGTGGCGAGTGTGCCTCGATCTCGCCTGTCGCGCTCGCGCTCACTCCGCTGCCCGCTGCCGCCCCATTGGGCCTGGCCTTGCCTGACCTTACCTCAGCCCGGCTGCTTCCCTGCTGTGTACCTCGATTACGCTCGCCGGGATAGCGTCATGGAGCGACCTCCTCTTCTGAACGTCACTTCATCCTCTTCATCCTGCTTTCTAGTCGCAACTCATCACTTTTCATCGCGCAACCATTCCAATCACCATTTTTAAGTCGCGGAATCCACCTCTTTGAATCCACAGAATCAATTCCTACTTCTGAAAAGCTTCACTAGTTCGTGTAAGCCTCCCTACTATGTCTGCGAACCAAGTACAAGAAGGCGACAAAGGTATGAGGATGCTTTCATTTCTATCTGCACGACCTCAATTGGCCTCTTACATATTAGTTCTACATGTGTATTTCCTGTGAAGCCTCAAGTCCCTGCCAGGTGTGCGGACAGGTGGAAAACAAGCTCCATAAGCACATTTATCGGCGTTATCTCGCTAAATCCGAAGCTATATGCTTGCGCAAGTATAGCCATACACTTTTTTGTCTTGCAAGGAGATGCAACGTGCCTCCTGCAATTTCACTCAAAGCCATTGGCTAACGACCCGGTCTAGTTTCCTGGAATTGGGGAAGTGGCCAACCATCCGGAACTGCTATTGAAGTTAAGGCTGGCGATGTGACTGTCGTCTCTAACCGTGGTAACGAGATCACCAAGCATGGCGAAGAAGGAAACCCTGCGGTGCACATTGAGCGTCCTGGCAATGATGTTGTCAAGAAGGCAAGCGAGTAAGTTCTGCCATTCTTGAGCCGAAATTCTGATCGCTGTTGCATAGGTCACTGGCAGACCATTAACCTTACACGGCGCAGCTCGCATTCTCTTTCGACTTCAACTTTATATTCCAATAAGAAGATGAACTGACTGTAAGGTTCGTATAGGCTGAATGTCGAAAGCCACGGACCTCAATCCAATGGCACAAACTCAGAGCCCAAGAAAGACAACGAGAAGAAAGAAGATAAGCAGCAGGAGGAAGAGAAAAAAGATGACAAAATGCCTGAGGAGAAGAAGCCCGAAGAGAAGAAAGAAGAAGAAAAGAAGGACGAGAGCTCGGAAGCTCAAGCTGGTGATAAGAGAAAGGCAGACGAGAAAGTCGATGCTAATGATGAGAAGAAGGACGAAGCAGACAAATCCGGGGAAGATTCGAAGAAGCAGAAAACAAGCAATGGAACTGCAGCCCCGGCAACAAACGTGAATGGAGAGAAAGAGAAGAAAAAGCCAGGTCGCCCTAAGGCAAACGGTGACAAGAAGCCCGCCAAAGAGAAGAAGGTTCCTGCCACTGGACGGGCTGAGAGAAAGACCAGAAGCCAGAGCAAGGCTGAATAGATGTTTTTCTTATACTATTTATGCTGGCAATACTTTGTTTGGGTCACGGCGATTGGATTCGGGACTTGGCAAAGTCGGTTGGTCTCGGGATGGGATGGGATGGGAACTGTGGTGAGGAACTGCAAGGGTGGACGAATTGCTTATTCTTGCTTTGGTCTGCTCTGTACATATCTGAAAAGGAGTGCATGCGTGCTAAAAGCTTTACCATATTCTTTCCATTCCAGATATCTACTTGCCAGTCCAACTACAAAGTTCGCGTCTCACTACTGGCACTTAGCTGCTGAATCATTACCCAGTGGCGCCAAAAAGCGTCTGGCACTTGACAAACTGGAGATCCGATTACAACGGCGGCTGAGTGAAAGACAAAGAATCTGTCCCCACAATTGTCACGGTCTTCACATTGCCGTTCACATCCGTATATGTGACCGTCGGCCTCTCGCTTGCAGTCACAGCTCCCTCACCACCCCTGGTACTCCCCCCGTTATAGCTCAACTCCTGCCTCTCCTCCACGTCCAGTCCCATCGTCCTGACTCCCAAGTCTCTCGGCGGCTTCCCCAGCGTGATAGTCAATACTCCCGTCCCACCCAACGTAAACGTCTGTCCCGCGAATGTAAATGTTTTGCCTTCTCCCCACCACCCTGACTCTGTCGCTACCGGAAGAACGCTGTGTCCCCAGCCGTCAGGGCCATAAGTTATGGGACTCAACTGTCTTTTCTCGCGTCCTTCGCCGTCGTCTCGCTTACCGAGTGTCACTGTCAAGCGGCCAGTGTTTATGATTGTTCCTCCGTTTGGTGGAAGCCAAGGAGGGTGTTCTCCGGCAGGCCATGAGTATGGAGTTTCTCCATCCCAATAGTAGTTGGTTACGGTCTCTGTGGGGAGAGTATCGACGCTCCAGCCTCCGGGTCCGTATGTGATCGATTTGAGTTGGCGGTGACGGAGTTCCGGGGCAGGTGTCACAACTGAGATCCGACTTGCAATTATTTGGGCCGTGGTTTGGGGCGAGAGAGGGGATACCGTGGGTGTCGGGAGCGTGCCTGCTGTAATTACGATCTCGTAGCAGGGTGGTATTGCGGCGGCATGCCGGGCGGGTGCAGGTGCGGCGACGGAGAGTGAGGTGAGGAAGAGGGTGGAGAGAAAGAATACATTTGGTGCCATGCTGATTGTTGGAAAGCGATATTCAGATACAAAAGTCCATAACTTACAAATGCTGCCCATTAAGATTCGAATGGGATGCTTCCTGGATAAGTAGCCATTTGGCATATTCGTGTAACGTTTAATGGCACGACAACTACCTGGTTGTCTACCTCGGGCCGTCAGTTATCTCGCCATCAATCACTTACCAGATGAAACTAAATACATTTTTGCCGTCTATCTCTCCATCAGGATTTGTCCCCCCGTCCTCCTACCTGGATCTCCCTCCAAGACAGATATCCCGTACATGCTTTTCTGCCATGATTCGTACCCCTTATCTCTCGGATAAAGGGACAACGCGACTCAGGCAAGCTGATAATATATATCGTTGGTGAAGTGAGGATCGTGGAAGGTCGTTTGGTCTTGAGAAGATTGTGGCTCGCTTGCGGGTATCTTGGATATATATCGAGGTTTGGTGATGAGACGGCTAAATACCCCTGAGAAACTCGTATTTGTACTTTGGCTGATCGGAGGACCAGGGGATTCTTGATAGATAAAATCGCGGGGTTATCAAAAGCTTACGTGGTCTGATGCCATGTATGCTCAAGGATGAATTTCTGATGACCCCTTTAAGAGGATGTGTCAGGGATAGAAATGAGGCGGACATAGATAGAGCATGGTATACGACTTCTGCAGTGTCTGGATGATCGGCTTAATAAATATAGTAGTCATTCTGGTGGAAACGACTATAAATTCTTCACTGGGATTAGCTGAAAACTGATCCTGAAGGTGGAGAGGAGATAATCGCAGAAAAAACAATGAAATGTCCCTTGTTTGGCATTGGAAACGCTGTCCATGAGCAATGTGCTAGGTTCAGAAAACCGATCTAAGACGATAATTTCGTAGCTCAACTCCAAAACGGGGTGGTTACGCCCGTGGTGAATAAGCACTTGTCTGCTTTCCGACGAGATATTCATGGAGGAAGGAGAATGTAAAGCTCGCTTAGACGGAGCACCAACCAGACTTAGAAACAAACTCCTCGAAGGAGGAGAAAGACACTATCAACCAATGATACAGCGCATACTCCTTCAGATGATTTAAAAGTTGAAGATTTCACTGTGTTTCTTTAGGTATGGGTCAAAAGTGCATAGCTTCGAGACTTGTCGCGATGAGACGAAAATGAAATGAAGTCGACCGCGAAGCGACAAAGCCGTTAAAAACCACACCACATCATGAGTTTAAAGAGACATTACCGAGATATTGATTGTGGGTGGGTACTTTGAGGTCGCCGGAAAAACTCTTGACTGGTCACAAGTATCAGCTACAACTTTAGTTCGCTTCGGCTGAGCGACCTAGAACGATGTATCACTGTTGAATGCGCACCGCCTCGTGGCAAAATACCGAAAGCATGACGTGCAGCGATTTGAAGAAACGAAGAGAGCATTGCAGCCAGAGGTTTAACGCGAGATGAGCAACATGAAACTTCATCTCTGGTCATACCAAGGAATGGTCAGAAGATACCAAGCATGGAAGTCAAAGAGAGATGCTTGAAATAGAGTAGACAGGCGACGCTGGAAGTAGCAAAGAGGGTGTCAGAAATGATTAAAAGCTGGAAGGAAATTTCTTTATTAACAATGAGGAAAACTGAAAATAACGACGGATATCAGGCGGTGCATTATTATGACCTCACAAAAAGCATACCACGTTCATTTTAACAGCCGGATGAGCTATGTGCTTTAACTTCTGATACTCAAAATCCACATTTTTTTCAGATGAACTACAACTGAACGTATTGATGATTGAAGCTCCAAATGCCCGGCCTATAATTCGAGGAAGTTCTTTCTGAACATATTTTCCAAGCTTTGATCACAGCAAAATCATGCCATTTTCATACAATTCGACAGCTTCAATCAAATTTATCGGGCCAGAAAAACGGCACCAGAAAAGAGAGAGGCAGCTAGAATAAGCACTCTCCACTGGGGCGTCTCGAGCCAAATTATCGCTCCAGCGACAATTCTGGGAGTGATGGTAGAGGATGTGAGGTTAAAGTCTGCCCCAAATCGCAGCAAGCAGACCCGAGCGCGTGAAGAACAGGGCTCCATGGCCTGCTTGGTCGGTTTACTTCTGTTGGTGCGTTGCACAAGGCATCTTTTTCAGATATGCGGTAGGGTTCCATTCTGCAGTACAGCCCATTTCCACTTGGTGTCACGTATAAGTAAAATGCCTTGGCGGATGTGATGTCAGCTGTCTCATTGCGCCGCTTGTTTGCAGAGGAGGTACGACGCTGAGGAGGCTGGGGTCTAGGCAACGACATCTGATCCATATTCCTATTGCTGCAGCTCTCAAATTCTGTCATTCGTGACCGAATAGCCTCAGAGAAAGTCTGGACTTTGTTCAATTGAATTTCCGCGGTTGACAAAGCAATATGTCGTCCGCCTTCGATGATTTCGTCCATGTTGGACATCGTTCTCGCGACCCCGCAGCATCATCGTCTCACCGAGGAGGGGGAGGGTCTGTTTCCGATGAGTTCTTTAAGAACAGGTAATTCATCATCGTTCTTATAGTTCACCACCTTCGAGGCATCAAGGCATCGAATTCGAGACTTGTTCATCTTTTGTGCTTAAAAGCATAATTACTTACATCTCAAAGCTCCGGAAAGAGACAATTCACGGAGGGTGTTATTGCTACTGCCATCCGCACCCAGCATCCCAAATACCACCTTACCATAGCCCCGACCTACACCAGTGACCTTCTGTCATTTGGTGCTTCGAGTGATGATGTCACTTACTTCATTCGTGATGCTGACAAGGCTTTGTTGGAGCGGCAATTCGTCCCACCAGCTCGAAGATACAACGACGAGACTGGCGGTGCATTCGCCGAGCACGTGTCATTTGCTTCCTACGACTATGTATACAAGGGCGATGCCTTCCTTCTCTATGTTGTGAATGGACAAGATGGCGCCTATGGATCCGTAGCTTACAACTACATTCTCGTCGACGAGTCTGAGAGCCAGGTTTCGGCTCAGAAGAAAGCAGACGGCTTGCTAGCTGCTGCTGCCCGATGGCAGATGGAGCTACACGGTGAGGTTCTTGTCTTTGACCAAGGATATTGGCAGCCTAATAGAGAGCTCTGGGAGAACGTACAGAAGTCGAACTGGGAAGACGTTATTCTGGAGAAGGAAAAGAAGGAGACGATTATCGACGATGTGATTGGCTTCTTTGATGCTGAAGACCGATATGCTGAGTTTGGAGTTCCATGGAAGGTTTGATATTCTCGGCTGCATATTCGATTGTCTGGAGCTGACTTGGGATATTCAGAGAGGTGTCATTTTCTACGGCCCACCTGGAGTGAGTCGGCAGATTTCTGAGCTGATTCGAAATGCTAATCAGTGTCGCAGAATGGTAAAACCATCTCCACCAAAGCTCTCATGCATGACATCTCCAAGAGGACCAAATCCAGCATCGAATCACTCTATGTGAAGACATTCAACAGCTACGCAGGGCCTGAATATGGTATTCGCCAAATCTTCGTCATGGCTCGTCGAATGGCGCCTTGTCTTCTTATTTTCGAAGACGTCGACTCCCTGGTTAGCCCAATGGTTCGAAGTTACTTCTTGAATGAAGTGGATGGCCTCGAGTCAAACCACGGGATACTGATGATAGGGAGTACGAACCATCTTGAAAGACTTGATCCTGGAATCGCAAAGCGTCCGAGTCGTTTCGACAGGAAGTATTTCTTCGATGTCCCGTCTCGTGACGAGCGCATCCAGGTACAGACCACACCCACTTCCGCCAGCTCGGGTATTCGTAGTTCATGCTGACTGATCACAGTATGCTGATTACTGGCGGCACAAGCTCCGCAACAACAAGAAGGTTGAGTTCCCGAAGGAACTTTCCGTTCGTGTTGCGGATATCACAGCGGATTTCAGCTTTGCATATTTGAAGGAGGCCTTCGTCGCTGCCCTGCTGGTCATTGTAGCTAGACCAGAGGAAAAGAAGCCAAAGTTCAAGCATCGGGAAGACGAGTTGAGCGGGAATATCCTGTGGAAGGAGTTGAAGAAGCAAATTGACAGTTTGAGAAAGGAGATGGACGGGGACGATGATGATGAGCAAGCCATCGGTATGAGCGGAATGTGGCCTGCTCTAAACAACATCCTGGAAGAGAGAACTGATAGACCCACCTTTGGTCATCCTGGAATGGAAAGACCACGATTTGCGAACGCTTCCATGCAGGGTCGCCCATTCCCCCAACCTGGACGTGACAATATGGCACGGCCCATGGACATCAATAACGCACCTCCAATGCCGAGATACTTCTGAACAAAGGAGTTCCGAATGAAGGAGCTGAATCCGATGTAATGATCCATTGGATCATGATTAAGTATTAGTCTATCTCGAGTACAGTAGTAGCAGCTCATGTCAGAAAGCAATGAATGGGTATCTCAAAACGTAAAATGCAACCACCAGAATCTCACTCATCGTCCAATATACTGCTCGCAAGTCTGCCAAAGAAAGGCACTTCGCACCTGTCGAGAGTATCCGCTGTGTAATTGTTAGCACTGTCTCCAGCAATTTTACCGCAAGAGGAAGACTCACCATCCTGATATGCCCTCATCGTCAGGTAACCTATCATTCCCAGATCCGCAATTAAAATGACCCATGACAGAAATGACGACCACGAGAATATCAAATGCAGGACAAACATGGCCGAGAAAAGCAGCGAAGATTGCCAAGCGTGGAATCTAACATAATCGCTCTTGTGTTCCATGACCAGCAGCAGCACTCCACCTGCAGGAGGCAGCAGTATATATGCCAGACATGCCTCAAAGTCCAGCCGGATAGGAAGACTTGTCTCGAACTCATTCAGTCTCCCCCGACCGCTCTCAATATCTCCTGCCCCGGTACTAGTATTTCCGAAACCTTGTGGTGAGACCGTCTCGTCTATAGATGCTCGCCATGGGTTTGCTGTGGCCTTGGGCGCATTGGTAGGAGAGGGAAGTGCTGGAGAGAACGAGCGCCGAGGGGAGAAAGAGCGTCGGCCTTCGATAGGTGGAGGTGAGAGGGCTCGATTTGTTTCGGGTGATTGATCTTGGTAGGGTGCGAAATCCATTGTGCTTGACGTGGGTTGTAGATGTGGAAAGTGTTATTGTTGACGTTGCGAAGCGTTGTAAGGTGTTGAAGAGGGGAGCTCAGGTTAGCTTCGAGGGACGCGAATCCACCTCTCACATGCCTCGTGCTCCTGCAATTTATTAGGCAGAATGGAGTAACACCAATTCCGGCCATATGTCGGAATAGTTTCTTCAAGATGATATACTGATATTTTTTCAGATTCGAATATTTTGCAGAATATTTGGGCTTGAATATTCACAGAGTCAAGAGCTGCACTGTGCATACAAAATAACTCCAAACGGATGTAAAAACAAATCGAACTCCATGAATGCTAGATCCCCTTTTGGGAGCCCTTACGCATTCGCCCTTAATCCCAGATGCCATGCCTCATTTACAAGCCCCTAATTCTTGCTAAGAAAGTAGCCTTTCCTCAGACTATTTTCCAAATCAACACACGCTATTCATGCCATCGTCATTCATCGAAACTCCATTGCTGCGAAACATCCCCTATCTTCAACGTGCTTCAGCTCTAGTTGTTGAAACCTAGGTTGCAATTAGTGTCTTTGGATCAACGGGCACTGGTCTCGTGAACATGACTTACTTCTCGCTTTTGGCGTGAAAATATATCCCGCTTACTGTTCCTTGTATCTGGTTGAAGCAGATGTAATAGAAACCTTCAAAACTAGCACCACTGATCGTTCTCACTCTATGGTCTGGGACGAGGAAATGCTCTTTCCATCTCATGAATATGTTCTCTCGTTGTGCCAGTTGCGGGATGTGAAAATGGCCTTTCTTGGCCTTACTGTGAAATGGTCGGAAGGCCGAGAACTTGGCCCAATGTTGTAGGTCCACCTTATCGGTGGATCCCCAATCCTGATGTTGCGTGAGGAAACTGTATTTGGATCCAATTATTTCTCCTTCGAAGTAAGTAGTGAGAGTTGGGTGATCCTCCGTCAATCCTAAACAATGTCAGCTTAGCACAACTTCGTCTGACCAGTCCAAGGTGTCTGTTTTACCTTGAATACGCAAGTATCCGCAGAGAAACGATTCTCTCATATCCACATGCTTGATCTCGACCTGCACATCGTAGACTTGGCGCTCCGATTGTTGAGTTCCATGGAACTTGCTTCCGGCGCGCAGAAAAGAAGAAGGCGAGGAGGGGATGAGCTAAAGGTGGTGTTAAATTTGAATGAACATATAATTCACCAGAACAAGGGACTCATACTCGTATGTTTGAAAAATCATAGCCCATAGAAGGAGATCCAAGGTCCGTATTCGACAATGCAGGCAGCTCACTCTCTTCTTGCTTATCTCCCTCTGCACTCATGGGAGACAGCATATCTGGCCCACTATTATCCTCGTCGACATCCATCTCTTTGGTGTTATGCTGTGATGCAATGTGCGTATCCGTTGAACCGGCTGGCCGCGATTCTGCAGGTGGAGGAGTTGGCTGTTGAAGTACTTCTGGCGCTGTAGCGATTGCTTCATCATGAGGTACGTCCATATCTGCAACCCGCCAATTCGCTCTGTCATCGTCGGGTGGGCATGAGGAGTGTAATGATGTCGCTGCAACGATGGTCTCGTTGCTGGACGGTGATGGGGTGGGCATTTGGTCGCCGCCCGCGCCGGCCAGGCTTAAAGGATATGGGATGAGTCTAATGAATACAGGAGGTGAAGAGAATACGACTTGTTCCGGCAGTTACATGGACACCGCTGGCGTTGCGCAATGCATTATCACGGATTGATAGTGAAGAGATGGACGACGACAGAGGCGGCGGGCCTCGATTAGGACCTTGTCTGGGTTCTCGAACGCCAAGCCGCCAATTGCACATCCTTACCCCATTTTTCCCCGCGTCAGTCGCGTGTAATCCGGGTGTCAACCAGAGTACCAGATCGGAGTGGATATAGTATGAGTATAAATAGATCTCCATTAATTGAAGAACCAATACGTTCTTGAATTGCAGCCAGACGCTCCGTCACAAGCGAAGATTCAATAAATGAAAAAGTAAGTGTCTTGTCTTATGGAACCCTGCTGAATTGTCAAGCATTCAAAGCCAGGATTATTGGTATTGTACATGAGCCACAAATACCACAGCACAAGCCTTCGGAACGTCAAAATACACAAAATGATGTAGTAATGGCCGCAGTTGTCCAGACTGACTTGCATTCGCATTTCTATGGTATCCCTTTTTGGTGCACAAGCAACGCCGTACGCCACAATGACCTTCTTCGTCGTACAATATTCGCTCTTCAAATAGGCTTGATCTTGAAGTGTAAGGCTATCAGAGAGAATACCAATGCCTTGAGATCTTGGACGAGGTAGTAGAACACACGCAAGCCCTCAGGGTCCTGAGACTCTGTGACATCAACAAGGGAGCCGATTTTGGCGGTCTTCAAGTGGAGTGTCAGTAAAAGCTGCACACGGAGGGGTTTCAACATGCCTCGAAGGAAATATGCTCGCTTCCCAATCGAATTTCCAACTCTTGTCGTCCGTCCTTGTTCTTCTGTGGCCATTTGCTGTCATCTTCCCTGTGCAATTGTAAGTCAACTAAACTTTGCGTATTACTGGCGCAAAAGACTTTACTTCATGATCTCGCTAGTCTTAATAATCCTCTTGATTTCATCCACCATCAAAGAGCTGACGCACACTACAAGCAACTCTGCATCAGTCGCGGTCGGATGTGAGGATCGTGGATGTTGGTAAACGTACTCTCTTTCCGAATCAGGGAATCATTGCGGTAGTTGGAATTGTTGGCATATCTCGCAGACGCACTTCTTCCATCTCCTAAGACTCGAAAATCGAATTCTGTTCGGATATATAAGCTTGCGCTTGGAAAATCCCTATCCAATGCTCACCAAGAAATTCATGACCGTGTCGTCCTTGATGTCCCGAACTGTGGAAAGGCTATTAGAATATTTCTGGCAGTACTCTCAGAGAGACTCACTAGTATCGGATGTAGAACGGTTCATTGGAGGCAGCCATGTCGACTATGTAAGTGTATTTGGAGCTTCCTCGCAAACTGCAGATATCTCGAGGCTGAAGGAAGCGATTTGGGTGAAGCGCGAGTTTGGTTCCGTTTGGTGGGGTGCTGGTGGCCTTGCAGCCTCGCAATTAAGTCAGGCACCCACGCTATAATCCCCGAATGGACACTCTGCGTGTCGTCGCCAGAAAGCTACTGTTCTGAAATCCGGCCATGCTGATCTGATATGCGCAACGTTCAACCGATTCTCTCACCTTGTGCGAAAGGATTTCTGGCAATTTCTTCCCTACCATCCATTCGCCCCTAGTCTCGATCCATTTGACTCTGTGCCGCATTCCCAGCAGCCCACAAACTCCCACCCACCGACTCCTATATCACCTAGGTCAACCTATTTCAACTAAAACTCGAAGCACGCTGCTGCTGATTACCCCAAATCCCTAGCCAATATGGCTTCTTTCTTGGAGAGTTCATACAGTTTGGTTCACCAGGACAATGCCGCCGATGTCCCTACCATGTCCGAGCTGCGGACGCAGCTGGAAAAGGGAACTGATGAGAGCAAGGTGGAAACGATGAAGCGCATTTTGACAATCATGCTGAATGGGGACCCAATGCCTCAACTACTCATGCACATCATTCGATTCGTCATGCCGTCAAAGCACAAGGCTCTCAAGAAACTATTGTACTTCTACTACGAAATATGCCCGAAGCTCGATGCCAGTGGGAAGCTGAAGCAAGAGATGATTCTCGTGTGGTAAGTATGGTAGCACATCTTGTATCTAATTTTACTGACAACTGCGTAGTAACGGTATTCAGAACGACCTTCAGCACCCCAACGAATACATTCGAGGTAATACCTTGCGCTTCCTATGCAAGCTTCGAGAAACAGAGCTCATCGAACCACTCCTCTCGTGTGCCCGCTCCTGCCTCGAGCATAGACATGCATATGTCCGAAAGAATGCTGTGTTCGCGGTCGCCTCCATATTCCAACACTCCGAGAGTCTCATGCCCGACGCACCAGAGTTAATAGCGACCTTCTTGGAGACCGAGACAGACCACACTTGCAAGAGGAATGCATTTGCGGCTTTGGTTAGTATTAGCCATGACAAGTCTTTGGCATACCTTAGCAGTGTTTTCGATGGAATCCCAAATGCAGACGAACTTCTACAATTGGTTGAGCTGGAATTCATCCGCAAGGATGCTATTCAGAACTCGCAGAATAAGGTTGGAATATCTTCTCTCTTACCATAACTTGTACTGACATTATAGGCTCGGTATTTACGTCTCATTTTTGATCTCTTGGAAGCTGGTGCAACAACAGTGGTCTATGAGGCAGCCTCGTCCTTGACTGCACTGACGAGCAATCCGGTGGCTGTAAAAGCTGCCGCCGCAAAGTTCATCGAATTGAGCATCAAAGAAGCGGACAACAATGTCAAGCTGATTGTACTTGATCGTGTGGATGTGCTGAGACAGAAGAATGAGGGTGTTTTGGACGACCTCATCATGGAAATTCTGCGGGTTCTTTCGAGTCCGGACATCGATGTGCGAAAGAAGGCCTTGGAAATCGCAATGGAAATGGTCTCCAGCAAGAACGTTGAAGAAGTTGTGTTGCTTCTGAAAAAGGAGCTTTCCAAAACTGTGGATCAGGAGTTCGAGAAGAACAATGAGTATCGCCAATTGCTCATCCACTCGATTCATCAATGCGCTATCAAGTTTTCCGAGGTAGCTGCAAGCGTTGTAGATCTTTTGATGGATTTCATTGCGGACTTCAACAACACTTCTGCTGTTGATGTAATTTCTTTCGTGAAGGAGGTGGTCGAGAAATTTCCCAAATTGCGCCCTTCCATTGTCGAGCGTTTAGTCTCGACTTTGAGCGAGGTACGAGCCGGAAAGGTCTATCGAGGTGCCCTTTGGATTGTTGGAGAATATTCTCTTGAAGCCAATGACATTCGAGATGCTTGGAAAAGAATACGAGCAAGCTTAGGCGAGATTCCAATCTTGGCATCAGAGCAGCGACTCCTGGACGAGGTTGCGGATGGCCAAGAATCAACCAAGGAGCCAGAACAAGTCAACGGACATTCCAAAACTGCGCCAACTGGCTCGAGGAGGGTACTTGCTGATGGTACTTACGCCACAGAAAGTGCTTTGACCAGCCAGTCGGCAGTTGCTGCAAAATTAGAAGCTGTCAAGGCAGCACAAAAACCACCTCTTCGTCAACTCATCCTCGACGGCGACTATTACCTCGCTTCCGTACTCTCATCCACTCTCACAAAGCTTGTCATGCGCCACTCGGAGATTTCGCCTGACAAAGCACGCACGAATGCCTTACGCGCCGAAGCCATGTTGATCATGATCTCTATTATCCGCGTTGGCCAATCGCAGTTCGTCAAGGCACCTATTGATGAAGACTCCGTGGACAGAATCATGACCTGTGTCAGATCCCTTGCGGAATTTGCTCAAAACAAGGATCTCGAGACCGTGTTCTTGGATGATACACGCAAGGCTTTCCGTGCAATGGTGCAGGTGGAAGAGAAGAAACGAGCTGCCAAGGAAGCCGTTGAGAAAGCTAAGACTGCAGTCCAAGTTGACGATGTTGTCTCAATTCGGCAATTGGCAAAGAAGAACGCCGGCGATGGTACTGATGAGATTGAGCTTGATCTTGAAAAAGCTACAGGCGGAGATTCGGCTGTCGAAGATATGTCGTCAAAACTTAGCCGAGTCGTTCAGTTGACCGGCTTCTCAGACCCAGTTTATGCTGAGGCATATGTCAAGGTCCACCAATTCGATATTGTGCTGGATGTTCTCTTAGTAAACCAGACAACGGAGACTCTCCAAAACCTCTCGGTTGAATTCGCTACTCTGGGCGATCTGAAGGTTGTCGAACGACCAACTACTCAAAATCTCGGTCCACACGACTTCCAAAATGTTCAATCTACAATCAAAGTCTCCTCCACAGATACTGGGGTTATCTTTGGGAATGTTGTTTATGACGGTGCCAGCTCTACCGAGAACAATGTTGTCATTTTGAATGATGTCCATGTCGATATCATGGATTATATCCAACCTGCAATCTGCACAGAAACTCAATTCCGCACTATGTGGACCGAGTTCGAATGGGAGAATAAGGTCAACATCAACTCCAAGGCCAAGTCATTGCGGGATTTCCTCACACAACTTATGGCGTGCACAAATATGAGCTGTCTAACCCCCGAGGCTTCGCTGAAGGGCGATTGCCAGTTCTTAAGTGCAAACCTCTATGCTCGAAGTGTTTTTGGTAAATAATTGGCTTCCCTTCCTTCACGAATATCTACTAATGCAATACAGGCGAGGACGCACTGGCGAATTTGAGCATCGAAAAGGAGGGAGAGGATGGTCCAGTGACTGGATTTGTTCGTATTCGCAGTAGATCACAAGGTCTCGCTCTCAGTCTTGGGTCGCTTAAAGGTTTGAACAAGGTTGGGGAAGTTGCTTGAGATGAGCAAACTCATGGTGAATGGAAGTTGAATTTAGAGGTTCAGGTTTTGGCCTCGAGAGCAGGTATACTTCGTAATGATAGACGGAGGCTAGAGACGTTTTGGCCGAAGCGGACACGATCGTGGGGCGTAGAATATGGTACGAGTTACGGGTTATAGCCACGCATTTGGTGGATCTTCCTGAGTGGCGCTGAAAAGCAAAAGGAGTTATCTAGATCCACAGGGAAGAATTGCAAGAAGTATTTTTGAATGTCCGGTGGTATTCTGAGTTCCGCCCGCAAGAAGCTGAAGAGCCACTCGATTGCTGAAGCCTGTTCTAACTTGGCATCAGTCTTTCAAAGCATCTCATAAAACTTCCCACTGAGATTTGACATCCTATCCTATGCAGTCTTGAGTTGCGGCGCAAATTTGAGGTTGAGAGAGGTCTGCAAGACTTTCGAGCGGAATCTGATATACCTCTATTCGAAACACACAATCTCGACGACCAGGATATTCAGACACCTAGTTCATCATGGGGTGGCGGTCCAAGTGAAGATTATGGACAAGAGTCTCCATTAATGATGGCCTGTGAGGAAGTGGCACAACGATGTTACTACCATCCTGCCCAAGCACGGCACCGACCCCGATTACGAAGCCCAGAAATACAACGCAACCTACGCACTCCATAACTCTGGAGAATTCGGCAATTTGCGACTCGCCCATTGGTCGCTGGGGTCTTGAAGTCACTATCAATCTAGACTGGTCCTGAATACAAATATATACGACTACCATACTGATACTCTGGTGAGCTATCGCTCATGAACATCTCGCCATGATTCGAATTCTTCCAGACCAGGGAGAGCTTTCGTAGGAGGTACCTGGTCATAGGCTCATGGCACTCCCAAGGAGCCAGGCTGTAGGCTCTCCTTGTCAGATAGTAAATACACTTGGACTTGAATCCTTGGCGAGTATTACGAGAGTGTGGCTTCAATGTCGATTTCCCACGGGACAGGCCGTGCTAAAATAGATGCATGTCTCATATATAGACGGAATCTGAGGCTATTTTACTGTGCAAGAAAATTTGCTATATAATCAATATCGACGTCAAATTTTCACAGGGTGTTGTTATTTCATCAGAAGCGAGCAGGCTCAAAACATGGGTGCATTCGTCGCTTATTTCCGTGCTTGATCACTGGAGTAGATCTCGATCAAGCGTGGAGAAGCTTGTAACTCAGGAAGAGTTCCTCAAGGAATGCCCTGCCTTCCAAACAAATGCACTCAATAAAAATTATTGTGCTACATTCTGAGAAATTAGGTAAGCGACGCTTTTGCAACAACCTTCTTAGATCTTTCACCAGCTGCGGTTCCAGCCTATCGCCAATGAAAGGAAACCCATTCACAAACCTAAATGTACATAGAGTAGCTGCTCATGATTACGTCGACCGGATCCAAAGAAGACTGTGATTACCCCGCAATAGAGAGACCATGAACCAAGAGTCAAAGGTAGCATTTCACATGTGTTCCTCGCAAGAGGTAGACGACGGAACCCGGCCCAATTCTTGACGGGATTTTCGTGTTACCTCTCGCAACCAGCAGTAGCCAACTTCGACGAAGGCCCCCTTTTATCTCACCGCGGCACTGATCAGATCGCAAGATGCACCAACCGTATCAACACCTAGGCCTCTTGCATGACTGAGTGCCGGTTGAGAGTGCGGAAGGCGGTGCAGCATCCTGAAAGGGAAACGAGACGAGCGAGACGTGGAGTGGAGTGCTGCACTGCAGTCGAAGCTCGGCATGTCATGGAAGCGCGTGCCGGCGAACGTCACTTGGTCGGTCATCCACCTCAGACCCCAGACCCAGACCAAAAGACTCCGCTCCCGCCTCTGGACTTCCTACCTACCTACCTACCTACCTACCTACTGTGCTCACTTGTAACAACAGCACCCACATACCACGACGACCATTTCCCCCTCTGCGATCAAGGATGCTTCGGATATCGAGGCCATTAACGACATGACGACAACCTCAAAGCCCATCGACAACCCTTTTGTCGACCCTGCTACGTCCTTCGAGGATGCAGGTCGCGCCAACTCGTTCGCTGTGGATGCTACCTTGGCACTGGGCCGGAATGTCTCTCTCACTCTGGGGACCGACTCTCTCATTGTCCTAGGTAGGGTTTCTAGCTTAACATAGTGGAGATCCTTTCTAATTCCTTCTGGCAGACGAAGAAAATGAAGAGAGAACCGGCAATAATTGCTGCGGGCTCTGGTCATCGAGTCCGTCTCCGCAGCATCCGCCCCGGAAATGTTTATTTTGCTGACAATAAGCTTACAGGCACTGCCAACACTCGCGCGATTCCATTTTATAACGTTCTATGGGCCGAATTGAAGGATTCCGAACTCACGCTGCAGTATGCGTCACCGGTGTCGAAGAAAGTGGTTCGCGCTGCGACGTTGAAGTATCCGGTGGAATACCAGATGGTCGAATTCGTAAATAAGTGGATATACAGGCTTCTAGATCGATCATACGGCGAGTCACAGCGAAGAAAACGAGTGAAGGTGCTGGTTAACCCTCACAGCGGGAAAGGAAGCGCAGAGAAGTGGTACTATCGGGATGCAGAGCCTCTCTTGAAGGCTGCCAACTGTGCAATTGATATGGCAAAGACAACACACAAAGGGGAAGCCATTTCGATTGCTGAGAAGCTAGATATAGAGGCATTCGATGTGATAGCCTCTGTTTCTGGTGACGGACTGCCGCACGAAGTTTTCAATGGTTTAGGACGGAGAGCCGATGCTAAGAAGGCCTTGTCCAAGATCGCGGTGGTCAACATCCCAGGTGGAAGTGGAAACGCCATGAGCTGCAACTTGACTGGAACGGACAGCCCTAGTCTGGCTACACTGGCGATCATCAAAGGCATTCCAACGCCTCTGGATCTAATATCAATCACTCAAGGAGACACTCGAACACTGAGTTTCCTGTCACAGTCTGTTGGGATCGTAGCAGAGTCTGATCTGGCTACTGAACATCTGCGATTCTTGGGAGGGCAAAGGTTCACATACGGGTTTCTTGTACGGTTGATAAACAAGATGGTGTATCCTTGTGACATTGCTATCAAGGTGGCTATCGATGATAAGCAGGCTATCAGAGAGCACTACAAGAAAGAACAAAGCAATTTTGAGCCGGCAAGTGAGCGAAGGGGGTATAGATCACACCATCTCTTGGATGATGATGCTTCAGCGAGCACTGGTAGTGGCAGCGATGACAGCTTACCACCTTTGAGATATGGAACCATCAACGACAAGCTACCTGAAGGATGGGAATTGGTACCATATGACAAACTGGGAAATTTTTATTGCGGGAATGTAAGTTTTATATCCCCGTTGACCACTTTTTGCCAAATACTGATCATACTAGATGGCATATATGGCGGCAGATGCCAACTTTTTCGCGCCTGCGCTACCTAACGATGGTTTCATGGATCTGGTCTGCATTAACGGCGACATCAGCCGCTTACACGCCATGAAAATGATGTTTGCCGTCGAAAACGGCAACTTCTTCGACATGCCAGGAGTCTGGTACCGCAAAATCCTTGGATACCGTATCATTCCCAAAAACCAGGAAGATGGGTTCATCAGTATAGACGGCGAGAGGGTACCCTTCCAACCTTTCCAGGCCGAAGTTCACAAAGGACTTGGCACAGTGCTTTCGAAGTCGGGCCATATGTACGAGGCTCCTGGGCCTATCTGATTTTCATTTATAGTCTCTTCATCATATTGGGATAATAGGGGCGTTTTGTCTGAACTGTTTCTCTTTCGATACCCAAAGAGGTGGATCGCTGACGCGATATTAAGTAAGCATGGAGTACATTCTGTATAAAGAAGCAAAAGTAGAATGATGTATTTGACCTGAACGCCTTGCCAATGCCGAGACCTTTCATAAAAGCGTGACGAAGAAATCAGTGAAGTACTTTTGCAGGCAGATGTTCAATCCTCAAAGCCACCCCATCCATCATCCTCCTTCGGAGTTTCTCCTTCCGCTTTCTCATTCCCAGGTAATCGCTCATCCTCCAAAGCCTCTTTAGCCTTCACTCTGACTGGTTTGGTCGGACTCCCTCTCTGCAATCCCTTCAATGGCTCCAACACCCTGTCTAGGATCTCCTCTTTCCCTTCCTCCTCCAATAACCCGACCCTCTCCAACTCATCCACATAAATATCGATAGCATGGAAGCGCATCCCATTAGGAACCCTGACATCCGTCACATTACACGGCACCTCCAACAGCAACTCCACATGAATTTTCACAATCCCCTCCTCCCATCCACTTTCCTTCAGCACCTTGAACGTCGCACCCAGATATCTCCTTACCAGCAACAAGAACTTCTCCATCCTCAAGACATCAATATTCGTCCACTCCCTCTGCATTGTCTGCCAGAATGCTCTGAGGAATGGGATCACGCTCGTGTAGGGTAGGACGGAGACAAGGTCGGCGAGCGAGTTGGCGAGAGCCTGTTGCGTGCGTGGCCGGTCGGACATCCACATACAATAGAATAGACCTTTCCAGAGCTTGAGCAGTTCTAAAGCGGGGAGTTCGCGACGTCCAGAGAGGTAGGTGCGGAGGGAGGCCAGGGCAGCATCGCGGGTTGGTCGGTCTGTGATGGATGCTGTGAGCTACGTGCTTGAAAATAGTTTTGTTGTTGCACTATGAGTGGGAAAACATACCATTGGCAGCAAGCTGCTTGACGAAAGGCGTTTGCTGGATATCTGTCGCCATGGTTGGTAGAAGAAGAGATGGAGGCAGGGGATGGCGGGGTTGTAAAGTGATGCCGATTAGATTGGCAACGAGTTGGAAGTTTTGCGACGGCTGGAATAATTTTGCTTGGTCTGTGCACGAGGCTGCATTAGCAGAAGGCTGAGCAACAGCCTTGCATGTTTTCATGTCCACACCTGGGAGGGAGTGTTTCCAGGCCAATTAAAGGGCAAGTTGCTTTGTATACCTTTCTGCGGAGTTTAAGAGTCCTGAGCTATTTCCTAGATATTCTACTTTTGTAAGGTCGATGGCTTATTATAATTCTGAAGCAGCCTTTGCGAGCTTCAACTAGTCCTGGGAAGACAACCTGCTTTGAGGGATTTTGCAATCGAAGTCGCACAGCTAATTAAAGTTCGAGGAGCTGTTTACCCTTTCCGATTTGATCCTGCCATTGGGATCCACTTTCTTGAGGGTTTTCTCTGAAGCTTCGGCTTCGAAGTGAATGACCGGCTTGCCGTTTATAGAATTGAATATAACAAAATTACATTTAGTACCCGCCACAATTTGATTGACAAGAATCGAATAAGAAATATCACAGGGCAATATAAGGACCAGCTTGCAATGTACATTAAACTTCAGATTTCGCGTAGGTGGTTTGAAAGGACTACGAATGGGCAAGCAGTCAGCTGATGAGCGAAAAAACTGCCACTGCACCCTAATGAAGAAAGAATTTTAGCCATAGCAAGGCACTCGTGTACGGTAGCTGTCCACTCTGGTGGTTTGCGACTCGACTTATGGCCGTTCAGTCTGTTCAACCCCTCTAATGGTGAGCTAAGCTGCCTGACATGCCCATACGATAGTCTACTTAGTAGGCGAGACAGGGTAGCCTGAGCGTACGCTTGAGAGACGAAGCAGGTCTACCGTCTAGGCTGCCTTCACGCGCCAAAGAGAGAGCGTACAAATTCTAATTGACGTTATTTAACACAAAAAACATTATACTGGATAGAGACATCTAACTAGCCATTCAGAATTGATTACACAGGAGAGTCGCAATCAGACTCGAGTCGTACCAACGACCTGTTTTCTTGACGTTCAGGGCCGATAGTTGAAGTAATGGTGGCTTTGAAAGAGGACCTTTTCGCTTAGGGTATTTCTAAGAGCAAGTAACCTAGAGGTTGCCAATTACCAACAGGTAGTGATCGAAATCTGTAACTGCAGCTATCACACACATGATTCCGCAAACCACTCACTTCCCATTGTAATACTCAAGACTATCTGCTTATCTTTATAAATCTAGGAAGCTTTTAATCCAGGGTTTGATCGCTAATATTATACGCTGAAACCATTGGCTCTAGGGCCTTGCATGTTGCACCACAGCATAATTGATACACCTTGATGCATCTGAAATTAATCTACGCTTTAAGCCAGTAAAGGAATACAGAACTTTGCAATAAGAGTCTATGGTATTATTAGGCTGCCCAATGAGGCTTTCTAATAATCACAATTGAAGGGGCTTCAAAAATCACTTCGTGAAGGGCAATTGATACAAATGCAATCGATATGAATCCTTAAGCAAACAAAAAAGTCGTGAATTTGAGATATGTTCTTTTCTAGGTACTACATTATTTCATTCTAAGCCTTGAATTACCTAAGGTACCTAGGTAGGTATTTTACTGCCCTTATGCGAATATTGCACGTGACTATCGACCAATAAGACCACGCTAAAATCTGTTCGGCAAATTACTTATTCCGTAGTTTACTTCACCGTTGGTATTATTATTCTAGCTTAAAATAGGTAGTAAACAACGCTCTTAACCTCGATCTCACTAGAATCGCAACCATGGCCATCAACCATTCTATGGGTAGCTCTGGGAGCTCTATTTCCTCCTCAATCCTTTCTTCAAACCTTGGAAACATGGCACGGCGGCAGTATAACCACTTTCACTTCCACGGAAAGAAGGATCTGGCTCAAGCTGCTGAGGAAGCGAAGTGCCACTATTGCCAACTCGAGGCCTTTTCAACACACAAGGAGTTCGCCGTTTCGATTGTCTTCGCACCAGGAGAGACTCGTATGATACCAAAGGGATTCCAGTTCATCGAAGATGTTATGCTCACACCTGGTGTTCAACTCGCGGAGAGTAATTTCCTATCGGGTTGTACATGTATTGACGAATATAATTGCATGGTAGAAGGTTGCGAGTGTATGGCCAATATTGCTCATGATGGTGGTAAGATCAATGCCTACCATGTTGTTGGAAATCGTAAGGGATGCCTTCGAGGCCATATGTTGGATTCCAGATTGCCAATATACGAGTGCAACGACCGGTGCGGTTGTGGTGAGAACTGCGCCAATAGAGTTGTTACTGCTGGAAGAAAGATTAGCTTGCAAATCTTCCCCACTGAGGATGGTCGTGGCTGGGGTAGGTATAATCCTTTCCCTCCTGCCTCAACTGCCATTGTTGACCAGACTAATGACTGGCTGATAATAGGAGTTCGCTCATCAGACGATATTAAGCGTGGTCAGTATATTGGTAACTACGTTGGAGAGCTCATCACCTCAGATGAAGCCCATCGACGTCGGCGAGCTGGCGATAGTATGACACACAAGGATGTCTACCTGTTCGCCCTGGACAAGTTTAGCAATCACAACAGCACGGATCCTCGACTCAACGGTGACCCTTATGAGATCGATGGCGAGTTCTATTCAGGTCCAACTCGCTTTATCAACCACTCATGCGACCCTAACCTTCGGATCTTCGCCGTGGTAACTGATTCGGCCAATACCCCATTCCACGGACTTGCCTTTTTTGCCTTGAAGGATGTCGACAAAGATACAGAATTGACTTTCGACTACACTGATGGAATCTCCAAGAAGGATGACCGTCCCCTACAACAACTTTCGAAGGAGGAGCGAGCTGGTCTGACAGAGTGCCTTTGCGGTTCCCCTAAATGTCGGGGATATCTCTGGTGAATAGAACAGCCTAATTCTTACGCGATACACGGAATCTGGGAGTTCCCGATGGGATTTGACTCGGGTGCTTTCAATGTGGGCATATCTACAGTGGCTTCTGAGCATGGCGTGCTTGTGCTAGGTTGAAGGGTAGGTCTCCTTGATGACAGGATGAATGCGATGAGATATGATGTGCTTGATGGTTTCCGGAGTTTGAGACAATACCCAGAATAATGGCGTCAGATTTCACTTTTTTAAGATTGTATATGAATCTTTGATTCGAAGACCATGTTGTACCATAGGCAGGAAGTGGATGAGATCCACGCGTCAGGATTAGATCAGTTAGTCTGTGGTCAATTTGAAGGCTGAAGAGGCCGCTCAGGTGAGAAACAGACCTTTGACAGCTCCAAAATATCAATAAATATAAGTGTTACAACTATAATTTAAGGTGCCGAGATTCCGAATCAATAACTGTAAATAATCCACCAATTTGATTTGACCAGAATCAAGTTTTCATACAATGCCGGTATTAGAAGCAAGATAATTTCGATAGGCTCCTCCCTGAAGCTCAGGAGCTTTATCATGCGGCGCTCTTAGCTGATATGTCGAGTCTTTAAAACGTGCTCAAACTTAGTTACACCTTGCAAATAAACAGGAGTATTCTAGAATGGCTTTGATTAACTCTTGAACTCATTTCTCATTTAGTTCAAAGGCAGAGTAATACAGCAGAAGTGTTCTTGAATGTGATTCCAACACATACTATTTTTAATTTCTCGGTTTGTTATTGCTCCCGCTCGCTTCAAACGCGCGTCACATCTATCTGTGCGAATGTAATAATTTCTGGGGTCGGTCAATATCTTACTGAAGTTGAGTCTGAATAACACGATTGATTGGTGTTTGTGTAAATAAAGTATTTGTGAAGCTGTGGAAAGCCTGCGATGTGACAGGGAGGCTCCCGTGCTAGATGTTCTGGAACATTGACAATCATAGTGGTCCATTATTTATGCGTTTTAATGGGAAGTTAGTGGATCTCATTGCCTGTCATGTCATCCTAGCGAGCAAATAACTGAGGAATCAACATTTCAAACTCCTGCCCTTAGACTTTGATAGCTGGAGTTAGCTTCACCATCAATGGTGGCTTGTCCTCGAAAAGCAAGTAGATACGATTCCCATCCAACCATCCTCTGCTTTCCTCGCACAACTCCATATCAAAATTATAAATCATCCTCGCCAGTATCACTCTCAACTCAACATTGGCCAAGTTTCTACCAATGCAATTTCTCGGCCCAACGCTGAACGCATTCACAACCCTCCGTTTATCTTGATTGAATTCTGGAGCTCCCATCCAACGCTCAGGAATGAACTCATATGGTTTTGTGAAGTTGGCAGAGGAGTGTGAGGCAGCCCAGTGGTTGATGGCTATGTATGTCTTTTCAGGTAGGAAGTGACCAGCAATCATGCAGCCTCCTTTGGGGGTGATTCTATTGAGATTGCCTGGAACGGGTGGAAAGATGCGTAGAGCTTCATTGAGGACTGCTAGGAGGTATTCGAGGCCGTTGACGCTGATCATGTTGATCTCAGATTCTGTACTAAAGGCGCCTCGAACTTCGTCTTTGAGCTTAGTAAGTATGGATGGATTCATGAGTAGATGGTAAGTAACTCCGGAAAGGAGACTGGCTGTAGTTTCAGCACCTGCTGCTATGAGGAGCCCCCCTGTTTCGGCAAGTTCGCTGAACGTCATGCCTTCTTTCGTATTGAGTCGTTTCTGTGCATGGCAGATGCTTCTCATGTTAGCAGAGGCACCCACCATATTTCCATGGACTTACATATCTGGACGAGGATCAGGAAGCTCAAGTCGTCTGAGGAGCTTCTCCGTCATCATCGTTCGAAATTTTGTCTCTTCTTCTCGAGCATAGCGCGCAAAGAGAGTCAATACGATCTTGTCCAGTGGCCAGAACTTCTGTAGCAAGCCGAGGAGCGCTATGGCTCTTCCTGCCCGGTGGAGGAGCTGCAGGGAGAGCTAATCCGGTGATTAGTTAAATCACTCTCGAAGAGCTCCTTTCGTTGTCTTACATGAATCTCTGTTTTCTCAAGACAGTCAAACGATTCTCCAAATGCTAAGTCGCTGATAATATCCACAGTAGCAAATTCGTAGTATTCAACGAGATTCACTGGCTTTTCAGAATTCTCTCGCAGTCTCTGAATCAAAAGATCGAAGTATTTTGTGATCAGTGGTTCTTGGTCTCGGAGGATCTTCTCTGAGAAGCCGGGGGCAAGATTGCGTCTACGTTTGTTAGTCAGCAAAATTTCCCCCGTACATTTCGAGAAATACATGCCTGTGTCGTGCATGTATATTGTCATCTGGTTCAAGCAAGAGCCCTCGTGGTCCATTTGGATTTGCTATGAACTGATCGGGATCCTTCGGCAGCTGCGTATTCCGTGACGCAGGCTTCCCATAAACTACAAATACTTATAGTCAGCTTTAATTTCCTTTCTACACGGCTGAAGATCATGATGAGGAGTTAACATGACAGTCATATTATGCTGACTAGTTCGAAAACAAATGTGCTCACTGTCTTGCCAAGCATCCTCCAAGTTAAATATCAATTCATTTGGTGAGATCCGAACTATCGGCCCATAATGGTCGTGGAACTCAGCAATCTTGTATGGGAGCTTTCCTATTGCAAAGTAGTACGCAGACGGCAACCTTGTGATGCTCCAGACACGTGGTCCTGGATACTTGGAGAGAGGATGGATGTAAAGTCTGTATATCGTAACGCCTACGAGAAAGAGGGTGAACTAAATACAGCTGTAAGTATGTAACCCGATAATTGAAAGTCTTTCCTGTATCTGAGAAGAGAAAGCTCACACAGGCTGCAATAGTAGAAGCATATCTATTGCCTGCAGTAGTAGTGGCCCGAAGCAGTTCCATTTTGATCTTTTTGCCCTCAAGTTTAAGGTCAAGCTCGACCAGTGTACGACGGAGCGAATTGGAAAGCAAGCAGAAAGGAGGCTATTTATGATAAGTAAGGGGCGGGAGGCGATCAAGAGATTGAAGGTGGCGGCTTCAAGTAAATGTGAGTCGTCTTCATTGGATGGATAAATTGGTGACAGCAGGTTGTGTACCGGAGCGGAGGATATTGAATCAGCAAAGATGAGGAACCGTGGTTACGTTCCATTGCGGGATATAGCATCTAGATTGTGTGCTTTCCTCTCTCAAATGGATGGTGGACTATCTAAGTCAAGATCAGTTGTCCAAGTTTGAGAGCAGGCAGATGTATCTTATCTGGTTATACTATTTCGCTATCATTAACCAGCAAGGTCAACAAGATAGTTTCTTCCAGCTGGGAGAAGAGAGAGTGACTTGTGACAAGTCACACAGCCAACGGCTTGTCATCGGGCTGTGGCATGAATGTGCCACGGCCAGTGTTCCCTTGCAGCCAAGTAGCCAACCGTGTCGTAGGACTGGGGCGAATGGCAATTATTCCAATTCGACAACGACCCAGTAAGATATGAGGAGCTGTTACTCTGAAATACCTTGAGACTGCAAATCCATGCAAACACACTATTCATCCGTCACCCGATGCAACTGATTCAACTCTTTGATGGCATCAGTGGCCTAGTTCTGTACAACCAATCCAACCATGGTGGTAAAACATCGACGTCGCACAATTAGTTCAAGCGTGGTGATCCCCAGCATATCCATGCATCAGGATGATGTACTTCTCATCCTAAGCTGCCAGCCCATATTTTCACTAGTCCTCGATCTCAATCTCAATCCCACTCCCATTCTCACTCCTGAACCACCACAGCCCCTCCTTCCAAGCCTCCCGCCTCAAACACCACCCCACTAACGACGATCCCAAAATCCCCTATCCCAAGATCCCACCCCAACGGCCGTAGTCAATCCCTCCGAAACATCTCTGTCCAGCCACCTCCTCTCGAGAGATTATTTCCTGAACCTACTAGATACATCTTGAAAACTTCTATCTCTCCCAGCCTCTTGAAGTGCTTCTCTGTCGCATGTGCGGGTAGTGCATTTATTGTCTCTGATGTTTTCTCAACACTTGTTGCTTGTGGATAGGCTTTCGTTTAGCACTCTGAACCAAACTGTTTCCAAGCATCGAAAACCGAGAAGGACACGGTTACATGGTAGAATGGGATACCTGCACCAGTCTCAAAGTGACCTTTCCCTTGATCTTTGCCTTCAATCCCAGCTCCACATCCAGATCAAGCCCGATTCCCAGCCTAATAGGTCTCTTCTCATCTGTCGTCCTTCGCTTTTCTGCCACCCCGTTAGCATTTCCATTGAGGTTCGTCCAGCTTCTGTGCCTGATATAGAAGCCGCATTCATGTTCCTTTTCTTCCTTTTCTTCCTCCTCCGTATTCTAGATGACGAAGAGCATGCCTTGGGCAAGATATCCGAGTCGCCTTGACCGGCACTGACTTGTGAAGGGAGAGAGAAGAGGTGTGCGTCTTTACTGTTATTTCCGTTCTAGTTAGAGCGCGGAGTGGGAGGCTGTTGCTGCTGCTGTGTTTAGGTGCTGGTTTTGTGTTTGTGTTGTTGCCCTCGGGCTTGAAAGTTGACATTGGACAAGGCTAGTATCTTTCGCGGCTCTCAAGTGTTACTGACTAAACTTATAAGTGCCAAATAAGGGGAAAAGATGATGAGAAACACCGAAATTATTTCAGAGGCAATGCTATTCAGGACCCGATGAGATTATTCCCAGATCTCTTCCCACACGTGCTTGATGTATGGAAAGACAATTCAGAAAGAAACAGATAATGAGGCTCTCGTACGAGCAAGCATGCCATTCCTAGATTTGAAACGCTTTCTGCTTACATGCATTGTCTCAAGCAGTGACCACTTATGATTCTGCGGCTTCGATGGATCCTCCTAGGGGTTTTGTAAGCACGAGCATGAACATCTCATTCCTGCAGAAGCTGTCACAACGGAGCAGCGGAGAGCTCGGAATCGTCTGATCTACAGACAGAGAGGGCTGAGCAGCCTAGACCCCGCTGAGGGGTCTTTCCCAGGATCTGCCCGGTCTTGAGGATTGAATGTTCATGTGTATTGCTTTATCAACAAGAATGAACAGCATTACAAGACCTAGAAGTCATTTGTTTATACTCAATATACCTCCCAGCCCCGGCAGCCTCCGCAAGAACGACATAGATCACCCATGTCCCGACATTACGTTTGCAACAGGAAATCATGATCGATCATCAACTTAAGCACTGAGAAGATCTTTGACACTCATTCCTCGCCCACTGAGGCTACCCTGAGTTCCTCTACGATCGGTATTGAGCATCAACAGCGCAGCTGTTGCTTCCTGATCCAAATCTCGTTGTGGCAACAATGCAGGACTCGTCAACGCCGATCCGACGGAAGCAGCACTACGAGCGTAGTCGTAGGCCGCTGGACCAAGAGCTGGTGATGTTGTGTTAGATGTGCTGAAGCTATAATGACGGTGGTCTGTTGATACAGATGAGTATGAATCTTGACGATTGCGGGAATCTTGAGGCAGAAGTGCTGGAGATGCCGATGGACGGTTGGAGTTCGGGACTGGTGTAGAATAAGCTGGTGACGCTTGAACTGAACCTTCCATCTCAACATCCTCGTTTTCCTCATATGGCTGGTACTGACGGGCATTGCCGTAAGAACCTCGACTCGCGGGTGTAGGAAGGACAAAATGCTCGCTATTGGGGGTTGTATTGGTTCGGTTATTCTCTGCCTTCAGCTTAGAGACGCAGTCTTCTAGATATCGGACGTAGTCGATAGATGCCCACAGTTGGTGTTAGTTGACGTCTACCAGCTAGATCGTAAATAAAACATACCTGCAGAATAGCCAGCTTATGCATCTCTCCCGTACAAGCTGGTATCATGTCCTTCAAGATACCAAACTCCTCATTCATCTTGGATCTTCTCCGGCGCTCAATGAGACTATGTGCTGTTTTCCTTGCTATCTTTCTGCCAGCAACACTCGTGGAAGATGGTTGTTTCTTCTTCGGCGCTGTCGCAGCCGCCTTGCCAGCAGTAGGTTTCTGAGCATCAGTGTACGCTTCTTCTTCCTCCTGCTGTCCGCGAGGCTTCATCTGTATAATCTTTCGCGATCTTGTAGGCGGAGGTGGCAGAGCAAAGACATCTTTCGTCGCTGAAGCTTGTACGGCAGAGGAACGGCGACGAATCTTTACCACTTCACTTGCAGGAATTGCAGGAGACGTCGGAGAGGTGGGGTGGAATGAGGAGGCTGAGGAGGACTTCGTTGAAGATGCGCTTGAAGGTTGGGACTCGGATCCTGCTACAGCAGGAGGTGGAAGTTCGAAAGACATTTGCAGAGTTGAGAATTGTGATCCATCCTTGCCCTTGATCTCTGTCGAAGAGGCAGGTGTCGGAGGTTGCTGGGGACGAGGCATCTCGTATCCGTTGGAGCACTGCTCAAGGGTCTCGTGCGCGATTAAGGTATTGTTGATGGTCCTTCCCGTTCCTTCACGTACGTATGATAATAGCTCGGGAATAAATGACGATAAAAAAGCCACAATTGGCGTGTGAGAGGATGGAGGGGGAGGCAGAAGAAGAAGGAATTCTTGGGGAAGTAACAGCAATGGGAGCAGTCTCCTTCAAGAAGTAGGAAAACAAGGGAGGGCAGGGCAACTCAAGTGTCGCACTCACTCACTCACTCACTCACATGGTGGGATGTCCTGGCATTGCGACCGCCCCTGCGACTGCGACTGCGACCGCGACTGACCTCGAAAGCTAATCTTCATCCTGGCCGCAGTACTAAAATATACGTTCCGGGTGCCTCTGGACGTGCTCGTAGTGTCGCGTGCTGCGAATGATTGGTAGGAGGGAGGTCGAGGGGAGGTTGAGGGAATCGGCCACTCAGAAGCGGAGACTCAGAACGTGTCAGCCCGAGAATCGAGCCGGAAAGCTTGTCTTTTCGCGCGGGTAGGCCCAGCCCCAGCCAGCCCAGCTCACGTGAGCATTGTCCTCTCTGTTTTATTTTGTTTCATCCTCGCTTCAACGATTTCCAAAAGTCACCTTTGTCGTTAAGTTGCTTAGTAGTCAGTGTTCAGATGCAGTTAAGTATAGTCTGTAATAAGATAGCTAATACATCTGCTATAAGCGTTTCTCTCAAAAGGATGATTCGATATCTGTGTGGCTACAACCTCTAGATAAAGAACCAGATTAGACTTGAAATATTTTCAATTAGGATAAGATAATAGAAGAAAAGATAAGAGGTAAAGACCTGTTATCAATGGTTAAGACTAGATCTAGTAGAACCTATTCAAGTACGTAATTAATGTCCCTGTAAGGCTTGAAATCAGTCTTAGTAGGGTAGTAGGGTATTGCTTAGAAAAGGAAATGTTGGTATCGTACCGGGAAACAAACAACAAGTGTATGTCGAATATACGTAGTGTGCAAAAGTATGTTTCAAACGTGTTTAGAAGTGTGTATTCAAAATAGTGTCTAAGGTAGAGAATATATACCACTCCCCGAATAGTCCCCGGTTCGCCTCCAGAAGGGGTCCGTCACCCTGACCGTGATTACTCGTCCCCTACTTGCCACCTATATTTTCCCTGTATAAGTCTGCGGACTAACAGTTGTAGTTTAGAGAAATGTAAATACTATACTGGAGTTTCTGTGTCGATTTCTGCTCTACTTGACAAATGGTGCGAGCTACTTTGGGTTGTCTATCCCTGCCGACAATACACTTGCTGCTTTCACAAATCAGTGAGGGCGTTACAGGAGGGTATCAAATCATTCAGGAGGCCCGGCTATGATGATTGGATCTTGTCATTTACACATAATGATAAGCAACAGAACCCGAACACTTCAAACAGGAATCAATGTCTTTTATAGGAAGTAGACAACGAAATCGGGGAGGTGACATGGATGGAAGATATTGCTTGGACACTAAACCACACCCTTGCCAAAGGTTCCTAGGGATAACGTTGCGAATGGAAATTGTTGCTGTACGTGGAAGAGGATTTTATGACTAGTCTATGATGGGAGAGAAAGTCTACTGCTCAGTTCAAGTCGACTTTGACATCATCCTGGAGTTCAAAAGGATATGGTTGGGGAATTTCCACTATGCAAAACATTGACCTCAAAGCACAAGGCCATCTACCTGAAGATGAACACAATATCATGTGTATAAATTGTATTCTTGGGAAAAGAATATATTTCTATTGCTCGACAAGTTTCTCCACTGCAAGTTTCCATGGAATCACTTGGTTATTGCGGAGGGGCGGCTTGCAGGGGTGCTTTAGCAGTCCCGAAGTAGAGTTGAACCCTTCCCACCAGCCCTTGATGTGTGAAATAACTCATGTAGTAAACTTCGGCACACTTGAAGTTCTCTGTCCTTTTTGTGTAGCCTTAGACGCATAGTCACTAGTGTCACCACTGACCCTCGGGTTCATGAGATGATGAACTGTATTGAAAAACAAAGGCTGGGATGCGAGGAAAAGTAAGATAGCGAAGCATGAAATGTGAATAGCAATGAATGTGGAACGAAAAGGTGACGTAGTGCGAAACGAGCTTTCATACGAGAAATTGAGGTTTACGACTCTTTTCTGAAAATCTGGCACTCAAGACTCTGTCAGTGCCCTGCTATCCACCTTCTACTTTTTGGTCTTGCTCATCTGACCTATTATCGCTCTGAAACACATGCATATAGCTATACAACTACTATATGACTCAAGTACGGACAAGACACCTGCCCCAGGAGAAAACATGGTATCGTGAAAACAGTCGTCCTCGTCTCCGTCAAGTGGGCGATTTAACACTTCAGCATTCCAAGACTCTGGCTTATATAGAAGGCTCTAAGAGATGTTAAAATTGTGTCTTTGACTGACTCAAGTCAATGACACGTTGCAGATATGAATTATCTTTGCTAGCCGTTATGCAATTGAAGTTGCAGTATCCGGATGTCAGCATAGGGGTTGATCCTGATCGAGACGGGTAAGCGCGCAAGTACCGCTAAGCGAGGCGCGCTAGCCAGCGCAGTTTGCCCGCTTGAACCCCTACCTACCAAGTAGGGGCGAAGGCTCTGGACCACACAAGGGTCCAGAATACACCGATGATGAAGACGGACTCTTCCTGCCATAGGAATATCTTCAAAAGCGAATTGAAGCAATGATAATTTGAAGTCTAGGATCTCGCTTGCCGTGGGTTTCCATGTCCGCAGTTTTGCCGACGAAAAGTTTTGTTGCACGTCGCATATTCGCCTGGAGAATCTCGTGAGACTAGGCTCGACAGATTTTCTCCCACTTCGCATAACTTCCGCATCTGGCCACTCCGAACACCACAGTAACGTGCCTCCGACAGCCCTCGCGCTACACAACAAGCCTATATATTGTTAAATCGGGTAGACTTCATATAATAGCCTCGAAATTGCAGATATCAATTATTTCCTCGATTCAACCTCCTCCGCCTACTTCCGGTCCATCTTACACTGACAACGAGTCATGGGTTCCGTATCTCCAACATTCAATGCCCCCCCGACAAGGGCCTTCTTCAAGGGAGGACTTCTTTTTGATATGTAAGAACCTCATCCCCGCACTTGCACGATGCCGTCCAGTTCTCCGGCCACGAAGATATGGATTTCCTCGAAAACCCACTCTTGGCCATCCTGCAAGAATCTCCAAGATCAACATATTCTTCTTTATTTTGGTGACAGTGTACTGACAGTCGATAGGGATGGCACCATCATAGTAGGAATGCTTTCCTGATTGCCGCGATACTTCACTAACTGGCACGTCTAATTCAGGATTCTACAGATGCAGTTATCAAACACTGGCACATGTATGTTTATCTCAATTTAGCCATTCCCCCGCTACTTCTTGGCTAATGAGTAAACTGCTAGTATCGGAAAAGAGATAGGCGTCGATCCAGCAGTCATCCTAGAAACATCTCATGGCAGGAGGTCTATCGACACATTGAAAGTGTTGAGCCCCGAGCGGGCGAACTGGGAATGTATGTTTTTTTCCCCATCTTCTCTTCTTCATATACACAAGGATTATGAAAGCCATCATCGATTTTGACCTCAAAGCGCAGTTTGCTGCTACCCCTATTTTCAGTTCGCCGAAGCGAGATGGTCTAGATTACACTCTCAGCTTATTTTGCCCTGCTGGCATACTCTTTTCATACTAATGAACAACGCCACGTTACCAAAGCTGACAATAGGTAGACATCAAACACATGGAAGGACTCCTCCCAAAGAACTACGGGGAGGATGCCGCTGAAATTCCTGGAGCGCGTGCCCTTCTCGACCAGGTCAGCAACTCACCTCACTTCCCCTAATATCGTAGGAGCTGAGTCTCTAGAAGCCTGGAGCACAGTAGAATATAACGCTTCTATCAGCAATCACTGCTATGATCATTCTGTAAAGTCATGGCTAATTCGTCTAAAGATTAAGACAGACAAGGTTCCTTGGGCAATAGTCACATCTGGGACTAGCCCTCTCGTGAGCGGCTGGCTGAACGTACTAAAACTCCCGGTACCTAAAAACCTCGTTGTGGCTGAAGATGTAGAGAACGGCAAACCAGATCCCGCTTGCTATTTGATGGGCATGGAAAAGCTGGGCGCCACAGACCCGAGTCAAGTCCTTGTGCTGGAGGACAGTCCCGCGGGTATCAAGGCGGGCAAGGCAGCAGGATGTAAAGTCCTCGGTCTGGTCACATCTCATACAGTTGAGCAAGTCATCAGCGCAGAACCGGATTGGATCGTCAAAGACTTGACCAGTGTCAAAGTTGTTGGCTTTGGAGAGAAAGGGGTTGAGCTTGAGTTCAGGGATGGGTTGGTAACCAATTAATCTCGATTTGGAGGAGAATAGTGGCAATCCCGAAAGTGCAGATTGGTAGTGGCATTGTCCAGATAGACAAACAATAGATAGACGGCGCATAGATAGCATGGACTTTATTGACTTGGAATCTCAACATATGAAATCCTGGCACAGGCTGTTTGTCGTACCCAACAACCTCGTAACGGGCACGTAAGTAACTAAGCACCAAGCAAGCGACCCGCCATCAAAGAAACGCCTTAACCCACTTATCGTCTCCTATTTGATATTCTTTCGAGTCCCATCTCGGGCCCCTCCTCCCGCATATCCCAGATCTGGGGCTGCTCGTCGACACCTCGGAAGGCATCCTGAACCCCTCATTGGCCACAATCCCCTCGCCACCAAAATTGCAGCACACCACTTTCACCAATTAGTGGCAACACACCAGAGATGACGCGCTGCCGAAGTGGGTTCAAGAAAGCAATATTTTCCGCTTTTGATGTTTGAAAGAAGTATTGGATTTGTTTTGCATGCTCGTCCAAGCGAATCCGTGATGTTGCAGTAGCGTTGTGGGGTTCCGGTTGGTTGGGATGGGATGATCAACCAGGAGTGCAGTAGACAAGAGGACTCGTCATATTTTCTAACGGGCAGCGAGGCGGCGGGTGGACCCTGAATTTTCCCTTGTGGAACTTGGATGAAGAGTGAGGATTGGTTTGAGCATTGTTTTAGAGAACTTGGACTCGTATTTATTGATCAGTCTGGTATTTGAATTGGTTGGTTGACGATCAGTTGGAGCTGCCTCAACAGCTAGAGCAATGAGAGGTTTCGATCCACGAGCGGATCGAGTATGATCCGGTACAGCGGTACAAGTGAACTTGTGGCGGCTCAAGACGTCAAATCAAGGGTTTGATATGGTTGATCTTGGTGATCATGCCTCTGGCTTATTTTGATTCGAACTTTATCCGACGACTTTGGCGGGAATAAATTCGATAATTGTAGTGCATCATCAGCTCGTGGCCTATCGATGGGTAATGTAATGGCAATCTTAGAGTGGACCATAGCCCGAACAGCAAGTGAAAGTCGTATCCTTGACTATAAACATTAAAGTTCAGCAGGCATGATCGATCCTCCAGTATGACTTGGCCAATAGCTTCATAGATGTGCCAATATGTCACCATCGAAATATTTGGGGTATATACAGGATTCAAATACCTGCGGCGGACTCGCTGCAGCATTTATTGATTTTTAGTTGAGTAAGTGAACATCGCGGGAAGGGTTTCACTGGCTCGTGTCTATCCTTCTGCCTATTCACAGGAAGGAAGTTTTCTTTGAGAATCGAGACAAATCACGGGGGAAACTAATCAAATGCAAATAAGCAGACTTGTCCACTCAGGGACTTAAATGGAGTTTCAACAAGTGGAAGAGAAGGAAGATCACGTGGTGCCAGTACTTCCATTCCATGTTGCAAGCTTCAAACCATCTCGAATAGTTAGCGATGTTCCTTTATGCGAAGAGTGGATATATAGAGTTGAAGATTTTGCAGTGCCCTTACAGAGGTTATCAAACCTGACTGCAATAGCCTGCTCCATAGTTGTCGATCATCCTCCATATTACCTAGGTACGTTTAATACCCTTTCACTGCTTCAGTCCCTCTATGAATTGGCAGAAAATGCTTCTCCAGCTTAACATTACTTGCTACCTTTCTACGAAACATATATCAAATGTTTTTCTATGCTCTGTGCCCTACGGCATAGTGTATCATTTGCTCGGCAACTTTGTTGATGTATTCATACGCTGTACACTTGAATCGTTCCCCTTATTCCACTAAATGATCTGGTAATCCTCCTCTAATATAAAGCTGTTATCACAACAAGACTATCCTTGGATTTAATTATACAATTGACATACCATCTTTTCGGCAAAATCAGTCGACAATGTTATATACACCAGACAGCGTAGAGCGTTCCTACTCATATTTGTAAACTATATCGTTACCTCAGCGTGATATACCAGTGGTTCTGTCTGGGTGCCGGGTGCCCCATAACAATTGTAATGCCTGCTCTGTAGAATGGTATCACAGATTGAATTGCCGCTACAGGATGCCTAGCTTTTCAATTCAGCAGAATTCATACTTCTCAATCAATTGTTCTGGATCTTGACCCTTATTGCAAAGCTTGGTACAATATAGTGTTAGGTACATAACAGTAAGTACTAAGTTATCAGTTATTAGAAGTGACTCAATCACTCAGTAGGTTTAAGTTCAAATAAATATTGAATCTCACGATTGCCACATTTTGCGCTGTTATCCATGTTTATTTTTTTCAGAGTGCCTAAAGCTGAACCAAGACCTTCTTCCGGCGCAACATTGATAAATTCGTATTCTAGGATTATGTGTAGGGGTTAATCACAATGATACTTGCTTCCATCGCACCATTGCGATTTGTGGATAGCACTAGTGGGGTAGAAGACAGTCCACTGGGTGTTGACTGATATTGATCTTCTAGCAAAGCTGCAACTCTGCATCAAGCGGTTGTACCCACTGATTGGATTTGCTAACGCGATTGGCAGGCACTTCTCCAGTAAGAGGCTCTACATCGACGATACCAATGATATTGCCTAAGTTCAGGCGAAAGCATAGCGCGTTGGCGACATGTGTAGGTCTAAGTAGCCAGTCGTCTGCACTTATTGCCTGATGACATTCGGGATCGGTTTTACGTCGCCTTTGAACGTGTCAAGCTCAAAGATTTCAGTCGGTATCTTCACTTGATAACTGTGTTTCCACAATCACCGGCCCAGGGTTTTATAACATCCTTCGCGGCCTTATTCCCATGAAAAACTTTGCCCCCAACGTACTAGTTGAGCTTCCCAAGCGAGGATCTGGACGGCGCCCGACGAGAAAGCTAGGTCCACGGCACATTAAATTGAGACATCTCCCCTCCTTCTACCGCCTTCAAAGTCAGCTGCAGGACAGTTTTCTGTCACAAAATAAAATTAAGAATTGCACTTGTCCGCTAGACCGCCCACTTTTCACCTGTCAGTGACAAAAAGCCCGCCTTCGGTGACTCCGTGGAAGGATCTGGAGGAGTTTTCGTTGACACTGGTCTATTTCTTTTGTGTATTTTCGCTAGAACTTTGGTGACTGGGAGAGAAGATAAGAAGTTAGAGACATTTGTATTCGGAAAGATAATACTCACATTTAACGTTTGGGCTGGTGCTACATCTCGGTATGTTTGTGACGTGACGAACCGTAGAAGGAATGGAGAGAAAACATAGAAGAAAACACGGTGGCACATGACAGATATAGCAGCAATCCCCTCATATTTGAGCAGCCCATGGTCACACAACGTCTGCAGGTACAAAGTGACATGTCGGTTACTTTGTCCTCGCCGAATGTTCTATTCGTGCACGATTGCATATACTATTCTCCGAGACGCGAAGGGGAACATTGCTTGAGTAAGGCAGGACGAGAGAGAAGCCGAAAGGAAGTCTCTTTGCAATGAAGCCGTTGATGTGGTTACAGTGGACGGGCCGCACCTAGTTACTTCGTTAAACATGAGGTTGTCACGCTGTGTAGCCAAGGATCGTGTATCTGTCTCTTAGATTGCTTCAATTTGTACCTGAAGAACATCAAAAGGATTCATTGTGCTCAGCCTGATTTCTAAACCGGTCGAACTCAAAATCTGGCTGGCAATCGAGCCAAGTAGCCTAGGTCAGCTGGTAAGTTACAATTGCTGTTGTGGGAGGTTGGACGCATGGACACTGGATGCAAGACTTGCTTTAAAGCATAGTGGCACAGCATAGAGCATCCGTGAGGTGGTTTCCGAGGAACTGGATACCGGAAATTTTGTTCGTTCACCTGCAAGCTTCCCGGATGATTTCGGCTGGTGTCTGCTACTTTCCGCGACCCTTGAAAGCGCAACTAGCAATCCATGAGGAGTTGCATTCCGCACGGCACGAAGAGATGATCGTGCGATCATCGACTTTACTTGGAGTAAGAGATAAACAGATCATCGTCTCGCGATTGCGCCAAGAACTCGTAAAATACATTTCTAGGTCCGGATGACCTCAAAACCAGGCGATCAGCCAAGTCGCTGAGGTTGATCATCGGGCAGAAGCCTTTCCGCAGTACCCGGTCTAGAGAAAGGGCGCAAAGGCTGTGCAAATTATAGATTCATTAACGATACAGATAATAAAGCGTGAAAGGAAATTGTTTCGTTTCGTCTCCCAACAATAACAATATAAGTGAAGCAACACGTGACAGAATCATATAGATTGCAAGTTCGATGCAAAGTCTCGCTTCTCAAAACTGATGATGCTATCCCTGGACCCATGAGAGAGGGGTTCGACATCCCTTTGCAGGCAATTTTGACGAAGGGGCACGGTGGCGCTACGAAAACAATGCGGCTCTTGTGAAGCTGGTGACTCGTCGTTTTTCGTGGAGAAAGTCCCTGTTCGCATTGCTCAAGCACCCTGAGCTGATCTTAAATTTGATGCCAGAGCGCGTGCCTGGGATCGTGAAGAGAAAATTTCGGCTAAGAAAAACAATAACAAAGCGGGTTTTGGTACGACTCATGAATGGAGGACTCCGAAGCTAAAGAAAGGTCGAGCAACTATGCCGTGTTCAAATTCATGCCTGAATGACGATTGGAGCTTGACATTCGGACAGAGTACGAAAGATAATGACAACTGGAATGTTTTTGCTTCTTTCAGGGGTGTATGCAGGAACAAGCCGGCCGTCCGTGCAAAGGCAGGCAGGCCAGGCCAATTTGTCCCTTGCCTGCCAGGAACGATCTGCCGTGTAGGATCAGAGATGAGACGAGAAACGAAGTTGTGGAGATCGAGGAGATCACGGTCTGAGGGGGGAGGGAGTAAGGGCGAAGAGGTTGCCCTGGTTGATGTTGTTGATGCGTGCATGTTTAGAACGGTAGCCCTCGCCTTACTTTACCACATACCTAATTTACGTTTCCCCTTTTCCAAGCATTACTAGCCTCCTTGCCCTGCCCTGCTGCACGTGGTGGTGGTGGATCGGGAGCATTGATGATTATTGAGCCGGAAAAGTTACGATAAGGAGAGCAGCCGGTGGCATGCCTAGATACGAAGTTCGAGGGTTTGAATCGTCTTGACTGGAAGTCTTCTGAGTTACAAGAAGTCCTGGATACAGTCCTTCAAGCCCGCCCTACCTTAGAAAGTGTGCTTCATGTCAGTCAGGTGTGATCGTGCATTCCAGTCCAGTATAGTCCAATCCCAAGAATGCGCGCGTCAGAAGCCCTTTTTTCTTTTCTTTTCTTTCCTTTCCCTTTCTTTTTCTTTCCTGTGCCATCTTCTCAAAAGCTTGAGTTCCCCGGATGCTCAGCAGATAATGAAGCCAGCCTCATTTCCAATGCCACGGATATGAAAGCTGTCTGTCAGGGGGCTATCCATACCCCTGGTCCGGGTCCGGGTCCGGGTCCTGGTCCTGCTGATCTATCCAGTGTTTGTCTGTCCAGTGCCCATGACAGGCGTGGCAGTCTGGACTCTGGACATCCAACATCCCAACGAGCCTACCACACAACAGACGCCAGAGGCACAAAAAGCAGAAACAGCACAAAAGGACCTCCACCCTCCACCCTCCACCCTCCACCTCCACCACGTCCCCTCCCTTTCCGCCTTCTTGGCCATCATTGGCGCGATTACGACGGGACCTGGCGACCCGTCCACCGCTGTGATGCCGGTGGGTGATTGGCCATCCGAGCGAGCGGTCCCCGGCCAGGGCTGTCCCGAGGTCCATCCCTCCCCATCCCATCCCATCCCATCGCATCCCATCCCATCCCATCCCATCCCATCCCATCGTCCCATCGTCCCATCATCCCATCCTGTCGATCCCTGTTGACGCTCCCGGAGGGAGCCTTGCTCTGTTCAGTGCTCTGCACCACCATCTCGTCTGCCGCCATCATCATTACAGCAGTACAGTACAGTACAGTACAGTATCATCATCGATCTAGGATTCAGGATTTGCACTTCTGTTCACTGTGCTGGGAGATCTGCTCCGGGCGTCTCTCGGTACGCTATCCCGCGTCAATTGTTGCGCGCCCCCAATCCAGATTCACAGCACACGTCAGATCGGCCTTAGTCGCGCGCGCGAGAGGCCCAGCGATGATTCAACCATGAGACTCGTTTTCACGCTTGCACTCTTAGTTAATCGCACGCCGGCGCAGATGAGGAGATTACAATGTGAAGCCGACCCGAGAAGGTAGAGCACTTCATGACAAACGATAACCACCTCTCAAGGGCCTCGCGGAGTGCTTTCCCGCCATCATTTTCGACGCACGCAGGCAAGAGCCACCATGTGTAATCGTAGTCGCAAAGACGGTGCTGTCACAACTCGGAATATAGGACGTTTCCCGTTGAGCTTATCAAAATGCCCGGGGCTAGATCGGCAGTCAAACGTTTTGACGCACTTGAAGCATACAGTACAAAACAAAACGCACTTTTGGAACCCCACTGATCCTCTTCTGGATGTCAAAAGTCTCTGCATGTGTCCCGCTGACTCTGAAGCCTCTGATAGGCGTACATGTCAGCGCATATCCCCATATTCCGCCAGATTCGGTCGGGTTGGTCCAGCCCTCTGGCTCTCGCTTCCGAATGTGGTCTTTCTCGCGATCATGCGTCCAGCTGAATATCTAGAGCAGTCTATGACAGGGCTAGTTAAGTTGAGTTGCCCACGGAGTAGAGAACTGGCTGGCAGCAACAGTGGGTTGTACTGTAGTGATGGTAGTGGAGTGCGGGGACCAGGCTGTCACCGACTCCATGGAAACGTGGGAAAACCCCTCATAAGATGGGAACAACTCTTGCTTCCTTGGAGCCAGCCTTGGGGGTCATCATGACTTGATCAGTGCGCCGTCGCTGGCGGCCCAGTGACAGGCACGGGATTTTCTTAACTGCACATCTTATGATGGGAGCACCACGGCGTTTCCCACTTTTTGGCAGGGATGGACGCCTGCTTGATTCTTGACATTTTGACGCTGGACTTTGTGGCTCTGCCTTCGGCGATCACAGTTTACAGATTATTTTCCCGAGCAATATGGCTGACGGTGCTGCGCAAAACCAGGCGATACGATCGAGTATTCTCCAGTCCTGTCGATTGTTAGTAGTTGACATTCTTTGCGATGGAAATACTTCCAGTCTTTGCGCTGATCACCCATTGGTTCCCGCGAGTGCGGCGGTACAGCACACCCGCATATGCATCTTCAGGGGCAATGATGGTAAAAATAGAGTTGAGATGAGGACCTCCCTTCTTCATTATTGTCACACAAAGATGATTTGTACCTTCCCGTCATTCTCCAAAGTACTTTCTCTTCTTCTCGTTCTGGTCATGTTGATAATGGCAGTGCATGCGCAATTGGTTTCACGGGTCCTAAATTAAGGATGAAGAAGCGAAGATAGGCCCTGATCATATCATGATGCGCGAATCGATAGCGATGTCGATTCGCTTTGGGATAGCCAGTGACGATGACAATCTATGCGCTTGCTCGCCCGCTGTCTGCCAACAAACGTTGAACGCTGATGGGCGATCCGGCTGCTTGAGGAGAGTACAGTAGGTTCTTACTGAACGGCAGAGGTTTTTGATTTGATCTGGTCTGGCGTCCAGCCTGTCCAAAGGTCCGAGTTAGGACAGCATGTCTTGCTGGCAGCTCCCATTATTATTATTATTATTATTATTATTCGTCGGGGACGATTTTAAGAACATCTGCTGCAACCCGTAGTGGGAGCTGGAGCGAGTGAAGGCTGCTGAAATGACAAGCTAGCGCGGGTGGAAGAGCGTGACGGGCCAAAACCTTGCCAGGAACAGAGTGAGTAGTGTGCCTGCGTGCCTGCGTGCCTGCTCAGAGCTCTCAAGCCTCAAGCCTCAAGTGCGGGTTGGGCAGCTTGGCTTGTGCGGGCTTAGCCTAGTTGAATTAGCTCGAAGCTTTAACATGGCGCGATCAGAGGCGAAGTAGTACTGTACTGTAAGTAGTGTCCCTTTCGTACTGTAGTACTATAGTACTGTAGTGGGAAGAGGAGAGGGAGGAGAGGAGAAACAAGAGAGAAGAGGGCAGAGGGCAGAGGGCAGAGGGGTCGAGGGGCGTTCGCGGTGTTGCAGTCCAGGTCCATGTCCTTGTCCCTGTCCAGCCAGCGAGCAAGCCAGGGCAGGGCAGGGCCGGGCATCGCAGGGGCAGGAGAGGCGAACAGCAGGCCCTTAGCCCACGGTCTGCAGCGCTGAGCAAAGGGCCTGGGAGATGCTCAGATGTCTCACTTCCACATCCCCCCCGTCGGGTCCCACAGCGGTAATAGCGTCTTGACCAACCACAGCGGACGAGAAGGGCAATTGATGTAGGTCCGTTCACAACCACTTCCAGTATTTACAGGGGCAGAAAGGAGACACAGCAGAGAACAGAACAGAACAGAAACAACCTGGGAAGACAGCGACAAAAGGCCAGGGCCAGGGCCAGGGCCAGGGTCAAGGGAAGGGGCGACCGACTGCAAGGTTACCACGCGCTCTCCGGTGTTCACACTCCTCTCTCCCCTCTCCTCTCCTCTCTCCTCACTCCTCACTCCTCCTCACCTTACGAGTACAGGCCCCAGGCCCCCTCATCCCAAAATCCCGAGCACCACCAGCAGGAGAAGTTGAGTAGCAGTCCAGCAGTGTGTGCAATGCTGGCCAAGCCAAGCCACGCCAGCGGTCTGCATTGCAAAGCGAGAAGCCAGCGTCGAGATCTCTCCAGGCCCCTGGTCGGCAACAGAAATACAAACACTCACGCAGCACCCCCAATCGACGCAGCTGCTTCTTTCTTACTTACATTACTGCTTTTCCTACTTGCATTTCTACTCGTCCCTCACTTGTCTGCACTACGCACTTCTGCTTCTGCTCTCGACATCTTCAACTCTTGCTGCGTTTCTGGTCGAGCTCCGCCCCGAACAGACCTCCTCGTGGAGCAGTCATATAAAACCCCCACTGCCTGCACCTGAAATACGGGGACCTCTTCCCGGCAGGATAAGAGCGTCGACCCTGCTCATCGCCCTGGCTCCCGCACAAGCAGCCACACACAACGCAGCACCGCACAACAGCACCGCACCGCACAGCACAGCACAGCAGAGCAGCGCAGGAGGAGATCTAGTCAGTCAGCCGCCCGCCAAACCCAACGAGCTTTCCCGCCGCCGTACCGTCAGTGCTCGTCCCTTCCTTCCTTCCTTCCCTCCTTCCCTCGCTCGCTCGCTCGTTCCTTCAACAAAACTCCGCGCTCTCCTCTCCTCCCTCTTTGTGTCTTCTGCCCTTGCCCTGTTCTAACTCTTCTTGCCAAACAGTCTCTCCCTTCATTCTTTACATCCTATCCTGCCCTGCTTTCCGACGAGGCATTGCACTAATTATCGCTGGGCTGTCCATCATCATAATCACGCCTACCACCATCACTCGTTCAGCAAACCACAACCACCATACCATATAATAATACACGACCAACCTGCAGGGAATCAACAAAAAACGGCCACGCCACGCATAAACTTCAATCTTTTGTCTGCTATACGAACGTACTTCTCGAGCCGCGTACCCGACTGTTCTCTCGATTCTTGGACCCCTCACACTCGCTCGTCTCGGCCGATCTGCCATATTCCTTAACCCGATTTCAATTAATAAGTTGAGTCGTCTTTGTTCTGGACAACCTCGTCGGAGACCAATTGAGGTCAGTAGGCCACTCACAGACAGCGGAGTCTCGATCGCATTCTTGGCTGGTGGATTCGACCGTAACTCTTCAACTCTGGTTCCGAACGATGCCAAATATGGAGTTCTTCGAGCCGACGCCCTACCACCACCAGCACCCTCACTACCATCACGAGCAGATGCCTCATTACAGTGATCCCCATCAGACGTACGCCATGGCACAATCTGCACCGATGATTGCAATGCCAAACGTTGCAAAGGCAAACGAGACCAAACCACGCCTCGGAAAGGATGAAGTGGACATCTTGGAGCGGGAGTTCAAGAAAAACCCCAAGCCAACAACCCAAACGAAGCGTCAATTTGCCGAAGAGATGGGTGTTGATTTGGCACGAATAAATGTAAGTTCTAGCGAAGGGGTTTGAAGGGGATCATCACTAACAATGGTAGAACTGGTTCCAAAATCGACGTGCGAAGAGGAAGCAGGAGAAGAAGCAGGAGGCTTATGAGGCTGGACAAGCTCAGGAAGCATTGGGCTACTCGGAACCCTCATCGCCAGATTTCTTCAACAACGGCAGTGGATATTACAGCGACAACAGCCAAATCATTCCCATTCAGCAACCATCAGCACAGTTCTCTTTGGTCCATGGGCCTCCACCTCCTGTTGCCCCATGCAACCCTCAATACTCTGACCCGTCGATAGCCAGCATGGAATCGCTTCACCGAACAATGGCTGCTGCTCAGGCTGCTCAGGGACACCACGACTTTCATAGTTTGGTTGATCAGCATGATACTGTGGCTTCTTTCGGCGGGTCCATTCATGACTTCTCGAGCACTGACCGTGCTCAATTCCCATCTCCGGACGATTCACTGGACCACTTCAATAACACTCAAGCTTACTCGTACCCTTCGAGTTTCTCAAGCAGTCTGTATATTAATCCATCTCGGTCACAATCAATTGTTGAGGTTCAATCACCAGAAGACCCATCAAATCACACTCCAACGCCTTTCAACAATTTCCAAAACTCCAGGCACGAAGCTTCCATTCCTCAATTGATGACGACCTTTCCTTCGCAGTTACTTCCCTCCCAGTCAAATGACGGTGCATCCCAGCAAAACGACGAGCATTTTACCCAGAGTCCAGAATCCATCCATGAGTCAACCCTTCCAATCGGCTTCAAGTACGAAATTGCAGAGTCCGATATGTCATCAGTTTCACCACCAGGACCTTCAATTGCGTTCAAGTCTCCGCCCCCTCCAATGGACATTGCTTCTCGCCGAAAGAAGGTCCAAGTTAAGCCTGCAGCATTGGTTGCCGACACCTTGAGAGGACGTCCTTCCATGGGCCCTAGAACAGTTTCTCATGCGGAGGGATTCCGCCGAGGAAATGAAAGTCCTGCTTCGTCGCCCATGCGTCGCATTGTTTCTGCCGGCGGCAACAGAAATGTTCTGAGTGGCCGCATCTATAAATCTGGCATCGAATCCTCTCAGCGTTCTCCTATCAACCTTGGCGGCTTTGCTGATGCAGGGTCCTTCCTCGAGTACAATCAACAGAACATTCGCAACCCGTCGCTAACAGCTGGATCTTCGTTGAACTCGAGCCTGGCTCCTCCAACTCCCATGTCCCCTCGAGAACGGGAGATGACTTTCCCCAAATTCGACAGTTCTCGATCAACTGCATCCCCAATTGAAGGGGGTGTTAATTTTGTCTTTAATGCTGGTGTCCCTGGATGTTTCACCACAATGGACGGAGACCAAAACCTGGCATCACCCCCTGAGACACCACAGGCACATCTGGCTGCTGCTTCGAACAACTGGGCTAATGGTCTTGACTTATCCGACAAGACATGGCAATATGATGTTCCAGATGAACCCCTTTACACCCCTGCTCAAGACTCATTTCCAATGGAGATACACATGCCACAGCCATCGTATCTCGGTTCCATGAGCCAGCCAGTTACTCCTGCCTTCGGGCAATTCAACCCCAATTTCATGTTTGGGCACGAGTCGCCTCGGTACAAAAACGAGCCAGCTCAGTATACTCTATCCACCCAGTCGGGGTCAGAATACTCCTTCCCAGAGTCCAACCAGCACTATCTGGGTGTATCACCAACGACAACTAAGCAGAAAACGTTTCAATTTTCGCACACCACAGCCGCAGACTTCTCTGAGAAGTGAGGCGTGCTCTTGCCATTCGGCGTTTTCATTTATTTTTGCTCTTGTAGAGCTATAGTTTCAGCAGGTTCTTTACTGCTGTTTGTACAACAATACCTTGTGTAGCATGTCAAGCGTTTGGCTTTATTTTCTTTGTGATATGGGCGTCTCTCAAATAATGTAATCATGGTGACGCAGTCTCAACTGTCAATGTTCACGAACTATGTGGGGTGGGGTGGGGGGGGGGGGGGGGGGGGGGGGGGGGGGGGGGGGGGGGGAGAATAGGAAGAAGAAGCAAGGAGATATATACCCAAAAGCAATAAAGAACGGGCTGGTGGATGGCTTGTGGGGGTCTTGATACTTTCTCGAGACAGGCGTAATGGCAGCAACCGGATGTGTCGATCAATGAATACGCGTTGATGGGTTTTGGGTAACTTTCACATTTCAATGCTGGGGGAAGGAACATTGGGTGTCTGTATAGCCTCAACAATAGAAGGTCCTAAAATACTCATCATCCCTCTGCTAAGTTACTGAGTCAATAGTGTATTTCTGTCCTTAATCGAGTTCCTCGAAGGCATTTGACAGAGGTATCACTTGACAAAACATATCCCCTTAGGAATCTCGCTTCAAGTTGCTCTGACACGCTCTACTTCCACACAGTCGGAGATTATCTCTCACTATTACAAGATAAACACGCAAGGCAAGACAATAGTTCCACGAGCCGTTCCTCTCTTCTTTCATCTTCTTCCTGGTTAGAATTTCGGAGCCACGGCACATTAAATTAAATCTCCTACAGTTCTAAGGATGGAGAATACCTCAGATCACTTAAGATCAGAAGTACATTGCCTGAAAAGGTGACAAGCACATAATCTTATTTAGGGTTGCTGCTAATGCAGGTGGAACAGAATACGACCCGATGGCGACACTATTGGAACGTGCCCCTTTCCCTTAAGGCGAAGGAAGCTCCAGCGCCAGTACCGGCGGTGCGTGCTGGGAGATCGGGAGATCCACGCCTCGCTAAATTAAATGAGCCATCTTTCCGCGTTCCCCATATTGCGCTGTGCTCCATACGCGTGGTGCGACTTGGGAGAGTATGATTGATTATATATCTGCTGTGGCTTTGCAATTTTATGTAATGATTTCGAAGTTTTAGTCAGTGCATGAAAATTTTTGAGCTAGATACGGCGAGAATGTTGGGCTGGTGGCTTGTATTTTGGCCAGGGCTGAAGATCCGAGATTTGGACGTAAACAATTAGGCGAGATCCCCGCAGGATGATCATTTGCTTGCTTTTGCCCTTCAAAGTTCATTTTAATCTCCATCTCTAGGTTTTGGCCTGCTGCTATCTCATAATCACAATAATGATTGCATAGCGATCCTCATAGTAGCAATCTTGGGAACCCTTTTCGTGTTGTGAGAACATTCTGCTGATCATTACTTCATGAAAGAGACCGTTTACGGGCCATGTCAGATTTGTTCCCGGCGCCTCTGAATCTTCCAAAGCTCAACAATCTCCTGTCTTAGCTACAGTAATGGATCGAGAGAATAGACTATCGATGAAGATTTATATTAGCGGCACGAGATTCGAGAACGATTTGTTTGCTCGTTGGCCGTGTTGAGGAGTTGAAGAGTTCTTTTCAACTTACGCTGAGGATGATTAAGATTACTTGAGATGTAATCAAGAAGTCCATACTACCGTTCAACTGGGGCAAATTGAATAAAGAGAATCTTCGCATTTAATAGTGAAATGAACTCGCTGTACGCCATCTTGCGTTCACACTTGTGTCAGAGAGGTATGAAGAATCAGTCTTCCCGAACTCTCTAATACATCAAGACTGAAAGAATCATGTGCTCCCTACTTCTGTTTTCTTTATCACATCTTAGCGAACCGAGCGGATTTGGTTATATACCCACACTGTTTATTTCTCTTTTCACTTCGCTTATTCGGTCAGCGTCGAAGCAGCAACAAACACAGCGGAGTTCGGCATCTGCATGTCTTCAGGAAATCACAGTACTCGCATCATCTCCGAGTGTGAAAGATGACCTTTCTGTATTTCCCCCTCATTCGTACGATACAGGTGCAGGATGATTGAAAATTGGATGACGTAAAAATGCTTCCACAATATTACTGAGAAGGTCACAAAGAAACTTCCAGTTCCCTCAAGCTGTCGTATCACCTCAAGATTAAAGAAGAAAACGAAAAGCGAAATAATAGCTACCAAAGGCTCCAGGCTGGATTCTCGGTGGCAGAAGGATGGGACATGGGTTAGTTTCCTGCTTATTGATAATGAGATGGATAATCGCCAAATGAGTCGATCGTTACAACTTCTTGCATCTTCTTGTATTTCACAAATTCTCTGCTGCATCCAAAATATTTGCAGGAGTCGGGGGGTGCCTGCCTTCCTGGCTCAACGTACAGTAGCTAGTTCACGTTCTTAGGCCTGGGCTCCAGAGTGATCTGTCCAAGCCTGCAGATGCCCAGTTCTTCAAGTTGCCACAGTTTCCAAAAACAGTTAGAAATTTTATAACATACACTAGCTGGGGCCATCGACAGCTATCAACTCTCACAGCTTCAGCCGTTTCTTGTTACTTCTATGTTTGGGCACATCGATTGGCTAAAGTTCGGCAAAGACCCACTTTCCCCAGAACACGTGAGGAAATCTTGGCAATCCAAGATCTGGCCCACGCTAAGATGATTGATAGGCAAAAAATATAAATTTTATCATCGATAAGGAAACTCCCGTCCTCACAAGCATACATCCCACCACAACACAATGGCGGGAATTAACAAACCAGGCAGTATGCTACCCGCCCAAGCTGCGCAAATACAAAACTAATTGATTCTACAGAGCCAAAGTCGAAAAGACGTCCCGTTCGTCTGCGCGAGAGCATCAAGAAGGCGTCAGCTGCGAAGCAAAAGAAAGACCGCAAAGCTGGAAAGAAGAACCCAGAATGGCGATCGAAATTGAAGAAAGATCCTGGAATACCGAATCTATTCCCGTACAAAGATAAGATACTCGCCGAGATTGAGGAGGGGAGACGAAGGAAGGCAGAGGATGCAGAGAAGCGCAGAGCAGATGCGAAGGCAACGAAGACGGGAGAGAAAACTGGCGAGCAGGTCGAGAGGGAGGTCGAGGCCAGGATGGAAGGTGTAGATGAGGAGGATATCATGGATGAGGATATGGATGAGGATTTCGACGAGGATGCCAATCCAATGGCCGCTTTACTTGCTAGTGCACGAGCTGCTGCGCAAGAATACGAAGAGGATCTCGAGAGCGGTGATGAGATGGACGAGGACGACGCATCAGAATCCGAAGATGACGAGCCAGGTGTCGAGCTGTCAGGCCTGCCTACAAGAAAAGATGGATCGAGAAAAGCATTCGACAAGGTATTCAAGCAGGTCGTCGAGCAAGCCGATGTCATTCTCTACGTCCTGGATGCCCGCGATCCAGAAGGGACTCGTTCCAAGGAGGTCGAACGTATGGTCATGGCCGCTGCAAGTGGTGGGAAACGACTCATCCTTATTCTCAACAAGATCGATCTCATCCCCGCGCCAGTCCTCAAATCCTGGCTCCTCCACCTTCGCCGATACTTCCCCACGATTCCTCTTCGCGCCTCTGGCCCAGCCCCAAACGCACATACCTTCAACCACAAGCAATTGACAGTGCAAAGCACATCCGCAACTCTCTTCAAAGCCCTGAAATCTTTCGCCGCAGCCAAACAGCTCAAGCGCGCCATCTCAGTAGGCGTCATCGGCTACCCCAACGTCGGAAAATCATCCGTGATCAATGCCCTAACTTCCCGCCTGGGAGGTGGCAACGCAGCATGTCCAGTTGGAGCAGAAGCAGGTGTTACCACTTCTCTCCGCGAAGTTAAAATCGACAGCAAATTGAAGCTGCTTGATTCCCCTGGTATCGTGTTCCCCAGCGCTGGCGATGGAACTAAATCTTCGAAGAAAGAGGAACAAGCAAGACTTGTCCTCCTGAACGCTGTTCCACCCAAGCAAATTGAAGACCCCGTTCCGGCAGTCACTTTACTACTAAAGCGTCTCTCAGCCTCTCAGGGTATGTTGACCAAGCTCATGGATGTCTATGGTCTCCCACCTTTGATCCGCACGAACGGTGATCCCACAACCGATTTCTTGATCCAGGTTGCCCGCAAGCGAGGACGTCTAGGTAAAGGTGGAGTTCCGAATGTGAACAGTGCTGCTACGACCGTCATTACTGATTGGAGAGATGGACGTATTCAGGGCTGGATGGACGCGCCTGTCCTAGCTGTCGCGCCTGCTGTGACTGATGCTACCGATGGTACTGCTGTGATCGGTGACCAGAAAGAGATTGTTACTGAGTGGGCTGCGGAATTCAAACTTGAAGGGTTATGGGGAGATGGCAAAGCAGAGGTTGTGGATGATGCTATGCAGGAGTGAATGCGTTGTTAGATGGTAGCTTGCATTCGCCATATTTCGTAGATACATAGATGGAGTTATGGCGTCTTGGGCTGGTTAGATAGGAGGCAAAAGTTTGGCTTGTAAGAAGTCCGTACTGCCTGTAATTGCACAATTTTCAGTCACTTCAAAACGTAGCTGTTCGTAATAGTCGTCGTGAATTGTATTGCAAGGCTTCAGGAGCAGTGATCTAAGAGACCTGCGTCAGATCATAGTCTACTTCACAGTACTCATGGTAGATATCTCTATATGCTGCACAACCTCCTATTTTCCACCGACCTTGACAAGCTCAAGCTTGACTTTTCTCTTCCCTGTACTCTCCTCCTTGACGTCACTAATCCTAACAACAACCTTCTCAAAAAGCTCCACCTCAACCTCTCTACTCCCACTAGTCCTCAGCACATAGTCTTCAGCATCAAAAGTGCTTTCAGGCTCCGTCTCCGCCAAATCTCTCAAGCGAATCAAACTCTCAATACCGAATCTTGGGACGAACACCACGAAGCCATTCGAGAAGACTTTCATGACGAAGCCCTCCTCTTCAACGATACGCCCTTTGAGAGCTTGACCAACATAATACTCGATGGAGGCACGGCCCGCTTGTTGCGCGTTGCGATGACGAACATTGATATTCTTGCACACGGCTTCGAGCTTGCCTTTACTGCGGACGCTAGCATCCAGAGGTTCGTACTCAATGGCAGCAGCGAGCTGTCTGTGAGCTACAAGATCGGCATAGCGGCGGATAGGCGAGGTGAAATGCGTATAAATCTCAGACGCAAGACCGTAATGCGTGAATTCGGGGTAGGCCTGTGTGCCAGAGCAGAAGTACTCCGCGGACATCATACAGCGGGTTGCCATGATGCGCACGAGAGTGTTGAAGAAGGGCTCCTTGGGATCAACACAAGCATCTAGGGAGTCTGCTAGTTCCTTAGAGGAAGAAGTGCGTAGTTCGAGACCGCGCTTGACCTTTAGTTGGTTGGCGAGCTCTTCGAAATTTGTTTTTGGAGGAGCGCCATGACTGCGGAGCATGGCGGTTTGTGGGAAGGCCTCGTAGATTTTGGCGGCTACGCTGGTGTTGGCTAGCAACATGAACTCCTCGACGAGAGACATCGTGTCGAGGTGCTTCTTGGTCTTGATGTCGATAGGATCCGAGGTCTCAGATTCGGTCTCAACTCTCACTTCTGGAGAAGAGAGACTGAGAGCTCCAGCGTCCATTCGCTTTTGCTTGAATTTCTTGGAAAGCATCAGGAGAGTCCGCATAGCATTCGTCAACTCATCCTTGTTTGAAGCATCATCGATCCGGATTTGAGCTGCCTCATAACTGAAAGCTTCTCGAGATTTGATAACCGATTTCGTGAAGTCTGACTTGACAATCTCCGCGTCGGGGGTGATTTCCCAAATGGCTGAAAAGGCATATCTCTCGACATAAGGCTTCAAAGAGCAAAGATCTGTACCAAGAAGCATTGGCAACATATCAATACGTTTGTCAACCAAGTAGACGGTTGTTCCACGAATACTTGCTTCGGCATCCATTGCATTGTTTGGCTTGACGAAATGGGACACATCTGCGATATGTACTCCAACTTCGAAATTGCCATTGGGCAGTGGTCGAGCATGGAGAGCATCGTCGATATCCTGGCATCCGATAGGATCGATACTGCAAATCTGTAGGCCACGAAGATCTCGACGGTCCCTCCATCCAGGATCATCTGTACTAGGTGGTACAATCCAATCGTGACCTTCCTTTGGTAGACAGTCTAAGACTGTCTTTGGGAATGGTCGGTACTGCACATCATATTCCAGTAAGAGAGCCTCTGTTTCAGCACCCTTCGTCTCTAGCTCACCCAACGAGCGGACAAAATGGCCGACTGGATACCTTGAATCTCTGTCCCAGGAATCAATAGTGACCAGAACCCGCTTGCCAAGAATCTCCCCAGCCTGTCTCGTTCTGACTCTGATCTTAGGTATCCTCTTATCCATAGGAATCAAGAACACAGTCTGCTGTTTCCGACTCTGTTTGATTGATTGACTGACCGAAGACTCATCGACATGTCCAACATACTGTCTCCAATTCCTCTTCACAACGCCCACAACTCTTGCAGTAGGCTGTGGCTTCCCCTCCGACGTTTTGCTGTGAACCTTCTTAACCTCTTCCTGCAGCGCTCTCCGTTCCTTTTCTGTAATCACAGCCTCTCCATCTTCCGCATCAGCATTTTCATTCTTGTTGACAGTGTCCTCCTCAATAATCTTTGTCGAAGGCTCCTTCCACTGATCCTTAGGAAGTACCTCCACAACCACAACATCTCCCTGCACGGCGCGATTGATATTCTCCCTCCCCAAAACCAACAGCGATTTATCGAAAGCCGGAACATTTATCGATCCTTCCAAGTAATTGTACGGCGAGACATTAAATATACCCTGATGTAGAGTTCCATTTTTGACACCAGTCAGCATCTTTGAGACCGAGAAGTATTCTGCATAGATGTTCTCCGTCGCCTTCGCATCCCTCAATTCTCGGCCTTCCTTCACCACACTGATCATATCCAGCAACTGATCTGCATTCTCCAAACCCTCAACATAAGTGCTTAACGAGCAGGCATCAATACCATCCCTCTTCGCCTTCTTCAAATTCTCCTTGTCGTCACTTAGTATAACCACCGCGGGGACTTTCTTCTCGCTGCCTCCAGCATCCTTAACAGCTTGCCTCAAGTGCTCTCCATACCACTTGACCGCTCTCCTAACCGCCCGATCATTCCTATCATTGATCGACTCGCCCACCTCGCGCACCACGTATGTTTCGAGCCGGAAATCGTTGAAGAAGACATAGAAGCGCTTTTCTTCGCTCTTCGTGAGACCGATGAGCCGGTTGTAGAGGGGTAGGGAGCGATTTCGCAGCTCTTCGAGGACGGTTTGCAGGATTATAACGTCGTAAAAGGCGGAGTTCTGTTCGAAGAGGTCGAGTGCGTTGAGGAGTGCATTGGTATCAGGGACGAGGTAGTGCCCTTGTTTGTAGACTTTTGTCCCGTCAGGCTTTTCAGAGAGTACGAAAGGCGTTACTGGATTGTTATGTTAGTATATAGATCTTGAAGCTACAGAGAAAGATATCCAACCTACAATTACCACCAGCATCCCTCGGCGCCGTAGCCAGACAGCTCGTACATAGCTTCGATGAGCAGGGAATATCTTGCCGTAGGTATAACTCGCGGACTATTTTCTGGACCTTGCCACTCTTTGTAGATCGCACGTAGACTTTACTGGATATATTTGAGGCGTAAGGATCTGCTGCAAGTGATCTTTTGAGACTCGTCATTGTGTTGTGTGTTTATGTTGTTTGGGTGAGCATTTTATGGTGGGGCAAAAAGATGCTTGCAGATGGAGATCTGAAATTTAGACGCGGTTGTTGGGGAGGCGAAACAGCCGCGGCACTGGAAAGTGTTTACTCCAATAAGTGGGCATTACTATCCTTGTTAAGGACCATGATAGATTGAAGGAACATGTCAGATCTGATTATTGGCTAGACTTCAGAAAGGTGTATTTGCTACATTCGTAATGTGGTGGCCAATCCCTAAATTTAGACCCTTCATAAAAAGTACGGCCTGAAGTACAATGTTAACTCCAGAATAGCCACGGCAATCAGCCATGTGAAGTCTCCAATTGCTCAGCAACAAGAAGTCTTGCGAATACCTCATTTTCGGTGGTTAGACAAGACTCGATCGAAGTCCAGCGTATCCGAGTTTGATGTTCAACAATTATTGGCAATGCAAGGTAGTTACTAAAAACACACTGAGATGTCCCGTTACAGTACCAATCACAAAAGTGCAGCTATATCCTTATCCAGTTTCACCCAAACGAGCCAAAACGAGTTAAGAAGGGTATAATAGAACGTACAAAAGACAAAAACATTCCCTCCAAAAAAGCCTCCTGTAAGCGGAGTAGATATAAAGTCTGTTGTCAAAAGCTGGAAAGCAGTGGCGGAACCACGACGTTTCCTGCAAAATAGAAATGACAGCGCTTTCCGAAAGGTTTACCCATGCCGAGTGTAGCTTCGTGGGCGTCGATGAGCGAAAACGTATATAGCAGGATTCAGCTCCGTTCTTGGGTGACTACGATGATGTCTCTTCCGTCACCGCCTCCTGTGTCAGAGCCCTCTTGGAACATGTCCTGAAAGGCATCTGCAGCTATTTTCTATTAGCAAGAGAGACACAGGGGAAATGAGAAGCGAGTCGTACCATCCTCGGTAACAAAGTACAACTCAAATTCCCCATTGCGCTTCATCTGATGCTTCTTCTTGTATTTCTGGCAGAAGACATAGGGATATATGTCCCTGAGCCAGATTCGGTGACGGCTTCGGCGGTCAAGCCATTGCGGGGATGAGGATTGATGTGTTACTGGGCCTTACATCAGCATGATGGGTGTGAGCGTTCATGAGTGACAACTTACTGAAAGCAGTCCACACAGGACAACGTCTCAGTTCACCGCTTCTCACGGCTGCATGGAGTCTAATGCCTCCGCATTTCAAATCTTGGAGGACCGTCAGAATATGCTCGAAGCCGTCGTCGATTATTTTGCTGTAAGCCGTCCAAAGTCAACATCGCTTCATGAAGGAATATAACATATACGTAAATGAACATACCCTTGGAAAAGTCTCTTCTCACCTGGAAGACAGACATCTTCAGACGTGACACTGATAGTAAGAGGACAGCGAGACTTCAAGGCACCAAAAGCGCAGTGGAAGAGAACCATTTCTGTTGTTAGTATTAGTTTCGAATCCAAAACCGAGAAGCTGCAAATGCAACAGAGAAATAGCAGAATCGTCACTTGCTTTCCCACGTCTTGAAGAACAGAGCCATCCATAGCTTGGGATGCATCTTGTTAAGACTCCAACGACGAAATTGGAGCGACGAGCCCTTGCGTCGGACACAAAGCTCGTGAACGCCGTAGCATGCTGTGAGTGGGTTCATGTAACGATCGAGCCATCGACAGAGAAGTCTCGTCATGTCTGGTCCTTCGGGCTGCAAGTAGAGAGTTACCGAAAGACGATTCTTGTCAAATGGTCTGGTAGGTCAACATGCAATTCTACATTGGCAAGGCGAGCTTCAGCTTACAACTTGAAGAGTACGCTCGAGCCGGGTGTAATGCCCAGTTTAACGTCAACCATTGGCGGCCCAAAGCACATGGATCTATGGAACTTAGTCTCGATTGGCCAATCCAACAACCATCCCAGACGAGGCTGAGAAGGTCGTGTTCGTACAGGTGGATCTGGGGCCTGACTTACTCGCGTCTGTGTCTTAAGCCAGTAGTGGAATGCGGTTGGTCGTCGAATATCTTTTCGGCCCAATGACGGCGCTTCTGCCATGTGAGGTTGAAGTACGTGGTAAATAGTACTGATGGAAAGGAATATTTACCTCAAGATCGGCCTCCGTTGGCTGGATCGGAGCATGGTGAGGAATGGCTGGGGACGGCGGCGCTACAATAACAAATGGTATGAGTGATCGCTCCATCGCTGAGTGCTCAATTGACCATCCTCCTCGCTCGCAGCAACAAAACAGCTCTTCAGATTCAGCGCATACCTGGGATGCCTTGCAAGAGCCGCAATCGCAAATGTCTCATACGTAACAATTCCAAGGTCGTCGGATCGTAGAGGGGGGAGCTGACAAGCCGGTCAGATTCAACATTGTCCAATCAGCGGTGTGTGGGAAAGTTACTTGCCGGCTAAGCAATCTCACGATTTGCACCAAAAATTCGACGTACATCACAAATACTGTAGGTAGTGACATGCCTCCCTGATCGCCGAGCCGTTCCACCGTCAATGTCCACTGCGTAGTCGGCACATTAGTACGTAGAGAAAAATGTGACTTTGATCACCACCTACTTGGGTGCGTGCGGGAAAGGCATCGTTGTCAATGTACACCACTGAAATCCGTATGTCAATAAACTGCAATAGACATAATTTCTGCGGGGTGAAAATTGTAGAACCGATTTCATTCCAACTTACTCATGTTCTTGATGGTCCTCTCAAGAGAAGGGAGAATGACATCCAGGTAATAAATGATAATCGGTACCCGACTTCGGTAGATGGGGAAGAGGTCGTAAAGGTCGCGGAGAAGCCTGCTGGTAGATTCGATCTCTCTCAGGACAGCCGTGATATGATCATAGAACTCCAGATCCAGTACCGCTCGGATTCGCAAGAGCTGGACCACGGCTTTGTCTGCCCTTTGAGCCTCTCTCCAGCAGCCCAAAAGCTCCTCCATGCGTACAGCGCAGACATCAAGGTCAATGCGCGTCTGGAAAAAGCGTTGACCGATGCATCGTCAAACCGCGAAAAGGAGAAGAGTTGTTGAGAAGAATTCCGGATCCTATACACCCCGTAGACCAAGGAAGGAAAGGCAAGCAGAGGCTCTGCGGTGGGTGATTATTGAGAAAAATATCCGGGGGACGCCAGCCAGACTCTGACGTGTCCGGGCTAGAGGTTTTCTCCTTCCCACCGTGTAGAGAAATTGCATCTGCAATCTGCAAAGCTGCTCGAACTTCCAATGCGAGCCGGTGCTTTCCCTCCCCTCGTGCATACAGAACCATGCTTGCCTGCATGTCCCGCGAACCAAACCATTCGCGCGAGAACCGGAGACTCGGTGGAGCCACGAATGCAAAGCATCCGATGCACCTTCAAGATGCACCCGGCGAATCGCGCGAGGCTATCAACGCGGCTGACCCTAAAGAGAGGATATAATTTGGTAGACCTCCACGCAGAACTATGGGAGTTGCTCGGATTGTGCTGACTTAGCCTTTCCCGTATGCAGTTTTAGCCACTCCCTGATGGGAGACGCGATCATGCGATGGATGAGATACCAACAAGCAGGAAACGAAAGAAATCCACCACAGAATCTGTGAATGGTATCGTCTCACACATAACATACCACTTGATATGCGTGGCGTATGTCGGGGGCCGAGACTTACGTCTTTTCAGGCCTTTCCCACGGCCAAGCTGTCTTTGTCCAAGACGATACCCGGGGCACGAAGCAGATGCGCTGGGCATCTCTTCGCTTCAGCAGGTAGGAAGGTATAGAATCCAGTCCTCGACCATACGGAATTCTGAAGTTTTCGTAGATCACTGGGCTTCTCAGCAATATCTCACGGTTGTGGACTTGCTGCATCAGTTTGTGTTTCTAGGTGAACAGATGGGCTCTCCTAATTCAAGACTGGCTTAAGGACGTAGAAATGGTAATAATAGATTGAGCAGAATGTGTTATTTCGCAACGGATGGACAGGCAGGCAACAGTTTTAGCGTGTTTGCTCCAGACGCGTCGAACCAGATGAGGCATCCAGGCATCCTCAAATGTTTTGATGTCTCAGCCTTGCCCTGTTGCTGGCATGCCCTTTGATGATACAAGTATCATCAACATTAGATCGCACACTAAATATTAAAAAGTCACTTCACAGGAATGGGAGGCAGATAGTGGCACAGTTAGGTAAGGAACTAGAATACACAGACCCCATTGATATACGTCGTTGAGGTGCATGGACAGATCCACGGTCACTGTCAGCGGTCCAGATCATAAAAAGTGCGTCAATGATCGTCTCGAACCTTGATCACCTTCTGCGACCAGAGAAATGCACCGTAAAGTCATATCACGACGTTCGTTTCCATGGCAAAAGAAATGCACACCTTGTTCCCAGATTCCAGTGCGAAGCAACACCCCAGCCCAAAGAGAGAGAAAGAAAAAAGATGAAGAACCCAGAAGCAAGGCTCAAACGACAACATGTTCCATGAAAACCCAGAGCCGAAAGTGTCTGTCGGGGTGTGTGATGTCGAGAGAACGTGGTCGAATATGAGAAGAGATGTTGAACAGCCTAAGAAGACTCTTCCTCTTCGGCATCAGCCTGTGCGACGTTCTTATTAGTACCTCTTGCAGTACGCTTGCGAACGCCCACAGGCTCATCATTACTTACGTTGTAGCTTGCCTTCTCGTCCTCATAGCGCTTCTTGTCTTGAGCAGCCTTGGCCTCATATGGAGTTCGCTGCTTGTCGTTGAGAGCCTTCCAGCGCTCTCCGAGAACCTTGCCAACTTGGCCTATCATCAATCATTAGCAGTGAGCAGCATGACTGTCCAGGGACCACATACCGAAGGTGATACCAGGGTTCTCGTCACGAACATTCTCGCGTTGCTCGTTGGCGAAGAACATGTAAGCCGAAAGTCCACGCTTTGGCGCGTTAGGATCTGGCAGTAAGGTCAGCAAAATCACCATAATTAGGCAGGAAGTAGTATGCTTACCCTTCTTCTTCTTCTCAGTTCTGGCCTTGGTGGCACGCTTGGTGGTCTTCTCCTTAGGCATAGTGAGGGTTGTTGATGGGTCTGATTGAAGAATTGATGTCAGTGAATTGCACGATCAGATATTGCGACCGGTGAATTGGTTGCGGTAAGGTATTGCTCGAAGTGGTGGTTGTGGGTGGAAGTTATCGTCGAGAATTTGTATGCGGTATGGATTTGTTTGTTGGTTGGTAGCTACCAAGCTAGGTAAGGCTGAAGACCATAGGTGAATTGCGAGAGCGCTGGCGGGCGCAAAGTGGTGAAGTTGGTCGCGAAGTCGTTGCGAAGCTGAAGAACACCAAAAACAGAAGATCAGACTTACATTGGATTGTTTTTGGTTTGGATCAGGATGCGACCGTCAAGTGTTGACCTGGAGCGTGATCAGGTGAGTTAGCTGGTGCTTCTGATCAACAAGACAAATGAATCGCGGCGATGAACGCGTCGACAACATGAAGACAACGGCCATTGCGACGGTATCAACGAATGAAACGGTGCAATGGCGCGTCGTTGTGTCTGAACTCGTGCCAATAAAGCGCAGCTGAAGTTGACAGTAGCCGAAGCGATGTTGTGATATATGGCTGGCAGTGGAGGACTCACAGTACTGTAGGTATTTTGCAGTATGTATCGATTTGGCTGGGAGGGAGAGCTTGGTGGTGAGAGGAAATGGGTGGGAAGAGAGGGAGGGAGCGCAGCGAGCGAGCACAGAGAGAAGAGGGCGAGGGCGAGGGCGAGGGCGAGGGCGGGTGATGGGGAATTGGGAGGGAGCGAGGGACGGCCTGCCCAGTGCCCACTGACCAGTGACCGCGGGCGGGCACTCCTTCCTTCCTGCCTGCCTGCCTGCCTGCCTGCCTGCCTGCTTGCCTGCCTCGCTTGTGCTTGTGCTTGTGCTGCAGGGGCCGCAGGGCTAAGCTCGTTCGTTCGCCCTTTCCCCCTCACCACGCGCAGCGGCCGCCTTTCATTGGCCGCAGCAGCTCTGGGGCAAGCCGTCACCACCAGTGAGCATAACAATGGGAGGACTAGCAGCATCAGCCATCGCTTTACGAGTACATGGCCCAGGTCGAGGTGTCTGTCCATGCTTGGGGCTGGGCTTGCATGGGCTTGGGCTGGCTGTGACTGGGACACAAAGGGAGGAGGCTGGTCTGGTCTGGTCTGGTCACTTTTCTGCTGCCAACCCTACCTACCAACGGAGTAAGGTATGCCCATGCCAATGCCATCACCTTTCCTGGACTCCTTGATGGACGTTGAGGACAGACATGAAGGGCGGACAAGTAGGGGGGACAGAAGCAAGCAGAGTCACGTCTCTTGGCGATATCATCCGCTCTTCGTTACCTACGTATCTTGGAGAACCTGGAGGCACAAGAACGCACAGGAATGCTGCCATTCAGATGCTGCGCTACAGCAATATATATTTCTCCATCCATTGTCCCCCTCCCCTCTTTTGCTCGCACTGTTTTGCCCGCGTCGTCATCGCGTTCTCTCCGCTTCCTAGATCGCTGATCCTGTGCAGCCAGCTCGCAGGAGGTGGGTGGGTGGAAGCATGCGCGGAACGAGTTTCTCGCGCCTGAGCTCACTTCGGCACTGCACAGATCCTCATTACCGATCTGTGTCACGCGGAAGCCCGTCAAACGGACACAAAAACGTCCAGCTTTTTCAAAAAAGCAACGTCAGCTCCATTGCACAAGTGGATGAAGCTTGAAAATACACCCTTCAGGCTCTAAATGCAGCGAAAGTATTTTGATATCACGTGCCATGCGGCTTAGATAGCCGATCTAGGGCCTTTCCTCTTCGGGCCTGGCGGTTTCAGGGGATCTGTTTTACATCCAGGATCCCGGGCCTTCTTGGCAGATAGAGTGTTAACGCAGTGGAGCTGGAACTGATTGAACATGACTGGGAAGATGGAACTTGGCTTGGGATGGTATGAAATGAAGTTCGGACGAAGTTTGGGTGATTATATTGCCAGGGACCTCAAGGAGATTCACTTTTGGATAAAATATCTCACCCCCTCTTCTCTTGCCTACAAAGGGATTTGAATCCTGCCTCAGGAGACACCTCGATGTAACCGGCTCCGTTTTGATTTCGGTTTCAACATGTCGAAATGCCTGACTGAAGTTGTCCCAAGACAATTTGATCACGTTCTTGTTCTCCCGAATCTAAGATCTTCTCCGATACTCTGAGTTTCTAAGTATACGCGCTTTCGAACGCTGCTATTGTTGCAAAGTTTTTCTAGTTCTGTCATATGTATTGAGATCTGATGCTGCCGAAAATAACTTTCCATCCACCATCTTGCTTTCTTGCTCTTTAATTTATAGACAGGAAGTACCTAGGATTTAATGGCAAACATCTGGGAGGAGAAAACCGAGGGGACACCACACCTTCTACCCCAATGTTGTAAAGCTTCACGGGCATCATGGCATCTGTAGCCTCGACCAAATGATTTCAGTGCAAGGATCTAGAAATGGTTATGGCGTGTACGGGAGATCGAGAGGTGAGTCTGACAGGCTGTCTCTCAGTGCATCTCCTGGAACCAAAATTGAGAGGCAGAAATTTCCATTCAACCAGATCCACTTGCTGTTATTGACCTCTACGTCCTTACCACATCCCCTTCCTTCATCCACATCAGAACCTGCTCCATATCTCAAGATGCATCAACAATCGATCACCCTGGCCCATAACAGAGATTTCGGCGACGCAGCCACCGGATTGAGACAGGAATCTATGCAGCTACGTATCATCCATTGACGGTCCTAGTGAATGGATCCACGAGTGCCCAGCGAATCAACAGGTAATGATCTGTGAATTGTGCAAGACGAATCTTCCACCAAGGCAACGATTTGTCTCACTTGACAGGAGGAATGTTGAAGCCCACACGTGTTGAGGAGGAAAGACATGACTTACACCTCGCCCGAAGTGGAAGTTCACGACGAAGTTCACGGCACATCAAGGGCAATTCCACCAAATTTCATCAGTGGATGCTCCTGAAAACTGCGATACAACCTGAGATTATCGACAAGGTGTTGAGGTCTCCAGTTGCTGCGAGTATATGTCTAGAGACCATAATCTGGAGTTCCTTTCTGAATTGGTGCTGGCATGAGAGCCAGTACGGCCTTAATCCGGAGGTTAAGAGCTTCAGCGACAAGCTATGAACGTAGGGGGACAATCATTGGCTGCGATGTTTTACGAACGCGGCTGCTCCAGGATCTCCTTCATTTATCATGGCAATCTCGACACAGGAGTTGATGCCATCTTCTTCTGTGGTTATCATCGCTGTCCAAAGAACTGACCGACTATGTGTCAGCATTAAAGATTGGAGTTCCCTTTGTAAGTGATGTTTTCAGCTGGAGGTAATGTGTTCGTAGTTGAGAGGGATTGGCTCACAAGCAGCATGGGGAATGTCTAGGATCCTCTAATTATGCATATTAAAGACAATTTAAGAGTGTATGGGTACGGAGGCTCGAAGGCATTGTTGCATGTGCGGAAGGTAGGCTCGGTAACGAAAAGTACAACTGTGCTGCTGAAATACGGGCCTCCAAGGGCTGGGTCGCAAAGCGTATATTCAGTTGCAAAAACAACCAATAACTCCTGTCTCATAGGGTCTAGGTAATAACAGGACCAAACGTTGATACTGGGAAATTGAATATGCTAGATAGAGGATGCTATAACCACTGGGTGCACTTAACAAGGCTGAGCACGGAAGAACGATCGGTTATAATTTGCTGATGGGGTGGGAGATGGCATGATAGACAGGTCTTGCGAATAACGCTGAGAATAAAAGGAATAGATCAATGAATTCGTGAAGGGTGAAATAACGCTACTCAAGATTTACAGTAGATGGCTGAGGACAAGTTGACGGATGGAGGACATGACGTTGAGGCAAGACGTCACGAGCTAACAGGCCTTGTCAGAAACCTGGAGATAAGATGGTGGACGGGATTGGGAGCAAAAGACTAAATGCAGAACACCTGCAATGGAGCGAGATTATCAGATCCTGTCCTGCAATATTAGATGTGAGATATCTTTTCTAGTTTACTAGATAGGATTTTCATTTTATATCACATACAATAGGAGCTCACTTTATCCTCAGTACACGACTACGCAAATGTAATATTAGCGTAGAAGGGTCTATATAATGAAAGCCTGAGTGGAGACACACAAACAAGTATGGTTCGTGCTCGTATACGTCAAGCTACTTTTATATTATCGCCCCATGTTACTTGAAACCGAAAGCGACTTCGAGAATTGCTCATATGGTATACTGTCTGGTCTCCCATATTACGGGAACCGGAAACTTCTTGTGATATTCCGCTTTCACCTATAGATGCGTTGTATGTCTTCTTCCTTCTTCGTCTCGACAGAGGTTCCCTAACAGGAAGTTCCTTTTCAAATTGTAGCCGTGTTGACGGGTATTATGGGCATTCATACCGTTCGATTTCTCGGGGTATCCAGCTTTCTTTGGGTTTCTGGTTAAAATAGAATCAATTTATGGCCAGATGTGTCATGTTTTTTTTTGGTTGTATCTACATCTTCATGAATTGAATCCACGAAGATAGCGGTGTTTACTCCGCTCTCGCTTACGGAGGCATCATTTGCTCATGGCCAAAGAATTCCTGCAACATGACGCAACTCAACTATGTCACATGTACAGCGCCCGGAAGATGACCAAAATAGCCCAGTCCGTATTTAAATTAAAGTTTCAGCGGTTATCTAGCACTTATCGATCTGACGTGGAGACACACTGCTTGGAGCCTAATTTAATGCAATGATATGGAGGTGACCAAGGTTGCACGTGTCCTGTACCTCATAAGGGATCTTCGGACTGGAAACTTATCTCATTGGTCGCCAATATCGGACCTGTAAATAACTGGGGGTGTTGCGCTGAGACCCATTGCGATGGCCGCCGCGAGGCACCATGAGGTCTCGCTGTAGGGGACGGATGGCGGTGGAAAGGCTTGCTGGCCCAAAGACGCGGAATGCTAGCCACCTTACTATGGCGTATAAAGTTCAGATAGCAGGGACGGCACGGCTCCATAAAAAGCGAATGGTCGCCACAATGGACCAATACATTTTGATTATAGAGCTACACGTTTACCGTGGGAACTCCGAAGATTTCAAAGCTCTTTATCCTCAGCTGTCGCCAACCGTGACCTCGCTGGACAGATAAGAAACTGCTGGATTCTGACTACACTGACAGCGGCTTGGGACAGAGTCTAGAGGTCTAGACAGCAAGGACTGTTTGAGTATGCTGATTCTGTGCCTAATTACCATGAGCGGTCTTCAACAATATCCAGCACATCTACATCTTGCCAACTGTGCTCATCACCACGTTCAGCTTCAAGCCCGTTTCCCTCTCCACTGAATCGTTCGGTCATTGAATTTTTCAAACTGACTTTCTAAAATTTGAGCTTCAAAGCCAGACTGTCTTCGACGGCTGCCGTGCTATTCGCTTGCTCAGCATCGGTATCTCTGAATTGTCTGAAAGATAACGACACCTTTTTATGTTACCTAAGAATTCTTGAATCCGTAATACTCTGAAGGACCTGAAGAGTTTCCCCAAAAGTCATACGGACCTTTGCAACGAACTCTGGGATCTCTTGGCCAGATTTGAAACAACAGCGAGCGGTCTTTTCCCATAAACGTACTTCTCCATGACTTGGCTTTTTCTCCAGCAATTTCCTTGTCTTCTCGACACTGAAGAATTTACCTGTAGGGGGCTGGTTTCGGCTTGGAACACAAGCCGATTGTGTGGAGCTGTAAATCGATCTGTAGAAGGCTTGAAGGTAGCTGCAAAAGAAGATGAGGCACCGCGATAATCAGTCAATGGTCTTCTGATGTCGTCACGATATGGTGGGTGTGGTTGGCAGGAAAAGCCTCTGCTGCGAGCACGGTGATTGGAACGAGCGCTAATTGACTTGTTAGAATGTACTGGTAACAGGACCGTGAGTTGCTTACGCGGTCATTGCTGCTAAGTGATGCAGTATCAAATGACACTCTGTGGTTGGACAATGGCAGAGTGTCTGAAGGCGCAGGCAAGACTGCAGGTTGCTCATCGGGAAGGCATACACAAGGAAAGCAACAGTGGACAGGCTTGAGTGTCATGCCCTACGATTAAGCCATTTTCCAATCCTGGGAACCACAGAGCGAGCTGACGGCTTCCCGTCGCTTCATTGATGCATCATGTCCACGTGTCCTTTGACAGTTGAGGGGTGGATGGCTTTCCAATTTCTTCGGGCCAGCTCAACTTGCAAAGCATACATGCTGCATGATCATTCGTATCCATCATTATCCAGCACAATGTCCCTCAGTTTCGGATCTCTTGTCCAATCAACTCCACTCCCCGCAATCGTCGCGCTGGCCGTTCCCTTCATGATCCTCCATTTCTGCCGACTGAGTTTGATCTCACTTTCCAGCTCATCAAACTGACTCCGTAACTTGACATCCTCAATGTCTTCCTTTCGCTGTGCGTTTGCTTCATCAGCTAGTGCAAGCATTCTCGCTGCTAATTCTGCATTCTTGCGAGCCAGGCCAACATTCTCTACTTCAATCTCTGTCAATCGATCTCTGACGGACCGTTCCTGGGTTGCTAGCTTGGTGAGTGTGATGGACAGCTGGTCACGTTTCTCAACCAGAGGAAGCAGGTCTCTGACTCCGGGTTAGCAGCCAACTCCGGCTTTGTAGAATCAACTCACTGTTCGACAGCTGTGGAATTACTGCTTCCGTGGACAGCCCTGAGGATGGGATTTGTGATCAAGACATTCTCAATGACATTACCCCGTAGCAAGTAGAGGGATTTGGCTTTCAACAGCTCCTGTGCAGCAGCCGAGATGTCTTCTTCAGAAGGATCTGATAGTTCATCTAGACAGGTGAGAACTTGTTCCAACGGGAAGATACAGCCTGCACCAACCTGATGATAATACCCCCTGTGCCTTCAGTAGAGCGATCTCCAGTTGCAGTTCTTCAAGTCTGTCGTAGACTTCCAATATCCGCTTTTCATCCTCCGTCATGAGCGGTGGGGCTTGTGCGTCGCTCATCTCAACATCTGCCCCGTCTTGAGATGCGTTGTTTGCCATAGTCGTCAATGGATCAGAACTTGAAATATGCGCTGTCTTGTATTGACATTCATTGTCTGCCTACGCGTTACGAGTCAGGCAAGACGCGTTATGAGTAAGACTACACTATGATGTGGCTGGTGAACTGTGGCGGCTATCGTGTACAAGGCTTCCCCGGCCTCGCCTCACTCCCATCGCCTTGTGATCTTTCATCTCTTGTCATGAGCCGGCGTCGTCTTCAATTCCTCTGCGACCACCATCTATTCTGCAGCTTGTCATAGCTGCAGGAAGAAGCAGCAGCAGGATGGCACTCCTAATATTGCTCGCCCATACAGGCGAAGTTCTTGAGGTTGACTCGGGGACCTTTGCATCGTAAGTCACTGTTCCTGAGAAGCACGAAAATAGCTGCTGACACTTGAACAGCCTCGATGCATTCAAGATTTGGGTTTCGAAACAAAGTCAAGTCGCGATACAAGATCAGATCACTCTGACATCGTCTGGAAAACCGGTCAAGTTCCAAGGATTATCAACAGAGGTACGGAACAACATTGTTTACTTATCGAGGGAATACTAACTTTCAGTAGAAAGAAATCTTCGTGTACGATCGTCGAATAGTACAGCCTTCTTCCCCAGGATCCTCCAAATCGCTGCAATCCGAACTTGCTTTACCACCGAAATACAATGTCTCGAGGCCGCCAGACACCATCGCCGACCAAAATGATTTACAAGCGTGGAGAGACCTGTTCATGCAACGAAGATCATGGGCTTTGAAACTGGTAGATGATTGTTCAAGCATGTCACAAGAGGCACAGAAACGTTTTGAAGAGGTTGAAGTCATCCACAGGGGCGTGGAAGCGGCGGTAATGAATTTGGATAAGCACGTCAAGGCACTCGATCAGAAAAATGCGGACATCCAAACCTGGGCTGCCGAGGTACAGAAAGAACAAGATTTGGCGGGACCAGATTGGATTGATTCTCTGTCCCGGCTTCGGTCCATACCTGTTACGACTGAAATGATTAAGTTCATTACTGGACATGATCCTCGCAGGAATCAGAAGAGGCACACGTTGGTAGACTTGGTCGATACTGACGAGATAAAGAGTGCTGGCAAACTCGTACGAAATGTTGCCTCACGCTTGGCCAAGAACAGTGAAGACCTATCCGCAAGGGTAAATGAAGTCTTCAGCAAGGCAGATGATATGTATGCGAACGTTGAGCAAGGCGTCCAAAAGGCACTAGTCGGCAGAGCTGCCGAGCCAGCCCAGCTGATGGAGGACATCGAAGCCATAGCAAAGAAGGTCAGCAATGACTACGAGAATGTTTCAGGGTATTCAAATACCCCAAAGAATGTCTCGCTAGCTTCCAAGTCGGCACTCCTCCACACCAAGAACTTTTTACCGAATCTCTCGAAAAGGTGTCTAGAGATGGATGGCATCTTATTCAATGCTACAGAAGCACGGAATTTGATCGCGGCCGAATCTCTAAGTGCAATGCGAGAAATCGCGACTCTGACTTCCATGGTTGCAGAAGCCAACGCAGCCTTTGCTGCTATGGATTTAGAAGAAGAGGCTTACGATGCGTGCCACCTGTTGTCTGTAGTGAACTCTCTCCCGGTCTCATATGCTTCCTTCTTGGCTGAAGCGATACGACGCAAGGAGTGGAGCGATAAGGTCAGATCAGATTCATCGACGCTGGCCAATGAGATGGCTTCGTTCCAGGATGAAGAAGTCAAACGGCGCAGAAAGTGGCAGAAGATTACGGGGACTGCCTTTTGGGGTGATAAGACTGAGAGAGACGTCGTTGGATTAGAGGTCAAGTTACTTGGTACCGAAGACCAGTGGCCTCATGTTGGTAGGCAAGACCTTGAGGAAGTCTTGGAAATGTTACAATCCCAGGATGCAAAGTCCAGTGTTGTAGCAGACGTCACGAGAATCATTGCGGAACTCGACAATCCGACTAAGCAGCAGAGCAAGCGAGCGAAGGCCTTTAAAGCTGGCAGCATACATGAGGCAGCGCTTGGACGAAGTACGCTCTTGACAAGAGGCGACGATGATCTCATTCGCGTCTTGCAAGAGGATAAACAAAGAACCGAGAATAGGCTAAAAACAGCCGAAAGTCGAGTTCGAAGGCTTGAAGACCTGTTACATCGACAGTCACAAATGACTAGGCCCTCAAACGGGAACATATTTCCTCCTTCTGGAAACCCCAGCCCTGACCTCCAAAATGTTATCAACCCGCTCGCATCTCCACGGCTTGTTGATGACCTTTCGAGGCGCTCTTCAGTATCCTCCCGCAGGTTTTCTGCCAACCAAGGCCCTGATGAAAAGGCATTCCAGCAAAAACTTCTTTCCCTCGAGGCTGAGCTAATTGCTGAGCGGGAACGTGCAGATGGGCTGGAAAGAGAGGTTACTGCTCGCAAGACAGGTGCAGACGACATGAAATCACAAGTTGAAGAGGCAAACTCATTGAAGAAGGATCTCATGGAAAATTTTGACGCACAGCAACGAGAGTTTATCGAAGAACGAATGTCTCTTGAAAGCGAGATCAGGCGCTTGAAAGCCAAACTAGAGGAACTCGAGGACGAGATGGATCGATATCTTGGATCTCGTGAGAATGAGAGGACCTCCATTGACGATCGCGTCCGTAGCTTGCAGGATGAGCTTGAAAAGGCTCGGAAAGAAGCCATCGCCGAGTCGCAAAAAGCCCAGGGCCAGGTTGACTTTCTCAGAGATGAGGCCAAGATGCAGCGTGAAACTAACGATTCTCTGGAAAAGCAACTGCAAAAGCTTAGGCAAGAGAACAGAGGTCTTATAACTCGAGCTGAGAAAGCCGAAGCCGAGGTTGAGTTGCAGGTGAAGACGCTTGGAGATGTGCACTCGCATCTCTCACCCACTTCAGCAGTTCCTGGAGACCTCGGCGTGCTGGCAAGTACCTTGGTCACTTTATCCGGAGATCTGGTTGCAGAACTATATTCTGTCAAGAGCGATGCTGCCATTTTGAGGTCCGATCGTGATGTTGCTCAAGCAGATCTTGCCGAGATCAAGTTGAAGATGGAGAGCGTCAACGCGAAGCTCTCAACTGAACAAACGGAGGCATTACATTTGCGTGAAAGATTGGCCGAGGAGCGTGCTAAGTTCACAGCGCTTGAAGCAGAGTTGAATGATGAGCGCCTTCAATTATCTACTTTGAGAACTAAGATTTCAGACGGCGAAACCGGATCGGAGGCCCTTCGAACTCGCTTGGAGGAGGAAGAACGAAAGGTCACAAGCATGTCCGAGGATCTAGCTGCTCGACAGTCACGACTTGGTGGCCTTGAGGAAGAGCTGAGATCGGTGCAAGAAAAGTATCACTTTGCGCAAGAGAAGCACGAAACACTCACAACCAGGTTCGAAGCACGAGGCTCACGCGCTAAAGATCTCACTCACCGAGTTTACTCTCAGAATGATCGATTATGCAGACTTCTTGAAAGACTGAGTTACTCTGTGACTCGCGAAGGGGATTCGATGATAATTCAAAGGGTACCAAGACTTGATCGTTCGAATGCGAATGATTCTTCGGACCCAGGTTCGACAATTAGACGGAGCATCTCGGGGGCTATCACTAGAAAGTCCATGGCTGACAGTGGAGATCTGGATTTACTCTATTGGATGAACAGTGATGACCCAGAGGCTGAGAGCGGGAAGTATGAGGCGTTCATGCATGCAATTGGCAACTTTGACGTCGAAGCCTTTTGTGAAGTGATCACAAAGCGCGTCAAAGACATGGAGTACACCGCCAAGAAATACTCTAAAGATGCTCGTGCATACCGGGACAAGTCCCATGCGGCTCAAAAGGAAGCTCATGAGAAGATTGCTTTCAAGAACTTTAAAGAGGGCGATCTGGCATTATTCTTGCCAACACGCAACCAGACTACTGGTGCTTGGGCGGCATTCAACATCGGGGCCCCTCATTTCTTCTTGAAGGAACAAGAGTCTCACAAACTGCGCACCAGGGATTGGCTTCTGGCCCGAATCCACAAAATTGAGGATCGAGTAGTCGATCTCTCCAAATCAATGTCGGGAACTCACTTGCAGCCCTCTGATCGAAGGTCGCTGACTAGCAACGGGGGCGACTCCTTCGAAGACGACAACCCGTTTGATCTTTCCGATGGCCTGCGATGGTACCTGATTGAGGCCTCGGAGGAAAAGCCTGGTGCACCGTCAACTCCTGGTCTGGGCAAAAGCACTGTAGCAAGCACACACGTTGATGCAACCGGTAGCATTCGTCGCAGCAAGAAGTCATCCAGCAGCGGCATGGATGGAATCAACAAAACCCTCAGCAAAAGTCTGGACAGCAGACGCAGTAGCAATAACTCAAAGAAATCAGTCCCTTTGGCCACCACACTTGACAGGACGGGCTCCACAGCTACGGATACAGCATCTCTCAAGGCTCCTGCTACTACCCAGACAGCCAACGAGGGCTCAGAAGCACAGATGATTAGGCCGAGCAGCCGACATGACGGTAATGGAAGCGGAGACAAAGGTCTCATCAATCCCGAGGTGCGAAGCGTTGACAACTTGATGGGCCCCTGAACGAGCGCTGATGGGGTTTAGAATATTACAAAATCAAATGTGACATCCACTGGAACAAGCCCTGCTAAGAAATCAATGATATGGGACTCTTTATGGTCTTTGGACTTGAGTCTGGAGAGCGGAAAAAACAAGAAGTAAAGCCTGGATAGAGAGCTTTGGTATCTGCATTATGGAGGCGTTGCACGGCTTCGCGGGTGGCGTATGTGACAGTTTACGGGCATCATGCAGCATGAAAGTTGTTGATAGCTTGTGTTTGCGCTTCTTGGCACTGCGAATGATACCACTTTGTTTGCTTCAGAAGTTTATAATTCAGATCCATACAAACACAAATGCAAATTTGCTACTGATTTCTTCTGATCGCAGCATTGGCCGCGAGGTAAGTTACAGATCAAGTAGGGAAGCAATCCAGAACATCCCACGCCTCAAGCTTGCACCTGATCGTATGTATTGGAGTAGACTATCAGCTACCCTGCATGATAATCTAGCCGGTCTGAATAGTCTCATTGGCTTACTTGGAGCAAAATTTCTCCAAGCGGATTAGAAACTACTGTCACCTCGGATGGCCATCGTTGAATTTCTCAGTGAAGTTGTGTAGCTAACATCTTCTCTCTAAAAAACACAGTAATTTCAATCTCAATTGCTTTAAATCCACATTGGACTAATGTCCATCCTTGAAGAATCTACGTCGCTGGTGAGATATTAGTGAACCGTCTTGTACTCTGTCTCCCTTCTCAGCCTCTATCATTTATTCTAGGCTTCCTCCAAGTCTCATATCATAAATATACTTGTTTACTAACCTGGGCGTGATAGCTAATTTACAGTGCAGTAGCCTTCCGATCCCACTGTTTTCCCCTTATTCCATCATGTCCTTCCGTACATCGGAGTCATCTATTGTGGTCACTCGGACAATATTCTAAATTGCTAAGCAAAAATACCACTTGGCTCCGCCAATCCAAATCATCGTCTCCAAGCACTTCTTACCTACCTTCCCAGTCTGTCAGTCAACCTCACCTTCACTAGAAGCTTCGCTCAAACCATGCAAGAGCATCACAAGCCCCAAAGTGAACATCGGTTCCCTCTTGTGCGCCATAGTCCTGTACCTAAATAGGAGCAGTGATCAAGCTATGGTTCTCATAACTGGTCTGCAACGGCCGAAAAAAAAGGTTGGTCGAGCTAGCCATGGAGTTTGTTGGACCGGTACTTGATGAAGGATGGAGAAGGATGGAGCCAAGGGTAGCATAAGTGTCATAAGTGTTATGGAGGCTGTGAATGTTGTGGGTAGAAAGCGATTTGTGCAACCAAACAAAGGTATTTGGATGTAGAAACTGGAGAAATTCGAGGCAATGATAGGGCGTAATTAGAATGGAGGGTGGTTATGGTTTTCTTCTCATGCTTGGGAACAACTGGAAGTCGACTCACTAGGCGGGAACATATTAGTGGAAGCTGTAAATTTTGAAGTGACAGTTGGTCCTCGCCAATGATTTGCCACTATGCACTAGCTTTGCTCACTTTGAGCTAGAAGAAGCGATGGTGGCCTCTGAGGACCAAGCAGTTCTTCAATGTACCTGTATCCAACATTTAATCAGTCTCATCAGTATTTGTAATTTCTCACTCAAGGTTTGCAGTAGGGACCATGATATATCTAGGAGAGTAGATAAGTTGTGGTGCCTATTTGCTTGTGTATAAGACGAATGACTCCATAGGTATCTCCCTCCCTGTCATAAGCAAAGGTACCGCTTTTCAATGTTAACATATCTCAACGTTGCCCTACCGGACTTATTCTTAGTCCAATGGATATTGTCATAGCCATGACTTTTTGATAGAAATACCCCATACGTATGCTCAATAAACCTCCGAGACTCCAACCAAGAGCATGATACGCCACTCTAAAGCATGATAACAGCTACGCCCGGTTGATGCAATGATTCCAGCCGCTCGACAATGCAGTCCCAGCCCAGTGTGTCCCCATTTTGAGGGGAATAAATACAAATTAACGCCAACGCAATGGTGCCAAAAAATCCGACGTATAGGAAATTAACCCTTAATGGTTGCAGCAGCTGATCCGTTGGTGATTGGCGCCGCAGAGAGACCATTGCCATCCTTGCTTTCAGTCTTTGTGGTAGTAATCTTTGTATACATGGCCTCTAATTTCGACCCAGAAGCAGCTTTCGTGGGATCCGCTGGTTGAGGCCAAAAGCCAGCAGCATATTCCCTACGTTTTAATTAGCTATGCTCCCTTCATTGTTGCAGGAATCACCTACCAAAAGCTTTGCTTGAGATTCTTCCCCTCTTCCTCTCGAGCCAAATTCTCAATGAAATTCCCAATCACTATAAGTTCAGCCTTCATGACACTGGCACGTTCTTTCTGCGAATTTATGCGATCCTTAGTAGCAGACTGCACGCGCTTTAAACTATCCCTGATGGGTTTGAAGATCATGCGAAGCATGGAATCTTGCTCTTCGACGGATTTTGAGTGCCCATTCTCGGACTTTCGAGGTTTCGAATGACGATCATGATGCCGATTATCCTCTGGTGCACTATGCTTTCTTTTGAGATCAGGCTTCGGGGTACTTGAGTCACCATAGCGGCGTGATTCGATGTCTCTATCTCTGTCTCGACTATGATGAGACTCGGGGACACGATGAGGTTTTCTTGCTGAAGGAGCAGGTGACGCAGAAACAGAGCCGCGGGTATCGGTGCGTCGGTGGCCATTGATGCGGTCGTGCTTCTTGTTGTTCCGATGGTGATTCTCCACAGCCCGCTTAGCAGCTTGATTGTCGGAATACTTGGCCTTCAAAACTGACAGAAGATAGTCGGCTCGACGAACAAGATGAACAGCACCAGGAGCTTTTGCAACCTTCTCTTCTCCCTTGTTTCGTTCTTCCTTTTTGTCGACACGATGCTCTTCCAAGAAGAACTTATCCTTCAGGCCGAGATCTGTATCGTCTCTGATTTGAACCCACGCACCATAGCCATGTCTGTGGATACCAACAAGTAGCATGCCGTCCTCTCTGGCACCCCAATCACAGGAATAGTGAGCAGCCTTGGATGCGTCAGGGACTCGGAAGTTCTTAAAGTCTGAGGTGGCATTGATGATCTCCTTCAACATCATCATTTCGCCTGGACGTTCAATAACGGTCTCCGCATTGAGTCTTTTCACCCCAAGAAAATCGAACAGAACAGCCTTCTTGTCTTTTTTCGTGAGAGGCTTGTTTGTTTCGCGCTCCATAGCTTCGATTCTGGCGGCATCCTCCTTCAATCTTCTATCGCTTTCATCCGTGATAGCTTTTATGGTTGCTCGAAGAAGGTCAAGATCTCGGCCTACTAGACGCGCATCTTTTATGAGCTCGTCTCTGCGTTCCTCAATAGACCCATAACGGAGGAATGCTCGGAACAGATTTCTTGCCTCCTTTTCATTTAATTCTCTCTTAGGATCAGCACGATTGGCCTGTGCCTCTCTCTTCTCATCGAGTTCATCCTGCTTTGCTTGGTCGCGCTCCCTCTTCTTGGCAAGGCGCTGTTCTCTCTCAATCTCAGCAGTATTCTTTTTGGTGGCTTTGCGAGGCGCATTTTCCTCGACGACCCGAGCGAGGTATGCTTCGTGGTTGCGTTTCTCCTCGTCCGCCTTGATTTCCGCGAGCTGATCTTTGGGGATGATGTCATCCCACTCGAGGTCGATCTTAACATCCGTGTATTCGAAACTCTTCAAGAAGTCTTCACCACCATCAGCAACCATGCCTTCTGGAACCTCGGTCTTATGTTCCTCGGCATTCTCCAGTACTGCGTCAATGTCGAGTTCTTCCAGCTTCTTTTGATTTCCAGACTGCTCGAACATCTTCTGTCCTCTACGCTTGAGAATCCTAGAGATGTCATCAGAGGACTTGGGGTCATCAATCTTGCCAGCCTTAACCGCCTTTTCTCTTAGTTCCTTCTTTTCTTTGTCAGTTACGCCTCTTTGAATTGTGATGAATTCGAGCATAAGCTTATTACGAGCTCGCTCTAGAACCTCTTCCTCGACAGTCTCTTTCGAGACCAGTCGATAGATACTGACAGGTTTCTTCTGCCCAATACGATGGGCACGAGCCATAGCTTGCAGATCTGCTTGAGGGTTCCAATCGGAATCGAAGATGATAACAGTGTCAGCGGTCATCAGGTTGATTCCAAGACCACCAGCTCGGGTAGAAAGAAGGAAACAGAAGTCGTTGCTGTTATCGGCATTGAAGTGATCAATCGCCATTCGGCGAGGACCAGCAGCAATGGTACCGTCCAGGCGTTGGAATTGATAGCCTCGAAGTTGCAGGTAGTCGCCTAGAATATCAAGCATCCGCACCATTTGGCTGAATATTAAAACACGGTGATTATCGCGCTTGAGCTTGGTAAGGAGTTGATCCAGGAGCATCATCTTTCCACTGCTAGCAATCAATCCCTTCAGCTGGTCTTCGCGTCGATCACTTCCTTTCAAAATCTTATCCTCAGCGTTGGGAAACATGTAAGGGTGATTGCTGGCCTTTTTTAATTCCATCATGATGTTCAGAAGGGATTGCTTCTGGCCCTTGCCGCCTTCGTTGAGTGCAGCGTAATTTCTCGTAAGAATATTCTTGTAGTAATCCAACTGCACATCGGACAGCTCAACTCGAATGATCTTCTCGCTCTTCGGAGGCAAGTCATTCTCGACCTTTTGTTTCGTACGGCGCAGAATGTAGGGTTGGATCTTGTTGGTGAGGGCAGCGATCTTTTCACCAGCAGCTTCTTCGGTCAAGTCCATATCCTCCTCAATGTCCAATTCACCCGGCATGAGAAAGTCCATCAGAGCGGACAACTCTCCGAGAGTATTTTGGACTGGCGTTCCCGTAATTAACAATCGGCTAGGGGCTTTGAAGTCGAGTAGTCTCTGGTATAGTTGAGATTCTCGGTTCTTCAAACGGTGTGCTTCATCAACTGCCATAAACTGCCATTTGATTTGGGACAAGATAGTCGCATCTGTAAGAATATACTCGTACGATGTAAGCAGAACATTGAATTTGGGCTTCTTGATATTGCCGTCAGAGAACAACTCATACTCGCGGATGATGCTTCGAGATGATTCCTTGCCATTGTAAATGACATAGTTGACGTCTGGAGACCAATATTCGAAAGTATCCGCCCATGCCGGGATAGTTGTTAAAGGAACAACGACTAGAAAGGGTCCTTCTTGGTGCCGATCATGTCGGAGCCAGTTCATGAAAGATACTGTTTGCACTGTCTTTCCCAATCCCATCTCGTCTGCAAGGATGACATTCTTATTCTTACACCAGTTGTAAGCCAAGAAGTTGAGGCCAGTAATCTGGAAGTCTCGAAGTTGTCCATTCTTGATGTATGGTGGCTGCTCTCGAATTGGCACATGAGGCCCGCGAGTATTTGGGTTTGTTTCCTCCTTGCTGGATACCAAAGTCCGGGACGTACGGTCCAGGAACTTGTCGATAGCATCCTGCGCAATGTCACTGACGAGTGATGACACTTCCCAAGTACAGGATTCGTAATAGAGGCCTTTCCACTTGACGAAGTACTCAGTCTCCTCCTCGCCATCTCGTGTGCCGATGACACGCTCGACTTTGGTGTAATCAAGAAGAGCATCCGAATCGCGCTCACGGTCTAACATCCACTTCTCTCTTTCCTCTGGGGGTATATCAGTACCACGCGCTATCCATATGTCTTCGAGTACAATCTTTCGATAATAGTTCTCAAGTCGACGGAAGCCGCGCATGCCCGTTAAAGAAGTGGTGGTTTCCCAAGTTGCATGGTAGTGAGACTTGCCCTGCCACTTGATAAAGTATTCAAAGTCGTCTCGACCCAAGTCTTCTTTGTTGATGTCCTGACCGTCCTTGAGCCGATGCTTCAGGACGGTGTCAATATATGGAGTATTGTCTTCGACTTGGTCTCCAGGCCAATGGTTGGGGGTCATCAACTCAGACTCGTCCTCCAGTTCCGCGTCACTTTCTTGATAAGCCCCAGCTGTAACTTGAGCAGCTCTTCGACTATTCCATCGTTTCTCCTGATACACAGGTGCAAGGTTGCCAGATTCTAGCTGGCGACGACGATTCTTCTTCGTAGCTGTTCGAGCTCGCGCGCCTCCATATGTATCGGAATCGGAGTCGGATACGGAAGCCGAGCGTAGCATTGGTGTCTCGCGTTTCGATGCTGAAAAGTGCTAATTAGTTATCGGCGCCGGCGAGGGGACAGCAATGAAAGTACATACAAGGCTGAGAACGTTCCTGTTTCCTTCGCTTGGTTCGATGAACAGGCACGACATCAGATTCGGAATCATCATCGTTTTCATCATCGGACTCAATCTGACGAGAATCAGTATATTTACCTTCCAGTTGACATAGTGGTATACTCACGATGGTCCGTTGTTGGACAGGGCGACCCTAGCAGAAGAAATTAGTTCACTTCTCCCCACTGGCAACCTCCAACATAACTCACACTTCTCCGCAGACCATACAATTCTGGATTGGCCAATATGTGCTCGTCTTCTGCCGGTAGCTTCCTCTTAGCGGGACGACGAGACTCCGTGGACGTGGATCGTTCCTCGCGTGCAGTAGTTGTGGGAGCTTCTGGTGGGCTGTCCTCCATGTCGAAGTCGGCATCATCGGATTCATCTTGGGCCTCTGCAGCAGAATCGGAAGCATCTGTGTCTTGAGCTCCAAACTCAGACTGGTGGTTCGAGGAGGTCGCCGGGGAAAGTTCGTCGACTATGGGGGGGTTGGCCACGTCAGAGAGCTCTGATGTGCTATCGTAAGGGGCATCATCGTTCGTAAGAGCAGGACCCTCCATCGGAGTATCGTTCCCATTAGATAAAGACATTGAAAGTGTTCTGTCGAGGGGTGTTGTCGGCGGCGGTGGGGCTGAGGACGACGAAGTTAGCATTTGATGCCAAAAACTCGACTTTTGCTGTGACGCCAGAGTCCCAAAAGCCATCAGACGGCCCAGAGCACAAGGAGGCGATCCGGAACCCATATCAACCATAACAATGGCTTCTTCAAATATTGTCTGAATATCGCCGGCGCATATCGAGGAGTTTGGGGATAAATTTGAAATAGGGCTGATGATGCTTTTCGATTGACTGAGGGATGCTAGGGAATGTGCGAGGACGCACAAAGTTTCGCAAATCGTCGATCGCATCTATAGAGGTCGTAGATACATCAGGAGCAAGTTAGGACCGCGTTCCGGTTTGAATTCTTCGAAGTATACCATCCGGTACGTGTATTCTTGAGAAGGCAGGCGAGCAGCAGCTTGAAGGGCAGCTTTGCGGGCAAGAGACAGTTCAGAAATTGGAAATCACTTACAAGCCAGTGAAAAGTGGCCCCCCGAGAGACAGAGAGTTAATTGTAGTCGAATAACGAAAGTAATGAGGAAATATGCTGGCCGTTGGATTTGGCGGTGGTGGAGGTCTCGAGATGTGACATTGAATGAGGCTCAGGACTGACGAGTGAAGGGTACGGCACTACAGGCTACGGGCTACGGGGCACTGGACTGGGCTGGGCTGGACGGGACAGTTGGTGCAGTACCAGTAGTCCAGTAGTTGGGCCGGTGCAAGTGCAGTCGAAGCCAAAGCCTCGCTTAGTGGTCGGGGCTGGGGTGCTGGGTGCGCCGACGGACCAATGAGGAACGACCAAATTGGCTCTTGTCATTCGACCCAAATACCTACCCTACTCTCTCGAATGACGGTCTTTAGAGAATCTTGAATTTGCACAGGAACAAGTCGTCGCCAGCTACACGTCGTTGTGCCTCTCCACCACCAGCAGGCTATCCGCACACCGCTCTGCAAAGGAGCAACAGCCTGGCCCGTCACCAAACAGCACGCACCCTCTTTCAAACCGAATCCCACAAAGAGATCCCAAAATTCGAGCGCATAGCGCATAGCGCCAAAGCAGCAAGATGTCGGACAAACTCACCCGGTACGGCTAAGACCCAGAGATGTATCGTCTCGCAGACGCTGAAGCACTTTGGAGGCCGTAGACTGACAAAAATTCATTATAGTATTGCCATCATCAGCACTGACAAGGTACGATTGCCACGAGCCCTACCCCACCACAACCCCGCTATGAAGCAGGTCCAATGCTAACAAAGTGCCTTCACAATATAGTGCAAGCCCAAGGTACAGCCTCTTATTGTCTTCAACATACTACGAATTACAAACTAAGCGTCGAAATAGAAATGTAGACAAGAATGCAAGAAATCCTGTCCGGTTGTGCGAAGTGGACGTCTCTGTATCGAGGTCACTCCAGAATCAAAAATCGCCTTTATTTCGGAGAGTCTTTGCATTGGATGTGGTATCTGCCCGAAGAAATGTCCCTTCGGTGCCATCAACATCATCAATCTGCCAACAAATCTTGAGTCCCAGATCACCCATCGATACTCGGCCAACAGCTTCAAGCTCCATCGATTGCCCACCCCGCGCCCAGGACAGGTTTTGGGTCTGGTTGGTTCCAACGGTATTGGAAAGAGTACGGCTCTTAAGATCTTGAGCGGAAAGCTGAAACCCAATTTGGGAAGATATGACAATCCTCCAGACTGGCAAGATGTGATCAAGCACTTCCGTGGTTCTGAATTGCAGAGTACTTGCCCGCAAGCATCTTTGGCTTTTCATACGTGCTAATATCGTTTCAGATTACTTCACCAAAATCCTCGAAGATGACTTGAAGGCAATCGTGAAGCCTCAGTATGTCGACCGCATTCCAAAGGCTGTCAGAGGCGCCGACAAGACCGTCCGAACTTTAATTGAGGCAAACTCGAGTTTGGACAATTTGGATGAGGTACTAGACATTCTTGAGTTGAACCACATCATGGACCGTGATATCAACCTTCTTTCTGGAGGAGAGCTCCAAAGATTTGCCATTGGAACTGTCTGTGTGCAGCAAGCTGATGTGTAAGCTCCGCCGATCGTCCCCCAAGTGCAAAGTCTAACTAAATATTTGCAGCTACATGTTCGACGAGCCTTCATCCTACCTCGATGTTAAGCAGCGATTGAGCGCTGCCAAGGTCATCCGATCCCTTCTTCGACCAGACGACTACGTTATTTGTGTTGAGCACGATCTTTCGGTACTTGATTATCTGTCCGACTTCATCTGTGTCCTCTACGGAAAGCCTGCAGTCTATGGTGTTGTCACTCTTCCAGCCTCCGTCCGCGAAGGTATCAACATCTTCCTAGATGGCAACATTCCAACTGAAAACTTGCGTTTCAGGGAGGAGTCTCTCACTTTCCGAATTGCTGAGGCAGCAGATGAGTTTATGGCTGACCGGTCCCGTGCTTTCACCTACCCCTCTATGGAGAAGACCCTCGGGGGATTCCACCTGGAGATCAAGGATGGTGACTTCACTGATTCCGAGATCATTGTTATGATGGGCGAGAACGGAACTGGAAAGACCACTTTCTGTAAACTCCTCGCTGGTGCCATTCAACCGGACGGCAACCAAAAAGTCCCAGGTATGAAGGTCAGCATGAAGCCTCAAAAGATCACGCCAAAGTTTGAGGGTACGGTTCGACAACTGTTTTTCAAGAAGATCAAGACCGCCTTCCTCCTGCCACAGTTTCAGACTGATGTGGTCAAGCCGCTGAAGCTTGATGAGTTCATTGATCAAGAAGTCAAGACACTCTCCGGTGGAGAATTGCAACGCGTTGCTATCGTCCTTGCTCTTGGTCTTCCGGCTGACATCTACCTCATCGATGAGCCTTCAGCCTACCTAGATTCCGAGCAGCGTATCATTGCGGCCCGGGTTATCAAAAGGTTCATCATGCACTCCAAGAAGACAGCTTTCGTTGTTGAGCACGATTTTATCATGGCTACCTATCTTGCCGATCGAGTTATTGTCTTTGACGGTGCACCTGGAATCAATGCTCGTGCTAACACACCAGAGTCATTGCTCACTGGTTGCAACAAGTTCTTGAAGAACCTTGACGTCACCTTCAGACGTGATCCTACCAACTTCAGACCTCGTATCAACAAGTTGAATTCACAATTGGACCAAGAGCAAAAGTTGAATGGCAACTATGTATGTTCTCTCCATTTGTGAAAGATATCTGTTGTTTGCTAACATATATCTCAGTTCTTCTTGGAGGACGATGCAGCTACCAAGGAGCCGGCTGCTGCAGCAGCAAAATCTAGTTGAAACCGGCAACTCAAATGAACAAATACTCCCTTCGAATCATGCATTGCCAGGCGTCAAAGGAACAGCATCAAATGAGAAGGGGCAAGCGGGTCAGGGATTAGATGAGGAAAAGGCTGCTTCCGAGGAAGAGGAGCCGGACGGCTAACGATGGCGACGGCAGTTTATTTCCCTGTTGTCCTGGTCCTACGATGGTTTGCTGACATTTCTCTTTGAACATTGTATCACGCGTAGGCAGCGTATCATGGTAGATTGAGGGGGCAACGGCAAAGTGGATAACTGCCGTCAGGTGTATTATGAGTGGACACCCAAAGAAAACAGGATGGCGGAACGAGCGATGGCATTTTTTGAAACGACTTTATTCAGATGATTCATTCATTGATTGCATGAGATTCTTTGCGACGAGGTTAAATGCTCGCAGAATAACCAATATTACGACTTGATAGGAGAGTAGAATACACACCGAGAAAAGTCACAACCTTGAAGTCAAACCCTCGATTTCTCATCCCTGGTCGCAAACACGTGCTCTCCCAGAATCGTGTTCACTAACTAACCCTGCCTGCCAAAGTCATCATGCCTCGAGAGTTTTTGATGGTGTGGTCGCGATACATACAGTACAAGTAGATTTAAATACGAATTCCCACTACTCATATTACGCTCATCACTCCTCTTCTATTTCGCCCTCTTCGCTGCCGGAATGAACAGCCGGTTCCTCTTTCACTGGTATAGGAGCCGGTGGTGTCCTAGTCCTGTGACGCCGTTCACGTGGAGGGATTGGGGTTCGCTCACGGGGTGTAATCTCTCTTCTCGATCTCTATTTTGCTCGTCAGATTCACAATCAGGAATGCTCATTACAGCCCTAAGTTGAAGGACATAGCATCTTTTTTCTGGTGCCAAAAGACGAGCGATTCCATGACTTAGGTATATCAATTAGGGAAAGGGCTTAGCCGATCCATGATACACCCTAGTTCTGAGATATTGCATTATGGCTTGCTGACACAATTGGAAACACGACGAACCTTTGCAACCCGCGCGCTGTCAGCACTTTCCACGTCACTATCAGCTCTTCGTCGCCGATTTGCACTCGGTCTCTCGTCACCGTACGGCAACTCATCGATGCTTCCCCTGGGATCTCCTCTCTTTCGATATAGCTTCTCCCTTTCGCTCTCCCGATCCCTCCGCTCTCGATCATAATGACTGGATGCTTCCTCCCGGCGGCTACGATGAGGTCTGTCAAGATCGCGGTCAAAGTCTCGGTCACGCTCACGATCGCGATCTCGCTCTCCTCGGTCACGACGGCCTGGAGACAGTAAAGTGTCTGCAGCGCTTGTCTTTCGATAGTTCTTCTCCCGATCGGCAATTGCTTTGCGCCTATCGGCCTCATAGGCATCTGGTTCGGGGCTGCGGGTTCTTCTACGATGTGATCTCTCACCTCTGTCTCTATCACGATGTGTTGGTCTGTCCACTGAAGTACGATCTCGTCGCTTGAGACGATCCCTCTCTGCATCTTCTTCCTTCTCCTTCAAGCGCCTGATAACCTTGTCGAATGCAGAGCGTCGAAGCTCGTCAGAGGGGAGTGCAACATACTCTTCAGATCTCTCAACCCTAGGTCGAATCCTCTCAAAAGTATCATCAATACGAATAGGTGGTTCTAGATGCTTGATAAAAGATCTGAGAGCATCAACAGCACGACGCTGCTGACGTTCCAGCTGAACGTTGTCAGCTTCAGTACGGCGAGATACCTTTTCATGTAGCTATAGATTATTAGAACGTGAGGAAATTGCCGGGTGGAGGGGCGTAAGACTCACGCGCTCGAAGATCAGTGATAAAGCGTCTCGATCAATGTTAGCAGTTCGTCGATCATTTTGCATCAAGGCAAGGAACTCCTCAAAGGTAGTCTTCGTCTGGATCTCAAATCGCTTGTCCTGAGATGACCATTAGCCTGTAAGTTCCAAGGAATTTGTGAGGGATGTTTACATCAAGCACGTCCAAGACATCATTTCGAGTGCTGCGAAGAGCACGCTCCTCCTCCTCAACCATGTCCCAGAACAGATCGATTGGTTTGGAGCCTGGTTGGCCAAGAATGGCTTGATACCTGTCGTCCTGGGCAATCAAAGGGTGGATTTGACTCCACTTTGATCCAGCTTTAATTTTGTTACTGTTCTTGAGTTCGTGTAGGAGGGCTAGGAAACGATCCCGATTCTGGCGCTCCCTCCTAGACTTCATGTTCTTCTCCTGTTGGCGAGCATCATTGAAGGCCTTTTCAAGAGACTTAATGTGGTTTTCGAAAGCAGTCAACATATCAGACTTTGTGAGTGACTTCAATTTCTGATCACCTTGGAATCTTGAGTTGGATTGGATGATACCTTGTGCCTCCGACCATCTTGTGTATGGCTCCAGATCGAGTTGCTTCAGAATATCCACGAGCTCATCCATTGCCGCACGTCGCGAAGTGGCTTCTCGCTCGACATTGGCTTTCTTCAGCTCGATGATATAATCTTCGAATAATTGGCGCCGCTCGTCGTCATCCTTTGCAGAGCGGAAGATGGTCTCTGCTTCGATTATTGGGCGCGCTGTCTTCCAGCGGGTGTAGTGCTTGATCTCTGGATGGCTTCTCAGCATAGTAGCAAAATCTTTGCGGAGCTTTTCGATTCTCTCCTTTGCTCGATCCTTTTCCTGAGCTCGTACTTCAACCGCATACTTCTCGAATGCCGTCTTACGATCTTTCGGATCTTTGAGGGCGCGGTATTGGGGGTCTTTGATAATGGATCGCATAGTTTGTTCCCATGTCCAATTCGGGTCGACATTTTGCCGGCGCAATAGCTTTAGGAATGCTGCCTCTGCCTCTTCAAAGGTAGAGTAGTCAGGGTCAGTGTTTGCAGGAACGAAAACTTGCGCGCGGCTTCCATTAACATCATTTCCATACGCAATTTGGCGGGCTTCTCCTAGAGGCTCTCTGTCTCTTGGGCTGTCAAATTGTGCTGCAGAAAACCCTCCACCAGCGACAAATGTAGGGGCTCTGGAATACTATCAGCATACGCCACAGCGCATTATGAGAGGGCTCTACTCACGGTGCAACGGGTGTAGGTACAGCAGCTTCTTTGGAAAGAGCTTCCTTATAGACATCTGGCATCTCCCATGAGCTCTGCTTAGTTTCCGTGTTATACCAGTATTTGCGTCCTCCTTCCGCCGTATACTCCTTCCAAGGCTGGTTTGCAAGAGCACGCTACATTGATATGTTAGTATTTGATGATTATATGAGCCTTTTACAGATCTCACCTCTGCGGGGGTCATCAACTCCTCTGGCTTGGTCCATTGCGTAGCTTTCGTAATTGTATTGTAATAATAAACTCGACCTTCAGCATTTCGGGCCTCTGACCATAGAACTGGCGCCACGGCGTGGCCGTTGAGACCATTGGTTACATTCATTGCATGAAGTGATGCAATATTATTCTTGCAAAATGAGGGTGGTGACGAGAATCGAAGCAGTCTGGGGGAAACAGGTAGGTAGTAGAGCTAGATTGATCTCCAAATTCGCTAGCGCGATTCTCGAGCTGATCCCGGAATTTTGTTGTTCCGAGTAATTGTTGACTTCAACTCCATCAAGCGCCAGCAGCTTACTCGATCACTTCAAAAATTGATTCACCTAACAGCATGTAGAAGGTACAGGTCACATGCTTCACTGCTTCACCATTAAATAGCTGAGGGAATTTCTGGCAAAACGACGCTATAGGTGCCAAATTGCACTGACCAATTGATTTCCGTACCCTTAATCCAACAAGATGATGGAGGAGTTCGATACCGAGGAGGCCCGGCCTCGTGGTAGCTTAGAGTTTGTCGAAAGCTCTATCTTGGACACAATAGTACCAGCTGCAAGCAACCTGAATATCGAGGAGGTCTTGAGTGGTTCGGTGGAACGATTGGATGAGGGGAGCGATTCTCCACTTGCATCTATTCCACAACGGCAAGCTCTATTCTTTGGTTAGTAATCCCTATCTCTTGCAAAGTCATATATCTTACTCATTCATAGATCCTAGATGAAACGGTCAGCGTCTACGTTGTTCTTCAAACTTCATACTTCGACGAAAGAACGCTGCGATCATATCTAGGAAGGCTAGTGATAAATCTTGAAGCGCAAGTTATCAATTCCAGAGTGGATGGCAGCACTAGCCCACCTGGCCAGGAAATCATATACAATGGCTCTGTCCAGGACAGTGAGGATCCGTTGATTGTTGTCCAGGGACCAGACGAGACGGACCCCAATGCTGGTGAAGGACACATTTTGATCGTGTGGAAGATGCCAGCACACCTAGTCAGACCTAGACTGCGTCTACAAAATCCATCTATTGTTTTCTCGGCAACAGCAAATTTAAAGCCTGCTCAGCAGGTACAATGTTCCACTTTAAGAGAAGAATACCTACCTAGCCAGGTTCCGTCCGCTATTAATCTATTGGAAGTATGTCAAACCCAGGAGATCATTATTACTCCGTTGCTCACACAGTCTAGGCCTTTAGTGATGACCCAGCTATGGGTGGCATCAAACCCCGCTTGTCTGCACTGAGGGTATCTCGAGTTGCTCCAACATCTCAGATTACCAGAGACACGATACGCCCGCTCAAGAATATCTCGCGGCAGTCAATCAAAGTCGTACCAGCTATCAATGCCCGAGTAAGGTATGCTAGGCCGAACACCACGCCCAGCAACCCAACAGTAATAGCCTCAATCGATGTCGATATCACTCCGTTCGTCAACTGCGAAGTGACACTTGAAAAGGTCGACCTCAAAATCATGGGTGGAAATGTCGATGACCTGAACGCTGTTTCATGCATGACCTTACCCATAACGTCACTCCCGCAAGACGACATCACATTCCTCTACCGTCTTTCTCCAGACGATTTAGACGCAACCAACCGATCCCAAGTCCGCAGTCTCGAGATCTCCATCCAAGCAACTGCTAACCTCTCGTCTGTCTGCCAACCAAACATAAAAATGCAATGGAGCACCTCCCTAGATTTCACCCCCCCAGTAAATCCAGGTTTTGGAAACCCCACGCAACCGATCCAACGCCCTCATCGCCCAGCCCAACTCTCCATCGGCTCCACTTTGGAAGCAACAGCTTCCTCGCTCGCTGTAAGCAGGCCTGATGCCCTCCCATCAATAGACATTACTACTCGTCACCAGCGAAACTCTTCCATCCCGGACTTTGGCGTTACAATGACTTTCACTGGCCCTGGTATCGATAGCCCAGTCTACCCAGGTATCCCTTTCACCTGGTCAGTCTTCATAGTCAATAGGTCCGATCGCCCTCGCAAACTTGCACTCCTCGTCATTCCTAAGCGACGCCGCACAGAAACCCGCATCACGCGCCCTCCATCTACAGGCTACGGCGGCTCACGAAAAGACCCAAAAGTTGCTGATGCTGTTGTTGACGAGAACATCATCTACGCTATGCAAAAGAACTCTGCGGTGGAAGATACGGAGATCGTGTGTCTGAGCACAGATACGAGGGTGGGACTATTGGCTCCTTCGGCTTGCTATGATGTTGAGCTGAAGTTTATGGCTTTGAAGGTTGGCATTGTGGGCGTTGAGGCTGTGAGAGTCATTGATCTGGGGACGCAAGAGCATATTGATATCAAAGACTTGCCGAGTATTGTTGTGTCACCATTAAAAGAGGAGACATAGTGCACAAATTCGTCTTGCAATGGAACGAGCGTGATCTTTACGCAAAGTCCCATTGTGAGATATAACCTTTGTGAATATGATTCGTGCTTTGGTGTTGAACATGTTGACCTACTCAATATTCTTGTCCATCCGCCCGATATCCGCGATATCTGCGATGTTGAATCCTGAACGTCTTCACGCTCCAAGCATAGTCAGAGCGTGCTTTCCCATATCAAACTCTTCTATAGCATCATTAGCATTCTACCAAAATCAATTAGTACAATAAGTCATCGCCAAAGTCTTGTACGTGCAATGATATTCATTTACTAAATATCGACTTCATCTCCACTCCACGAAATCTACTATCATTCAGCTACGGACCGAGCAACAGTCATCCGCCACGAAGTAAATCCACCACATCCCCTTCTCATTCAATTAAATTCATATCGTATTTTCCACATCCAAAGCTCCTCCACTCCCTTTCCCCCAATTCTCCTGTACCGGTTCCTCACCTCCCAGGCTCGGAAAACCTTCTCCGTCCCATACACCCATGGGTCTAAGTATAAATTAAAAAAGCAAGTTGGGTATCAAAGCATAACAAAAAATTATATGTAGCAAGCCAAAACATGCCAGAAACGAAGCAAGCATTTTGCGCACCGAAATCCTGCCATATGCGCCTCAGTCCCTATATTTCGATCGAAAGAATAACATGTGTTGTGCTGAACAGCGCAGTCATAATAATGAGATGTCGGTAAGCCCTCGAATGCGCCGTGCTATTGTCGAATATCTCCTGGACCTACCAAAGACAAAAGAAATGCTCTCGTCATCGATCGAAATGCTAAATCGGTACGCCAGATCCTGACCCACTGGCCGGTCCCCAATATCCCTACAAAAAGAAAAGAATAGTGTCGTATATACGTTTGACTGGGAATCTTCTCTTGAGAAACACTTATACCGGTTCCTGATCTCCTTCCAGCACTCTCCTTGCTGCGTCCAACCGACGCCTGAACACCCTGCCATCGTAGCTCGCACGTCCCGATTCTTGTAGTCCAAGGACACATTTGCCGAGACTTGCCACGAGTCTCTCAACGAGAATCTGATCCTCCCTAGCTAGCATGTGGACAGGTGACGGCTGGAGTCGCTCGCCATTCATACCATCTGTTAATGTCATGGAGTCACTTAGAAGCGAAGGCTCGATTTCCTTTGAGGCTCGGAAATCTGGCGTGCTAGCTGTGTGTTGTTGGGTTTTCGGCTTGTTGACCAGGGGGAAGCTTCGCGTGGTGCCGTTTGACCCGAAAGATTCGAAGGAGCCGATCGACGGACGATGGACATTATTTCCATTTCTCTCAGTCTGGTCATGGCCGGTTGAACTGGGTCTTCTCGGACGATCTGGTGATGCTTGTCGGTCCACTGGCTGGTAATTTTTGACGTCTGAACCAAACGTGGAGCGCTTTGCGGTGAGAGGTGTGGCTGTATTTGAGCGAGGTGTTGATAATGTTCCCACTTGTTGAACTGCGAAAGTGTCACGCCGCTCATCTTCATCTCCATTTTCTGATCCATTGCCTTCCGTTGCTGTTTCAAAAGTAGCAACAGTAGACACGGAATCAGTACTCTCTGATCTGAAATGCCCCAACGAAGCTCTCGCAGGTGATTTTGTGCTCGATATTGACGGTCCTTGTACAGTCTCCACAGATCCCTCAGAGCTGAAGCTTCCAGTGCTGCCTCGTCGCTCCATTCTTTGTTGACTAATGGTTCCCATGGCGCTGTGCAAAAAGAAATGCTCGTAGTCAAACGCATCCTCCCGGTCCTCATGCGATATTGGAGTAGTCAGAGAATCGTGGTACAATGATGCATCGCTCTCGTACTCATCGGCTTCTTCATGATCGACCATGTCCTCACTATAGTCGTCTTCGTACTCATCCACAGGTTCGTCTTTCTGTGATTCTTCAGCAGGAACGGCTGCTTCGTCTTCTTCCGGAATTCCAGGCTCGTGGTTGTTTGCGTCTACCTCAACAGCATAGCTGTGCTCATTGACATCTTCGTAGACGCTGGTAACGTCCGATTCTGCATATTGAGGTGTGTCCGTCGTGAGCGCGTGCACAATCTCTTCCTGCTTTGCCTCGTCACCGTTCAGTGACCCTTTCCATGGAGAAGAAGCAATTCCCGCATCAGCACTGAGCGGTTCACCGTAGTTCTTAGAGGTGGCATACCACTGCTCAGCTGCTGTGAAGGGACTTGGCGTCCTGAGACTTTGCAAACTACGTCGTTTCATGGTGTCATCCCGAGCGCGATCCCTTAAGACAGAAAGCCTGCCTTTCAAGTCAGACATCTGATCTTTGAGGTCCCGCATTTGCATTGAAGATGCTGATCGAGTTAAGCCTCGGTGCTCCCCGTTAGGAGTCAGATAGCCGTCCACGCTGGATCTAGTGCTGGCTCTGTCTGCCTCAAAATCAGGAACATCGTTCTCGCCCAATGGCTCCAAGAGCGCATGTGGAGGCGAATTTCTGTTCAGGGAGCTTGAAAGTCCAGGGTGAGATGACACCCTGGCATCTTCCCGTGGTGTTTCTGGGGCTTTAACAAACGGTGGTGACCGTTTGCTTCCATCATTTCTTACATATCGAGCTGCTGCGCTAGCTGATCGAACTGGGAACGGAATTGGAAAGGGTGCCACTCGTTGAGGAGATAGTGCTGAGTTTTCGCTACCAACCCTTGCATGCCTTGGACTCGCAGCCGGTGATTCTCTAGGGGTATGCAATTGTCTTATTTTCGAAGGTGGTACACCAAGCGCCGTTACCATTGTCTCGTCGTGGGGAGATGGCGTTGATCGTGATAAAGGGCTGCTACTGTGAATTGATGATAAGGACCCAGAAGGGATCGTATACAAAGAGCTTCGCGCACGAGTGAGGTTACCTTCCATGTTCTGAAATCGTGTCAGTTTGTCCCAAAACAACAGTAAAATCGCAACTCACATTTAATCTCTTCTTTGCGTTCAGCAAGATTTGTTCTGCCCTCCTGCTCAAAGCCGCGCTTGAATTTCGGTCATCATCTTGTCCAACACTGTGATTTGTAGTAGCTAATCGCTGCGTCTCCGAGGCAATTACTTGCTCGCTATAGGAGTCTGCAACACTCTCTTCATCGTCCCCTTGAAATACGCTATCATCTACACTAACACCATCATCAAAATCTTTGAAGAGCTCTGCCGCTTGTCCCTCCGAGGTGACCGTGCTCGTTGATTCGACAGATATTTTCCTCTGGTGAGTCCCTGTCTTTGCCCGTTTCATTACCGCCGCATAACCTATCGTCGGACTCGACCCTAAAGGCGTATTACTTCCTGACGCTTGTTGCAGTTGCTGTTTTTTGAGCAATCTACGCTCCGCTGGGCCGGGCAACTTACTCCGGCCCGGTGTACTCTCTGCCTCAGTGACCTCGCCGATGTCACTCAACATTGTGCCATTGCCATATATTATCGGAGTCGTTGGGGTCATGAGACCCATATGGGCATGCGGAGGGCCAATTGAGAAATGCATGTCGGTTTGCCCATTCTCGTCCCAATCCCCGCCCGCAGCTTCTGATCGATATTTGCGTCGAGGAGGTGAGGGGGTGGAATCGTATTCTCCATAGGGAAGAATCATATCAGGGTTCGTGAGGGTGGGCGAAGCCGGGAGGGGAATTGCTGAGTATGCCATGGTCGTTGTCGTGCTGCCGCCCGTTTGCAGATGCATCTTCCCGCGAGCACTGGGTAGAGAGTGGCCCTCAAATATGGGCGTGGAAGAGAGCAGGCGGTTGTGCAACTGGTGGATGCAACTGACCGTACGCCGTCGTCACTAGACCAGAAAGTGTAACGGTGGTGTTGAGGCCCAGAATAGTCCGGCACATGTGGTGGCCGAGGACGAGCTTGGGTGATGTTGACTTCGAGGTCCCAATCGCGTCGATCTTATGTACGGATGTATGTATGCGAGATACGAGATTGATACTGTAGACGCAAGCAATGGAAGACGACGGCGACATCCAGATCAAGGAGATTCTGGACAATAATAGGAGATATGTGCGGGCTCGTTGGAGAACAGTCTGAACAGAACATAATCACCCTCGCGCTGCCAACAGAGTACTGCGTAGAGTCGGCCTACATTTAGTTAGGAAAAGTCAAATCTGACTACTGTACTACTGTACTTACTGTACAGGGCTGCGCTGCCAGCACTTGCAGGTTTTGGCTTCGGCTTGCTTTGAGATGTCCTGGCCTGGCCTGGCCTGGCCTGGCCGGGCAGGGCAGGGCAGGGCAGGGCAGGGGAGGGGAGGGGAGGGGAGGGCAAAAGGCAAGACAACCTTGGGCAGCAGGGCGCTAGCCTGGTGGGCAGGTAAATTTACTGTAGGTACCTGGACCGAGCACTGGCGGGCTTGATTTAGGGGGCTTCGGGGGCGACGGGGGGCTTCGAAGGGGGCAGGGGGGCCATCTAGGTCCCTTACAGAAGCCCCAGAGTCCGGTTTCTCACAGGCTCGGCGCCTCTGAGACCTGAAGGTGCGGCCGGTTCAAGCTAGACTCACCCAAGTGACAAGTCACCTCCGCTCAACGGTGCTGGCTACCTACCTACAGTAAGGTACTTTCGTACTTCCGTAGGTAGGATGAGACAGGGGACCCTATCACGTCGCTTACCACCAAATTTCCGGGATGGACACTCGCCCTCGCCCTCGCCTTCCCAGCTTCCATAAGAATGCTTCACTGTCACTGGTCAGCCGGATCAGCCGCTGCCCCTGAGATGCTCGCCATCTCTACCAATGGTCCAATGCCCGTCCTCAAGCAGCCCAGTTCGATAAAGGCATAAGGGCAGATCACAATCACATCGGTAGGAGGCATGAACTTTTGGAAGCCTACTCGTACAGTATGCCTATCTAGCTGATAACAGTATTTTTCGCGGCAGCCGAACTGAGAACTGAGGATCAGGATTCAGATTCGGGCTCAGGCTCAGGGCCATGCACTTCCCCGTCGTCGGCCAGGGATCCGGAAGATTAAAAGTTCTGTGCTCTCTCCTTGAACCCGGAAGTCATGGATCTCCAGGACCACATGGTTGTCAATGCCTTCACCACGAAAAATTAGCGATGGGGGCACAGACTAAGACAAGATCTACATGTCTGATGAGGATGTCTTTTGTCTTTTCTGAGGAGTGTCGCTTCGTCATTCGCAGATTCGCAATAATCTCACTGTTGCATCTGTCACTTCCACCTTGTTACACACCGGCATCTTCACGTTTCCAAACACGAGAATGGCCTTGTCGGACGGCGTGGTGCAATATGAATGTGAAAGATAGCTTCATCTCACAAGCCCATCAGGATACCGAACATATGAGTGGAACATACCTATCAGTGGGCCAATCACCTTTCGCCTTATCCACTATCCACCAGAAACATCGTCGGCTTCACTTCACTCCCCAAATCCGATCTACGCTAGTAGAGCCATGGTCCGATCCGCAGAATACTGGTTAAGCTCATGATGTTCCACATCTCTCCGAGACATTCATCGGATGAGACAATGTAAAAAAATAATGTCTCAATTACGAGCGGACCGTTAATCATCCAAATGTACAACTCTTTCAGATCTTTCGTTCGAATTTTGATGGCAATGTTATTATTACTTGCAGGTCACTCTCACATCAATGTCTTTAACGTTTGGCATGTTTCCTCGTCACCTTGAAGACCTGAAGCACCTCATAGAAAAGACACTCGCTCCTCAGAGTTATACTTCTCCAAGTAAAGATAGGAAGTGCCATTAAATATGACTTTCGCCCATGCCGGAAGTCTTGGGCACGACGGGGGGTGTTTTGTAGAGAGGTATCGATTGTTGATCAGGTTGAACATGAGATTTCAATCAGAATTGAATATGCCTATATATATGCCAACACAACTTCTCGCGTATGAGTAAGCAAGAATCCCATTTCCAATAGGCAATTTGTCACAACATTTCTCTCCAGCCTAAGATGGTCTTAAGTATCCTCCTGTATTGGGATAACAGCAGTCTTAATAAAAAATTTGTCGCTGTCTTGTATTGCTCTGAGACACAAAAAACCTACCCCTGAGATTCGCTTATCGCCAAAGAACTCCGAACTCCGGGAACAAATTCGGCGTTGCTCTAGAATATAAGCTAAGGTACGATGTGTGAGGTGGATAGGGTTTGATATCTTTTAGAAATTGTCGCAACTTGGAAATGAATTTCTGACGAAGCTCGGGAAACGTGTCGAGCATGGGATTGGACCCGGATATGTCTGGCAACCGGAGACTCCACGGACTGCATGACTGCATTCCTATGATTGAACTATCTTTACCGAATAGTTTCCACATTCGACTCGCCGGTGCGCCAATGTCGGCTTGCTCGACATGTTTTACTGACTCACGCCTCGGCATAGCTTCAGGCACCAGGAGTTGAACTCGCAATTGAAAATTGAGAGTTAAACTCCGCGGAACGGGTCTCGATGGCTTAGGTATAAATATACAGGGCGATGAGAAGATGACGTTTTGTTTCGTTGTTGAAGTAAATCCTAGGCATCCACTTTTGCTTTTGACCAAACCGATTTTCGTCAGCCGATTCGTCCTTCATTCCTTTCTCAGCACTCATATAGAGACCCTGCAGTGACTTTCGCCGGTGTAGTTTCTACCCACTGACTACATCTACTTAACTCACCATATCAATTTTTCAAACCACAAACTCCTTCTTCACGACTTCGAGCGAGTTGTTCCCCTCCTCCTTAACCATCTGAGCCCGAAATGGCGAACGATCAGTTCGTCCTGTCACCTGCGACAGTCGACGATGTGCCAGGAATGGCAGACGTCTACATGACAGCTTTCGCCTCAGATGCATTCTCATCATTCGCATTCCCAAGGGAAAAGATCGGTAAAGAGGAGACGAAGAGGTGGTTGACGATGCGCTTTACAAAATTGATTGTAGAGAGACGAGAGGTCAGGACTTCTCTTTGACTTTGATATATATATATATATATATATATATTTGCATTGTAATCCTTCGAATCATCAAAGGAGTTCATAATTCTATACTTTATGGGGAGGATGTCTGGATCGCACTACTGGACACAGAAGTCCAACCAAGAAAAGCGGCAATGTAGACCTCGTTTGCATAAATCCCTTGCGAAATTACCATTAACACTCTACAACAGATGCACACCTTTAAAATCCTCGATACCTCCACCAACAAGATATGTGCATTTCTGCGCTGGAGCTTTCCACACACCCTCACCGAGGAAGAGAAAACCACCCGCTCCATCGAGGAAAAGAAGCGGATGCAAGAAAAGGAGAAGACTGGTATTGACCCAATGTGGCCACTCGGTGCTAACCTAGAAGCTTGTGAAGCTTTCTTCGGTGGATTGAATGAGAAAAAGGGACTGTACGTGAATGATACGGATATGTATGGTATGTAGCATCCATTACCTCAATCTCGAATCTCCTGGAAGAGAGGGAGAGACAACTCTGACCTACTGACACCACCAAGTTGCCCACCTCCTAGCCACAGACCCCTCCTACCAACGCAAAGGTCTGGCTTCGAGACTTCTGAACCACGTTCTGGCCATCGCAGACCAGGAGAAGCGGAAGTGCTACATCGAAGCCACGAGAGCAGGTTACCCCGTATACTTCAAGTTGGGTTTCCGAGAAGTTGATGTATTAGAGGTAGATATGATCCCATGCGGAGGTGATTTTGCAGCGTATAATACGTTAATGATTAGAGAGCCACAGCCTGTTTCTTAGATTAAGAAATTATAGAGAGTGTCGACTAGGCTTGGAGAGTGAAGGGAGACACAAGGCTTTTCAGAGCTAGACGTCAATGATAAACAAAGATTCAATGCACAAATTCATTGTTTGTTTTGGCTCTGTGAGCAGTATTCCTTAAATGTGCGCCACGACTGGCCTCAGCCTAGTCAGAATGCGAATCAGCCCATGTCTAATGCCGTTCCTAGTCCGACTCCCATTGCTCATGACGCCTGTCCCAATGTCCATACCATATCTGTGCCCAAACACCACTCCCATACCCAGCGACCCCAGCCATAGGCAAGCACCCTATTAATAGCAAATTCTCTCATGAGCTGGTCTCCACGGCACACCCAAAAGATCAAAGATGTCTCGCTCATTGGCCCCCCCAATGAGCGTTCCCTCGCTCAACTTCTCGCGGCCAAATGTACGTAAAACATCCTTATACAAGCCCTTCTGGTTCAATCGCATGTTCTTCTTACTAGCCAGCAAGCGAATACTGCGATTGAATATATCATCACCCGTGAAATACAGAAGCGCAGCACCGAACTCTGTCTCCGGAACGACCAGGAAGTCAATGCGTCGCCAGATCGGATTACCAGGGAGAACGCAGGCGCCGTGCCATTTGGAGCCGGTGGATGCTGGGACTGAGAGGGCAGCGACTAGGAAGCCATCATGTGTGAGGCGAGCAACTAATGTTTCGAGGAAGTGGAGCAGATCCCAGCTGGATTTGGTATTGCGCTTTGTGATGATGAAGTCAATGTCTCCTGACGTGTCGGCACCGCGTCTGTAGCTCCCTCCTATGATAGCTTCGACATTGCCGTCGATTTCCAGAGCGACCTTCTTAACAATTTGTCCAAGTGCAGTGACTTCATCTCGGGGGATTCTTGTATTGAAATCATCGTAGTGATCAATGCCGATACGTTGATTTTTTTGCAAGTCCGGGAGAGCGCGCAGGTCTTCCAAGGACTTGTGGCCTGCTTGGACCCACTTGTGTGCTTGAGTGAGACCAACTCCGTAGATTCTGAGGAATAACTGTAGAGTCTTATCAGTGGGATCAGCAAGAGCATTGTCTAGTCTCCGCAGATGCCCTGTAGTGCAGATTTCCTCTATCTTCTTGGAAATTCTGGCCCCGAGGTTTGGAAGACGAATGGCATCTTCAAAGCAGTCAATCTTGACGTTTAGCTTCTTCAGAGTTCCAATGGCTTTTTGATAAGCTTGTGGCTTCCATGGAACACCAATTCGAGCGTAGTATTCGCCCATTTGCTGTAGAATGTCGATAGTATGCCGGTTCGGATTGTCCTGGTTCATCTTTCCAGTACCACCGTACATGCATGTGAAAGTGCTAAGTTTGTCCTCTGGATACTTCTTATATTTCGTCTTGTTCTTCTGTCGCTTTCTCCACTCTCGCTCATCTTCTGAGCCACAAGATTCTTCGGGATCGTCTCGGGATGATGGGCGATCGCTATCTTCATCGTCCTCTCCAAGATCATCATCGTCGTCAATAGGCAAATCCTTCACCTTCCGAATCAGATCAATATACTCATCAAGTACATCACCTCGCTTGCCCATGTTGGTATCAGTAGCTGGAAGCTCGGTTTCTCGACGGTAATCTTGCAGGAGTGAGACTCGTGAGGAAACATCGTTAGGAGGCTTAGCAATGCCTTGCGTGGAGGGTTGACTCTGAGAAGGAGTGCTTTCAAGAACATTCTTTCCTTTTCTAGGCTTCGCATCTTTCAATTGGAGAGATTGTTCTGAGCTTTGCGAGCTTAATGGTGACATCGAGCTGCTTTCTAACATTCCCAGACGTCCTTTGACGATGTACTGTCTCTGATCTGGATCAAGAATGCGCTTGAACGAAGCACAGTCAATAATCCATTGCTCAGTGACCAATATGACCCCTCTGGGTAGTTCGTTACACTTGGTTTTCCGAGCAAACCAATCCATGACCTGTTGGTAACTGTACTTCTTATCAACGACGACATGAGTGATATCTGCTGTCCACTGATTTATAGTCAGCAAGATTTCGAAGTAAATAGAATTCCGGGAATATAGCTAGATTTGCTTAGTATTGAACATAGTATTAGGCGTAGATCTCAAGTCTTCGCTCCGTTTGGTACTTACCAGAGTGGCCACTTGAGCAACTTCTATAGAAGAGAGCCTATTCTGAGAACAAGGGCTGTAAAACTTACAAATTTGCTCCATGTAGCCCCATACTCTCTGGCCTTGTCGATGCGCGCCTTACGAACGCCATCAATATCGTCATCTGGGATCCAGTAGATAGTCTTCCCATCGAAGACACGATCAGCTTTCCCAACCATCGTGACAGCACCCTTCATTGCAGCGGCCTTCGAGGCTTTCTTCTTAGTAGTGCCCTTAGCAAGGCTCTCTCCAGGTCTCTTTCCAAGCATGGCTGCGATACCTTTGCTATTGTTCATAACAACAGAGCCGATGTTCGGAGTCGAGGCACTGCGTTCTGGAACAGGCTTCAAAGTTGAAGAATCATTAGGTGGGAGACTTCCAGATAGCCGGCTATCTATATCCTGAAACGAGACGTCATGTCGAAGAAGAGAGGACTTGCGTCGAAGGGGTGCAGCTGGTGTTTCCTTTACTACGCGATCACTCGCAACTGGCGCCGATGTTGTCCGTTGAATTGTGGGTGCCTTCCTGGATGGCGATGGCTGACTCCGTCTTTGAGAAGAGCGTGAGGCTGAAGATACTGGGAATAAAACTCCTGGTGTACGTTCACTCCTTTGTCTCCAAAATTCTCGGGCGTCGTTTGCATCTACTTCATCATCGGAGCTGTCGTTCAACGCGTAGAGCTGCTTGAAGTACTCTTCTTTCTCCTGTGCACAGCAAGTAAGCCGAGACGAGGACCCTAGGACAGCCATCGAATTCACTTACCATTATGTGTCTTACCGTTAGCAGGCAGCACGGAAAATCGAAATCCTTCCCAGTGAAGCGACTAGGAGGTCCGCAACAAAGACGATTTGATAGATGACGTTGATTGGCCGTTGTGCAGGCAACCACTGAAGCGAGAGTCACGAGGCGAGCTTATTTCGACCGACCTCAACCATCCTTCTTGATGTTTTCAGGGGTTCAACAGTCTTCAAGCTGATTCCAGTTTGTACACTTCACCTGTCGTATTTCAAATAATATCGGGACGCATTCTAATAGTCGTACCATTGTTGCTTCTCTCTGACAAATTAAAAGCTGGAGCACTTGGTCCTATCCTGCCACTGATTGTACTAGATCTTATCCGATGAGCAAAGGAGCCAACGATGGCTTTCGATCAAGAGGAATCTGCTTTATCTGTCTTCCAGGGAGAAAGACAGGGAGCATATAGACTTAAGCATACAGAGCAAGTCACGGCAGTCCCTAAAGCAGGAGAATATTCTAAACCACCAACATAACGTATTGACAGAAGCTCAAAAGTCTCGGATTAATGAGCGTCATCAACATCATGAATGGGACTATGGCCCAAGTAATAATAAAAGCCGCTTCTTATCACCCCACGTATTTTTTAAGCCTAACCCATCGGAATAGTAAGTCATGACCCTCCATTCCAAAAAGTTTCCACGTTGTAACGAGGGGGGCGAACCTTTCTCAAACAGTAGACGTCCACTTAACCCTGCTTATGTCTGTGGTATTCCCCTTCAAGCCCTTCTTGTAGGATGCCAGCATTCCATCCAAACCCAGCCCGCTAACTTTGCGAACCGTCGCAAAGACTGGTTTGGGTAACCTCAAAGTAGGGATCCGCGGTGCTTGAGCCTGAGGTACCGGAGAAAATCGGCTAGGGGATCTCCGCTACACGAATCTTAGTCATAGCAGTCACAACTATTGCGTGTTTGGCTCACATACCTTGCGGCTAAAGATGTTCCACTTGTTGTACCCGAGTTCGGGCCAATCATCGTCAACTCCATCCATGTTTATGTAGCGACGAGATCCATTTATATCATCGCCATTGGATCTGGTCTTCTCTTGTTTCGAAGACAAACTATCTCCGGCAAAGCTTGGACGAGTGGAAGTACCACTTTTATCGTAGAACCGAGCTTTCGTGTTCTTTGCTCGTGCAACATTGCGTCTTTTTCTGAAGCACATATAGCATTTGAGAAGCACTAACAGTAGAATGGATGTCAGGAATATTCCAAGGAGCGAATAGAAAATGATCGTCGCTTGGTGTGTCGATTCACATTGGTGCTGTGATGTCGCGGTCGTGGCGTTGCACTTTTTAGGGATAAGAACATCGGCAAATGTTACCCCAGGAGCATGAGCGGGTTTGTTGTAGGTGTTGTCGTTTTTCCTTAGATCTGGTTGGACTTGCTGAATGTCTTTTTCGGAGGGAACGGAACGAATTGGTGTCAACGTTGTCGTTTTGCCTGGGCTGTCATTGATTCTCCAATACGCTGGGATATAGTGCTTGTCCTGTACCTGGGAGATAGTTCCAACCGAACCTCTCGCAACAGATGACTGCTTTTCGGGTACCTTCTTCCACTTCTTGCAAATACTTCGGTAGTTAGTACAGATGTACACTCCACAATTGCATATTAATCTTCTGGGCACAAGCTCGGCACGATGTGCTTCCATCTGCTTGCTACTAGAAGAAAGCGACACTGTTGACCGTCGTCTTTGAAGCTTCTCGTTGGATGTGAATTCAGAGTGGTCCAGCAGCGCTTTCCTGTCTCCGAGCTGTCGAATATCTCTGGTGCCAGGCGTTCTCGCGACTGGGCTGTTCAGGTTCGATCTGTTGGGCAACTTGGGCCACCGGCTCCAAAATGTACATATCAGCCTGGATCGATATTGTAGATCTATGGTCCACAAACGTACCTGGGTTTTCCTGGGGTGTTTCCAGCATGATGTGACTCAACAGCTCTGTTGCCTGAGCTTTGAGTATCTGCAGGAGGCTTCGGTCTCTCTATGCCAGAGTTCATGCTGGTGTGTGGACTTTTGTCTGCAGTCTGTTGGACAGGCTTGGAATGACGTGATCCACCTGATTTATCCTTCGAAGTATAAGAGTTGTACTTGTTAGGGGGTCCCCTGTGTCCAGCCCACTTCAGAGGATCTCGCTTGCCATACTTGCCTTCGCACGTTGAGCCGTCTTTTGTATTAGCACGCCCACCAACATAATGGATCTGGTCTTTGCCACAAATTTGGGACCTAATCGTATGGCTTTTGTCGTCCGAGGACGATGTGGCACATGTCTTGTGGACTCTTTCTCCAATGACACCCTCAGCTTCGATGACTGTGGTCCATTGGCGGCGATGAAGACGATCAACGAATAATCTTCCTATACCACTCGAGGAATGTTCCTGTTTCAGGACTACCCCATTACTCTGCCGATCAGTCATTGAGCTTGGCATGGGAACCAGGGTAGATGGAGTCGGAATCATCTTGTAAGGAGACGACGGAGAGGCATGATAAACAACGACAAGCCCAAGTAGCGTTAAAGCCAGAACAGTTTTCCCCAGTGAGAGACCAGATTCTCGCACGTTGTGCCTCTGAGGCATTTTGAAATCGGTATCCGCTGTAAATACACTGTCGGAGACACCTATTGGAAATCCAGGAGAGGTACGCACGTTGCTGTTAAGACTGATGTGGTGCTCTTCAAGAAGGTCACGATTTGAAGGAGCTTGATGAGGAGAAGAATAGGCCTGATTACTGTCTAGTGATGTATTCAAATCATAGATAATTGAGGTTTAGGCTGAAGGATTCACGTCTGGTGAATGTATGGATGTTGTCTAAGAGGAAAATAGAAATCTGACGTGGAAAAAGAAGGACTTCTACGATTACTTTCCGATAATATGACTTTGGGAAGGTGCTAGCCATGGTAGCTCCATAGTATAGGAGAAGAATGCTGCAAGGACACAAGGAAGGAGCGATCAGGGGGCGAAGCAATGAAGTGACCCCGGTGCCTAGGTTCTGTCTTCCTAGGAATCTGTCAACGCTTTGGCGCCGACATTGAGACACCTATTAATGCATCGATAAACTTCCTATGGAACATGAGGCGGTCCTCCGCCATGCCCTCCTTGAAGCGTGGTCATGCTCCCAAATCCACTTCCTATGCTTGACCACTCTCCAACGGTTAAGGTGTTCACCTGATCGAAACCTGGCTGTGATACATAAACTGGTGGACTGTGGCTATTCCTGGAGATCTCTCCGATGTGTTGCTTTCTCTGATGCAGAGCAGCTATGAGTGGCTCGGCCTGAAGCTCAAAACTAGACAGTAGCGCTTTCGAATCCTCCCAGCGATGACCGAAGGTCCTGAGAGTCTCTTTGATGTGTGTCACACAGTTGATACTTCTATCAATACTGTCAATTCCAGCATTGTTCGGTAGTGGGGGAGGTGGTGGAGCGCCTGCTAGTACCGGTGCGAATGGCAGAACGCCATTCAGAAGCTGATCTTGGTTCTCAAGGAGAACTGATACGAACTGGCCACCCACGAAATAAACCCGCAGAGCATCGTGGTATGTATAGAATGCCGTATTTATGGGATCCCTGCTGATGGGGAATATCTTTTGCATGTATGCAATGCTATACTCGAAGATCAAGGTCTTGCCGTAATTAATCACTGTCTGCACCCGACAAGATGGAGCAAGGCAGTAAACGTAGCTGTATAGTAGTTCCAAGTCAAAGAACTCTTTAAATGCAAGTGGTAAGCTGTCAGGGAACGATTCCGACCACTCTCGCATCTCTTGACACATTTGCCAAATGTAAGTGGAGGAATTCTGAAGCGGGTCGCGGCTGGATTGAAAGAGCTCCTGGTACCAGGACGATTGCAACTGACGAAGTTGGAACAAGATGAAAGCTGTTTCAAGAGAGTGAGGTCCGTTCGTAGGTGACTTCGCTGAGGCAGGCATTGAGGATGTGACCAAGGGCAACATCACTGCCGTAGAGTCATCCGTGAAAGAGAAAGATCGGGCATGAACCATGCTGATGGACCTGTATCCAATTAGCATCATCCATCGTGTCGGAAATTCAATCATACCTATCCAGTGAATAAACGCAGTAGAAAATTTTACGTCGCAGTTCAAGGGTTTTCTTCTCTGTTTGTTGCTCCTTAGGAGGATCCTGGTGGAAGCCTAAATCCACAATTGCCCGGCACGCAAATCCGATCAGCTGCCAACTATCGAAATGGGCTGGATCAAGCATGGAATACTGCACGAGCAAGACTAAGGCTTGTATCTGAGAGACGTAGCCGGGCATGAGGACTCGATCAGCGTATCGCAAGGCTCGACCAACCCACAGCACACCATCAGCATACAGAGCATCGTGATGACTACGAGACTGGCCTGTAGCTCCGATAGCAAATACCATATACAAGAGCCAGTGTTCGAAATCGGTGACTTGGCGGCCATTCTCCTGATAGACGGCATCAAGAGCATTGAACAAGGCAGTTTCGGAGAACACAGGAAAGAGTGCGAAGACATTATCCAGATAGTACTGGACCAGCGCTATGGCTGCTGGCCTCGAAGGCAGATTGAATGGTTGAGAGCTCGGCACTTGATCATTGTTTGCGGCAGCAAGGATCAGACGTGCGAAAGTCATGTTCGTTGTTGACGCTTCGAAATCCCGAGTGGTGGCGTTGACCGAGCTTGGGTTGTTAGCGAACTCTTCAATCAACAGTTAAGCAAAAGCACTTTGGACTTACAGAAAGCCAAAATCAGACACAAGTTCATCAACGTCCGCCGCCTCCCTCCTCCGAGCCGCCTTTCCATGTATAGCTGCTCGGATAGTTGCAAGCGAATCCTTTCGATCTGGAACCTCTCCAGGATCCTCACCATCATGCATCGCTACTGATGCTTTTCGATTTCGCGCATAGGCGATTCTTCTTTCTAGTTTCTCGACGCGCGACTCCAGTGATGCCACATAGCTGATTTTTCGTTAGTTGTGCGTTCTAAAGTCCTACGGCCGGCACTCTGGTGTACCTTCTCTCTTTTCCTTTCGCAAACTGATCATTTGCACTTGAGCATTCTCCTGTTCTTCCTGACTTTTCACATGCAGTACAAGCCGGTAGTTTTCCGTCACACTTTGAGCTGTTGTCAGTACAGTATGCGCCGTTACTGGGAATTGTGGGAGAATTGCCTTGATCTTTGCCGCACGGCCTGCCATAGTTAGATCTGATTTGCGACTTCAAGTTGTATCTTAAGCACCTACATCTTGAACAAGCCGAGACTGGCCTGGAGACTCTCAGCAGCGGTGTATCCGCAGCACTGACTCCAGAACGATGCATTGTTATAACTAGTACAAGTCCTTGGATCAAGTGGTCTGTCTAGGCAAAGTTTCTAAGCTCACAGCATTCATCTTCTCTTCTTTGGCAGTACTATAGTCTCGAATCAGTCAGGGTGCCATGTAACAATGTCGGACACCGTGAAACGTTCGACCATGTGCAGATATACTCAGAGCCCTCGTGTGATTACGTTGTGCGAGCTGCTAGAACGAGTGAGCCATGCACCATCCATACGGCACTAGCTCTAGCAGTTCACAATTATCCTCCTTGCAAGAAGGGACAAACGTTTGAGTATGCTACCTAGGTAGGAGATCTTGTCTGAGGTCCAGAAAAGCGTGACTTTAGCACTCACCAAAAAGATAGGCGGGCCTGTGAAACGTCAGCGGTCCTGCTACTCACAGTCAGGTAGCGCATTGTTTTCTTACAATTGGCAGGCTTACTCCTCAAATTCGTGAAGGGCAAAGTGCTTCCTGTTTTTTATTGTGAGGTTCACCAGTGCTAGGAATATGGTCAAGTAAGGCTGCTGGATTGAATGCTGCCTCGAGTATCCGGTTGTCGCCCGAAGATTGATCTGGGAGCGGAGCCCCAGCCTGACTAAGGTGCCTTAGCTCTGTAGCGGGGTCAAGGTCCTCGTACGGGGTAGTGGGGTATGAAGAGATTGCTACTCGTACTGTAGAGTACGAGTAATGGCGCGGGTGTTGCAGGATGCTCAGTGCTCAGGCTCTTTGTTTTGTGGACGGACGTGAGTACGGAGGTAGATTGATGTGCTGGACTGTCGAGGTGGGGGCTCTTTGATGTAATGTGCACCTCATTCAGCATAAGGAAAAGGAAAAGGAAAAGGAAAAGGAAAAGGAAAGGGCATCGGCATCACAACGGATCACAGGCTGAGTTGGAGCGTAGGCAAGGCAAGGTAGGTAAATTACTAGGTAGGTAGGTGTGAAGATGCGCTTAATCGACGAACCAACGGGCAGAGCAGAGCAGAGCAGAGCAGAGCAGTACTTGCCGTACTGTAAGGTCGGCTCATCGGGTACCAAGGCAGCAAGGTACCTTCGTACCTTTTGTACTACTAGACGGACTCGACGGAGTAATTTACTTCGTAGGCTTTGGGGCGAGCGGGAGAAGAAGCAGCCGCCCGCCCAGGACTTGTGCCAAGTGGCGCTGTTTGGGGGTACCCCAGGGTCTGTGATCACTGATCACCCTGGGCACTGATAAGCACTCGACCGGTGACTGGGACGAGAGGAACTAGGTACCTACAGTAAGGTAGAGTACCGGACCTGGACCCCGACCTGGACTCGCTGGACTGCTACTGTACAGTACTAGTACTGAGCTGAGCACTCTCGCTCAAGACTTAAGACTCGTCAATCCAACAGGGCACAAGGGTGGCTTCTTCGGCCCTTGTGGTCGGGATCATTCCTTGAAGAGTTTAGGGATCCTTGAGGGATCTTTCTCGTTCCGTTGTCCCTGCCCTCCTGCCCTGCTCTGCTCTGCGTCCCCAACGCCCTGTTCGTTTCAGATCCTGATGTGGGCATATTATTTGTACTGTAGTGAACAGTTATGTACTTCCGTACTGTACTAATTCATCTCATCTCATCTCATCTCAGCGCCGGAGTTCTATTCAGTAAGGTACCTCAATAGTTCAAGAAGCGCCTTGGAAGATACACTGCACCCTGACAATATCCAGCCCTGGATCGAGTCGGTAGGGGTTAAGTCTGTCTTCAGTATGCATCTATAGGTAGGTTCTCATACAGTAGATGCCACTTCCATTGTTGCTGAGTGTTCTCCATGATTGGTCTTCACAGACCTAATTTTAGAGTACCGTTTGGGAACTTCCACGGCTTGGCTTGGCTGCACGTCCTCACTGCCCCTACCTCTCTCCCGTCTCCTCTCTCCCGTCTCCCCTCCTCTCCCCTCTTCCCTCCTCTCCTCTCCTCTCCTCTGGAACTTCGTACTGCTCGGTCACCACCAGCTGCTCTGCTCCCTTCTCCAGGCTGCTCGACCTTGTCCCGTCAGCCCTCAGACCCGAGCCAGTCCAGTCCAGTCCAATCCACCGTAGGCGCGTGGGGCTGTTTCTTCTCAAGGCTTTTAGGTTTCCAAATTCCACTTCTCTCCACATCTGCACGCTCCATACCTACCTTAGGTAGCATTGCACGACTGGAGTGCTGCACAGTAGGTACGGTCCAGGACAAGACAGTACAGGACAGTATTGTACTCCACACGGCCTCGGCCATGAAAGATACTGGAGGTGATCTTTAGAAACAGACATACACATACATGCATACCCTCAACTCAGGCATCCACCCGGAGCGCACTTGTTCAACACAGTCACAGTCCTTGGATGCAGCGAAGCCGCTGCTCTGCGCCAGACTTGATTCCCCCTCTTGCTCTCGGAACAGGTGCACAGGGGATCTTGAAGAGGGAAGGCCACACACCACAGCGACTGCCCTCGACGATGATGTTTAGAGCTCAGGCGCCGTACCAACCACACACTCCCATTTCGCCCAGAGAGGTATAATAGTGCAGATGGACGCTGCAGACTTGATCCGGCAGGCCCAGAGCTCCGTCAGTAAAGCTCGCGAGGCAAAGAGTGTACGTGCCAGGGAAAGCAGCCACGAAAGCGATGATCATTCTCCCCGAATCGCACACACTTTGACGGCATGTTGCCGATGTCGCCAGGTACGTATCCAATCCATCGAGTTGTTGCTGTGGGAATGCAAGCCACTAAGTCCATGCAGAGGAAAACAAGATGCGATCCAAACTTGCCACGATGTCTGCCTTGCGAACGGGCCGGCGCCATATGCGAGTATTTTGACACAGCCAAAGGGAAGAAGATTTCTCGAACCTATGTCATACGACTTCAAGACAAGGTAAGGGCATTGGAAAACGAGCTCAGCCAATATACCGAGGAGGAAGGCTTCCCGAAGAACACGGAAGATATTGTTCGGCCTGGGGGGCTCGTCCGGTTGGATGAAGACGATGAGACGCCACGATTTCTGGGGCCATCGAGTGGTATTGCGATGACACGGCTAGTTATGGAGGAGGCCAAAAAATATACAGATTCGAGAAGTATCCGTGAGCTGGTGCCTGAGGTCCGTTACAGGCGAAATCCTTTGCCCTCGCCAGAAGCATCAACTGGTCGAAAAAAATCGTACCCGATGATCAGTGCTGTCCCAGCATTGACGTTACCTAGTCGTCTGGTGACGGATAAGCTGTTGGAAGTGTTCAATCAAAAAGGTAAGTACAGTCTGCAGCGTAATCACTCTGGCGAACAATTGTGAAAAGTGGAGGTCTTACTTGTTGTAGCTCAATACCTGATGCCTACTTTGCACGAGCCAACCTTGCAAAAGGACATGCAAGATGTCTATGATGGAGACACCGATCCTTATAAAAACTTCGTGGTTCGAATGGTGCTTGCGATCGCTATGCAGAAATTGGACCCGCAATATGCTGGCCTAGCTGATAGTTACTATCTGGCTGCGATGGCATACATGGAGGAAGTAATTCGCCCAAAGGACCTCAAAACACTTCAGTGCTTGGTGTTGGTTGCTCTTTATTCGCTGCTAACCCCCACTCGCACCGCCATCTACTATGTTGTAGGCTTGGCAACTAGGCTTTGCCAGCAACTTGGATTAACGGAAGAGAAAACCATTACTCAAGGAGTATCTTTAGGACTTGTTAATCCGATCCAACTGGATATGCGACGTCGTCTCTCCTGGATTATTCTTTCGATGGAATTTGGTCTTGCACATAGCATGGGCCGTCCAAATGCCTTTGCTACTGGCCAGGACCACGTTGACGTGGGATTTTTTGAGCCTATTGACGACGAGTATATCACTGCTGATGGAATTTTGCCTGGACCTGTTTCTGAGAAAAAAACTGTCGCTATACATTTCCTACGCATGAGGCTTCTCCAAGCTGAAATCCGACGAGTACTTTATCAGAAAAAGCGCCCGGAACCAAGGAGCGAAGATCATCCTTGGTATGCACAAATGGAACAAAAGCTCAAGGACTGGGTAGACGCTTGTCCTACCAGTCCATCTTGGAGCAAACCTTGGTAGGCTCTGCTACTCCCGTGCTATGATCTATACTCACAGCTTGGGACCAGGTTCATTGGCAGGCACAGGACCATGATCGTGACTCTCCTCAGACCTTCTCCCCAGGTCCCAAAACCGTCCGTTCGCTCCGCCATTATGTGCTATGATGCTGCGTCAACCAACATCAAAGATCTAAGCAAGCAAATGGAGACGTCGATGGTTGATATCACCTGGATATTTGTCTTAACCCTTTTCCAAGCAGTGAATACAGTTCTATGGTCGATTTCTTATCCAGAGGTTCGTGCCATGCATGGAAAGGAGGAGCTAGAAGAAAACATTGACATAGCTCTCGACATCATCTCCAAATGCAGAGAGCGCTGGCCAGGGACTGGAGCCGCTTCACAGCTGTACTCGAAACTGGCAAAAGCGTGCCTCAAAAGCTACGATACAAACGATTCCCTACATGCACCATCTTCTCTATCAGCGACATCTCCGTCGTCCCTTACAGATGCCAACTCACCATCGGCCTCAGAGCATTCCAGCACCACCACAAGCTCATTTGCATACTCTCAGAAGCAATTCCAATCATCCCCTCCCCAATTTGGTTACGTGTTCGACCAAATGCCGGAACCAGTCAGCAATCTTGACTATGGCAACAGCTTCCCTCCACAACCATCATTCCGTTCCGGCTCGATATTTGCTAGTCCCTCGAGTATGCAAACGGACCGTCGATTCAGCTACTTTCCGCCAGACTTTACCCAGCCTCAGGGGCTTCCCAATGCTTGGAATCCAACTGCTGGCAATCAGCAGCAACAAATGCCCGCACCTCCGCCGCCACAAATACAGCAACCAGCCATTGCTGACCCTGCTTACCTCATGCAGTCTACACATTACAATTTTGGATCTCATATGTTTGGTGACCCTAGTTACGATACCGAAATGAGGCATGGAAGTCTCAGTCAACAACAGCAAATTGAATTGATGGAAAGCCTCGAGACTGAAGGTCTGGCAGAAATTGATCAATTCATGGCAGGGTACGAAAATTCCATTAAGATTTGAAAATCAAGGCCGAGATCCGGTTTAACCTTTTGGGCCATTAGGTTGGTGTGGCCTCAGGAGTGAGACGAGAGGACACACTTATGAAAAGCTGTGCCCGGGAGTAATTTGTGTCAAAGAATTATTGGCGACTTTGGCTGAGAAAAAGCGCATGTTTTGCGGCGGAGTTATGGCTTTTACGTTTCGTTTCGCAGATGCTGCTTGGGAACGTAGGATGGGAAGGGCTTGGCAGCATAGGAGTTATATGGGAAGAACACTGGCGTTGCTGCGAAGCCATAGATCTGAGAAGCATGTGCATCCGAGGCTGAACATGATATCTGAAACGATATTGATGTCAAATTATATTAGATGGTGTGCTATGATATTGTATTCAACATAGCTTTGCGAATCATGACAGTCCAGGTCCTTGACTGATAACCTCTCGTTTTGAAGACACCAAGACCAGGAGCAATGATCCTCACAAAAACAGGATGAGAGACAGGATCGAACATAAGAACTATGAACAGAAAACATGGAAACTCGGGACTTTTGTTAATCATGCAATATCTCGCATTTCCCCAGATCCTAGTTCCTTATTCACCGCGGGACAAACTGGACCCTGCCCGATGCAACCACTTTCACAATTTTTAGCTCTTGAGCCGCTTGTCTCGGGACAAAATCACCTAATACAACAACAATGGACTACCCCTCGCCATAAAATCAATTTATCTATTCAACAGAAGTACTGAAACAAGAATGGCAAAGAAGAAGAACAAGAGTCAGGCAGATGATGATTCTGTGGAAGCTTCAGTCCCTCCCATTTCTACAGCGACACCCTCAAAATCAACTCCCAAGCCGCCGAAGGCATCGCAACCCTCGACATCCGCTCTGATAATCTGTCGCAACAAGTACGTCTTTGATCTACGTGAAGGCAGACTACCCTGTGAATCTACATGGGCTGTTCATTTGGTTGCATATGCGCTCGGTTTCTTGTTGCTGCTACATGCTAAGTCTGATGCAATTTATACACGACCTTCGGGATTGCAGATTACATTACTATTTCTTGCTTCTAGAGACTAATTTGATACTAGACATTGGCGTTATATATCCTCCTTCCATGGGCCCTGGCTTCAATTGCCTCCTGAAGTCCTCGAAAGTCTTGCAAACAATAACTACAACCTCCCCCGTCCTCGTCCAATCGACCCCGCTGTTTTCTTCGACCTCCTCAAGATCCGACAGCTAGTTGACGATGCTACCAACCTTGCTGTGCGCGCTGCGAGTGGGGTCACCTCATCATCTCTTACAAACTCTTTGAACGCTGGTAATGGATTGCTGGGAAATGGCGGGACGGCGCTGGGACTCGGACTTGGTGGCGGAGGAGGCAATGCGAAATTGAGCAGAGAACGGAAACACCGCATGAGAGAACAGGCTACACAGAAGTTGTCAAAGGCATACCACCTTGATGAGATTGCATGTAGTGTTGCTACCATGCAATCTGCTTCGACGCTTGAGGATGTGGCGCAATTGGTTCTACAAAGAAATCCACTGGATGCTGATGCCAAATACGTCCATTTTTTCCATGAAAAGATCCCTTCTCGACAACTTGCTGAATGTACTAGTCTTGAGCCGCTTGACCAAGTCATTGCAGAGAGACCCAACGAGCCTGAGATCCTGAGAACTCGAGCCGTTACCAAGATCTTCAAGGATGATTTTGTAGGCGCAGCGCAAGACCTTACGGCGGCCTTACAAGTATGTAGATACTACCAGAACCAGCATAAAGCTGGACGTCAACAGCTTCAATTGGCGAGCGAGGTAGCGGCCGAGGCACAGCGCAATAGCAGGTGGAAAGAAGAGATCAAGTTGGACGAGGATGATCATCCAAGCAGTCTCGAGACTCAACTTCTGTTTCACCGAGCTGGCGTGTATTTAACCATTGCATGTCAGCATGTCAGCGAAGCACTTCCTCCAAGAGCAGCCAGAAATGGCACCAACGGTGTTAAGGCTAGCCAAGCTAATGGTAATGCCAAACCAGCAGAGGCACCTGAGATGACCCCAGCAGAAAAAGAGGCACATCGGAAGCGTCTTGATGCTCGTAAGATTGTCAAGACCAATGCCAAGAGAGCCTTGAGAGACTATGTCTCCTATTTATCACATTTCGATTATACCCCAGGTCTTCCAGCCGAAATCACTGAAGAGTTTATTCGAAAGGTAAATCAAGATACGAATGGCTTCAAGATTCCTCAGCATCAGAATCACAGTAGACTTGATTTGGAGAGCAATTCATCTTTGAGTAATGGTCAGCTATCGGATGCGCTTGTGCCTCACAATGGACACAGCAATCGCAGTCGACAACAATCCAGTCCTAACCGGTCCGAGTATCCATCACTGCCTGCACCGGTTGTGCATCAAATCTCGGCGTTGTTTTCAGCAACACCTCCGCCAGATCTTCCGCCATATCCTGAGACAGCTACAGCACTTACCACCAAGCAACAGTTGCAAGCCACTCAGAACGAAGCAGCTAAAGCAATTCTTGCACAAACAGATTGCCACGAGGCATTGACATATCATCCACTTCTGACAGATGCTCTTCATTCTTTGCTCCTTTGCCACTGTCTCGTACAGACTTCAGCTCGTGAGCTTCAACGTCACGCTCATATGGTAGCTCGCCTAGCACGAGTTTGTGATGGCTACCCCATCTTTCAAGCAGCTCGCTCTCCTAGCCGTGCTGATTGGATAGAAGTAGTACGCCGTAGTGATAATTGGATACAGCTCCAGCAATCTTGGGAATCACTCTGTGCCCCCGCACCCCTTCCAGGTCAGACCCCTCAAAATCAACAAAAGGAGACACCAGCGGAGAAGAAGGAACGGCTGAAGCAGCAAGCCATCATGGAGGCTCTGGAAGACGACAGAGTCCACGATGAGGCGAGTTTCCACGCCGCAGTCGCCGCAAGACAGCGCCGACAGGAAGAAGAAGCCCGTAAGGCCGAAGGGAGAGAGCTGCCGAAGCGCTGGGCTCAGGAGGATGGGAAGGAATATCCTATCAGTACTGACCGCGCTCAAGCAATCGTCCGCTGGATCAGAGAGGCTCCACTTGGTAGCGAAGCAGGTGGTACTCGCAAGAAGAAGAAGAATGCGAAGTCGTCCGCCAAAGGCAAGTCTAATGCTAGTCTCGAGGACTCTATTGCTGACTTGAATGTCGCTGATGCTGAGGAGTCTGAGCCGGTGGAAGAGGAAGTGGAGTGAGCGCTCCCTTGGATATGATTTGGTTACTGTATGTCGCAGCTAGCCAATCAATGTATCCTGCACTCAGTGTCGCTTTGAGTATGAACTGCACCTTGTACTTGCATGATCTCCGCAGCCAATCCCTTCCTCCCTGACGATAAATGTCATCCATTGACGGGGTACAAAGGGCGTGGACGACATCGACCAATTACAAATCTACTATATATGCTGTCGAGAATGATTCATGAGTGATATTCTATGCCTATATCCTCGTTGAGCTCTCACCCTGGCAAGTGCCTTAAGAACAGAAGCATCTCGGGAGCCAGAAGGAGCCAGAGGCAACCCGAGCTGATCAGGGTCATATTGAATAAATGGATATAAATACTGCCACTTCACATCTCTAGACATTCGACAGAAGTTTTTGGCTGTATCAGCTGTAGTTGATTCCTTAACTGCACCGCTTCTTTATTCCGTCTCGGCTCAGAAACTTATCAACGACTAAGATGGGAAAAGTGCGCAATGATGACCCAGCACAACTGACAGATTTCAAGCTCTTGTCTTTCGACGTTTATTCTACCCTCATCGATGAGCATGGCAAGTCCTCCAAATCCCTCGTATAGCCCAACTTCCATTGGGTTGCAAGTCAGAATTCTCTGCAACAAGTTTAGATGATGAAGTTCCTTTTGGAGAGTGCGATTCATCAATGCTTGTCCTGTGGAGCTATCTGACAATTCTACAGGGGGATTGTTCGAAAGCCTCCTGCCCCTTCTGTCAAAGCTCTCAGACCCAACGCCATACACCCAAGATAGAGCTCATACGCTCATTGAGTTTCAAGCTTTCGAATGGATGCTCCAGCATGAGAATCCTACACTTCCTTACCCCGAGGTTCTCTCGCAAGCTTATGTGCTCTTCGCCAAGTCGCTCTCGCTCGCAGTCCCATCTGCTGAAGAGGCTAAGGCGAGTCTACATTTTTCTCGTCATTTGGGTTCTAGTGATACAAGTATTGTCAAACTGTACTAGTCTTCGACAAAAAAATCATTAGGAAATCCCGAGATTCCTCCCCAGAACCCGTCGCTGACAAACCCTCTCAGACCTTCGGCTCTCAAATCGGTACCTGGACCGCCTTCCCAGACACTGTTCCTGCCTTGCAAACCCTTGAGAAATACTACAAACTCGTAATTCTTAGCAACATCGACGATGCGTCCATAGCCAGAACGGTTTCCGGTCCTTTGGCGGGCGTGGACTTTGATGCCGTGTACACTGCACAGCAGATCGGCAGCTACAAGCCTGACTTGAAGAACTTCGAGTACTTGCTGAAGGGAGCGGAGAGGGAGTTGGGTGTGAGAAAGGAGGATGTGTTGCATACGTCACAGAGTCTGACGCATGAATGTGTGCCAGCGAAGGTATGGGGCGTGGCGTTTCTTGTTTGTTTGTTGCCTGATGACCCCTTATTTCAGTTGGGAGGAATTGCTCTCAAGCTGCATAGAAGGTAAAGGAAGAAAAAATTGCATGCTAACTTATTGGATCGGGACAGACTATGGGCATGAGTAGTGTGTGGATTGACCGGGATAGGCAGGATGAGAAACTGAAGAGCTTGAAGGAAGGTGTGAATTTCACTTGGAGGTTCGAGACCTTGGGGGAGATGGCCGAAGCCGTTGAAATAGCCTTCCAAGACAAGGCCTTCTTCACCTGAAGGACCGCACGGTCAATTCCGAGTTCAAATGTAGAGAAAGAAGTCAAATGATAGTAATTCGGTCCTGAATGACCTGCCACTCTTGACGTTCATTGTGGCTGTTATATTTATGCTTGCTATCTCTTCTTGACACTTGTTAATATCCTCTAGTTACGAACTTCTCGTCTCCTGGATCGCGAACCTATCAAGCACACAGAACGATCGCTATGGGATATCAGAAACGCCAATGCTACGCTCAAAACCAACACGCTTGATTCCCCCGCCAAGTGTTATGTTGAGGTAGCACTAGAATGCTCGCTCCTTATGGCGTAGCTGAATTAGGAGCTCAGTGCGAGACATGCATCGACTGCGAGGCCGACCCTGAGATGAATCAGCATTGGAGTCTTCAGGTGTACAGTAGCCGCGAGCTTACCTTCCGTCCTTTTGTGTGACAACATCACTGATAATCTCTCTATCCAAATCTGGGAACATCCCTGCCAAGGTCTCCACGACATTGGCATGTTCGGCTCGCTGGATACGATAAGCTTCTGCAGCTTCGGCACTCGCTTGCCTCGCTGCAGCATCTTCCGCAGTCATTCGACTGCGATGAGGGTCTCCAGTAGTTGGCACTCGTGGCAGGCCTTGCGGAATGTCTGAGCTGACTCGTGGAGAGGGAGTCATTCGAGGAGTATTACCAGGCAGAGGTGTTCGTGCAGGTCCACTTTGAGACGTTCCTGGCTCTTCTGAAAATATTCGTCCAATTGAGGAGAGAGGCCGCTGAATTGTTCTTAGGAGACCACTCATGGCAGCTTTCTCATCCAGTCCTCCATCGCCACTTTCGTACTCGTTTGAAGAAGTAGATTTCCGAGGATTTGATGATTCGCCTTCCATAGAGTGCCGTGGCGTCACTTCAGGTCGACTCAATGTCGATTTCTCGGATAGTTGTGTTGGTGGTGGATGAACGACCTCTTCGGCTTGGTGCTTCTCGGCAATTGCAAAGACGGCAGCCTCCACGTTCTTCTCGAATTCCTCGTCCGAGATAGTCAGTGTTGTTCGGTCTAGATTCTCGATAAACTGCACAGCACCCAGCTGTACAACTTTAGTTCATATACTATATTTACAGCCAAGCAGGGCTTACCAGTGAGGACAAGTAATACCCTGCTTCTCCAGCAAGCTTATCTTGGTTTCTAAACCGTAGGATGTACTGAACATTGGACACCATATGCTCAGGATTGGCTTGGAGCACAACATAAATAAGAAGCGGCATGAATGAGTCCGCCGATGAATCGGCCCTGGAGTGCTTGAGAAGGCCTGTGACAGTTTAACGAGTGATAGCACGAAGTGGTAAGTTGGTTCTCACCAAATATCACTTTGCAGCAGTTCAATACACAAATAATTTTGTCTCTGGGTGCCCGGTATGTCTTGATCTTGAGTAGCTCTGAACTTGCATCAGTTTTTGGCCCATGTGGAGAGACTTGTAACTTGCCTTGCTGAGCCAATATCAAGAATCGTTTTCCGCTGTCTCCTACAGCTGGAATGTCCAAATGCTCTTCCTTGATCCAGCCATAAATACTCACCTTTTGAGCGAGAATCTCATCACGTTCAACATCTTCTTGATGCTGTCCCTTCCTTCCAGGGCCCATCAAACGCTCACCTCCCCTCCTCTTTGACTTGGAGCCAGGAATTGGTTGTGGCGGTGGAATTGCTGGGGAAAAGGTCTGCGTATATAGCCTGTTCATAACTAGCTTCTCCATACCTTCCCGAGCATTGTCAAATTCCGCATCTGATACCTCTCGCCAAACTTCACATTGTGCCATTTTATTTGTGATGAAGGAGAGGAAGTCCCCTATTATCTTGACTTGCTCATGAACCATCCACTGTTTCTTGCCAAATTCCTGTAGGAATGACCGTAGAAATTTGGCTACAGGGTCTGCGGTTCGATGCCTAAGCTGCTCTAAGAATCGGTGAAAGTCAAAAGGAAGATCTGGTTCTGGCTCCGGTTCTGGTGGTGGGGGTCTATGCAGTGGAGGAGGTGACAATGGAGAATCTACATGTTGATGTCGGTCATCCCCACCCTTCGAAAGCCTAAAACTACTGATCGAACCTGGCTTTGGTGGCACTGCTGGTCCAACGTCGGTCGGATCTCTATCTTGCTGATTGGCAGGGTCAGTAGATGATATTCGTAGGTCTTGCACGCTCTGCCCGGCAGCAGTAATGCTAGCATTCAGGGGTTCGAGACTGGATTTCCGCGGAGGATGCTGGATAGGACTTCCAAGGAGTGGTCCAGCGAACTCCAATCTAGGCGACATAACTTCTTCGTGCCCAGGTCCCTGCCCTTCCTCACTGAACTGGTCCATTATTGTCTGTATTTCCGACCTAGGGTTATGCTCTTTCTCGTCCCCGCTTGTAGATGCTTTCTCGTCAAACCCGGCATCAGATCTTGTTGGAGATCTCTCTGGCGGTTCCACCGACCTGGAGTATTGGGGTATAGAAGCAGCATTGGAAGGTGAGCGCGAGGGGGGCTGAGACGAATATGGCGTTTTGGGGGTAGGATCGAGGTACGGCTTATCATCTGGAGAAAGATGTTGCATCGTAGGAACGTTCCCAGACAGCATGTCGGGCTTTAAAGTCGCAGTTGAGGATTCCATGTGGTCGTAGATAGGTGGCGTTCCTACACTGTTTCCTTCCTCATTGATTTGGGAGGTTTCCTCTTCTAACGCGCTTGACTCAACACTAGTCCTCTGGCTGATCTTGTTACCATCTATGGAGCGTCTGTTGATTCCTTCGATATTGACTTGAGAGCCTTGTCTGTCAGACAAAGTTGCGCCACTAGCTTCCTTGCCATTGGCATTCGAGATATCCAGACCATCAGTGTCTTGAGCCTCTTGCCCAACCTCGTCGGGCCCAGAAGCACCTGCTACCCCGGACAGTGGCCTCTCTGGATGCTCATCTTTGCTGTTGATGGCTTCTGCTGGCTGGCTGGGAGGAGACATACACCCTCGGGCGCCTCTTCAAAGGCGTGTGGCTTCGACGTGTGATTTTGGCGGGGTATATTGCGTCCGGGCACAGAGGTGTTAGGCTGCTTCTTGCACAAAGACGCATAGGAGAGTTCGAGCTAGTCGGAGGGCAAAATCGCAGTCATTGGGGATGAATAAGGCACCTGGTAATCTGCGGTGCTGTTTCCTGGCTGGTGCTGCGAGTCTGGTCGTCTTCTGCAGCTTGCCGCGCCTTGACGATCTTGGGCAGTGTGTTTGCGAATTGCTTTGCTCTGAAGCGAGAGAATACTGGAGATGAGATGGGCTTCTACAAGTACGAGTAAGCTCGCACAGTAAACTGGGGTCAATCACAATAGCCCTTGGATGAGCAGTGCAACGGGGAAGGTCACTAGCATTAATTGTATGTGATACGACGAGTCTATCTACAGTACACTGATTTTGTGCAAACCTAGGTACCTTAGGTAGGTAGGTACTTAGATAGGCGTGCCACACGTGAACCCCAACCCAATCGCCTTGCTGCGGCCGCTAGTGCCCCAAGCTCCAAGCTCCAAAGTACTTATTCTTCCCGCCAGGCCACGGCGGAGGAGCCGCTGCCTTTGTCCACTCCACTCCACTGACGTCCTCCCCTCGAGCCTCCTCCTCCTCCTCTCCTCCTCTCCTCCTCGCCTCCTCTCCTCCTCACTCCAGCACCGCCCGCGGTCGACCTGTTACCTACCTATACGCCTTGCTCATGGCCACACAACAGCACTGAAGTCTCCCCAGCCTAGTACTACGGAAATGTGTGGCATTCATGCGGTTATCTCGAGAACAGGCTTCCACGTCCCAAGTGAGAATTTGAAGCATTTACTCTGCAACAGAGGTCCAGATCATACAGGAGACCACCGCTCCCGGATTGATGCTCATGATGCAGCCCCTTACTGCATCACGCTCATGTCAACCGTGCTGGCATTGAGAGGCGGCCATGTCACGCCTCAGCCGTTTGTCGATGCATCAAGTGGTTCAGCGCTTTGCTGGAACGGCGAGGCTTGGAAGATTGGACCAGATCCAGTTACAGGTAACGACGGTCAAGCTGTGTTCAATCTCCTCGTTCAAGCAAGTTCTTCCAGAACGCTAGCGTCCGACAGTACTATTGCTATCCTTGAGGTGTTGCGAAGCATATCAGGGCCCTTTGCTTTTGTCTTTCTGGACAAAAAGCATGGCCAGCTGTATTTCGGTCGAGATCGTCTTGGACGACGTTCTCTTGTTGTCAAGTATGACCCTGATCTCAGTATTCTTGAACTGTGCAGTATCTCAGGTGAGAATGGCTCCTGGGAAGAAGTTGAAGCCGGCGGAATCTATCGGCTTTCTTGTGACGAAAGCGTCCTGCAAGAAGAGTCTCAGATTACGACCAAGGACTGGTCCACAAAAATTGCGCCGACCTACAAACACAACTGGGCCACTGCAGATTCCGATGTCTCTGTAAGTATCCCTTCAGTAGACGGTCTCCTCGGAAGTCTAAAAATCTGCCACGTTCTGACTCATTTCAGGGACTGTCTTTGGGCGTCTTTAATATGGCGGTTCCGAAAGAGAAATTTGTCCTGGATGGTCAAACTGATTCTGTTAGACACCTGCGCTATCTCTTAAGTGAGTCTCTCAACCTCAGAGTTCAGAATATCCCACTTCCTCTAAACCATGATCTCGATGTTCATGCTCGTGTGGCTGTACTATTCTCAGGAGGACTTGATTGTACCGTCCTGGCACGCATGGCAGACGATATACTTCCATTCGACCAGAACATTGATCTCATAAATGTTGCCTTCGAGAATCCAAGAGTTGTTCAAGCAGCGAAAAGTATGGCAAGACCGAGGAAAGGGTCAAACAAGCATTCGCAGGTCGATACTCGTAACACTGAGGCTGCTCTTCCGGAGGCGCTCTCGTCGGGCGTCTCCCCGTTCGAGGTTTGCCCAGATAGAGAAACAGGAAGAAAGGCATTTCGAGAACTGCAGTGTGTATGTCCAGCTCGAACTTGGCGATTTGTCGCAGTAAGCATGAAGCTCAATCTTTGTAGCGGGTATCAGCTGACCAAATGAGGTCGACGTGCCATATTCGGAAACGATCGCGCACAAGGCAAGAGTTATTAGTCTCATTTCTCCACACAATACCGAGATGGATCTTTCTATAGCTTATGCTTTGTACTTTGCTGCTCGTGGTGTTGGGACGGCCACGTCGAGCTTAGACGCCACCCCAGTCCCATATGCTACACCCGCTCGTGTTCTGCTCTCTGGACTAGGTGCAGACGAACTCTTTGGCGGTTACACTCGTCATGCAACGGCATACAATAGGAGAGGCTTTATTGGGCTCCTAGAGGAACTGAAACTCGATGTTGATAGACTTGGAAAGCGAAACCTAGGTCGTGATGATCGTGTTATATCACACTGGGGCCGAGAGGCCCGATTTCCATATCTGGATGAAACTCTTGTTAAGTGGGCTGTTGAAAGCCCGATATGGAAAAAGTGCGGCTTCCAATCAGAACAACCCGGTGAGAAACAAGAACTAAATATTGAGCCTGGAAAAAAAGTCTTGCGCCTGCTTGCTTGTGACTTAGGTTTGCACTCTGTGGCAAAAGAGAAGAAAAGAGCCGTAAGTTCCAAATTGCTCTGGCAGCCATGTCTGACCATTCCAGATTCAATTCGGCGCAAGAACAGCAAAGATGGAGTTGGGAAGCACTAAAGGGACAACACTGATTTCATGATCCCTCTGTTCGAGGCTCTAGACAGGCAATGATGATGACCAGATACTACTGAAATGCTACGTGTGCCTGCGGAAGCTCATCTACTATCGCTTTTCGTGTGTTTCTGTGCAAGCAGTAACCTGGAAGCAGCAGAATGGATGCCGTTGGATAATGCACTGGCACTCATGAAGTAGTAAAGGCAAGTCTGAGCCACATGACTTCCACGATCCAGCTATTCAAGTTTACTCTTTTGTTTGCATGAAAAACTTGGAGAAAGTGGCCTTTGGTTGTCGATATATTGACTGTCGTTTTGGTTCGAAGGTTGCGTCAAATAAGCCATCTTCTGGTTATGACACGGAAGAAATCAATATTCTCCTGTTCTTTAGAATTCTCTTTCAGTTCTTTTCGTCGCGTCGAAGCCGAGGATCCCGTCTTACTTAGCTGCGGTTCTCGGCCGGTCCGTTATTCCGAGTCATTGTGTATCTCACGTGGGATATTGATGAGCTGAGGCAGCTACAACCTTTCAGCTAATCTTGAGCCAACAGGGACATCTGTTCCTGTATTTGTTCCCACCTGTGATAATGGAAAGTGGCATAACACTGGCATCTAGATGCAAGTTTGCAGGTGTTTCCAGCAAAATTGTGGAACAATCCACCACTCATGACCATACTACCATTCAGGCCTGGGTATGTGGATGAAGTTTCAAGATGCGGTTGACGTCGAAGCCCGGTATCCACATATCGTATCGAACAGACTACATGGAAACAAACCTCAATCTTGGTACCGGATCGGCTCGTCGTCTCGAACACTCTCGGACATTTAGTCATACTTTATGCCAAAACTCTGCAGGACAAATCCTGTCGAGATTCCACCAATGACTTCGCTAAAAGTATCCTTTTGATGATGAATTTCAAGGCTGGTGCTTATCTGGTGAGGTTTTATCGTTGATGTGCACTTGCGACATGCAGTACATGCTCAACTGAAGGCATACCTCAAACATCAACAAATTGAAAATGACATCCGATGTCTCCTATTCCTTCCAGACCTCGTCTATTCTGGCTGAAAAGCCTCCGATTCGTCACCAGTGAGACATTTACTCTGCACCGTTTGTAACCAAGCAAGGAATTTTCCATCTACTCATGCATGAATAATCAAAAGCAGGACGTTTTCTATAGCTCTAATGTCAATCCCGGGCGCCAAAGAGTCACAAGTGACTTGTTTCACTCATCATCGAGATACGAAGGGAGAATGCAAATCTCGTATCATAATGTCTCAGAAAGGACTTTCCTTGAAATGTGGAGAAGCGAAGGATAGCTTAGCTCCTTATCATCTCCCGATGCAACTAATGAAGTTGGAAGCATGGATGGGTGGGCAGCATAGCTTAAGTGAAAGGTGTGAGTGAGTGCGGAGGTGATGCAGAAGATCTCCCGTGGCCATCTGCAACTTTCTCCATGCTTGCCTCGATAGCTCCCGCGGCAGGTATGGGTATGGAATGAACAGGATCTCAAGAGAACGGGAATCGTTCAGAAGCTCAGACTCGATTGGGGAAGTAATCCAATGATTCAGAGATTCAGGTGGGTGGGCAGTGCTTCTACAACTCCTTCCTGGGTGCGGTACGGCTGATGTAGAGGGTATGTTCTGCATATTGGCAAGCCTTCTACGCGCCGAGCTGGCCCTTTAGGCGTAGGCTTTGCAGTCTTTGCTTCCTGGGCTGTAGCCCCCGCTCCGCCATCTGACAGAACGGGCGCTGCTCCACACCCTCAGGAAAACAGTCTACAGGGGCCTTATTCCCAGAGAATGCCGCCGTCATTACATCGTGCATACGGTCACATGGGCTAGAGACTGAGAGGATATGCAAGTGCGGCTCTAGTTGATCAATGAGAGGAGAGGGAGAGAAGATGGATCTAGCCCCTGCTGGCGAGTCATCTGCAGAGGGTTTTAGGGTCCAGCCACACATATGTCTTCTCAATGGAATTCTTGATATTCACGAAGTATATCAGGGTTAATATAACGAACAGGCAGGTCAGGCGGATGAGATCTCTGAAAGATGCGAAAGATGCAGAGGAGCATCAACAATCTCCTCCATCATCATCCTCCCTCGTCTCCCAAGACCGTGGGTCATCCTTTTATGGCGGGTCAGGAGTGTCCAACGATCACGGCAGCAAGACAACCTGGATACAGTGGATGCTGGACTGGATAGAGATGATAAAAGTCCAATCCAGGACAGTACCTTTCAACGGACCAGTAGCAGGCTCGAGCTTTCCTTACCCATTCGCGTTATCATGTCAAGCAGGGCTAGGCCGCCATGGCACAGCCAAGGATGATGTTATCTCCCTATCCGCATGAGTGCGTGCTATCGCCGCCTCCATACATTCCAAGACAACTCTACTCAAATCCTCAGTCTCCTCGAGCGCAGTTCCTAGTTACTGTACCTGTGTTGTTGTTGTTGTTGTTGTTGTTGTACAGTATTTCATTTCATATATGGCTTCGCTTCCAGCTAGGCTCAGCCAGTCTCAGTCCCGCGACTCATGGCGATTTCTTTCCGGATACGGCACTGAATAGCGCCTCTAGCCAGCCATGATAGCTGCAAAATGACCAGCCCGTGGCGCTCGCTCTAGAAATTCTACTGTACTGTAATTTACTACTGTGCTGCTGGAAGCTAGGATGGGATGGGATGGCATGGTGCCATAGTGTCGTGGTGGTCACTGTACTGTAGTAGTAGACGGAGGACGGGTGGTAAGTATGGTGTGGTGTGGGGTGGGGGGTGGGACTAAGGGGAATTTAGTTGCAGGTGCTGCCACAGGCTGCTCAGTGCCCGCCCGCCCCCGCCCGCGATGATTGCGAGCCACCCCCAGGGCCCCAGCTACCTACCCTACCCTACCTCCCTACCTACCCGGACCCTAACCTGAATACCTGCTACGCTACCTACCTACCTACCTACCTACCTAATCAGCCAGTCAGCCAATCAATCCCCTCAAAGCTGAAGCTCATCAACACAAACCCAACTCCCTCATCCATGCCCTCTCTGAGTGTCTCTCGCTCAAGTGCCCAGGTGCCAGGTGCCAGGTGCCAGGTGGTTGCGACATCTGTGGCCCACCCGGTCAACATCATCCATCTCCATCCTTGCCCTGCAAGCCTGTCCCCTGCTCTCTTGTCATGATTACTCCTTGCCCAGGAAGGCAGCCCAGAGCAAAGCCAGCTTGCGATCTGATGTTCGGCACGGCTGCCTTGAGCAGATCCATGTCCGTCCTGTTCCGTGCGTGCTTGTGCTGCTGCTGCTTCTGCTTCTGCTTCTACTTCTGAGGATGGACGCTTCGCGCGCCCCAATGGTTCATCGCTCGCTCACTCTCACCCTCACACTCACAGCAAGTCTTGTGCATCTGCACCGCAGGCTCGTGCCGAAAGACATCGGTATGGTAAAGTAAGGGAAGGTCGATCCCGGCTGTCTCCAAAGAACGGATGCTACTGCAGGAAGTGGCTCAGCGGGGGCGCGCTGGTTCTTGGTACATGTAAATTCCTCGTCTGCTCTTGCTCTCCCTAGTCCATTGCAGTGCAGTGCAGTTGCTCTGGCTCATCGAACTTGTCGCGGGGTTTGGTTTGGTTTGGTTAGTCTTCACGTCGAATAATGGAATCCATCCAGCCCAGCCCAGCCTCGCCCCGCCCTGCCGTGCCCTGCCCTGCTACTTGCCTCCCGAGGTCTGTCTCGCTCGCTCGCTCGCTCGCTCGTTTAACGTCCCACCCCCCTATTCCGGCCACCCCCCTATTCCGGCTACCTCGCTTAACCTCACCGCCACTCTTACCTGTCAACTTCAACAATTAATTAAATTCTAATCCTCTTATCGATTTTCTTGAAATCTAGAATGCAACTTATTTATATTATAAAGCCTTAATATACCGAATATAATATTATATGCGCTTTAGAAGAAGTAGCAAATAGCAAGTTTATATAAAAGGTATCATGTGAGTAGGGTATTCTAAGGTCTACTCTTTAAGGCTGTAACGTAACGACTTAGTTATATTAAGAAGCTGCTAGCTACTTGTAAAGATTACCTATAGTAGTAGAGAATCAATTAGCCGATTGGATTTTAAATCAAGAGGCTCTTAGCTATAGAGTTACGCACGTATAGATTCGGGTTTTTAGAGAGAGGCTTCTAGCTCTCTAAAGGGATCACTTACTACTCGGAAAACACTAGATAATACGATTTTTAGCTCGGAATCCTATTCTTAAGACTAAAAAGTAGATATACGTTGATTCTATATATGTTAATAATACTTATTCTAAAGTTATTTAGCCTTAGTTCTAAAAATTAGAAATCCCGGCTATTAAAGCTATTCTACCTAGCTAACGATAGAATATGAACGAGATAGGTGTTATAGAAGGTTATAGTCTTAATAGTCTAATTATAAGCTACGCTAAAAAGCGTAAGATTTAAGAGAAATAGCCTAGTTTATATAGTTAGATATTAATCCTCGAATCTGTCTCTGCAATTAGAGCCTCTACTAAATCTCTTATAATTTACAAGGGAAAGTTAGTCTAATAATAATAGTTTCTATCTTAATTGGAAATATTTAACGATTAGTATTTCATAGCTACTGAAAATAGGTAGACTACTGATACTACGGCTCTAGAGTAGTTAGAAAAAGTGTTTATCCCTTAGATAGAACCACGTGACTATTCAGTAAGACTCTTTATTCTAGATAGCTATAGGAGCTACTAGACTACAGAATTCCTTTAGAAGTGCCTTGAATATAATATCTACCTCTTATTTTTACCTATATATATGTCATATGTCTTACAACCTCTCGATTTGATAGTTTTCTCTGCACTTAAGCGTGCTTACCGGAAAGAACTATAAAAGTTAAGTTCTTTAATCGATTTTACACTAATAGGTAAGCGGAATTTTCTTGTTTACTACTATAAGGTATATTAAGAAAGTTTTACACCTTCTAATATTAAATCAGGGTAGAGAACTATAGGTCTATAGCTGGTATCTGTTGCTAAGCTATTAATAAGCCCTTTACTATTAGAAAATAGTAATAAATCGATAAATCTAACACTTTCAAAGCCTTAAGAGACGCTAATAGAACCTCTGAAGGTTTCTAATACTTTAATTAAGTTATATACTCTAAAGGTATGAAAAGATCTATACTTATAGATTCGTACTCTAGTAAGCATATTATATAACTAACTTCCGATATAACGCTTACTTTTTAGGAAGGTTATAAAAGGGATTAATAAGAAGGAATACAAATTAAGGAAGGCAAATATAAAGATTAAAGAGCTAGAAGAGAGATTAAAGTAATTAAAGCTAAGGAAAAAGAGAAAAGTTAAGACTAGTCTAAATTCCAAGTTTGTAACAATCTGTGCTATTAAAGAGGCTTAAATTGTAGCTAGGGAGCGTTAAATTAAATCTGAAGAATCAGAATTAGGAGGAGAATCAGAATCTATAATATCTTGTATAAAAGTTGACGCTGAATAAAGTTATTAAGTCTTAAACAGGAAGTATTGCAATTAAGCGAGGTGGCCGGAATGGGGGGGTGGCCGGAATAGGGGGGTGAGACGTTATGCCACATCGGGCAGTATATTTTCCAGAAACGATGCCGCTACTGAGATATCAAGTGACCGACCGAGTATTCCCCATTACTCCTCCTCTCCGAGAAGAGAACGGGGCAGGCCAGGCCACGCCACGCCACGCCGGGTCAGGGCGCTTTCGCTTTGGATCCTCAGAATGTTCGCTGACATTTATATTGCGCCGATTGCCCTATTGCCCTATTGCCCTATTCGGACCCCTCATATCTTGTTTGCACTAGCAGCTGTACGTGCTGGGATGCGGTCCGCAGGCTGATCTCCTCCTCTCTTCGATTACACTTAGTACTATTACTCCAAGCGATCCCTCCTATCCCACGGGCAAGAGAGCGCCTCTTCATCATTGACATTGACATTTGATTTGTCTGTCGTGACTACTTCCAGTCACTCAGGTCATACGAAGACCTTACTGGCAGCCTTCCGAGTTCCCGCAAGGTCAAGAATAGACTCGGCGCATGCTTCTGCTCTGTAGCCGCGTTGCGAATCTGCTCTTTACAAAACAGTGTCTCGAAGAACGAAACTAAGCTTGTAGAGACATATCCCTCGCCGTCCCAGATCCCACGGTACTGCTTGCTCCGAGGTACATAAGTACTGAGTCTACTGACTGACGTCCGGTTGACAAACGAGCTGTGGCTTGGGGACCAACGGGATCTATCGCATCGATCAACGTCAAATCGGTTCTTGTCGTAGTTCGGGGCTTGCCTGGATCACTTGTTATTGTCTGTCAGCAAAGAAGCCTCTTGGATTCAGCCTGCTTGCGCTGGAGCTCCCGAGCCTCTCACGGTCACCGATCTCGATATCGCCAACGTGCAAAGACGAAGGACATCTACGCCGGCCACTGGCCATTGATATTGCTTCGGGTGTCCAGCCTATCCGGTACACAGGCAGTGGAGCGGCCAACGACTCCCAAGAAACAGAACGAGAGGCAACACTCCGCTCCCCATATTTTGTCGGCTTTGCCACTCAATCAAGGCAGCTTTCACCTTGTGTTTCGCGGCGTTGCGACCGATCAATCATCTCGTTCCGAGCACGTACAGTACACCGTCGATACTACTGCGCGTCGTTCTCGTTCTCGTTCCAACAGACCATCCTGCCCTTCTCTCCCCTCTCCTACCCTCCCATCCAGCCTCGGTCGCCGCGTCGAACTGTGTTGCAGGAGATAACCTGGCTGACAGGGAACTGATTTTCCCGTACGGTACCGTCCCCACTGCAGCACCGTGCTGCATCTGCACCGTACTGCAACTACTGCGCTGCGCTGCGCTGCGTTTGCGCTGCGATCCTCACTAGGCCGCCTGCCAGAGCCTCTCGCGAGTCGCGAGTCGTCCGCTCGCCCCTCCTTGTTCCCGCCGCTGGAACTCCACCCATCATACCTAGGCACCGCACGCGGACTGGGCAGTCTGGGGCAACTCTATCAATCAAACATCGACCTGACTGTACTCTGCAACCAACCCACAAACCGCCAGCGGCTATTCGCAAGACTGTCGAACAGTTCGTCCGCAATTCATGGTCGGTTCTCGACTCGACTCAACCGACACGACCGTTCTCCCTCGCGCCAATCAACGGCTGCTCGCAGCAGGCCACACTGTAGGTGCAAGCAAGGCAGGCCTCCTTCCGCCCACGCGCATTGCATGCTGCAGCTCCAGCTCCAGTTCTATGCCAGCCAGCGCTCTCTCGACCTACCTAGGCGCGACCGCGCTCGAGGAGTAGTATCAGAAACTCCTCGCATAGGAGATCTCTTGACGTCTCTTGTCGGTGCAGCGGTCCGTTAGACGGGATGTACTCGGCGCAAACAACAAACGGTGGCAATGACGGCTTGGGCACGATCAACCCCGGTGTATTGAATTCAGGTATTACTCTCTCCTCTCCTATCGCATCGCAGCGCGGCGCATCACATCGCATGCTCGTCGCATAATCTTGCACGATTCGCCGGGAATCGCAACTTGCTTGCGATTTTTGTTGCAGACTGTTTCTCGCGATGATGTTGAGTTATCAATGGCCACTGACTCTGGGTTCTGATGTAGGTCAACTGTCGAACAATACCGCGACAATTACGCCAGATACCAGCCCGAACCCGCGGAGCCTCAAGCGTTCTCGCTCGCCGGAAACATACGATACAGGCGATCAGCTTGTTGGAGATGACGGTATGTGGTCGCCAGTGATTGATGGGTTCCACATCTATCTGATTCCTTTGCGACTGCCATGTGCTGTGCGACTGCAAATTATGACAAGTTTACTGATGATGTTTCATTTTAGGTGACTCAAAGCCGCGAAAACGAGGGCGGCCGATGAAGTCAAGACCTCCAGGTGTTCCAGAGAGTCCGATACAATCCTCAATGCCTCTGTCACAGCTTCCCCCGCAAACCCCTCAGTCGCAGACTGTACCCCTTCCCTCTCAATTAACGAACATTACTCCTACTCAAGCGTCGCCACCAAAGACCACTCCCACCAAGACCGTCATCAAGGCACTGCCAACCGTGAGAGACCATACAACTGACCAGCTGGGACCGGAAGGAGATGAATACATCCCGCGAGAATATGATGAGGCGGGCGAGAAGAAGGTCACAGCTACTGGACAGCTTCTAGACGGGCGCGATTACAGATGCCGGACATTTTTTGTGCCAAATAGAGGAGATAAACTGTTCATGCTAGCCACTGAGTGCGCGAGGGTCCTAGGATATCGAGATTCGTACTTGCTTTTCAACAAGAATAGGTCGTTGTACAAGATTATTGCTACTCAGGCGGAGAAGGAGGATCTGATCCACCAGGAGATCCTACCATTCTCTTATCGCTCGCGACAGATTGCTATAGTCACGGCTCGGTCCATGTTCCGACAGTTTGGAAGCAGAGTCATTGTCAATGGACGGAGGGTACGGGATGACTACTGGGAGACCAAAGCCAAGAAGCAAGGCTTCACCGAAGAAGATCTTGCTGGAGAAAAGAGGCCAGGCGCTGCCAAAGCCAGGGACGCTGCCGCCGCAGAGGCTAATGCAAGCGCGTCTTTGACGCTAGCCCACCATGGTGACATAGTCTACAGCAACAATCCTGGACATTTTGGCGGTGTCCATCCCCAACCACAAACTGTCCAGCCTGGCCTCATGGGAATTCCAGGCGGAGTAGCTCCCCTTCCCATGATCACGCTGGCACCGGAGCAGCCTGACATGCGTCAACGAGACTTTAGCAACATTCAACGGCCCCGCCAGGAGATCACTGGCCCAGCGTACCAGGACCGCACACAGACCAGCCCTCCCCAGGAGCTCCTTACGCAAGCTCACCATGCTGCTGAGTACAATAAATCGGTGAATTTGCAACGAAACAGGAGCAGTGAGTATCTCGACCAGCGCTGGAGACAGCGCCACGAAGCTCCACCTCCCAACATTGCACCACAACCAGTGGGGACCAACGATGGCCTGCCACCCACACAAGCTTTGCAATCCCCACGCACCACGCAGACTGGTGTTCAGCAACCGAGTCTGCCTCAGCAAACTTCTCATCACATGATAGCAGCTCAATCATATTCACAGCCTCCGCATCAGCCAAATCCAGTAGCCCAGAGCCCGATGAGAACGGCACCTCCAAGTACCATGCGACCGGATCAAATGGGAAGATCACCAGGCCTCCCACTCGGACCAAGCGGACTTGGACAAGGAAACACTTATAACTTCCAACAAAATCAAATGTGGCCACCTTCCCAACCCCAGCAATCTCCGCAACATTTCCCTGGATATGCCTCTCATGGTTCTCAGCAATCCCCTCACATTCAACAATTGCCACATCAGCCTCCACCACAGCTTCGCCAGTCTGGAAGCAACCCTCAGATGCAGCCAGCTTTGCAGTATCCAGGTATGCAAGGCATGGGCCAGAGCTATCCAGCACCAGGTCGTGGCCTTTACCAGCCTGACCAAGGTTCACAGCAGTTCATGCAACCAAACACATCTGGTCCTCAGCCTGGACCTCAAGGCTGGGCAGGGCAGCAACCACCAGGAGGATCTGGTGGTAATTGGGGTTATCAATGAGAACAAAACTCGAAAACTACCGATCACTACGTCTTACGAACTTGACCGAGAGATGAGTACAAATACACATGACATAAATGTATTGTGTATGGCATCATGAACATTCAAAATAACAAAGTGTGATCAGCTTCTGCAGGAGGGAGGATATAATGGAGGATATGGTAATTTGTCGTTTCCGCGAGTATCCGTCTGGTTGCATCAAGCCAGTAGAGGAGTTGGCGCCAGTAATTGATCGAGGTGGATCTTCTTTCTTCTCCGGCTTTGCTGCTTTCTTGTACAGTACAGCGTTTTCTCGTTGTTGTTTTTCGCGGTTGATATACCTCTGTTCTGCTTCTAATGGCTGTCGTACGTGGAACCTCTTATTTCCTTGACATCATTTCACTTCTGGCTCTGTCTGGTAAGGGCCAAGGCTGTGGCCGTCTTCGGACTGTTGACCATTTCATTTTAGCTTCATTGGAAGGATAACGTGTACTCGGCACATTTGGCATTCGAGCTTTTAGCTTGTTTGAGAGCATTGCAAGGTTTGTTGGAAAGTGTTTTTGGGGTTTGGGTTTGGGTATACACATGTCTGCATTGCATTGCATTCCATTGCATTTGCAGGTGGCTTGGCTCATTTGTTACTGAACTCTGGGCGGAGTTGTGGTCCTTAGGATATCTCCTCCTTTCTCGTTGGGGTGAAACAGGAATAATACTCTCGATTTCTTCTCCTCAAAGTCTATGTATATGTTCAGCAGTGTACGTCGTACGACTGTGCGGCATTTTTAATACCAAGGCTGGCCATGACAGGTATTATGGAGACGTTAATAGAATATGGCATTTCGGATGATCTGCCGAACGTGGGATCAGGCAGATCTGGCAGCTTTCCCGGCAAACATATTTGCGATTGAGTCGGCATTTCGACCTGCCAGATGTGGTATGGCCCCATTCGATTATTTGGAAAAGCTAAATGCGCACCAATACCAACGAGACTCACGGAAGAAATGCGGCGATTTACAAAATGATATCCACAACAGTGTATGTTAGCCATAATGCGGGACCCCGCAGGTTCGTATCGTTAGTCTGATGCCTGGCCAGATATCTTAATTTGTATGGTGGGAATATTCTGGGTGTGCTGTCATTCGGAGCTCAGGCGCACCAGGCCCTTTAACTAAGTGCCTGGCAGCTTGCTTGAACATGCTGGTGATATGAGCTACTCCAACTACCGAGCATCAGGTTCTATTTAAGCAAGAGAAGCTGCTGTTCGCTGATCCGTCTGAAGAATACAGGACTGGGCCATTGCCTTTCTAATTGTACAGTCCGGCGTCCCAGCACCGCTCCACCTAAAGTTATTCGAAATGCGCCTTGCCGTACTTCTAGCTCTAGCTCTGCCGGCTTTTTCAGCCGCATCTGTTCTTTCCGAGTAAGTGGCTTATGCTGCCTTCCAATGTCCAGATTCCATGTCAGACATTGAACCGACTCAATGCTAAAATCTTTAGGTCGAACAACAAACCATTTTTCTATAAAGGGCACGACCTAAGCTCCCTCAAGACACTAGAGGATGGCGGCTCTACTTTCAAAGATACAGCCAGGCACAATCTCACCAGACCTGTAGAAGATATCTTAGACGATGGCGGAATGAATACCGTTCGCCTGCGAATCTGGGTTAATCCCGTTGGTGGGACGAATGGGCTGGAGTATACTATTGCTCTTGCGAAACGGTTCCAGAGGAAGGGGTATAAGATATATCTCGATTTTCACTTTTCGTAAGTTTCAGGTATCGTTTTGGCGAAGTTGATATCTGAATTGGATTACGAACAGCGATTACTGGGCAGATCCAAACAAGCAGCCGGTTTGTATTTTCTTCTACTTATAATCTCCATGGTTCATGTCACAGGAATTCGACGCCTTGATCGAGGGCCTTGACTTTTACAACGCTAATCTCCTTGAAGCCTCCAGCAGCATGGCCAGAAACACTCCGACCTCTCGCTTCAACCTTACGAACCTACGTCAAATCGACACTCATCTCCTTTAAAAAAGCCGGCATCAACCTCGACATTGTCGCCCTCGGCAACGAGATCCGGCACGGCATGCTCTGGCCCATCGGATACGTCGATGTCGATATCCAGCCTTGGTCTGCTACGGTTGCAAACTTTTCAAGCCTAGCGACGCTGTATAAAGCTGCGAGAGCCGGTGTGGACGATGCGATCCATGCAGGTGTGAGAAAACCAGACGTTATGATACATGTCGACAACGGATGGAACATTACATTGCAGCAGAGGTGGTATGGAGCGCTTATTGCGAACGGTGTTCCTGAAAGTGCGTTTGATACTATTGGAGTATCGTTTTATCCTTTCTATGGGTATGTATACCGGTTCTTTTGTCCTAGAAGACCCAATATCTCAGGTAGCAGCGACATATCTTCAGATCAGACATCGGTGAACTCTGATTCAATATCTCATACCCTCATAGAAGCAAAGCTAAGTCTTCTACAGTACGGCAGCAACATTCTCCAATCTCAAAACAAGTCTCAATACCCTCGCAAAGCAATACCGTAAACCCCTCCAGGTCGTCGAAACAGACTACCCAGCAGTTTGCAATGGCCAATGGAATCCTATCCCGGAGTCTTCAGAGCCTAAAATCCCGTACAGCATCCAAGGACAGATTACATGGACGGAGAAGGTCATTGAGATCGTGAAAGCGGTGCCGTATGGGCTGGGGAGAGGTGTGCATTATTGGGAGCCGGCTTGGCTTAACAAGTGAGTTTTCTTGTTTCCTTGGCTGCTGGTTGTCTGAAATCGCCGGAAGAGAGATACGATTTCAAGTGGGACTACACAATTGCAGGATAGGCTAACGAATTTTATGAAACAGTACCTCGTTGGGAAGCGCTTGTAATGATGCTATCCTTTTCACGCCCGACTATAGTAACTTCCCAAACATGGTGGGATACTCCAGGAGTTCGGTCAATATCTTTAGATGATCTGGGCAGGGATTAACAGGGAACAGTCCTGGTGATGACTAGAAAACCTGGGCAGAAATCGTTAGGAGTTAAGAAATGGCTTTTCGAAATGCTGCTACATAGTTCAGCATGTTGATATGGGCCAGTGCCTTTTCGCACTGTCTTCAGGTCGCACTACTTAGACTATTAAGCGAGCACGCTGATTTTGGCTTAGATGTTGACATATGCTGTTGATGGCGTCTAATGCAAGTAACAGTCCTAAATAACAACCGAGATTTTCGATTTGATTTATTCCTGTGACAGACGATTCCCTAAGAATACTGAGTGAGCGCAAGAGAAAGTCGCATTGAATTGTCCAGGCTTTGTAGATCTACTGAAGCGAGTTGATTGTTCACGCATCTCTGTAGTACTTGTACGGAGCCGCATTTTCCGAGTGGTCTCGATATATGAGAATAATCCATATCTTGCCCTACACATCGAACTTTATGCTATAAAAATTGACGTGTACTTCTCACATGACTCGGATGGGTTTGAGTAGCAGGCATCGTCCTAATCAAGCACAGGCACTCGATCCTCGTCGTCTGTCAATGAAACCAGCCGAGAGTTTGAAACAGCCAAACGTTGGCGTCAGGTTGAGTTCTGTTACTCATCGCGCCTATATCACAGGTTAATAGCCACTAAACAGATAGAGAATCGCGTCCACCCGCCAAAGTACTGTGCCTCGTTTGTTACATGAAGGATTCTCGATCGTCGTTGGAAAACAGACGGCTCCGCCCAATCAATATTGGCTAGAATCAGCACCTCGCATCAGGCTCCCGAGAGCCGCCCAAGGAGAGACCAGACAAGGAGACAGCTGCGTTCTCCACACTCTCATCAAGGGCTTGCGCCACCAACCCTTTGCTTTACTTTGCTTTGTTTTGCTTTGCTTTGCTTTCCTTCCTTTCTGCTCTGCTCTGCTCTGCTGTTCTTATCACGATATCAAATAACAGCTGTAAGCGTCCATATCTGTGAATCGGTCTCGAGCTGTCCTGTACAACTTGCACGCCCAGCGATCCCGTCCGAGACCCTCCTCACGAGCCGGATCGGCAGCTCAGTACCACTGTCGTCATCCTTTTATTGAGCTCATCTTCGATCCAATCTCCCTCGCCTCCTTCCAACAAAGCCTGCAAAAATGGTCCTAGAAATACCAAGGAGGCGGTTTATGCGCTCCGTGAATAGCAAATATATCTACGGAAGAGTGGTGAGTGATTTCCCTCAGAGGTGCGAGTTCGCCTTTGCATTGCTCTGGTTGCAACTGCATTCGTGGCTTCGCACGCACGACACATTGGCTGATTGACACTCTCGGGAACAGCCACTCGTACACACCGTTATCTTCCTGATAGAACTCGCCATGGTTGCGAGACTGATAGCCAAGTTCAACAGCTACTATGCAGACCGTCCAGGTATGTTTCAGAAATGGCGGAAAGAAGATGTATTCTAACATCAACGCAGTGCTCACGATGATGATCACGAACGCGGTACTGGGGGGTATAGCAGATACCGTAGCACAGTCGATCACCGCAATCCGACTCTCAGCTCTGCGGAAGCCAGGAGGAATAACGAAGGATGACACTGTTGCTATCGAGATCCACGAGCTGGACAGGAAGAATCCCCTGACGGACCAAGAGCTCATTCCCAACATCAAACACCTACCGCCACCATTTGATTTCGAGCGTTTGACGAGATTCATGGCATACGGCTTTATGATGGCTCCTGTGCAGTTCAAGTGGTTCCAATTCTTATCCAGAGCTTTTCCGATCACGAAGACAAGTGCATTAGGCCCGGCAGTCAAGATGGTTGCGTTCGATCAACTTATTTTTGCGCCTGTTGGTATGTTGTCCCTATTTTGGGGGACAGAGACAAGGGATGCTGATTTTGTTTCCAGGTATCGCGACTTTCTTCACTGTGATGACAATTGCAGAAGGCGGAGGGCGCCGAGCAGTATCACACAAGCTACGTGATATGTATCTGCCAACCTTGAAGGCAAACTTCATGGTCTGGCCCGCTGTACAAATCATCAACTTCCGCATCATGCCAATCCAGTTCCAGCTAGTAAGTCCAAATTAGTTCTTCACAGAGGATGGTGTTTATGTTGACTATCATGACAGCCATTTGTATCCACAGTTGGTATTGCATGGACAGCTTATCTCTCTCTATCCAATGCTGCTGAAGAAGCACTGGATGCTCGGTCAGCACCTCAATCGCCCAATATCCGTTTGCTTTGATTGATTTCGGTTCAGGTCAGGGCGAGTATAGAGGACAACGAGGCATTTGGGAAACGGCGTTACAGATGAAACACTGAACATGGCTTGGGAATGCCAAACAGGTTTGGCATACCTAAGATGGACATTCGGGAGTAACAAGGATTTTATGACCCCAGCATCAGGCTATGAGGGCCTGAGGAGTTGGGAAGCGAATTGGGTTGTTTTGACCAGTATGGAATATTGCCAGGCGTTTGAAGTGAAAAATTTGCTTTAAAACTGCAATATCAACAGTTTCAAGAACAGAAGTAAATAAATACCTCGTTGTCTTGAAGTTTCTTCAGCCAGGACAGCTCATCGATTTCATTGGATGATCCCAGGTGGTGCTTGTCGTCGGAAGAGCCACTCACCCCACCAAGATTCGATAGAGGGGCAGCAGCCCACCCCTTCTTGCTTTTTGTCACATCCCCCCTCAACGGCATTAAAGCCCCTACAAAGTCCCAACTTCATTTCAGAACCTCAGAAGACTCTAAAGTTAAAAATTGCCAAAATGTCTCTTTCAAACAAGCTTTCAATTACTGATGTTGACCTCAAGGGCAAGCGGGTGTTGATCAGAGTAAGTTGCTCCCCTGCTTCAACAAATACAGACATCAGCATGCCACTGACAGCTGCTCCGCAATACAGGTCGATTTCAACGTCCCTCTCGACTCCGATAAGAAAGTTACGAACACTCAGCGTATTGCCGGAGCCGTCCCAACAATCAAATATGCCATTGACAATGGCGCAAAGGCCGTGGTCCTCATGTCCCATCTCGGCCGCCCAGACGGCAAGGTGCAAGCCAAATACTCCCTGAAGCCAGTCGTTCCAGAGCTCGAGAAGCTCTTGGATGGAAAGAAGGTCGAGTTCGCACCCGACTGCGTCGGAAAGGAGGTAGAGGATATCGTCAACAAGGCTAGTGGCGGACAAGTCGTTCTTTTGGAGAACTTGCGGTTCCACGCCGAGGAGGAGGGAAGCTCTAAGGATGCTGACGGAAAGAAGGTTAAGGCAGATAAGTCCAAGGTCGAGGAGTTCAGAAAAGGTTTGACTGCTTTGGGAGATATTTTCATCAGTAAGTTTTACGTTCACGGCAAAGGCAATAGCTAATTCTATGCAGACGATGCTTTTGGAACTGCCCATCGTGCTCACAGCTCCATGGTCGGAGTTGACCTCCCACAGAAGGCCTCTGGTTTCCTCATGAAGAAGGAGCTCGAGTACTTTGCCAAAGCTCTTGAGAACCCTCAACGTCCTTTCTTGGCTATCCTCGGAGGGGCTAAGGTATCTGACAAGATCCAGCTAATTGACAACTTGCTCGGCAAGGTCAACAGCTTGATCATCTGCGGAGGCATGGCATTCACATTCAAGAAGACCTTGGAGAACGTCAAAATTGGAAACAGTCTGTTTGACGAGGCTGGCAGCAAGACTGTCGGGGATCTTGTTGAGAAGGCCAAGAAGAACAATGTCGAGCTTGTTCTCCCAGTCGACTACATTACTGCGGACAACTTCGCTAAGGATGCTAAGACCGGCACTGCTACTGATTCGGAGGGTATCCCAGACGGGTGGATGGGTCTTGACTGCGGTCCTAAGAGTATTGAGCTCTACAAGGATGCTATTAACAAGGCTAAGACCATCCTCTGGAACGGTCCTCCAGGAGTCTTTGAATTCGATGCTTTTGCGAAGGGAACCAAGGCTACCCTCGATGCTGCAGTTGACGCAGCACAGAATGGCAAGATCGTCATCATTGGTGGAGGTGATACCGCAACTGTTGCCGCAAAATACGGTGTTGAGGACAAGCTCAGCCATGTGTCAACCGGAGGTGGAGCTTCTCTCGAGCTGCTCGAAGGCAAGGAACTCCCAGGTGTCACTGCTCTGTCGAGTAAGTAAACAAATGCAGACAAAGCGGCTTCCTCTGATTCCAGTCAAGACCGGCCCAGCAAGTCCAGCCTATAATGAAAATGAAAGTTGATGAGTGCACGTTCGTACATAGCTCATATCACAATCCCAACGAAACTATCCCATATACTCTGTACGCCTATGCGGAAGACCAGTGATGCCATTTGTATGCTACCCTTTTATGGTGGTCTCTAGTAAAGCCCCAAACTCCATCTAGCCATTATATCCGTACCCATGATCGAATCTCGTCAACGCTTCTTGGTCGCCTCAACCTTCTTAAGCTCCTCCCTAGACAAATGATTAGCTTGTAGAACACAACTTATTCAAGAGGCTGCTTACTTCAATTGCGCAGAGAAGTCCTCGCTCGTATCATCGTCATCCCAGCTCTCCTCCCACAGATGTGTGTTGTCGCCCGGTACCTCGGTCTCTTCTTGTGTCCAATCTGCCAAACGAGCATTAGTCTCGATCCAAGCCAGACCTCTGCTCGAGGCCTCCAGACTCATCTCTTCTGCTATCCCAAGGAGAAACTATGAACATACTCTCAACTGGGAAATCCTCGAACTCATCATCCTCCTCCAGCGCAGCAGTAGGCTTGTTATCCTTTACTGACTCGTCGCTCTTGTCTGTGGCAACAGCCTTGCTGGCCGGCGCAGCGCCTGATGCTGGTGCAGCCGACATATCGATTACGCGTATGACGAGGGCACGGTATGTGTACAGATGACTGCTGAAAGTTGTGGATATGGATTTTGGAAGGTTTCGTAAGGTGATGCGCTTGTGGTGTTTGAGGCTGATTTGTATGTCAAGAGCTCGGCTTGAAAACGAATGCGAGCGAGCTTGAGATGCTGCAACCGAACGAGTCAGCAAGAAACCCCACTAGGCCGCGACCAAAATGGATCTAAGTCGCCGTCGGGGCCTGTTCGATGGCGGCGTGGGGATCTTTTGCTGAGTGGAAATTTGATCTAGCTTTTACTGTTACTTCTTGTGAAGTTCTGCTTTTCTGGGGAAATCGGTCTTCTTTTGATACTGTATTCCTCCGGACGCAAATTCATCCCACCTCTTTTGACTCGTTTAGTGTGCCGCCGCCGCTCTATCGCGTTGCTGACTGTTCAAATATTTCCTTCCTCAACATCTTCCTCGACCGCGGAGGCTGCCGTTTCAAACTTCTGCTTGTAATCTTATTGTATCTTATGACCAAGGTGCAGCTAGAAAGGCTGAATTGTCCCAAATCCATGAGTATTGTTCCCGTCTGATCCGGGTGGACTACGGAAATATATCTCCCAAGGAATCAACACACGTGCCATACCAAGTACAACATGAGCCGGTGGTTCAGAGGTGCGACTAAGGCTACGGCCCCAATGGTTGCCGAGGAAGAAGATCGGCATCTATTGCAGGTTGAACAGGCATTGTTGAAGTTACTCAACGATGACATTGCAGAAGCCGACAAGATCCTGAAACAGCAGAACTCCTCATACCATCATCTGGGACGGGGAATATCCAGTTTCATATCTTCCATGTTGGCTGCTGAAAAGGAGTTGATGAAGGATGCGGCTTCTATCCTACAGTCCGCTGAGAATAAGACTTGGGAGGATATGAAAACTGCTCAGAAATCTCCCACAGCATTTCAATCTCACATATATCCACCTGGGACAGAATATCTTTTGTGCTATGCCAGTAAGTCCTCATATTCCACGTTGGATAATGTATATACTGACCTGATCTTTCGTCTCCCAATTGACGAGTGCAATATGTGCTGTCTTGTCTGGGAGTGTGACCGGAGCAATGGGGGGCTTTTTCAAACTACGGAAGAGTTTCATGACTCTTGACGGGATCATGGATATCGAGTCAAAGTATCTGCAGAAACGAGCTGCTTCTCGGAGGGGCTCTGTAGCTTCACGCAAAGAGGCTGACCGTGAGAATGTGAAGTTACCAGGTGGTAGCGATGGAGCTTCTCTTCGAGCTACCACAACTGATGATGAGAAGGCGGCTATTGCAGGTGCTGCTGTTCTTAATGGGAGTCCAGGAAGCCCGCCATTACATCGGACACAGACTTCTGCCACGACAGGTTCGTTGCAGATTCCTACCCGAGTTGAGAGCAAACTTCTGGATATTGATCCGGCATCTGTTGGAATCACATCTCATACAGATGTTTTCATCCATTCGGGTACGAGACTATGTTACGGTATTTTGCTTGTTGTCTTTTCAATGATTGAGAATCCCGTTTTCAATAGAATTTTGTACAGTGAGTATTGAATGTCCTATGAATAGGGAGGCACTGACCAGTTTTGGTAGTCGTTGGCTTCAAGGGAGATAGAGAACGGGGGACTAGGTACCTCTGGCAAGCGGCTCGTTTCAATAATTTCAACAGTGCCATCGCTGGTATTGTACTCCTTGCATATTACAACGGCCTAGTCGGCTTCTGTGATATTCTTCCTACGGACGAAATGGCAAGTGATGACATCTCTGGTTATCCAAGAGCCAAGTGTCATACTCTTCTGGGAGACATGCGGCGCAGATACCCAGAATCAAAGCTATGGAAGATGGAGGAGGCACGAATGCACTCTTCCAATAGAAATCTTGGTGCTGCTATCAAAATTCTGTCCGAAAACTCCAACAGCCAGATGAAACAGATTGCCCTCATCAACATTTTCGAACTATCTCTTGTAAGTACCGGTGGACCTGCAGTTCATTGAATGAAACTCATTCCCAAAAAAACAACACTTACTTCAATACAGTCTGCTATGTATTCACAAGACTACGACTTGACCGCAAGGAGCTGGATACAAGCAGCAGAGTTGAGCACTTGGTCACCAACGCTGTATGCTTACTTGACTGGCGTGGCGTATCTTGAGTCATACCGCAACGTTCGCGAAAGTGACCCTGCTGCGGCCAAGGCGTTCAAAGAGAAAGCAACCGAGTTCCTGAAGAAGGCTCCTACCATGGCAGGCAGTAAGTCTACACTAACAGCCGCTATTTATTGAACTTTCGAGACATAGATACTGATGTTTATGCAACCAGAACAAAAAGTCATGGCACAAAATCTGCCCTTTGATTTATACATTGTTCGCAAAGTACAAAAATGGGTAGAGAGATCCAAAACTTGGAAAGTAGACCTCATCGATGCAATCGGGGCAAGTCCACTGACGGAAATGGTATACTTCTGGGGTGGAATGAAGAAACAAGACAATGTTCAGCTGCAACAGTCCCTCGATTGTTTATCGTGGGACAGGACAACCCACGCAGAAAAGTTCAAAGAGGATCTTGACGAAACTGCGATCCAGGCGGTTCTCCGGGCTGCGCTTATCCGAAACTTAGGACGATATGACGAAGCTCGACAGATCCTTACGACTGAGATATTACCTCACGATAAGTCAGTTCCCCCCTTCTAGACAAGCTGTGGTTCCTAATGATCCGCAGAAACGCATTCAGGGGCAATCTAAAAGATGACTGGACATGCCCAAGCGCGCACTATGAAATGGCTGCTTTGGCTTGGGTTGAAAAGGATTTGGACGGCGCGGACCATAAATCAAAGGTATTTGACTGCCAGGAATGGCTTACAAAGACTCAGAAATGGCCATATGAATGGGTGTTGGACTCGCGGATGTCCATCAAGCTCACGACATCAATACTTACTGTAGAGAGGCACAGGAAGATCATGGGGTTTTAAACTTTGCTTCGAGGGGTGCATATAGACAGATTACTTTGGTGCATGAGTTATGAAGGTCCCAGAGGTATAACTATGATATGCTTGAGATCTAGTTAGGCGCATGATGACGGCTGCTCATGGAGGGCTTCGAGGTGTTGCGTGGCGTGGAAAGGTGTGCTGAAGAGCAGCCACGGGAATCTTCTACTCCATAAGAAAAAGTGATATTTGTTCCACATTTTGACATGCAGTGTTCCGTCGTCTTTCAAACTGTCTTATCTGTTGTATCGTAAGCTTCCTGGTAATATTTCTTTGTTTACCTCGCAAATAGGCGAGTACGCAACACCATCCTTTGCACCATCCTTTGCACCATCCTTTGCACCATACTTTTCACCATCAATCAAATTAAGGGTCTTCAAAGCGACAGTGATCAACAACATGTATATATATACATTTTGTCCACTCACCTAGATTGTGGTCAGCGACGTGACTCATCTCGCGCTTCAACAGGCCTCTTCCAACAAACACACAAGATTGCAACATGTGCGACCACACCACTACCACTTTCGCGTGTTGCCAGATAACAGAGACAACAACCCATTCTCGATGTCAAGGATTCATCATGAACTGCTTCTGAAACATGTCTCCTTCTCAAAACACTGATCCCGGACCCTGCTTAGCTGGTCTAAATCTACAAACATTAGGCACAAGATTCAGCTTACCTTCGAGCTGATCGAGAATTGTACAGTTGACGGAAGACACTCCAGTGATTGAGATATATAATCAGAGTCCGTTTGCTGAAATACCTGGGCAAGAGGCTGCACCACCAACGCAGTTGCGAAACGAAGAGATTGTTGGGACGTTTTCCGACATGAGGCATGCAGGTTCTGGAATTGCAGTTCGACCAACCTATGATGAAGATGCAATTCGTCAACACCGCCAACGCTTCACCATCAACGATATATTGTATAATCAATTCCCTCCTCGCCAGCGCGGCAGACGCCTTACGTTAACCAATCCAGCTGGTGGCAGATTTGACGAGTACAACCACGGATGCCAACGTGACCTACTGCGGGTTAGTCGGATGCGTTCTGCGCGACAGGCAGCAGAGGCTGGTGGGCATATTACTTGTCTGGTTCCGAGTGACGAGGTTTCGTGTCCGGAGGAGCCACCGTTGGAGGTTGCCATTCAGTGTACTGAAGTTATGGGGTGGCTGAGGTATGGATTTTAGAAAGGCGTGGCGAGCAAGAGGGCTTTTGCTTGTGGTTTCCGGGATTTAATATGTGTCTTATGTCCCTAAATATTGAACAGAAGGGATGGAGATGCGAGGAGTTTGTGTCCTTAGCTTACATTGTTACCAGGTGCTACCAATTTCAAGGGAATCGTTCCCTGGAATTTCTTACGAAATGAGCTTGACCACTCCCAAATGTGCAACTTCGCTTGGAGACTGAACTACTTGCCTCTATTGGCAATTCCGATTGTTCTATCAATGCCTTTTTAAGTATAGTAATGTTCTTAAATTCTTGTTCTGAATCTTTTTGGGGAATTCATGTGATCCTATGGCGAAATTCCGTCGAAATGGGTCTATTAAGCGGGTATTGTCATCGATGTAAATAAAGGCAAGCGAATAAGGCGGGACATATCAGATTCTGTCGTCGGATTGCACGATTCAATACCAGTACTGTCAAGTTCTATTACTAAACAAATCATCTATAATCTAATTATATCGTCTCTTGTCGCGCGCTTGACAGCAGCCTCCAAGCTCACGAAGGTAATTATTTATCATTGATTCCTCAAGATGGTCTACATGGAAGTTAGGGACGATCCTCTCGCTTGTGTCCGGTCCCCTTGCCGCTCTTTCAGCTAGTTTCTTCCCATAATACTCAGCTGCCTGTGGCGCTTTGATAGCTTCGAGTATCTGTGTTACATTGTAGTTTGTGTCGATGTATGCTTCCAACCAGGCTTGCAACATGTCTGGTCGTACCTCTTCCGCGAATTCGACCAGCCGAACGCAAAGCCTGATCCACTGCGTCACGGCTTCTGCATCGAATGTCCCTTCGTGATGGCGAAATTCCACTTTCTTCTTGGTTTGTTCCGCTTCAACGAAGTCTTCATATGAGTCGGGCCTTCCCTTCTCCATGAGGTTGGTAATGCTGTATGCTATAGTGTACGGCATCTGTGTCTGGTAGCTGGGCACGCTAAGTATGTCCGCGATTTCGTTGATCTCCTCTGTTCGAAATATACGCCGCAACCCATCTCTCGATTTCATTCCTTTCGCCCGGAGCTTGAGTCCCAGTTTGGAATGCTCTCGAAGAGACCCATTATATCTGGTCCGTCCCACCCTATGCTGGGGATGCAGGGTATCCAGTTGAGGTTCAAAAGCCCATAGTAGAGCCATAAGGCTTCGAAGATGCGTTACTGTGAAGCCCTGAACTCCATTTCCTACGTGAACATGAGTCGAACATGTCGTGTTTGAGATGAGTCGATAGTGGGTAGGCAAAGTCTGGCAAACAACTTTCACTTCGTTCAGTGCCTCTTTGCAGAAGTGGAATGGAGGGGATACTACCTCGATATCGCGAAACTTGTAGTTCAAAGGTGGGAATTTGATACTGGGATCCGATTTTACGAGCCATGAACTACCCAAGTCATAATCCGTCTTATCACCGTCTACATCACTACACATAAAGACACCTTGTGTTCTCAAAGTATTTGCGATATGTAGTTGGATAGGTGCAATCTCTTCTATCTCGTCTTCGATACACTCAGGTTCGTGGAGCCCTAAGCAGAGAATATCAGCAAGTTTGAATTCTGGTCGGTCAGGTTCCAATATACCGTAGACTTTGCGGGCATCTTCCGGATGTGGATCTATGTAACCTCGAGGAAGAAGAGCGATGCCAAACTCGAGTTCTACGCCAAATGTGAGTTCTGGTCTGGGTATGATTTCATAGTCTGGAGTACCATCTGGCTTATCCTTAGGCGAGGGTGTTCCGCTGTAGGAACTCATCCTGCGCGGAGAAAATGTGCTGCTGGAGGATCAGAAATGTACTATACCAAGGAATTGAAGACAGAGTAGAGCATGGACAGAAGCGAATTGTGTTGATGTTGCCGGCTGGATGCGTGGTTTTTACAACGTATTGTAAGTTTATGTCAAGTTATATCCAGAAACAGCATAATAGTCTTTGACAAACATCACGAACTACTCCATAATTCTTGATTAATCCCTTTGTGTGAGCCTTTGAGTGTATTATTATGATTTTATTGTTGGAGCCTTTCACAAATTCACGTTGTTCCTGTTCTTTGTGTGGGTGCTATTACCATAAAGGCTACCTGTGATAAAGGCACTAGCCATCACACTAAGTTTCCATGCGTTGGAATTTTTTTTAATTTTTTTGGGAAATGTATCGTTGCAGGGGCCCTTGCTTCTGTTGATGACCTGCATGAATCAAACTCCCTGTGCTGTTTACTTGTATCGAGTCTCGCTTGGGCCTGTTGCATACCTTTCCCCGCTAAATGTCATCTGCCACACCATTTATTTGGACGATCCCTGATTGCTTCATATACAGATAATCAGAAGAACAGTAGTTTGACTCAGTGGCGCATGAGTTTTATGAAAACAATTCTTCTCTATGCAGGCGTCACTGGCAAGCCCACGAGTTTTACTTCCATTAAATCAAAGGAGAAACAAAGTCCAATCAAACAATTAACTTATTATTGATTAACTTTCTTTATTGGCACACATAGAGCTCTATGTTATACTCTTTGTCGACTTGTCTCGATGTATTAATCCTCAACAACGCCATTAATGCTCGAGCATATCCGGAAAGGGAGTTTGCTTCCCTTCAAATAAGGCAAACTTTTCCCCGGGGCTCATGTATCTTTACTGTATGCGTTTGGATCTTGGGTTCTTTCCTCTTCTAGCTCCTCTATATTATCTCAAAAACGTTCTCACAGCTTGCAAGTCATAGGTATATACCATTCTGGAAGTTCTAACAGCGCTCTTGCGGGCTATTACCTGAAACAACGCAGACCTGGTCCGAACAGAACATCGCCTTCTCCCTCAAAACATGGGTGTCACACCGGTAAACCTCTACGGCCCACCCGACCCCCAGAAGTCTAACTTGACTTTTGGCCTCGAACTCGAATTCGCCATCGCCATCTCTCTCAACCCATCCGGCTCTATCGATCCTCACCCCAGCGATCCCCGTCGCATAACCGGGTTTGTAACTGGCCCTCATGATTCCTGGGTCGCCAATCTCCACGAACACGTTGCTTCGACCCTATTCTCCGTTGGAATACCGGCAATAGCGGTAAGGTCCATAGGAGAAGCCTTCCCCACTGGTCACGAGAACTCCTGGGTCGTGAAACATGACAACACTATCAAAGCGCCATCTTTGGAAGGTTATCACTTCCTTCCTATCGAGATAAACTCTCCGCCGTACTATTATGGGCATGAAAGCGCCTTTCATGAGATTGGGGTAGTGTGTCAGGTGTTGAGAGATACGTACAGGATCTCGTGTAATAGGAGCTGCGGAGTACAAGTACACGTTGGCAATGGGATGGAAGGGTTCGCGTTCGAAGCGGTACAAAACTTACTGGCAACCATTTGGACGTTCGAGGAGCAGATCGAAACGATTCATCCGAAGCACAGGATTGACAATGAAGGTATGTGTCCGTCTTTCAAAAGACACTCCGAACTCTCCAGGAGCCATTCGAGGAATGGGAAGTTGGACATTCGTGCAGGGCTGGAGGATATTCTGAATCAGAGAGGCAAGTCTGTTCAAGTCTTCGCACACATGACAGAGCCTCGGACAGCAATTTCCCAAAAAGGTGGGACCAGACTCGCATATCATCTCGGGGATGTCAGTGGTGAAAGGCCAATCACTTGCTTGTACAAACGCACCGTTGAGTTCAGACAGCATAAAGACAGTCTGGAACTTGAGGAGTTGGAGCTCTGGATCAAATTCTGTGTGCAGCTAATGATGTTTGCGGATAGTATCGATAAGACGAAACTGGCGAACTTTTTGAGAGCTCATGTCGGAACAAGCGTAGAGGAGTGCCCACTAGCAATTGTCTTGGAGAAGCTCGGGATGCCGTGGTTAGCGTACTGTTATCCGAAGAAGATTGCGGTTGACAGAGAGATGGCGAATGAGGAGGAGGTTCTTTGCTCGATTGAATTGGGCATGGACAAAATGCTCACACCATTATAAGTTTGAAATGAAGTAGGGATCATATATTTATACATATGAGTATCCCAAGGTTGAACATGTAAGCCAAGAACATAGTGATCTGTTTGTTGACTTCCAGCTAAAGCAGATGTGTTAAGCGAACAACACTCTCAGAATATGATGTGGGTCAACATTGCCAGCGCCTCGACGCTTGAGTCCACATCGGAAATCATCAACGCAAAACCGTGGCTGTCATTCGCTTCCAAAACAACTCTCCATGCCCCAGTACCTTCAAGACAACTCCAACTCCTCAGCATCATCCCCACCGCTCACATCAATCGGCTGTGATGGGAGACATATCCCCTATATCATAGTCCCTCTCATGACCACATCCTCCAAATCCCCGAAAATTATTCCCCAACGGACCATTCATACCAGCCGGGAGTCATGTTCAACCACAAGTAGCTCCATCCACTCCATCTCCCCCAAAAGTAAAAGTGAATTTAATCTCCCATCCTCCGGAATCTTGATCTGTCCGCTCAATTCCGCTAAAGTAGCTTCGCCATGCTTCTTGTCGCAACCTTTGAGCTTTCCGACTTGGCAGGCGAAATCTTTGACTTCTCATTTCTTGTATTTGGAAAAGAATAGGAATGGGGACTGGTAGCTATAGCTATCATTGGTGAGATAGAAATAGGTCGTGAGTCGTATGTCTTCGCCGGGGGTTTTGAGGGAAGTGCCATGTTGCCCAAGTCCTTGTTTTACTCCTGTTCCTGACGCGGCAGCCCAGAGCTACTACCACCGCGTGTCCATTAATATTCATTGCCATCCATTTTCCCCCCACGTTCTCGTCTGTCTCTTTCATTTTCTCCATTGAAGCCCTCCACTCCCGTTCAATCTAACTCACGTATCCTTCTGCCACATGCCCACTCTCGGTAGCGCCATCATTCGTCCTTTCAACTTCGCTCTGAGAATCTCCCCTCACCCTGAGACTATGAGGCGACCACATGGAGCTACCCAAAGCCTACGAAAGCGGTAGCGCCTTTCATACTCTTCAGATCTAGGATGTAGCTCTCTCTCATAATTCCATACCATCTTTGAGCTTCTTGCGTCCTGTGGAAGCATCTTCGGGGGAACATACCATCTATTGAGATAGTACTCGGCTTGTTAATCAGGCAAAAACAGTCTCAGCACTTTGTCGATCGGAAATAGCCCATCGGCGAATATTGGGCCATCTTCTTCTTCTCGCTCGGCGTCTCGACCATCATCAACTTTCTGCCATGTCTCAAACAGAGCGATAGATATGATGTCAATGAAATACTGCACTGGAGCGTCTCTGACAAAATACATAATCCCTACAGCAATTGATGTCCAATTTGCAACTTGCTCCCCATCAAGTGTCCCCTTATGCTGTCGCCACTCCACCGTTTTCTTCGCATGGCTAGGATCTATCACCGTAGATGCAATACCGCAGATACTCACATGGCTATTCTTGAGATATCCCGATATATCAATGACCTGATCGCGTAGACACAGAATATCTTCAAAATCGTAAATATCCAAAGCACCAGTTGTCCCGGAAGGAATCCAGTCGTATTTATCTTGGTAGTGACAAGATTTTCTTGCGGAGGCCCGCAAGCTGATGGCATAATAAGTCCACTGCCTATGAGGAGGATGTATAGACTGCAATTGGGGTTCAAAAGCCCATATAAATGCCTCCAATCTCCGCATTGCCTCTGCATCGAAACTGCGCTTGCCGTCCTCAACATGGACATGTAACGAGGAAGTCTACACTGCTAGCAGGCAGAAGTCATTCGTCAATGCCTGACATGCAAGCCGCACTTCATACAATGCCTCAGGAGCGAAATAATATGCTGGTGACCTGACTTCGATCTGGAAATAGCCGTAAGTAGTCTCGTCCGGTTTCTCGATACTGCCATCTTCTACGACGTCCAAGACAGAAAATCGATCTCATCATGTTCTGTTCTCTCGACGGAAGAGACGCGGAGCCTAGCCTCGACGAGGACACGGCGGATGTGTCGCTTTGCAGAGATGAGTCGGCCACCGTTTGAGTCGGTATCTCGCGTCTCGGACATGTTGATTATTAGGTCGTGGTAGGTCTTGGTATCTTCTGGGGTATATGAGAATTGTAAGAGGCGGGTCTCAGTGGGATCGGTGGGTGGGTGGTCATCTGGCAGGAACGCCAGGAGCCAAAAGTCAGGGCGGAAACCATGGTGGCGGAAACATGTAATTGACTTGTAAATAACACTAGATGTTTTGGTGCCACCCAGCCAAGATTGGAGAATGTTGGGAACCTCGAGGGTCCCGAGGTGGGTCGTTAAAAGCAACAATGACATGTTGGGATCCGAAAGCAATGGCCCTACAAAGAAACGAACTGGACAAATGTAGTTGATAATTGAGATTCGACATGTCTTTCGGACTCAGCTGGTAGCTATGCAGGTGCATGGACGAGGTTCTCGATCCCAGCGTAGAGGAGACTCTCTGTTGCGTGGTCCACGTTGACCAGTAACCTTTGCTGATCGACCTCAATAATGGTGCTCACCTGCTCAAGCAGCACAGTTCGCTTGAAATGCTTGAGCAGGATACTTGGAAAGGTCCTCCCAGATTTCTAGAGGATAGGTAAGAATGATCTCACCACCTTGAGCCGCCTGAGAGTAGTTCTAAGCAACCAGCAATATTCATCCTCCTCCTGCTCCAGCTGCAGATGGCTAGATCTGGAGGCGGACACGACCCTACGACCACCCGAAAGCTCCAGCTTGTATGTGAACGAAGAACACTGAGAGTTCCACCCAAGACTGTAAGCTGGGATTGTTCACTCAGATATCGGCCAACAGAATAAATCGAAATCCAAATAAGCCTCGGCGTCTTTTTTGCGCATTTAAGTGCACTTGCACGGCTCATAGATGACTAAGGGGGCGTGAACACTTCAACACCAGGACCTTTGCTGCGTTCACTCGAACAAAATTCGAACCAGGACACTAAACGAACTTCAATCAGCTAGAACTTTGGTGGTCTTCGCCGAGCCAGGATATATTCACAATGAATGTAGTCTTACTAGCACATCAATGACTCTCCGTAAAGGTTACCATTAGGACATGGAATTTGTGAAGCATTAGGGAGTGTTTGAGCACTCGACATTCTTTTTTCGTCCCAGGCACCACTTGTCGATCCCCCACTTGCCCAACTTAGTATGATCAACGCTTTTCCATTGTGTCAGCACGCTCATGTCGAGACTCCAGACCTCGCTTCACACTGTCATGTAGCAAGTAGGCCCTGATTTGAAACCATGGTATTTCCTATGCTAGGTTCATCATAATCAACTGTGCGATTGGCAGAGCCTCAAATCTCCGAAGACCATCCTCATCCGCCGGCCTTTGATCTCCAACCAATCATGAATCATCTACTCGTCCCATTAATCCTGCCACCGTTCAGTAGCAGCGCCATATATCTGTATGCAGTCGCAAACACCGGGTGTAAAGTCAGAGAAGATGCCACGAGCGCGGTTTGACGAGCCACAACACCAATGCTAAAAAAGAACGCTGTAAACACAAGTACAATATGCACAAGCCAGCCGCAGACGCTCCAAGAACGTATTATCGGAAAGGATCCAGTTCTCGTAGCTAGTCGGAAGGCCATTGACTATAACCAACCTAGAGCATGTAGCCGAAAGCAGCAGCGACACCGAGAGCAATGGCACCAGTACCGAATTGAGCAGGCATCATGGTTGCAGCGGCGGCGGTCGAGGAGCTGGTAGCAGAATTGGTTCCAGAAGCGGCTGGGGTGGCAGTACCGGTGGGGGTGGAGGAGGCACTTGTGCTCGAGCTGACGACTTCGGCAGTGAAATTGGCAGGATCGAGGTGACCGCAGTTCTTCTTCTCGTTTGCATCACAGTTTGCCTGAGCAGACGCAACACCGACATTGGCTGCTATGCACTGCTTGTAGATCTCCTCGCAGATAAAGGTTGGCATGGTGTTCTGGTAATAGATGAGACCTGGCTCGGAGCTGTTGGCGCCACAGGTGCAGTTGAATGTCAGGGTGGTCTAGGAAGAACAGTTGTTAGCAATTGGTTGAAGAGAAGGATAGAAAGTATAGTATAGAGGAACACATACGACATCGCAGTCGTTATTTTGGAGATCCCCACTGCAGAGAGTTCCGCAGGTGTTCTTCTGACCAAGGCACCATTGAGCTGCACACATGTCAGTTTATGCATCGCACAGTCAAGAGCACTGGGAAGTCCTCACATCTCATGGTGGGATCGATGGTGCCGGGGTCGATGGTGGAGTTGGACGTGGTACTTTGTGCAGCAACGAAGCTGACGAACAGCGCAACGGCGACAGTTGACTTGACAAACATCTTGACGGTCGGGAGATTGACTGCGACTCAATTGATGATATTGAAGTGGGGGGGGGGGGGGGGGGGGGGGGGATGAAGGTGATGATGTTGGAGTGGGGTGGAGTTGAGTGTGTGAGGAGGACGAGACAAAACTGAAGCTGAAGCTCTCACGGAAGATGTGGGAAGGAGATGGGGTGGAATGGGTCATGAGGGAAGGGAACCTAAGGCAGGGCAAAGGTAAATAAATCGTGAGGCGGGCCCTGCACCGCACCGCACCGCAACGCACCTGCCTCGCAGGCTTCTTGCACTGTTGCAGGGGCCGAAACGCTAAGACGAGACGCTAGTGGGCTCTGAAGGAAGGAATGAGAGAAATGATAGGCTGGCCCGGCGGGTCTATGCCGTACTAGGCTAGCGCACTCACTTAGATTGTTCGGCTGGGGTCCATTCTCACGGTGCTGGGGCTGGGCCAAGCCTGGGACAACTACTACTACTGGAGACTGGAGACTGGAGACTGGAGACAACACCACGCCAGCAGAGTCTGTAGCACGTCCAGCACCGCTACTGTACTACTGGACCAGGGCAGGGCAGGGCAGGGCATGGCAGGGCATCGTATTCAAACACCTGCGGATGCGCTTGACATGCATGAATACTGCAACAGTACTGTACATTCAGTCGTAGGCTCGTAGCCAAGCCAAGGCAGGTCTAGGTAAGGTAAATTTAAATCACTGTAAACTTAGCTGTGGCGTGGCGTGGCGTGTGCTTCCGTCCAACCCGAGACTACACTACACTACACTACACTACACTACACTACAGTACGACGATGCATCAGCTCCCCTCACCTTCTACAGTATTGTTCGACCTTCTTGCTTGCTTGCGAGTGCGCACTCTTCAGAGCTCGACTTTCTGGCAGTGCGGACCGTTCTTGAAGGGATAGAGGATATTATTACGGGGCCAGGGCAATGTTAAGGTAATATCCTGCCCCCTGCCCAAGGAGATTGCTGCATCTCGTCTCGGCCTCCCTTCGTGAGCCTGAGCCGAACTCGTGTGGGGACTGCTGGACGGTGGAAAACGGCAAGCAAGCCCTTATCAGGATTGCCACGGGGGTCGGGATGTACAGTACAGGAGTTGTGGATGTGAATGTGGATGTGAATGTGGATGTGGATGTGGATGAGTATGTGCTTTTGGCGCCATGTCTGTCTGGACTCTGGACTCGCATGGCCTGGCATGGCACTGGGGGCGATGTCCAAGCTAGAATGGGCCAGAGGACGACGAGGACGACGACGAGGACGACGACGACGACGACGACGACGACGACGAAAAACAGCGTCGAACCCGCCACCCTTTCATTGGGTGGCAGCACTCGGGTCTGGAGTGCTAGTGCATTTCTTACCGAGTAAACGTCACGAGCGAGGCGAGGCATTTGCTGTATCATGGATATACTTAGCCCTCGTTTCTGGTCTCCAACCCCGAGACTCGAGAAATGGAGGAAATCTTGACTTCACACCCTCGCCAATATCGACTTCGAAACCTCACAAGTCTCTACGATGCCAGCTGATCTGAGCGATCACCCATGGGGCGCACCTCACAGTCGTCTCAGGTGGATATGGATATATAAATATAAAAGTCAAATATCCAGATTCTGAGGAAACACGCTATGGGCGGGCATCTTCAGGCAGGCGGCCAAGCTTTTTGGCCCGCTCTTCGATCGGGTCCATCTTCCATCGCTGGTTTCCGCTCCTGCTCAGGCTCAGGCTCAGCCCGCTGGTCGGCTTTAACGATAAGCTAGCCTTAGGCTTGACTCAATACCCGAAAATCAACAAATGGTGGGGAACGGCTGATGATCGCGGACAAATGTGAACAAGTGCGCGAGAAAATGTGGAAGAGCCTCTCCGGCATCAAATATCTACCCCACCTTTAGAGCATCATCAATGTCTTGACAACTTCGGAGTCCATTGCTTCCAAGACCATGGCCGAGGACACGCTCGCTGCTAACGAAGCTCCTGTGGCAAATGCAGAATCCGGCGAAAAATCTCTTAAAGCCGGAGACGATTTGAATGGCTCCCCATCAGCACTGAGTGATGACGAGAAGAGGAGATTTGCACACCTCAGAGACAATGACAAATTTCGCAAAGTATGGAAATTTGTCTCTTGGACTCCGAAGCGATGTCGATGGGATCCAGAGTCACCTCCTAAATTCAGCCTGGCTTTGAATCTTCTGTTTGGATTCGTAAGTGGGGCACTTTCTGGGCAACCCTTCTCAACCAAGAAAACACACGTGTGAAGCTACAATAAGGATTTCTAGCAGGAATCTGGAGACTCAGACATGAAGGATCCGTTGAGCTCTACCTGCTAACTACATTTGCAGGCAGCAACTTTCACTGTAGCTAATTTATACTACAACCATCCAATTCTGAATATCTTAGCCGATGAGTTCAATGTCACCAACGAGCAAGCTGCTCAAGTTCCGACGGTGATGCAAGGAGGGTATGCAGCAGGATTACTGTTCCTGTGTCCCCTCGGGGACATATTCAGACGTCGAGCATTTGTCTTGATTCTGATATTTTTCACCGCAACCATGGTTTGAGCTCCTCTACTTTGCACTAGTATATTACCTTTATTGACAACTCTCAGTGGCTAGGCTTATGTCTAACAAACTCATTCTCCGTCTTCCTAGCAATCTCGTTTATCACAGCAACATCAACCGTGACTCCACAACTGATGCTCCCCCTCGTCGGCGACCTAGCACCCCCTCACCGCCGCGCAACCGCCCTCTCAATCGTCGTCTCAGGCCTCCTCCTCGGCATGCTCATCGCACGTCTCCTCTCCGGAATATTAACGCAATACACCTCCTGGCGGAGTATCTACTGGTTCTCCTTCGGAGTCCAATACCTCATCCTAATCCTCCTCTTCTTCTTCATGCCCGACTACCCGTCGACCAATCCTGGAGGCATAAATTACTTCCGCATGCTCTTCAGCATCGTCAAGATGGTATTCAAGCATCCCGTCCTGGTACAAGCCTGTCTAGTCGGTTTCCTTACCTCAAGCATCTTCACCAACTACTGGACAACACTTACCTTCCTCCTCTCCTCACCACCATACTCCTACGACTCCCTTATCATCGGTCTTTTCGCCCTGATAGGTATTGCGGCTATTTGCGTAGGACCATTCTACTCACGTGCAGTCATCGACCGTTTCGTGCCCGTCTTCAGTGTCATCCTCGGCCTCAAATATTGTCTCATCGGCACCATCATAGGCACATATACGGGGAAACACACCGTTGCAGGCCCGATCATTCAGGCCTTCGCCATCGATATTGGCATACAATCTGCGCAGATTGCCAATCGTTCAGGGATCTTCGCCATCGAGCCGAAAGCACGGAATAGAGTCAACACAGCTTACATGCTTTGTGTGTTTTGTGGACAACTTATGGGCACTGCGGTGGGTAATAGATTGTATGCGCAAGGTGGATGGGTGATGAGCGGAAGTGCGAGTGTGGGATTTATTTGCGGAGCGTTGCTGATTTGCTTTGTAAAGAGTCCATGGAACCCCGGGTGGATAGGGTGGAAGGGCGGGTGGAGTATCAGGAGGAGAGATTTAGGTCCGCAGAAAGAGGAGCCTGCTGTTGAGCAGGTATCGGGATGAAGTTTCTGCGGAAGAGGCAAAGTCGGAAAGTTCTGATGAGAGAACTGGTGTTGGGAGAGAAGCACTATCTGAAGAGAAGGGAGCAAAAACTGCATCGCATATACAAGCATCATAGAGCAAGACTGATGCAGGTTAATCATGTTCAGCATACCAGTATATTGATTGAGCGAGTTACGATGAATTACACAGAAAGACTGGCTGGATTTAAGGAAAGAAGGACTATTCTACATCTGTGTTCTGAGCAGACAAACCAAAGAATGAGAGAATATCATCCATTGGCATTGGCAGCATGTGTCCTCAAAGATTGCTGGTAAACATCTGAAAATTTTGAAAAGAAAGACGGTTGATAGCTCAACCAATTTTGATAATGATATCAACTCAAAGCTAGACAGTAAAGGAATATCGGCAGTCCCTGTCTCCTTCGCCCGAGCACCATTCACTTCAGCACAACTAGCGGGCTCTCTGTTAGTGGGACGACAGGAAACAAGAACACCACCCGAATAAGCGACATCATATTACCAATTAAGCAAAGCCTACACGTCATAAAAATAGAGCTCCAAGAGGCATTAATAAGCAGAAATGATAATCGGCATTTAAGTCGCCCTATTTGACTCGTTGAGCGACTTAACTGCTGCTGTTTCGAGGATTGGTGGTATAGTCTTTTCAGACGCTTAATATTGATGCTTCAGACCTCTTCAACTCTCATAATGCTATGAGGAATAGTCCATTTTCTTCTCCAGGCACGCGTACGTTTTTCTCTTTTGCTCCGCTTACATGCGAGAATTTGACATTGGCGTTAGGTTGTTTATTTCTCGGCTTTTAAGCGAGTGCCGAACTTGAACACAAAATACACCATAACAGGAATAAGGACTGATGGGTATCCTAGACCAGTCATTCGCATGCCAAATTTGCAGATTTAAATTCTCGCTAGAGCATCATTATTGTTGATGTACGATTGTCGCTATTTGTCAAATGTACAGCCGAGTCAGAAGCAATTGGCAAACACTCACAGAGCAATTACAATTATGTACTTCTCATTTTCTAATCCTTCTCTTCTCTACTCTTAGCTAATAGCGTGATGTTTTTTCATGTGCTTAGACATTACGACAGGGTATCATATCATTGTTTCCAATCCAATGACGACGAATCGTCCGTTGCCTTGCTCCCAGATTTCCACCCTATACCTATATACCAACCAAGAAATATATATCCAATCCGAAACTCCAAATGAAGATGTCGTGTACCCACACTAGATCTCTCATGCTATTCACATTGTCTAGCTCGGCATTTCCTTCGCCTTAATCCAGATTCACAACCCTCAGCGTCCGCCTCGGGTTCAACACCACGGAGAAGAAACTCGGTTCCTGCCCACCAAGTAGATCTTCCACACTAGAATTCGCAGTCAGACTACCCCCAGGCCGACCATAACTCCCAGGGTCGGTCGCACCCAGGTACTCTACTCCTTCATCGCCTTCGCTCATCCTGCCGTATCGACCACCAGGCATGACGCCTCCACCGTATCCGTAGCTGCCTTGACCACTACTACTTTCCTGCATGCCGCTTCCAGGGGTGAGTCTTGAGCCCGTTGAGGAGCGACCTACACTCGAGCCCGGTGTACCGCTGCCGCCGATCTCTGTTCCGAAAGGTCCCAAGACCACACCGTGCGGTTTCTCATGACTCCTCACAGCGGCAAGCCTGTCGGAGCCAGCGTCAGAGCTGTACATCGCGTTCTCCGGACTGTTGGTAAACGCAGTGCGCTGTGCCATGGCAACGTGGTTTTTGTATAGCTTCAGTTGCTTCCTGTACAGCCAAGAACAAAAGGCGAGATAGGCTGCTAGGATAGCGAGGAGACCTGCAATAACACCTGCTACTACAGCACCTACATTGGTTCCTGATTTCTCGGGTTTTGCTCCATTGGAGGATCCGCTGCCTGATCCGGGGGATGCAGTCTGGGTCACGATTGAACCAGACTGAGTGACTGTGAATGTTGGTGGCTTCCCGGTTGCAATAGGACCTGCTGTTGCAGCACCTACAGCTGGGGAGGTGGCTGTTGCTCCTCCTTGAGAGCCCCCACCAATGACAGATTGCACTAGGGCTGGGACTTGATATCCCCTGGATCCTTGGATGATCGAATATCCATACCCGTTGTCTTCGCTGAAAGATCCAGAGCCTGATGTACCAGGTGTGTCCGAGGAGTCGGACGAAGAGGGTGATAACGAGATGAAATTGTTCTGCCATTCAAGGGAGGAAGTATTGAAGACGAATATGCCGGGGCTATCGCATGAGATGTCTTTGCCGACATAGCCGCCTATTACAACCATTTGGCTATCCCACATGGTGCATTGGTGGCCTGCTCGAGCTGCAGGTTGAGATTGTCCGTCCATAGGAACTTGAATCCAAGTGAACGAGGGGATTGTCAGGATCCACATGTCAGAGTACTGAATCTGACTTCCAAAGGGAATGAGATTTTGTCCACCATATAGGTGCACCTGGAATGAGGTTCCATCTGGTGCAGCTACAACACCGACACAGGGGTTGACTCGTATGGGTGGGCTTTCACCCGAAGTAGCTTGTTTGTACCACGTACTGTTCGCCACGTCGTATATGTCAATTGTGTCCATCTCGGTCTTAACAAAGTCAGTCAGCGTCCAAAAGGCGACATTGATAGAACTTACAAAGGTTGCGTTTGTGCCACCTGCCAAACCCAATACAATTCCCTCATCTCCCCACCCTGGGATATATACCAGCACACCATCTGCCCGTTCCGTGAAGCCGGCCGAGTCTTGTAAACCGCCTTCGGTGATGTTTCGGTAAGCTCCCCCTTGAGGGGCAGCCTTAGTCGTTCCTAAGGAGTCGATGCCACTATTTGCATATCCGGGATGCGTAAACTCCAACATACTCCTAAGATAAACCCTAGCAACCTGGTTCGACCAACCCTCCGTGGTATACATATCCAGATGGCCACCAAAGTACCAACTCTTCCCCAACTCAGGCACACTCAGACCGGCTCCTTCGGCAGACCTTTGGACAGGCATGTCACCAGCTTCAGAGTGGTTTCCAGTAGACGTACGTGGGTTGTTCCATTCTATCCACTTGGCGGCATTGATATCATATTCCCAAGTGGAGACAGGAAGTGGCGCTTCTGGAGGATTGTCGGAGAATTGTCCTCCATAGAGGAAGAGTGAGGTGTAAGAGTTCCATAAAGAGCCCATAGCAACGGCTGGAGGGCCTGATGGCTGAGGAAGCCCTTTCAATTCAGGCTCATCCCTGGACCAGGACTTAGTCAGGTCTAATGTGAGGAAATTATTGTCTGGAAGAGTTAGTACCAATAAGGATGTATGCATATTAAATTGCTTACTCCATGTGTCTGTTGTCTGGCCACTTGCTGATTTTGCTTGACCGCCATAGATATATACTGTCCCATTCACATTCGCAACTTGTCTTGTTAGTACTTCTCTAATCAATTTGCACCATGGAGGACTAATTGACTTACTCTGTGCCGCCCATCTTGTACACGTAGAAGTAGGACTATCTGCTCTTCCTTCAATTGTCGACGCGTTTTCCACCAATTCCGCCGTCCTGATTACACCAGCGTCTACTCCCCCAATATTGACCTTATCTTCTCCCCCGCCATAGCGAAATCCAGGCACCACAACCGCGACCAAGAAAACGATTAATGCCACTCTAGGGATAGAAGAAAATGACCCAGGAGGAGCAGTTGCAGAGCTCTTGATAACCGGTCTAGATCCCCTCGAAAGTTTCGAATACCACGGCTGTCCTGCACCTCCATCCTTCACACAATTCTGGTCGTACCTGCTTTCCTTTACGACACCTCCATTCTTGTCTCCATCCGCCTCCATCGTGAAGCCATCTTCATCACCCTCATGTAAAGATCCCAGGTCAATATCCGGGCCGTCCTTATACACGCTGTTGCTCAGATCATCCAGCCCCTCCTCTCTGAATACCGAGCGCCTCTGTGGTTTAATCTTCGAAATAGTTGCTATCGAGGGTCTGCGTTCGCACTCGCGCAACCGATCTGCCGTCTTCTGCGAACTGAATGAAGGGCGTCCAAGTCTCCCCCGCTCAGGAGATCCTTGCGGGACAATATCGTGGGAGAACGAGTCCATGGTCGCGGTCCAGCAACGATCAACAGCCAAAAGTAGCGACAAAGATAGATATAAGCATTTGATCAATTGCAGAAATAAGAAGTTTGAAAGTGCTCCCCACGAAACAAAGCTTCAAACGTTCTCACCTGATCCAGCTTCACAGCCCTGCCAGCACTTGCTGGATGGTTGCCACAATCAAGCTGGCTGGACCTTACATCATCGGTCTATTATCCAGCCCTTGTCCATCCCTGCGACTGGCAGGCTGGCAGGCTGGCAGGGGCTAATAATGTCATGTTTTACAGTAAGAGGCGGCTCGGAGACTTCTCGATCAGGAACCTTTTTCTGGGGTTGTTGGAGATCCATTTGGCTGCATTCAGACCATTGGCCGGGGAAGGACCAAGAACAAAATCAGGATTTACTTTTGCCGAGACTGGCTCCAACACCTTGCGAATGGAACACTGGCACGTCTACAATCCCGGACAACGACGACATTGTGCTTGTAATTGAGCCTTCAAAGTCACTTCAAATTTACCAAACTTTAAAATGTCATGTTTACCCATGATTCAGTTCGCAGACTACTGCTGCACCCCAAGTCCTGACTGCGTGCCGGATCGCGATGACGCTCGGCCTGTGAAAATTCCCATTCGTCCCTTGGGATGTAGATGAGAGCACAACCTGGATAGAGGGACATCTTTCACGATGGTACAAGTCAGATAGATTTATTGCTGTTCTTTTTCAATTCCCAAGCCGAAATACGAAGCCTGACTCAATAGAAAGCCCCAATTCCATCACGACTCCACCGAAAACAAGCGCTCAGAAGATGTAATACACGGTCGTTATCATGTCTGTCCTCCACATCACTCTCCAATGTCAATGTGCCGATCACAATTCCTCTTTGATCTGGTGCTTTGCTTTTTGGGCAGCCTCACCCGCACGATGGGTCGCATAGGTCTTCGAGAAGAGTTAGTACTGTCTACACAGACGCGGTCGTCGAGGGAAAACAGAAAGGAGTGGAACTCACGACGCCTTCCTTCACAGCATCAGCACCCTTTCCGGCTTGATACTCAGCTTGCTTGCGTCCTGCAGCAGCACCAAAGCTCAATTGGTCCTTGACGTACTGAATACTGTTGGCGAGTTTGGCCCAGAGCGTCCCTTGAGGAGTAGTTGTGCCATATTGGAAGTAATTTCTTGAGTTACGAGCATAAGCGATCAATTGGTTCTTGGTTGATCCCTGAGGAACATCAAATCCGTAGGAATCCAAATAGTTCTTGAGCTCTGACTCTGACCAGGTATCGAAGATAGAGTCCTTTGCAGCCTCGGTCTGCTTGGCGAGGTATGAAGTGACAGAGGCATAGCCAACACCACCGGTCTTTGAAGCAGAAGCGTAGGCATCTTGAGCAGCCGAGAGCAGCTGTTCGCGAGTAGCATCAGCTTGCTTGCTAGCCTTTTCAGCAGCCTTATTTCCAGAGGAAGCGAGATACTTCTTGAGATTTTCTGTAGTCCAGGTATCGAAAGTCCAAGCAGACCAGCCGGTGGCAGCCTTGTGTCTGTTGAGGCGAACGGCAGCCAAAAGCTCATCCTTCTTGCCACTTTGGGGAACTGGGACGCCACGGGCGTCAAGATACGCCTTGAGACGAGACTGCGGATGTTAGGATGATTCGTAAGAATGATAGGGGAAAATTACCTCGCTCCATGTTGCAGTTGCCTTCTTGAAAAGATCTTCAGCCTTCAGTGCAGCATCATCTGTGGCCTTGGCGTACTCGTTGCCGGCTCGGGAAGTAGCAGCACCATAGGCAGATGCTCCAGAAGAGCTGGCCTTGCTTGCGGCACTCTTTGCAGAATAGGAAACGTTGTCGCCAGTGAGTTGAGCACGGTGCTTACGGGCGATTGCTAACAGCTCGTTCCTTCGGCTTCCCTGAGGGACCTTGATCCCGTTCTTGTCGGCCCACTCCTTGATTTCTGTTTTATCGTAAGCAAATGAAGATTGGTCATCGAAAGATAGTACCTACGAGAATCGGACCAAGAATCGAGGAGCTTGTCGCTCAAGGTCTCGGCGGCAGCAGCAGCAGACTTGGAGGCAGAAGCCTGCAAATCGGCGGCCCTCAAACTTGCAATACGAGCGTTTCGGCGAACACTGGCAATCAACTTGTCACGGGTAGTTGGTTGAGGAGCGGGAATGCCGTGCAAATCAAGCCATTCCTTGAGATCTGTATCGTGTCAGTTGACTTTCACATGGCCAGTTTTGGAAAACTTACCGGACTCAGACCAGGACTGGTAAATCCAGTTGCCGGGATATGCAACAGTCTCACCGGCCTTTTGGGCAGCAGTCTCGTAGCCGGAGCGTACCTTCTGGAGAAGAGTATCTCTGGCACGAGGTTGGGGAACTGGAATACCATGCTTATCTGCGAAGGATTTGAGTTGAGACTCAGTCCAGCTGAGAAGCGTTAGTACAAATATCACTGCTTTTGCACGGCGTGCTTACCTGTCAAAGACCCAATCCTTAACACTCGACCAAGCGTCCTCGGCCTTGTCTTCAGTCTCGTACCAATAATTCTTGACCTGAGCGACCAGACCCTCCGTGTTCTCTGCGGCAGCGTCCTTGGTCTCGACACCCTTCTGCTTCAAATATGCACTGAGCTGAGCGGAATCCCAGTCACTATATGGCTGAGAGATCTTGGTTTGCCAATTTTCCTTGACGGCAGCCTCCAGCTGGGCTCGATCGTACGGAGTTGGGTATGGGACGTTGTGGTCGGAAAGCCATCTCTCAAGCTCGGTTTCGTGCCACTTATTGTACACTGTGGACGGAGAAGGTTAGCAAAAGGTGCACAGTATGGTGATATGACGTGATGGAACAGAAACAGAAATTCTTTGCAGAAGTGATCAAAATGATCATTCCCAAGGAAAGATCGAAGGCTCATGAAGGTACGTGATGCTCATCGAAGTTCAAAAAATAGCTGGGGTTCCAAGGTGGACCAAGAGAGATTGAAACAGGAAAGTAAACATACCAGATTTGCTGAACCAGCTGCTAGCAACGGTTGCCTCCGCAGCGAAACCCAGCACCAGGAGCTGGGAGAAGAACTTCATTCTGATCGAAGTCTTCAGGATGTTTACGGTATTGTTGAAGAATTCAATGCAGTTGTTCTGCCAAGGTAGACGGTGGCAGTTTTGTGGTGTTGAAAGAAAAGAATAGAAGGAGGAAAGAGTTGGGATTGTTGATGTGATGTGATGTGATGTGATGCGGTGCGGTGTGGCTGGAGAGTCGATGTCGTCGTTCGCTAGAGAACAAGCAGAATGGCAATGACGTAAGGCGTTTTGTTGTTCTTTGTCGTCGCGCGTTGCTGCCTCTACCAGCCGCAGCCGCACATGTCAGACAGGTGGAACAAAAGGGGAGAGGGGAGAGGGGAGAGGGGAGAGGAGAGAGAGGAGTGGAGAGACGACGGGAGAGCAGATCACCGCGCGAAACAAGCCACAGCAGAATTTGCTGTGTGGGAACTACGAACGCTACGAGTGGAGTAGTGTACGAGTAGACGGGTAGAAGCATGCACTTAGGTTGTTCACTTTCGCATCGGATTTAATATTTCACTGGAAGCTGTCAGTGCATCAACACCTCAGTGGAGCCCGAGGGCAAACTGGAGCTCAATGGCAGGTCTCCACTTTACAGTAGCTTCCCCGCCTTCAACATGGGACTGGGCACTGCCCTGATGTCATACTGTACTGTACTGTGAGCAGATCCCGGTCGCACCAGCCACTCACTCTCCACTCTCAGGGGTCAATAATGACGGGAATGGAAGTATGTATGGTTACTACGGTATGACCTGTGGCTTACGAAAAAATAATTGAGAAGGAAGTACAGGTAATCGCAGCTTTGAAAGTAGTAATCATGAATTGCAAAGGTATAAAACCATTGATCATTTATAGTGAGTGCTTCATAGTGAGTGCTCTATGAAGCACTCTTTAGTGTGATGCTTTTCAATGACTAGTAATTGCAGATTATACACGGACAGAACTGGCTGGTGATATGAGAACAATGCCTACCTTCATGTGGCTCTTGGAACTTGCACATGTGGATGGAAACAGGCATGGCAACGGTCTCTTAATGCAAAGCTTCTAGCTACTGATTATCAACCGATCCTCCTTTACCTGGTTGGATGGATAATGGATTAGTACTTATCAAAGAAAGCACTCCGGAAACCCAACTTACCCTTCCAGAACTTGCTGTCAACCTTCTCGACGTCGGCTGGAGGAGCTCTATCGTGCCCTTTCTCAAACTCCTTGTTCTAGGGGACAAAATACTATTAGCCCTTGATCAATCAAGTTGTCGGAAATGGTTGGACTGTGCGGATAGGGTCAACGAGTTCCCAACACCTACGTGTTGCTCAACTTCTGCCTCCTTGTCCTTGGAATTGCCGGAGCCAGGAACATCGTGGTTGGTGATTTTGGGTCTCGCTCCATCTTTGCTCTTCTCTTCAGGCCTTTCACTACTGCTGCTCTTACCGTCACTCTTGCCCACCTCTCCTCCCGTTGGGCTGGAACCAGTCTCCTTTGCCTCTTTACTCCTTGATCCTCCAGATTGCGCTGAAGCATCCTCTGGTGAGCTGCCGCCTTTTGTGGGCCCGCCTCCGGTACCCTTTCCTTCACTTGGTGGTGCTGGTCCTGGGTGCTCAGCATGTTCCTTCGTCCCATTTGATGGTCCTTGGTCTTGAGGATTTTCTCCTCTAGGATCTCCCTCTCCATCTCCGTAACCCTGGGTAAATCGTGGGCATGTTGAGGAGATAGGCCGAGCTGCAGTTGTCTGGTGGATGGTGCGAGGAGCTACTCGGCGTGTGAAACTCGATAATGCTGCGTATGGGCGTAGAAGAGGCATTGCGAGTTTTGTGAATGACTTGTATAGAGGAAGATTTGTTTAAAAGTCAAAATAGATAAACTGCTTTACTTACAGCTCAGTAATAATTGGGATTTCTTGGTAGGGCATACGCCCAGCTTTAATCTCATGTACGTCATGACCAGGAATCATGATGGTGTTTCTCGTCAGGAGAAAAGGGTCCTGGTGGGGCAACCGGGTATTGGCCGGTTCGGGTATGTGATGGCATTTCCCGGAACACGCAAGAAAGTCCATTGCATCTGAAAGTAAACCCAAAGAACGTCTTCTAGTATAGGTCTAGCGTTGTAGAGCAATCTTTACCAGGATTTAGTTGTGGAATCATTCTCTAGGCGGAAAGGCACGATCTGAAGACTTTGTTTTTATTGTTAGCTGTTATTTCCATTGTTCTTCAGCTTCAAAAAGTATCAGAACACGTTCTCCAACTTACAACTCTTCAAAGTTCTTATCTAATGGATCAGAAGTCACTTTCTCCAAATCCAATAGAGTGAAAGTAACAAAGACAGAAATGATCAAAACTTCGGCACGTAGATTAGCTTTATTGATAATCTATGTCTGACCATAGAGAACCTCGAAGGATGTTTGAAGTTGTTAATTTTTCTGTCTTGCTTTCCTGGGGATTTCTTGCATCCAACTTATTACCTTAAAACAGTAGAATCTCAGCAGTAACATGAATCTCTAAATATAGACTTTCCACTCCGTCTTTCTCTTCTCTGCTCTATTTGTATCCGGCTAATTGCCTCGCATCTTTAGTTTTACGAGATTTCGCTCCAAGCAGAGAGCACACATAGTAAACACCAAAGAAATTGGGTATTGGAAACGTGTTAACTGGTTACATTATCAGGAATACAAGTTCGCTTCGCCTATTGGTTGCTGGATGAAAGTGTGGTCTCGCTTCAAGTCGAAGTCGTTCATATCGCTGAGTAGCCTTGTCGCTGAGTAGCCTTGTCGCTGAGTAGCCTTGTCGCCGAGTAGCCTTGGAACACTATTGAAAAGGGACATCATGCTACAACTTAATCTCAAAAAGCACACCAAATTATATGTACCATGCCACACCCAGATTCAGGTCACATGAGATCAGGTAAATGAGGGGAACATGGCGTCAAGCGACGAAGACTACAAGCTTACCATATATCATATACCTCAGGAAGCACAAGTATCACAAGAGATTGCTTGCTCATGTGGATTGCTTTTATTTTCTTCCCCAAGACACAATCTTTTGCGAACAGATCCTCCTAATTAGTTTGGGGGCTCGTCCACCGCGACCAGTCTTACCGCACCATTTTCCTGAACAATTTACCAATAAACATATGTTTCGAACTAGAATTAAATCTTCGTTCAATGATTTCGTCAGTATCACCATATTCCTTTCATGCTACATGAACACTATCAACAAATCACAATGCAGAAATGCGAATCTCGGAAGTCTTTCTCGTTCAGAGAATGTAGGCCACCACCGAATAGTCCTCTGGTTCCTCTGGAAGTGGAATTTTGTTGTGCAACCAGAGCTCCGGAGTGCTGCTCATACTCTACTCATGGAACTGCTGCCCTTGCATACAACTCTCGCATCTCTCCAATCTCAGCAGGATGTGAGGTTGTTCTTTCAGAGGATAATTGACTTTTCTACTCAGCTTCGATGCCACCCAACGATGTGCCTGACTGCCAGGAGACCTGCTCCAAGACAGGAAAAGCAGCTATTTACTGTGTTATGCCTATTGTGGATTCAACTACGAGGGATGGAGCATCTCTAACTTTAAATGAGATTGGCTGATTGTAGAAAACAAACCGAAGATGGAATCACTTTCAATAGCCCCAGAAGAGGAGTGAAAGATCGGGATATCGCTATAGGATGAATTGTATTATACCCTGTGACTGATAGAGGAAATATTTAGAATTATACCTAGCCTCAGCAAGTCGATTGTCACTCTAACTCTGCATTCTGCGATACTCGATGCTCCAGCTGTTTCGTTTATTGTATCTTTCGCCTAGCCGAAAAACTCTTTGACATGCTTCAACAAGATTTCCGGTATTTCTTCAGCAATGTAGTGTCCTGCAGGCACACTCTCGCCTGTGACCTCTCCATCAGACACGCGCTTCCACTCCCCAAGACAGTCAAACTTCATATCAATCACCCCCTTGTTTCCCCAAAGCACTTTGACAGGGCATTTTATCTTTCTCCCATCTTCGCGGTCTTTCCTCGCCTCCACGAGGTCAATCGTAGCCGCAGCTCTATAATCCTCACACATCGCATGCACGCAAGCGTCATCCCTGAACATAGCCATATACTCACCCAGCGCCTGCTCATTGATGTAACTTCCTGTCCCAGCATACCCACCCCCAAAGAACTTCCCTTTGAACAATTCCGGCTCACTCATCATCAACTCCTCTGGAAATGGAGCCGGTTGGATCAGCCAGAACCAATGCCAGTATGCTGTCGCGAAGAGCTGATCAGTCTTCTCAAACATTTCCAGTGTCGGAGCAATATCCAACATCATGAGCTTTTCGACAGCCTCTGGATGGTCGACAGATAATTTATAGGCAATTCTGGCGCCTCGATCATGCGACAGAATGTTGAATTTCGAATAACCGAGGGACGACATGACGGCCAAGCAGTCAGATCCCATGGTGGACTTTGCGTAGGTTTTATGTAAATCGGATGCTGTAGATGGTGGCTTGGAGGATTTTCCGTAGCCTCGGAGATCGATTGCAATTACGGTGAATGATTTCACGAGCTCTGGAGTCACTTTATGCCAGATGTGGTGGGTCTGAGGGAAGCCGTGAAGGAGTAAAAGAGGTGGGCCATCGCCAGCACGTATGCCGTGGATGGTGACGTCTGGGGCGACGGCAATATCGAATTCTTTGAAGCCTGGAAACATGATTGCTTTTATGGAGAAGAAATTTTCGATTTGTTGCACGCGCGCAACCATGAGATCTCTGGTTAATATTGGAGTGGAGGCGTTGCGAGACTGGCGTGGGGTTGTAAAAAGTGCGGGGGTAGCTTCTACTTTGCCGATAAAATTAATCGTTGGATTTCAAAGCAGTTCTTCGGCACAAATTTGTTTTTGTACTTCATGAAGTATAAATGGCATGCACAATTCAAGGTCTGCTGTTTGTTCTACGTCTCTATCAATTGACGTCTGAGTCAAGATAAAATTCCAACTTGGCTAGTCAAAGGACACTGAATCAACTCCAATCATTTGTTGACACACAAAGAAATCAACATAGGCAATCTTCCAGATCAAACAGTCGACACCTACGATACCAACCCTATGAGTGACTGGAATACTGGCAAAATTCATGGCTTAGGAGCCCACAGACTTTCCAGTAAACCTGTGACCTGATCATGGTAGACTACCGGGAATCGAGGCCTAGGAGGAACCTAGAAATTATTTGATCTAAATTGTTCCTGTCAGCGGTATTCTTCCAGTCTATCTCATGACACAGTCGTTGAAAAAGTCATCAACATCAGAAGAAAGCTTCGCATAACGACATAATAGCACACTCCAAGACTGTTTTTATGTTGAAAGAATTGGCTGGTAAATATGTATCCGCCCAAGGTATAGGAACAGTGACGCGCTAGAAGTCGTAGCGGACATCGTTCATGAAGCGATATAGATATAGAGTCAGTCGATAAATTGTACCGTAGAGTGTATGAGATGGTGAGGAGACATGAAACCCAATCAGGGTAGAAACAGGAGGTACTGCAACAAGGATTCCACACACAAGAAGAATAGGTAGCCAAGAACATCGCACCATACCGCGCCGCAATCCTCAAACGTGGTGACTCCCATCGAGAATACATCTAGTCCAGACGAATGGTCAATAGTAATCTGATGAAATAAGACACCGGGAATGTAGAATAAACAAAGAAGCAAAAAATGTATTGCCCAGCATGTCCTGCGAATGGCCCCTGCAGCATGACAGATACCATGTATTGGAACTCTGCTGCTTGTGGGAGTGGATTTCCAGAACTTCTCGAACTTCACCGGCTGAGAGCTGTCACAGGAAATGAGTTGTCACCCGTGAAGGACTGCGGACCAAACCCACCGAATGTGCCGTGCACTAGTGCCAGAATGTATTTTCTCTGGAAACCAAGCCCTTGGCCCTGGCCATTTCCCGGTTTCTTTTGCGAGCCACAAACATATGTCCCTCTTTCTTCCCGTTATTTGATCATTTCCTTGTAGACATGACGTCTGAGGAGCTTCATGTTAAACCCCGGGAGCTATGTTCGAGCCTCAAGTGACAGTTGTCTGTGAATGCTAAGCTTTTGCTCGTCCTGTTTTCGCGTCTTCCAAGACTCTCAAAATCCATATATTGTGAGGTTTTTCCATTCTTTCTTCCTCCTACTCCTCCTTCTCCGTCTTCTATGTTTTTTCTCTTTGCAAGTTGCAGCCACCACTTTGTTTACTTCCAACATGTCCAGCAGTATCGTGGCCAGTTTCTTGGGTGCCTTGGAAGCATCTCTCTCCGTTCTCTTGACGATCACCTACGGTGCCGTTGCAGCAAGATTCAATCTCCTCAAGTCATCCTCTGCAAGAGACATTAACAAGTTGTGTGTTCGACTGTTCCTTCCCGCACTGATGATTGCGAACCTTGGCGATGAGTTGCATGCCAAAACTGCGTACAGATACGTCCCAGTGTTGAGTTAGTATAACAGCACCCTCTCAGAACTCCCAAATTAATATTTTGCTTTAGTATGGGCTCTCTTCTATACTTTAACTTCCATGGCACTCGGATGGACCCTAAAGCGAATGTTTAAATTTCCAGCGTGGACAATTCCTGCCATCTGCTTTAACAACACTACCGCACTTCCACTTCTCCTTCTCCAATCACTTGAGACATCTGGGATCTTAAAGGATCTTACTATGGATAAGGGTGACTCTTCTTCAGAAGCTATGAAGCGAGCAAAGTCCTATTTTCTTGTCGCAGCTGTGGTTGGAAACAGTTTGACATTCGCTGTTGGACCCGGACTTTTGGATGATGAGGAGACTCCAGACAGCTACGAGGCCCAACAAGAACGCAAGGGTCAAGAAAATAGAAACGGGGCGCACGAGGACGAGGACGAGCACGACAATCCCACAAACGCGGCTGGAAGGACAGCTGAAGAGCAAGAAGAACATGCAACTGAGAATACGACTCTCCTCCCAGATAGAGTTGCCGATCCTGGGGCAGAACTTGGCGGGGTATTAGCGGACACCTTCGACGAATATTGGTCTCGTCTTCCAACTGTATTACGGAAACATCTGCATTTTGTCAGCAGTTTCTTCAACGCACCTCTAATAGGTGCGGTCGTCGGCGCGATTCTCGGTTTAGTTCCTCCATTTCACAAAGCCTTCTTCAGCGAACCCCAGGATGGAGGCATCTTCAAAGCCTGGTTGACGTCGTCGGTGAAGAAAATCGGAGAACTCTTTCCTGCACTGCAACTTGTGGTTGTAGGTGCGAAGCTCAGCGCCAGTCTTCTAAAGATGAAAGAAGGAAAAGACGTGGGGAAGATGAAACTGGTTCCAGTTCTCACAGTTTTCGCGATCAGATTCCTCATCTGGCCAGTGTAAGTTGTTCCCTGAAATCTTGCGAGGTGAGCGTTATGCTAATGAGGCAATAGCATCAGTATTGGGGCGATATACCTCATCGCATCAAAGGCCAAGCTTCTGGACGACGATCCTATCCTCTGGTTCGTCTTGATGCTGATGCCTACTGGTCCTTCAGCAACAAAATTAACGGCACTTGCGGATGTCAGTGGAGGAAGCGAAGAAGATAAACATGCTATCGCGAAGTTCATCACGTTGTCATACACCATCTCGCCCCTAATTTGTTTCACTGTTGTGGGAGCATTGAAGGCTTCACTCGCAGCCAAATCTTGAGAGTTCTCATGCCAGTCGCTTTGCTGATTCGGGTTTGTAACAACAACAAGCCTAACGAGAAGTCATAGTATATAGATTCAAATGTTAGGCCGTAAAACTCTAAATATGGGCATGTGAATATCAGATGGAGATTTGAAGCACCTCTCGCAGTCGTGACAGTGACAAGTCGTTGTTCGGTCAGAGTTCTGTCAGATCAACGATTGATGTTCCCCTAGTATCCGCAGTTCAGACCGGGGATCAAACGGGGCAGGGTTGATGTCGTTTCAGAATCATTCGAAGTGCACGCAAACTAACAACATCAGATTAAGTGACAGGGAGATCTACGTGTTTCATCCCAGAAAACTGGGGAGGCAATACATTAGCTGTAGGAATGCTGAAAAGTTAACGCCGGAATTAAGGAATTAACGCCAAGACTTCTAATAATCCTTAAAGCTTAAGGGACCATTAATTCAGGAATCACTAGGCTTGATTAGGCATTAAAGTACATTAGCGAGTAGCTGTTTTAGGCTAAAAATCCCTTAATTTAATAAACACCTATAAAATCCCCAGTTCTACAATTATCAGTTCATACTACTTATAAGTATATCCTTATTGTCAGACTCTAGTTCGTTCTCTATTTAAACGATATTATCTTCTATATTTAATAGTATCTCTTCTAATAATACCTCTTCCTCTTTTTCCTTTCGTTTACTCTTAGCTTTTATCTCTTTTTCGCCTAATTAAGCAACCTTTAAGGAACGCGTATTAATATAAATAAAGCATAGCATATCCATTTATTTAATTAATAGCCTATTTCGCGTCTTAGACTATAAAAGGTTTATAATAAAGAATACTCGTTCACTAAGAACTGAATTTACTATCGTATAGAAAAGTATAAGTACTAGTCTTAATAGTTTAAGGGAACCTAAAGTCTATAGCTTATTAGTTATAATATCAATTAGAATAGAGATATATAACTTACAGAGATCTGCTAAAAGAGAATCTTATTATTTATGAAATATTCCTAACAAGGCCTTTACAGGTTAAAGTTACCTACTTTCCTATTATAAAGAAGTGGGGTAGTGCTATTAAAGTGTATAGTAAGTAAGGATATAGAGGACTACTAACTAAACAGGTAGTAAGAGTAGGAGAGAGAAGATAATATATTTATTATATACTATCGCGCCTATCTATATAACTTTATAGAATAAGCTAACTATCTTCCGACTTAGAACTATACTACCCTACTATATATATCCCCCTTAACTAAGTAATCGCCTTCTAACTATATCCCCTGATATATCGTATAAATAAAAGAAATACACGGATACTCCTCTTAACTATCTACTTTTATTATATTACTTACACTTGCTACTAAGTACTCCTTAGCCTCCTTTATAAATAATAGGCCCTCCTTTAACACGATTTCTATTACTTCCTCACTTAGCTAGTTAGTATTAGCCTCTACTTCTCCTATTAGAACACTTATAGCCTCTAATACCTCCTTTAAGTAGTAAAAGGACTTCTCTTTAAATACCTCCTTCTTTACCTTCCTTACTATTTTAAAAGCCTCTATAGCTATAATTAGTACCTTAGCTCTCTACCTATTAATAAAGCTATAAGCTACTACTTAATCCTCTCCTAATAGAATATTTCTCTGAGCTATTACTACTAATGAACTCTATTATTATCACGTAACTAGAGTATTAGATAGAGTATCTAACTCGGAAAGCTTAACTATAGTAGCGAACTAAAAGAGAATAGCTCTATACTAATTTATAAGGCTTAATAAGGTAACTAAGGGTGTAGTAAAATCTCAATAGGAGTTAGCTAGATCTCTTTAAGTTCTCTCTTCTATAACCTCTAAGGTTTCCTTATTATCCTGAATTATAATAAACTATAATAAGATAGTCCGATAAACTTTTATCACGGGCCTAGTTAACTTATATAGGATCTTTAGTAGCGTAATCTGTATATCTCTAGGGCTATAAGAAGTCCTAACCTAATTTACTCCTAGGACCTCTATATTCTCTTAAGTAAATATTTAGTCTATAATTTAGTAAATATAGTAGTTAGTATCTTATCCTTACTCGCGAATATATACTTACTACTTGCTTAGCTTATATTATATCCCCGGATAGTAGAAAGTGTAATTATCCTTATTCTCCTAATCTAGCGAGATACTACCTTAAACTATAATAGCCCCTCGATTAGTAGTAAGTATATTATTAATATTTAAATTAATATAATAGAAAAAGGTTCTATCTCCTAGTATAGTGTATTTAGTATAGTAAAGGTAACTAACTAGTCTCTACTTCTTATTAGGATAAAGAGCTACATATAATATATAGTAGGCGGGGTCTTAGCGTATAAGCTACTAGGTTACTGAAAAAAATATATTCTATAGCTATTTAATATTCTTACGCCTATTAATCTCTTGTAAGTAGTACTAGTATATATCTAATTCGTTATAGATTTACTTTCTAAAAGAGGAACTAAACTACTATTTAAAGAGGGAGCGAATAACTTATCTATTCTCTTCCTACTATAGTAAGATCATTAGATCCTAGCTATTTAGAATTAGCTTCTAATTATAATTAAATAATTCGAGCTTCTCTTTCTTATAAAATTTATAAGGTCCGAGCTTATCTAATAAGTAGGGAGGGCGATTAGCTATATAAAACTAAATATAAGTCTCCGGGTCTATCTTTAGCTTTCTGATTTCTAACCTTCTATTATATATAATATATAGTCTCTTAATAGCTAAACCTTTCGGGAGCTACTTTATATAAAGACTTATATACCCTGCTATTAATCGTAAGTAACTATAGTAAACTTACTGAAATCCTAGTATCTTACCTAAGAGCTTTATTATTACTATAATTAGTAGAACTTTCTTTCTTCTTATTATAGTTTTCTAGCTAGTAGTTATATCCTTCCTATAGTTATACTTCTGCTTATCTCTGCTCTCCTTATTAATCTCCTGCTTTTCTTATTCTTCTAGTTCTTCTTTAACTAAGTTAACTTCTTTTTTATTAATCTTAGCCCTTTCCTTATATATAAACTTAAACTCTTTTATAGCTTTACTTATTTCTTCTTAGCGCTAGGACTAACGCAGTTAAGGAGCTAAGGCTACTATAGTGCCTATAATAATTTCCTCTGCTAAGCGGGCTAAATTATTAATATTACTAGGGCTCCCTTTCTCTTTACTTATAGCTATAGGCGTATCTTCTAATTCCTTTATAAATACCCCTTCTTTTATAAAGCCTCTTATATTAACTTGTATTCTAATACTTCTCTATTTCTCCTTTAATAACTTCCTCGCCTTCTCTCCTCTTACTTTCGCGCTTATTATATAAGTTATATTTATTATAGTAACTTCCTTTACCTTAGATATCCCTTAATAAGGTAGCCCTAAGACTTATCTCTAGACTTCTAAGTTAACTTATAATCTAGCTTCCTTAATAGATATCTTCGTAAAAGCTTATTAGTAGCGACTTACGAATTCCCTTAACTTAGTCGCTAGCTAAGCTAGTACTTCCGGGTCTATCTAGTTCTTTACTATACTCTTATAAGCTTTACCTTATTTATTTCTTTTCTTTATATTATTAATAATTATAACTTAAACTTCTATCTAAGACTAGTGAAACTTATTCTTTAATATATAGATCCGGAATACTCCTGACTTTTCTATATACTTATATACTTACTTAATAAGTTCTTTAGCTCTATTATAATACGCTATTATAGTCTCTAGGACCTTTAACTAGGTATTATACTAGTCTTATAGTAAGATCTTATCTAAGTATATAACTACCTTATTAAAATTAATAAAGGCTAGTAATTTATCTTCCGTAGGCACTTTAACTAGGCTTATACTTATATCTCTCTTATTATCTATAGTAAACTATTATATCTATATAGTGATTTAGTTGTTATAGCGCGGAATATAAGGAAGTTATTATTTTTTTTTTTAAAGAAAGTTAAAAGTTTCGAATTAGAAAAAATCCCTAGCGCCTTAAATCCCTTCCTAAAGGCTCTTATACCTCGCTTAATAGCTTATAGCTTACTATTTCTCTAATCGTATTATCGCGCTACTTACTAGTAACTAATATATAATAAATAACTAGTAACTTCTCTGCTTTTTTCACCTTTCTTCTTTAAAATTCACTTTTTTATTCGCTATCTTACGCTTCTTTCTACTAAATTCACCTTTTCTATAGCCTTACTACTACTATTCGCTTAATATAAAAACCCTCTCGCGCTTTTATTTTTTTAAATTTTCCTTTTTCCTTTAATAACTATTTTTCTATAGTTACCTCTTCTTCTTATACTATTATTACTATCTTTATACTTTATTATCTTTCTTATGTTTTCTATACTCTTAACTTATACCTCTATCACTTCTATTACTATAGCGTTACTTCTAAAGATTATCTCTACTTAATATATCTTAGAGCGTTCTTTATATAGCTTAACCCCTAGTATAGTTTATATCTAGGATATTGTAGTAGCTATCCGAGCTAATAAGATTATACGTTTATTAGATTATATAGTTAGTCTTCTAGTTCTTACTTTTAATAAGTAGGTCTTTACTAAGATAGAAGTATCTAATAAGTAGAGGATTAATTTTCTCTTATATCTTTATATATATTCTAGTCAGAAGTCTATAAGTTATACTTTCCTTAGTCCGGATAACCTTATTATAGAGTTTAATAATATACCTCTTTATAGTAGTATTACTATAGGATCTAATACAGATACTTCAGACCTGACTTTTATCTTTATAAAGGAGTATAATAGTTATAAGTAGTAGCGTAATAAGTACTTATTTAGTAGTAGTTACTTTCTTAATAATTATAAGAAAAAAGAATTACGGAAGTATATTAAGTCTAAGCTTTCGATTAACTTACCTATAAAGACTCCTAGCTTATCTTCTAAAGACCTTTCTACTCTTAGTACTATTTGTATTAAGAATACTATTAAGAAAGAGAAGCTTACTAAGAAGGAGACCTCTTTTATAAAGAAGTCGAAGAATACTAATAAGTATATGAATAACGCCCTAGATTAGGATAATTCTGATAAAAATAATACCTTTACTATTAAATATAAGCTTATATCTATTATTACTACCTCTACTCTTATAATCTCTAAGAAAATCTTATTCTAAGTTACTTAGTCCTCTAAGACTACTCTCTCTCTAGAGAAGGCTATTAATAGCGATAAGGATACTAAAGTTTATACTAATATTAATAATATTAAGAATAAGGATAATAGTAACTATTCCGAGAAAAAGAAGAAGAAGAGATCTACTAAGTATTAAGCTCCTAAGACTAC